CTCCTAACTCATCCACACCATCCTGTATCGTTTCATCGTCGTTATGTAAAGAACTCCGCGAACTGTGTATCTGCCGTCTCGATGCATCAAATGAAATTATGTCCAAGCCGTCTATTTTCGCCGGCTTGAGAGGACCAGAGCCTTTCGGGTATGTTTCCGGCGAGGCTCTTCCGGTTATGCTCGTGTTGGGAGTAGGCATAGTGAATCACACAACACTCAGGTCTTGTCTTGGGTCTCAGGGTCAAAGACTCTAATGAGATTTTGCTGTTTGCCACACACCGAAGGCTGGAAAAAAGGGACACGTCCACAACAACAATTATGTTGCAGCACAAAACACCCAAATATCACCACGAATCACTCACTATATCCAACGCGGTTGTCAAAAGCGAAAAAACCGAAACACGGACCGCAAACAGCCTCTGCATGTCAGTTTCTCATCCCGGTCGTGCAATCAAGTGATTAGGTGCCACACTACCAAAGAGAGGCTTGAGATTTCGTCAAATAGTTAGAAACCATTACGCAAAAAAAGGGCAACAACGAGTGATAATGACATGTAAAACCTGAATTATACAACTCCGCCTATCTAAAAATTCTTTCTCCCCAAGCAGCCCAACTTCACCCTCTGACTTTTCCTCCCAACTCCCGCAGACGGCTGAGGTTGGCACCCTCCAAGATCGGGATTGGTTTCGATTACACAGGTGCCTTATCGGGCAGCGAATTTTTCACATTTGCGCCAACAAACGTTGAACTTTCAAGACCCCAATCACAAACAGCCTTCCAGGAATTTCGTTGCGAACATGACTGAAGAATCCGAGGTATTCATGCTTGATGGGGCGCCGGAGAAGGACCCCAACAGAGTTCTTAAGGATGTTCTTGCTGGAACAGTGGGTGGTATCGCCCAAGTTCTGTCGGGGCAGCCATTCGACACCACCAAAGTCAGGCTTCAAAGTGCAGCTGAAGGGACGTATTCCGGTCCAATAGATGTCGTGAAGCAGCTACTGAAAAATGAAGGACCTCTGGGATTTTACAAAGGAACATTGACCCCGTTGGTTGGTGTGGGAGCTTGCGTGAGCATCCAGTTCGGAGTGAACGAGTTCATGAAACGGTTTTTTGCGGAGCAACAGTTAAAAAAGAATATTCCTGCTGGAACTCCACTCACTTCCAGCCAATTTTACATTTGTGGTGCTGCTGGTGGATTTGCGAACGGATTTCTCGCTGCTCCAATAGAGCACATCAGAATCAGGCTCCAGACACAGACTGGTGCTGTGAAGGAGTTCAACGGTCCTCTCGATACCATTCGCAAGCTATACGCTCAAAACGGATTGAAAACGATCTACAGAGGTATCTGGCCTACGCTTATCAGAGAGGCTCACGGAATTGGTATCTATTTCATGACGTTCGAGGCCTTGGTCAAGAATGAGATGACGAGTCGCAAGGTGGAGAGAAAGGAGATCCCAGGGTGGAAATTGTGTTCTTTTGGAGCTGCTGCTGGTTATTCCATGTGGCTGACAAGTTACCCTATCGATGTGATCAAGTCCAAGCTTCAGACCGACAGTTACACCCAACCTAAGTTCCGTGGTTCGTTGGACGTTGCCAAGTCTATCATGGCTACTAATGGAATCAAGGGATTTTTCAAGGGTTTTGTCCCCACAATTTTGAGGGCTGCTCCGGCGAATGCGGCCACCTTCTATGCGTTCGAGCTGACCATGAGGTTTTTGGGTTGAAGGAGAGCCGTTGTGGAGAGCGAAGAGAGATTTGGAAGAGTCTGTGAAGCGAGTCATCCATATAAAAACTGTGTATTGATGTGTTCTCCAGTTGCTACTAATAATTTGATTTTTGAGTTTTCTGGAACAGCCGTGTACAGTGTACGTGAACCCAGTAAACGGCAATAATACTGTGAAGTAACGTTGACCTATGAGATTTCCAAAGGCTCATTGAGCGCTATTACATCACAATCCTTTCTGTGAAATGAACCTCGCGGCCAATTTTGCGGCTGACGGTATTTCTCAGCGGCCTCTGGCTTCAGCGCCATGGTGAATAAAATTCCAGTATTCTTCAATGCAGTTGGTCCATTAGTCTTCTAGATATCTGAGCTAAACCTGGGCTAAGTAAGTCATCTTCATTGGTTGTTGGTCCTCAAGTGTCCTTCTATTCCATCTCTCTATTATCAGCTCTTACTGCTCATCCTCAAGTCTCCTCAACAGGTAATCTGTCTCCACCTTCTTCGTCAGGGGAATCACCAAGTCCTTGTAAATCCTCACCAACACCTCTGGCTTCACCTTACTCTGCGGGTTCTGACTGTACTTCATCGTGGGGTCTGTACCATATGCCTGTCCCTTCTCCAACAGTCTCAACAAGATTTTTTCCTCTACCGCCGAGTTCGTGATTGCATCCTCAATGCCCTCCACGTCCTTGTTCAAAATCAACTTGGTGAACCGCTCCGTTTCAGCTCTGAACTTAGCTTCCGCAACGAACTTACCAAAGTGGATTCGCCTCGAAAGAGCCTGGAGAGCCTCAATATCTGCGGTGCAAGTACTTCCTAGGTTTTCAGGCTGCTCACCTTCTCCAGCAGAGATCAACGGAACGATCTCGTGAATGTACATACGCATGATCTCATCGTTGGCATTGATCTCGTTGGAATAAGATGCTAGAACAGGTGGATAATTCAGTGGAGGAAGAAAACTCTTGAGCAGTTGATCAGGAAAAAATGGCGTTTCGTCTGGGGCCTCATACCGCCTCACCTGTGAATGTGCCTTTTCCAACTGCAACAATGACCACTCCAAGAACGAGCCCTGAAAATCCGGAATTGGAAACACATCCGGCTTATAAACGGAGGGCGACTGGAAAAACTGAGATCTCTCAATCAAATCGAAAATGATAGTGTCCTCCATGCGCACCAGCGCGTCTCTGATGTTGGCCAAATTGAGGACAGTTTCTGGTTTCATAAAGTCCATGGTTGAAAACGCACTAAAACAGGTTAAAAAGTCAAATTACAACAACCGCTTTGTTGTGATTGAATCTCCGGAGTAATCCACCCAAAAGTCTCAATTTTGTTCTTGTAAACCACCCACTGTTCGCTCAACTCCCGTGGTTATCGACTTCTCTTTTCTCCTCGTATGAATCACTTGCCGATGCCATTGATAGATACACGCTTATTCCTTCCCTAACGAGACGGTCATCATGAAAAGACTACAAGTCACCAGTGAAATAAACCACACATATGTATATATATATAAAAACCATGAGGTCCCGTACATTGCCCCAAATCCCGATTTTCGCCTAATAATGCTTATTTCTCGCCAAGTTTGCCGTCGCCATATCTAGGGGCAGGGCTCATATCCTCTGGCGCCGCACCTATCAAGATCGTAGACAGGTGTCTGAACCACAAAAAGCGGTTTATCCGCGCCAGTTTGTCCAGGCCAAATCCGTAGTTGTTATGAGCCTCGAGTAAATCGTGTTCACTGCGATCATTCAATTTACCCGAAAGAAGCAGATCGTGCGAGTATGGGTACGAATAGAGTATGTGGGTAACCTGTAATGCACCATAAACCAGAGTGAAAGCCACTACCCCAAACAAAATTGGTCGCCTGTTTTTCTCAAATTGCTCTTTTGCACCGGGCTGGTTCCGCAGGTTCTGGTAATCTTCCCAATTACCTGCGAAATCGTAGCGATAGTCTCTGAACCCACCAGCATCAAACGAGGAATGCGACCTCGGCCGATACGAATGAGCTGGCTTAGAACGAACCATTGAAGATCCATGGTCCCAACCCGTTCTATGGTTATCGTACAATGTTCTCCGCTTTGGATCCCTTAACAGGTGGTACGCGGCAAGTGCCTTCTTAAACCTTTCGTCGCGAGTTTTGGCGTCCAGCGCCACAAACATTTCGTGCGCACTTGAATCCGGATGATACAGCTTAGCAAACTTATGGAAATGCGCTTTGAGCGACTTCGCGTCCACTGGAGCCGTTCTAGAAAGAGCAAGAACTTCGTATGGGGATGGGTCTGATGATGAGGGCCATTTTGACAACAATGCGGACAACTCCTCGTCAGATACAGCGGTCGATAATCGTTTACACGACGTTGAGAACAACCTGAGACCCAGCATCAAACATCAATACCGTTGGGGTGTGGTTGAGAGGGAAGAAAGATAGAGCAATCCGTGATTTTGACTGCCGTTAAGGCCTATCCTGGTAGTGTCCCACCAACGGGGAACTGGGTAGTGCACTACAATTACTTGAAGAAGTCTGAAAAGCCGGAGTAAAACGTGTACTTTATAAAAAAGGCGCTAGAATTCTTCTCAGATATCATTCAGTTGGTTTCTGGTATTCTAAAATGCCTTTTTATGATTGTGGTGTACTGAAAACTAATCACTCGATGGGTCGTCGCGGGTATCGGTCGCTTCTGTGCTTGAATCGGACACTTCCTCAGCCAAACCGAGAATGAAACTATGATTCAGTGTTCCCTGAATCTTTTTCGGCACAGAATCTGTGATTTTTTCATTTTTTACCTCAAAATACCTTCTTAAACTCCCTGTGGTCACTGCCTTTTATCTTGGGTTATGTGCCCGAGTGGAAAACAGATCGAAACGCACGTGACCTCTGAGATTAGAGATAACCTCAGAAGGAGGCAAAACACCCTCATTATTTCCTTTAAAATCTCAAAAATACCTCATTTAACCCATTCAGTATTCTTTAGAAGCTTCAGTTGTCTTAAATATTAACTCAGATCTCATTCTAGCCTATTATTGGGTTGATCAACACACTCTGAACCATTACACCAAAGTCGTGTCCCATCCACTATCGCCAAACGCATTTTTTTTCGGGCGCCCTCTTGGAACAAGACATCCTTTAAAAGAACCACCAACGAAGTGTTTAATATAATAAAGCAGCATGTCCTGGGACGACGAAGACTTTGATGTGAAGGCTGATGAGGCCACAGCTGTTTCAGGAGCCTGGGATGACGATTTCAAGGATGATGACGACGGAGAGATTCTGGAGTCCTGGGACCTGGATTCAGACGAGGAACGTGAAAAGAAGCGCAAGCAAGAGGCCGAAGTCAAAGCCAAGAAGCAAGCCGAATTAGAGGCCAAGAAGGCTAAGGAAGCAGCCAAGAAATCGGGCAAAAAGAAGCTTCTGGAAATCGACCTTGTGGACGAGAAGACCCGTAAGGAGATGCTGAAGGACGCCGAGCTCAACAGTGACTTGAACAACGCTGCCGATCTGTTTGGTGGCCTCGGAGTTGCCGATGAGCACCCCAGAGCCGCTGCTACACGCAAAATCTTAGAAGCTGAAAAGAGCAAGCCCAAGTTCGGCAAGGACACTCCTCTGGACGCACACCCAATTTTCCATCCACAGAACAAGGCGGATTTCGAGAAGCTAAGAAAGACCTTAGGACCAATCCTGACGAAGCTTGCTGACGAGAGCAGTCTAAACTACACGTCTTCTCTTGCAATTGACCTGATCAGAGACCTTTGTGGCCCTCTCACCGTGGAGAGCACGAGGAAGGTTGTGAGCACAATCAATGCCTTGGTCACTACCAAGGCTCGCGAGGAGAGACAGGCAAGACTCTCAAAGGCCGGAGGTACAGCCACCGGAGGAGCTGGAAAGAAGAAGGCTAAGGCCGCTGCTCCAAAGACCGCGAGTGCCAGTTTCAAGCAGGACGAAGGGCATGACATGACTAACTACGATGAGCTGAGCGACGACGACTTTATGTAAAGAATAGGAGAGTTAAATCAAGAGTTGTTGATATAGCAATTGAAGTGGTCTAGTAGCAAGTCATTGGTGTGGACACTAGTGCTATCCACGATAGTGTCAAAGAGAAGAACTAACCAACAGCTCTCCCCTTTAACACTGAAATGAAATATTGAAGGAGCAATAGTTTCGGGGACCACCGTATACCAAACTCCCAGACTACAATTAGCTGGACCTCATACTTAATAAACATCCATTCTTGTTATGTCCTCTAAAAACCCCTCAACGGCGCGCGCTGAAATAACCCAAAATATAAACCCAGCCATATATTCACCTCCATAAAAAGCCACAAAACGGCCTCAAGCCTCAGTTCTTGTTCACGGCACCTGGACACTTATTCTTGGAAATGTGTTCCTCCATCCACACAGCGTTGGTCTCGAAGAACTGGAAGCACCCAGCACATCTTCCTCCAATGGAATTGCGCATCGAGGATTTTGTTCCTGGAGGATATATAAAGTGAAGGGCCTTGAGATGAACCTTGAAAGTGTCTCTGCGGGAGAACCCGCCAGTGGTGTGGCACTTTGTGCCGGAGCGAAGAATGGTGCTCTTTCCGTCGTCGTCAGATCCTTCTTCGGAATAGAATGGACACATAAAGGCCTTTGCAGCCAAATGCTTCTTCATGTGACGAGTAAGATACGATTTCACCTTGAAATTGGAGGCACAATCTGGACACTGGTACTGGGAACTTTCGGATGCTGACGAGGACCGCGGCTGGTCAAACACATCTGCAACATCCTCGACAGAAGATGAAATCACGGAAAAATCGTGCAAATTAAAATCTTCGTCCTCCTGCTTGATGTGGTGGTATAAATTGTTATCGAGAGGCGATATTTCGCCATCCGAAGGAGGCTCTTTTTTGGCCATGTAGACATGGACTAGTTCGGACTCTTGAGATGAAAAAATCTCAGAGTGTTGACTCGACTTGGACAACACCATCTCGTCGTCAAGCGCAAAACCATCAATAAGATTGTCAAATAGTCCACCAACAACCTCTTCATCTTCGTCGTCCTCAAGAGCCATCTCGTCTTCAAATTGCTCTTTCACCATCTGGTACTCCACAAATCCCACGTACTCCTCCTCGTAGAGTGATGTGTGTGCGGAGAAGTCGCTGGCGTACATTTGGTGGTGCGAGCTCCCGTTATTGGTGTGTTGATGGGAACTGGATAGGCACATAGGATGCAAGTGCTGTGGTTGCTGGTTTAGATTAAACCCCAGCTGGGTCATTTGAGACGGCTGTGATTGCCAGGGCGAGTACTTGGACTCAGATTCAAGCATGGCTCGTGGCATGCTCTGCTGGGCTTGTTGAGCCTCGATATCGTCGTCAAGATACGATCCAGCGCTGGAAGGTAACACCAACGAGCGGACGTCCCACCCAAAAGGGTTCGGATCGTTCATATCAAACGAATCCACCGCAGCAGGTTTCACCAGCGAATCTCCTCCCAATATAATCTGTTTTACCTCAAGGTTGCCAGGAAACAAGTCACTCTGGCGCTTCTCGGAAGACCCCAGCGTCTGAAAAATGTGTAATATTCTGCGCCACATCAGGCGAAAATGCGATATCAGAATGGAAGCGTACGAATTCATCTTTCCATTAATGCAAAGGAAAAAACCCAGTCTTTGATCAGCTATTGCAAAGGCGGAAGAAACGACTGTAAGAGTGATAGAACAAGACAAGTTTAGTGCCGACACTCAAACTTAGCAAAAACAGATATTAACGATAGATTCAAGGTAGCCAAAACTGATTTGCAAAATATTTGAAATGTTCAATGATAATAAAAGCTTGGAAAAAGATTTGACAGTAAAAAGGGGATGAAGAAGACAAGAAACGAAAACACTACTCTTTAAGGCTTCGTACCTGTGTGCTTACGAAAAGCTAATCGCAAAGTGCGTCTACTGGGCGTATCGAAATTCCAAAAAAAACTCCCAAAAAAAGCTTAATGCTGAAAACTGTGGATATTCTAATCGCAACGAAGCATTATGCATATTACTCTTTAGTGAAATTTTAACGGTCAGATGGCGTGCCAAGATATATGTTCCTGGGGAAACGGACCTTTTAGTTGGAGGTAGTGATGGATTGCTGGTGGTTTAGTTTTTGCCGAGAGGATCGACTTGAGTCCAGCAGATTTGGTTGCACAAAAGGTTCATCTGTTATCTACGGACAATACGATTTGGTCTGTTTCACAGCCAGTTATTGGATGAGATCATTTTCGCGCAGACAGACTTTGGCGGGTCTGGTGCCGTGCGAGTCTGTTCCGAGACCGGGAGATGTGTCTGTTTCACAGGGAATTAGGCTATTCACGACGAAACCGGTAGCCGCCAACTCGAATCGGGACTCCGCGGAGCATGTGGATTGTGTCCGGCACAAATGGTTTTACGAGAACCGCGGCTCAATGAACCACTTGGCACGTGATTTGGTGAAACTAGTTAAAACACTACCAGATTACGAAGCCCTGAACTCTTGACTTTCTACACCGTCAGCGCACTACCCCCACATTAGCCTATTTGTTTATCGGGCTAACCTGGAGAGCATGATCCTCGACGCTTTCTGCTCTCTGTATTTGTTGCACCGCGAAACCAACCATGAGTGAATCGGTCGATACATTATTCAACAAGGCCATAGATACCATCCAGTTGCTTTCGAGCAACAAACATTACCTCCCGCGGCCGCCCATGGAGAGCAGAATCAAGCTGTATGGACTGTACAAGCAGGCTACACAGGGCGACTTGAGAGATCTGGCAAACGTTCCAGAATCAGGAGTGGACAGACTGAAGTACGAATCATGGCTGGCCAATCATGGACTTGATCCCACACTGGCCAAAGTGCAATACGTTGCCTGTCTATTGGGCACAATGAAGCTGTACGAGAACGATGAAAATTTCCGGGACTCGAAGCTGCTTTTTGACGAGCTTGAGTATCTATGGGACCAGTTCAAGGAAGGAGATAACGATCAGGCGTACCACCAGTCGCGCGACCGGTACGAGCTCGTGAAATGGCAGAACAACGTGAACTACAGATTGAACCAGCTGACGCGATTGGTCGAGGAAACACGCAGGCGTCGTATCCCGGCTGAAGAGACGCCGCGTCCATCGCGGCTTGCTTGGAAACGCTGGATTTTGGAGTTAGTGGTGATGTACTTTTGTTGGAAACACAACAAGGAGTTGGTGGAGTATGCAACTAAGCTCAGGACGCTATTGAACAGGCTTTACGTAATATATTTGAAATAAACGCGCGATGACTTTGGCTAGAAACGACTTTCGAGTCATGCGTTCAGCCGCTTTGTCAGTACACGATCTCTCGACCGAACAGCCCGGTAAATGACTTGCGCTGTAATCAAGCGAGATGAGCACCGTGGCTGCAAGCCAAAGCCAAGTCCCTCGACCGACGTCCCAAAAGAAATTCTAGGGCCGGACCCAGAGACAATAACGCAATTCTGCAATAAAGAATCACAGGTTCCGCTATAGCCGTGCCTGGGAACCGTTGCGAAGCCGTCGAGGCTACCGACCAACGGCTGAGTCAGTACCGTGTAAGCCGGCCGAGGACTATGCTGTAAAAAAAGGCCGCACCCCCCCTCCCTCGTAAACGCGTTGATGGGTTGACAGCAACTATCAATATAAATAATAGTGCATGAAAATATACAACAACTCTGGGAATGCAAATATGAAGCGTACATATTAATATATTACCAATGTCCACCCAGACCACGTGGATTTAACTTAAAACTTAAGTTATTGAAGGCCCCCGGTAACCACGGGGCCGGTTCCGACACAGTGCATGTAAAGTACATGCAGGGATACAGTGAGGACCCTTCAAGGAGACCAGTGGAAGATATATAGCACAGGAAAATCGCTCTTTTGCTGTTTGCCGTTTGCCGTTTGCTGTTTGCTAGTTGCTAATTGATAGCCGCTAATTACGGGACGTTGAATATTTCAATTTATTACTTTATTTAGACCAGGCTCTGCCGTTTATTTTAAAGTCAAAGTGTGCTTTACTCTATTGTTCTCTCACCATGTTCAACACCAAAAGGTCAACCGTTCCCACCAGTGAAGAGGACGCGGAAATGCTTGAACTCGGCTTCAGAACCGACGAACAGCTTAAGAATCTCAAGAATTCAAACCGTACACTGAAGATTGCAGTTTCAGTGTTAGGCTTGCTGGTGACAGTTCTATGCGCAGAGTTCGCAGCTGTTATCCACCGGTTTAGCGTCGTCGAGTACCTCACTGAACACGTTCTAATAAAACAACCAACAGAATACAATGTGGAGGTTCTCACACGAAACGTGCAGGTGGTTCCAGTCCACTCACACAACGACGAGATGAGATACGTGCCTTTCTTCGATGCGTATACGAAGGGCTGCAACTCCATAGAGGCAGATACCTGGTATCTACCAGAGCATCCTGACACATTACTGGTTGGGCACAACAAGGGATATTTGAGGAAAGATAACACGCTGGATAACCTTTATTTGGACCATCTGTGGCATTCGCTCATAGATGCCAACTCCGAGTCTGAGGATGACAAGATCAACGGCATCTTCTACAATAGTCCAGAAGCAACCACATATTTCTACATAGACGTGAAGTCTGATGGAATAAAGACCTTGGAATTGTTGGAGGAAAAACTCAAGGAATTTCTTGATCGCGATTTCCTCACAACGTTCAACCAGACCAGTGGAGAGTTCATCGAGGGTCCTCTGACGGTGGTGATCACGGGTGCTTATCCATACGACTATATTGTCTCCAAGGACTTCAGATACATGTTCATAGATGCCCCACTTAATCTCCTGGAGGATGAAGCAGATCTGTATCCTGCCCGCAACGTGTCCATTTTTGCATCGTGCTCTCTGGAACAGATCACTGGACTGAAAAATAAACCCTGGAACTATGTCCACGGTATCACCGAAGATGACCTTGAGAAGGTCAGTAGCACCTTGGCACGTGCTCATGAGATCGGCTTGCAAACAAGAATATGGGATACCCCAGCTTGGCCATTGTATGTTCGGAATGGCGTTTGGAGGCAATTAATTGAGTCTGGAGCAGATTACTTGAACGTGGATGACTTGAAGGCTGCCACCGGTGAGTTATGGTGACCCAGCAGCTAAATAGAGAAAGATCACGGTCTGATAAGATGGCACCTTCGTGATAATCCAATTGCCGTGTTTTCACCATGTTCGACAAATCTACAATTCTTCTACCACTCTACAACTCTTTGCGAAGAAAAATGTTCCAATGATTCCAACTCCCATGACCCAATGACAAACTTGCCCTTTCTGTTTTCAGTGCTGTGTATTTTTCTAGCCTCTTTTCGTCTTTTTAACGTTTCTCTGTACTTTTGAACACCATCCTCGTATATTTAAACCGTGTTTTTACAGCAGTGTAAAGTTTTTCAGAACTTCATGAACTTGCTCGACTTGGACTTCTTGGCCCGCTGGTACGCAGTATGTCTGCTGGTCTTCCATCCAGAAGTCGACACTTTCTTTGCATCCACTTCCATCTCAACCTCAGCAGCCTCGGCAGGCTGTTCCTCAGTTTCAACAGTCTCCTTCACGGGCTCTTCGTAGCCTGGAATTGAGTGAACAAACTTGTTCGAGGTAGGAGCAGGCTCCTTACCGGCAGCACGCATTGCAATCCTTGCATTTCTCTCATCCACTTTCCTCTGTGGCTCTCCCTTTCTCTTGACGGCCTTAGCGGCAAGCTTGGACTTGGCTCTGATAGATTTAGCCATTGTGGTGTGGTGTGGTTTGGGTGTCTTAAAGAACTATCTCCCTTTACAATTTGCAGATATTTTTTTTAGCCAAAAAAATCTGCAATGAGGGTCGTGCACAAAAGAATCATGAGCCACACGTGTCAAACTGAAGTGCGCAACACAAATAGAGCAATGTTACATAATTAATTACATAATTCCATGCACGTGACCTAATACAGGGCTAGTTGAACCCTTTCTATAATCCTTGTGTTTCGCACTTCCTTTCTCAGCGTTTGACAAGAAATTGGGAAGTACACTCTGAGGGCCTAGCACTCTCCCATCGCCGCCCCCCTTGTAGAAAAAATTCTCAACTTTAACTCTTGAGACTCTTTGTTTCAAGACATCATCAGTTGACTATTAAGCAAAGATGTATGTGTTGAGTTATATTTCTGAACCATGAGGATACTTAGACTGAGGCTTGGTTGTTGGCGTTGATTAGTTAGAGTTATTCAGAGGTTATTCAAACTCCAGCTTCGCAACTGATTTGGTCAAACAAGAGACCTCCAGTTTTCCAGATGTCAACAAGGCTTCAACAATCGGAAGTGTTTCTCAAATTGACAACGAAACCGTGCCAACCTCATACCTGTATCCTGTCTTATGACCAATTACTAACTATTTATCAGGGCTAACTTACGTACTCAAAAGAGATTAGCAGCCAGCGTCATTGGTGTTGGTAAGAGAAAGGTTTGGTTGGACCCAAACGAGACCTCTGAGATCGCTCAGGCCAACTCTAGATCCGCCATCAGAAAGTTGTACAGAAATGGAACCATCTTGAAGAAGCAGGTCACCGTCCATTCCAGATCCCACGCTAGAGCCGTCGCTGAGTCCAGAAGAGGCGGTCGTCACATGGGTTACGGTAAGAGAAAGGGTACTGCCGAGGCTAGAATGCCATCTGCCGTTTTGTGGATGAGACGTCTCAGAGTCCTGAGAAGATTGCTCGCCAAGTACCGTGCCGCCGGAAAGATCGACAAGCACCTATACCACTCTCTGTACAAGAGTGCCAAGGGTAACACCTTCAAGCACAAGCGTGCCATCGTCGAACACATCATCCAGGCCAAGGCTGAGGCTTCCAGAGAGAAGGCCCTGAAGGACGAGGCTGACGCCAGAAGATTGAGAAACAAGGCTGCCCGTGAAAGAAGACAACAAAGAATCTTGGAGAAGAGAGAGGCCCTCTTGAAGGACGACGAGTAAGTTGATTCCTGGACGGTGGAGGCTCTTGAAGTTTTTGCCGTTTAGAGATTTATAGCCTGTTTAACTTTCCACATAATTCGTTCGGCGACCGTGAGGTTGTCGGAATGTCAATGAAAAACTGTAGCGTCAGGAGAATTGGATGCAGAAGCAATTTGACACCAAAGTTGATGAAATCGAGGAGTAAGTTGAGAATAATCGCAGCAACTTGGGGTTCAGCTAGATTTACTCTCATTTCCAGCATTTTTAGCCTGATATTAACGATAACAGTGATCATGATGGGTATTGAAAAAAGTCACCTGCAGGCTCGTCAGTTCGGGCACTCTTGCTATTCTAATTATCTCACGATCTCCCAAATTCTTCACCCTATTTGCCAAATTTAGTATGAAATTATAAAAGTGTTTTTTTGAGTTGTCCTGAATGGCAACTCAATAATTTCGATTTTGAAGGCTGCTCCTTATTGAGTGACGACTACCTCTCGTAGACCTAATATGCACCTCTGTAGGCTGCATTAACTGTCTATAAAACCAACATCTGGTCTCCAATCTCACCTCAAATGACTAGAATATCTGCTTTTTAAAGAAAAACTTATTTCTCAAACTCGATCTCTTGATCTCAAATGTAATATATAAAAATACAGGAGCGGCTCGGCTAAAAGGCCGTGTCGCCATGAAGGGCCTAGACTCTTCCAGCAGCCTCACCAACCACCACTTCAAAATCCTCATCTCACCTTTTTAGTCTCACCAGAAGTAATCCTCAAGCTTCCCAACTTCATCCTCAGACTTTATCTGAACCATGCATCCGCCAGCACCTGGCAAATCCCCGTCCGCAGCAAACTGCTGGACACCATGCATGATGGGTGTACCAGGCATGGATATTGTGGACGGCGTAATGGTTGGCAGTCCAGGATGTTGAAGATGTCCATGAGTTTGCGCTTGATGAAGAAATTCAATGGACTGCGTCTTAGGCTCCGACTTGAGGGAAACGGGTGATTTTTCACACAGGAACCTAGGAGGGTAGATGCGCCGCATGGTGGTGACGGGCTGCTGGGCATTGTCGAAAGGATCGACTCTGGAAAACTCCCATAGCAAAATTGCCCTCACCTTGTGGCGGTCAATATCACTAAGACTGAGGTTCACTCGCTTGATATCGCGTTTCATGTCGTGCGAATCCGCTATGAACACACACTGTTGAACGGTGATTCCACGAACAGCACTAGCCACCAACTGATCCAATGGCTGGACTGTTTCCCCGCGCCGAAGGGTTTCTTCGACCAGCGAACCAATTCCTTCAAACAGCGCATTCCAGTAGTCATTGGCCAAACGGATCTTGAATTCCACCTGGTTTCCGTCAAAGTGCGGGTCCAACTTCTCGAAAGTGGCCACCACCTGCCTTCCAAAGGAATACACTGTGGTATACACACACCAACATCTGTCTGAATCAGCAATTCCAGTCATCGATACATCAGAGGCCACAGAGTATTTGCCGCTAACGAGATCCTCGGAAAGAGGAGGCGCATTCAATGCCACCATTCCATGGATGATGGGAACAGGTGGAACATCTGGTCTCGATCCAGTCTTGCCAACGCAAGAGGAAATAGAGCCCACTAGCCCGTACAAGTCCGGGAATCGCTTGGTAATGTTAGCGTTCTCCTTGATTCGAAGAGGAGGGTCGAGGAAATCAGACTGTCTCAACATGGAGAACACATGGGAACGGGCTCCGTTCTGGTACGACATTTCAAACCCTAGAAGTAACATGTCTAAGTGGGAAAGATCAGGGTGGGATTCGGGCTGTGGCAAATATTCAGCAACAACACCAGAATCAACAGAGTCATCCTTTGGAGCAGCTTTAACCGGACTTTCCTGGATCATCTTGGCTGTCTGGACATTTCCCAAATCGTTACCAAGGGACTTTGCAAACGTGATTGAACTGAAAACATCATCAAAACGGCGAGCGGCACGTGTATTGCTTGGCCCGTTTTTGATTAGATCGATTATTTCGTCGTCCTTGTTCAGATTCTTGATGACTTGGATGTGGGATGAAACTTGTTTGCGCGTGCGCACCTTGCCTGTTTTGGTGCGAATAAAATCACTAATAAGCTCATTACGACCACAAGACCGACCGCTCACTTTGATTTTGTTAAGTCCTTTCTTGGGGATGATTCCAAGCGCCTCGACGAACGCATCCTGGACGTCCTGCGACCAGATCTGCTCAGCGTCTTCATCTCCGCCGTCCTCATCCTCACCAACTTCCAAAGCATCTTGAGAGTCTTCATGCTTCACCTTGATGCGTTTGGATTCATTTATCTGCATAGAGGAATCAACCGAACGTTTCCGCTGGATACTCTCGGGGCTCACGATCCCGGTGTCTGCAACAGTGCGCTGCGTGGGCGTCTGATTCAGTGCTTGGCCGTTTCTTGGGCCCAAGGCACTTATGTCGTGTACGGAGTATACCTGTTGTCCATTGGCATCCAACGATACATCCACTATGACCTGGGATCCCATACCGCGTAGTTCTGTCGATGGAGGGGTCAGATTGACGGGCTCTGGTGTGCTTGATCTCTCCATCATAGGAAGAGATAGACTAATGAATGAAAATGACCAATCAAGCTTGCTTCGGTAGAAATCACAGGCAAGTACTTGGAAATGCAAATAGGCCGCAAAACTGCAAAGGAGTGAAACAGTAGTTGGGATTTCAGCCTATTTGGCGATGCAAAATATGATCAAAGCGAGTTTTAACCGCTTTATCCAAAACCTGAAGAAAAGTTCAGGAACTGGCAGTCGCTCGGAAAATGGAGTCTCGAAGGCTGAAATAAACCTTCAGAATAGAAAAGAAAACCAAGGACAGTGCTGAAAGGAGTGATGGCTTGCTGTCGGGGCCTTCGCGCGCGCTTTTTCAGGTCTCCGCGGTTGTTTTTGGCAGATGATAAACTTGTGGAAGACGCACGGTATTCCAGGATAGAATGAACAATAACTTGGCTAGTGCAAAGGAGGACCAAGCTTGCGATCTTTGAACGGCGAAACGAAATCAGCAGAAGCGTGAACACAACACGCATTCACAACAATCACCGAAATGGGCTCCTTTTTCGCTCTTTTTCCATTCGGTTGCTCCGCCTCTCGCCGAAAGGGGAACCGGGATCGTGGCGCACCAGGGGTAAACAGGTGGCTGATGACGCACTTATGTAATGACTTTAACTGTTTTGGGAGTACACATACCTATTGTTGTGAACACGAGATTTAGTTTGAAACAAGACATTATAATTGTTATACAGACTATGCTTGTTTTTGGAGGATGCCTTTCTGGAAAAAGTACCAGTGCAACATCTTCTTCTCCTTCTTCTTCACCAATGAACCTTTTTTGCTGGCTTGAACTACTCTGAATCAGACTGCAGGTACTCGGCATAATCATCAGCAGAAGCGAACAAAGGCAATTCCTTCACCTTCTGTCTCTTCGACTTCTTATCATCGTCGGCGCGAGATCTCTTGTTGCTCTTTGGTTTCTCTGGCTCGGAATCCTCTTCCTCATCATCGTCAGATCCAAAGTCAATCTCTTCACTATCAAGCTCATCGTCAGAATCGCCCTTCATCAGCTCTTGGAGCTCGGCATCCGAATCTTCCGATCCCTCAGATACTTCAGCACCATCTTCTATATCGTCAGACAAATCTGCCTCATTAAGAGCATACAGGCCTTCTTCATTTTCATCATCTTCATCATCTTCATCTTCGTCACCAACAGAGATGTTTGCGAGTTCCTCGTCATCGTCATCATCATCACTCATCTCCATATCGCTCAAACCACTCACGTCATCTTCAGAAAAGTCCACTTCATCTTCGTCGTCTCCCTCAACGTCTGGGTTCGATTTAACAAGTGCCTGCCAGACCTGATCATCATCTAGGTCGGATCCCTCGTCGTCCTGTTGTGCCTTCTCGTTCACCTCACGATCAAACTTGGAACTAGCCATCTTGGACTGTTTGTTGGAAAAGTACTGGTGGAAAAACAAATCCTCTGGTTTCACATCCTCCACACGCTTGTGGATCCAGTCACGGGTGTTGACTGGCACACCATCCCCACCCATCGCCGAACGGTTAGAGGACTTCACCAGCAAAGCCCCAGTATGTGCACCTCCAAGCGGTTGCATGATGGAAGAGCCACGTGAAACTGGCTTCTGCTTTGCGTTACGGTAAACGAACTTATCTAGGAAATGGGCCAGAGTGTACAGTCCGAGATCGGGCTTGCCCATCTCAGTCGCGTCACCTTCGAGCAGTGAAGAGGCATAAAGAGCCACTGTTGGGTGGTAGTGGTTGAGGAAAAAATCATTCTCCCAAAGAGACGATTTTCCAGCATTGGCGAAACGCGGATCACGTTGTTTTGGGTCATAAGCGTCGGCAATGGATTCAGTTTTGACTGCAGTCTTGGTCTCGGATGATTCTCCGTCTTGCTCATCTCCTGATTCGGCCTCCTCATCCTTTTCATTAGGAGCGTTTAAAAACAAGTTCCTAATTTCAGGAATTGACTTCTCCAACTCAATTAACAGATATACCATACCAGCAACAGTACCAATATTCAGCCAATGGAGGCAGATCTGGCAGATACGCTTGACAAACGCGAAAACACGTGCCTTATCAGTATCCTCTTTGATAGACTTGAACAACAAATTCAGATATATTCCTTGTTTCGAAGAAGTCAGCAATCTTGTGTCCAACAAAGACTCATAAAGAGTCCTATAGTATCTGTCTCCACCAAGTCCTTTCTTGGATGTCACGCTATGGATCAGAATCAGAGCCTGGACCGAAGTGTTAAAGTTGGTCGAATGGGTGATCTTGAAAAGAGCCTCGAGATGTGACTCAAAAACATCGAGAGGCAAGTTCGAGAAGGGGAACGAACGGTTAAGACCAGTCAAAACTGCAGAAAATAGCTTGGAGTTCTTTTCCTCCGCAATCTCAACATCAGACTTATCACTCTTGACCGATTTCCCACCCTTCTTACCTTTCTTGGCGTTTCTTCTTTTCTTATCCTTGACCTCAGTTGCCTTGATCGTTGAAATGTTCTCTGGGTCAGTCTCCAGGAGGAGCTTCTCGAAGATGGAGAAATAGGCCCTGCACAATGAGTTGGCCAATTCCTCCTCACGCCTTGTGAGAATAGTCTGGTTGAGAGTCAAAACAGAATAGTACATCGCATGGTGCTCGTTTTTCTTTCTGAATAGAATGTCAATCACAGCATCAACAATGATCTTCTTCATGGCTGGATGCTGTTGTTCTAACTGCAGAACCTGGTACGATGTCTTGGATGAAACTTTGTTGTCAATATCACCAAGCTTGTTAACACCAAGTCTCAGCAAATTGGCTTCCTGTTCTGGCTTGGCCTTCAAAAGCTCAAAGATATATCCGACGGTCTTTGTTCTCACGTGGACAATGGTATCGTGCGACAAGATCTCCAGGATCGAAATCAACTTGAAAAATTCTTTCTTTAAAAAGTCTTCGAAGTAAAAGATCGCCAACTGTGTCTTGCTCAGGCTGTTGGACAATGGTTGGTTCTTGAAGTATCTCAGCTTGCGGTCAGGCAAAACTCCGTTCACCATTAAATCCACCACTGCAGTTATACTCTGTAGAGCAGCAGTCCTTGCCTTTTTCTCACACATACCAATCAGGTTTGCAATGGCCTTCGTGTTGTGAAGAGGCGCCTCTTGCACCAACAGTGTGAGGGCTGAAATTTTATCGTTCAGCGTACCACTTGTCAACACTTGCGACAAGAATCTCTTCTGAGAAGAAGATTTGGCAAACTCGCCCGCATAAACGTCGTTTTCTTCCTGGACAATCCTCTCCGCCTTTTTGTACAGAGAATCTATCTCGTGCTGAGTAAGTCTTTCGGCATCTGGTGCAGGTGGAAGTTCCACATTATACCAGTCGTTTCTAGCTGGAACCACAAGCTTATCTGTTATCACGTTCTGAAGTTCTGTGACTTTTCCGGATTTCTTTTTGAAATCTTCCTGCTGGGGTGGCTGTGATAATTTTTCTGGTTCTTCAGACTTGTCGGACTCCTGGACGGGATCCTCTTCGTCAGATTGCTGAACCTCAGCTTCTGACTCGATTTCTGGCTCAACCTCAGCCTCTTCCTCTTCTTCAACATCGGAAACAACGTCTGGAATTGTTCCATCCAATCCAAGTTCCTTCATAAACTTGCTGACATCACTTTGAAGACCATCTCCAGACTTTCCATCATCTTCGAACTCCTCCTCGCTCAAGTCATCATGGTCAGAGAGTCCGTTGAGAAGCTTCAAATCCTCTTCAGTGGCACCAAGTTCCAGAGCTTCACGACGAAGAACATCGTCCTGTTCTGTGAGGTTTGCTGCGGTTTTTGCCTGTGGCTTTGCAACAGGTTTGGATGACTTTTCGGCAGGTTTGGGGGCCTTCTGATTCGGGTTGGTCTGCTTCGCAGATGCGGCCTGCTTGCCTCCCTTAGCTTTGGGCTTTTCGCCAGTTAACTTGTTGGCAATCTTATCCCTCAAAGAAGAAAGATTAAGACTAGGCAACGACTCCATGTTCAAAACTGTTGTTTGGATCGAATATGGTTAACGTGAGGAGAGACTACTATACTGATATCTTTTTATGCAAGCTCAAAAAAAAAATATTTTGGGGCCGGGTAAATCTGTCAAATTTCACTCGGGTCATCAATTCCACAGAGTACTTAGCGAGCTAGGACAAAGTAAGTATGAAATTGGAAAACACAGCAATTGAAGCAGAAAATTGCGGCTGATTGAGAAATAGTAACTAGCTAAGTTAACTCTAAACTTTTACTCTGAGGTTGTCAACTTTTGGGTGATTTTGGATGGCTGCACAATTGATAGGATTATCGAAATTGTCAAACTTCTGTCAAAACCTGTAATGTTTTAGAAAGACAATTATTAGTGTAAGGTGATCTTTCGGTCACCTCTAAGCACCTGAATAATTAGGTGAGTACAACCATTTTTGGTTATTACGCTTTCTCTACATTCAACTATATGAAGGATACCATTCACTAGCTCATTTGAACAAACAATCCTCGGACCTCCCGTCCCAAATGCGGCTCTCAAGAATCAAGGTCGTGCACAGGTCCAGATGCAGACGCCGCTGCAAGAAGCAGAGTCATCTAGAGATTTTCACTTGATTACAGGTGATGCATCCACCAGGAAACCACAAAAATGGCAGATGATTTACTAGTGGCCGAGTCCAAAGTCACAGATGGACTCAAAGAGGTGTTATTTGGTTCGATAGCCGGAGCTGCCGGAAAGGTGGTGGAATTTCCTTTCGATACGGTTAAGGTGAGGCTGCAGTACTCACAGACGAGAGAAGTCCCTCTGTTCAATTCCGCCTTGGATTGCATCAGGAAGACCTACCATAGCGAGGGGTTCTTTAATGGATTCTACAAGGGCATTGCGAGCCCTGTATTTGGCGCTTCTTTGGAGATGTCGTGTCTGTTTTTGAGCTACAATGTTGCTCAAGACGCGTTCAAGAAGCACAGATCGGAGTCAACATTGTCAATTATAGATAAGACTGCGTGCGGAGCAATCAGTGGTATGGTAACAGCATTTATATTGACTCCGATTGAGCTGGTGAAATGCCAAATGCAGGTCCAGAATCTTCAGTCGACCGCAGAAATGGGAATTGGCAAAGTGATACGAAAGCTGCTTCAGGAAGACGGACTTTTGGGATTCTGGAGAGGCCATTCCACCACTTTGATTAGAGAGGCTGGTGGATCTGCGTTCTGGTTTGGGTCCTATGAGTACACACTGGAACTATTGAAACGAGTGGGTTCCAAGAAAGAGAGTTCAACCATGGACCAACTGGCAGCAGGGGCCATTGCTGGAGTCACCTACAATTTCTCGATATTCCCCGTGGACACTGTCAAATCGATTATTCAGACTCACGAGGGAACTTCTGAGTCAAACTCGATGGTATCAGTAACAAAATGGATATGGAAACATGGTGGTGTTAAGGGCTTCTACCAAGGTCTGGGCGTTGCTCTGTTGAAAGCAGTTCCTGCAAATGCGATTGTCTTTTTCGTGTACGAGAATCTGAAGAAGGAGTTTAACTAGGCAAAAGAAGGTAATGAGGAAACAGAGGACAATAGATAAAATTGGAACTGGCCATGACTGTAGGCAAAAGCCGCAAGTACCAGTTAGGACACGGATAGAGCGCATGCACAGCATAAAACTAATCTACGATTGATAAGTTGCATTAGAAACTAAAAAAGTAGACGGTAACGAAAAAAATATTAAGGGTTGAGTGTTTTTTCAGCCTATTGAGCTTCTTCCTCAAGACCAGCCATTGGAACCAACTTCTTCTTCCTGAACACCGATTTCACCAACTTGTCACTTGAAGTGACCAGCTCCTGTTTGAAGAAAAACAGGAATGCCGCAGCGGCAACGCTCTGAGTGAGTTTCACCGATAATCCCCTATAGAAACTGGCAATTCCTTCCTCTTTGAGCATGCTCCGAGCCAAATTGTAGGTAGCCTTCAGCTCGTTCTTCTCATCCGTCTCCGTACTCAAATGAAGCCTTGAGCGAAGAGTAATGTATGGATATGTTATGATGGTCGCAATGAGTTTCCCCAATGCACCTAGAATAAGCGCATCCAGAGCAGTAACTCTTCTCCTTCTCACCTTCAAAATCAGTGTCTTTAGCTGCTCGAAGACCGTGTATTGGATTATAGGATTTAGAACCAGTAACAAAGAAGGAACGACTCCATTGAACAGGCCCTTAACTCCCTCGGTTTTCACCAGATACACCAGGGCCTGCAAAGTGTTGAGCTTCTTGAGATCTTGCTGCTCTTTTGCTAGAACCGTCATCCGCGTATTCGTCACCCAAATAGGATTGGTCGCTACACGCGAAATCGAACCAGCAACAGCTCCCGCAGCAATGCTCTGGGTAACACTTAGACCCGAGTTCTGACGCGATCCGCGCCTGGAAAGCGTCTTGCCTGTGAGCTCGTAGAAGTAGTAGTACAGAAAGTTGGTGGCTGCGTTGCCAATAACCGCGCTTTCCAGACCATTGTAAAGTCCTTTGAGACCCTGTTGCTTCACGATTTTCTTCAAGACCTCCACGTTGGAAGGGACAGTGTTCGCTGAGTCAGATTGAAGGTTTTGGGGTCCAACCATCAAGCTCCACAGTCTTGTCCTAACACTTCTGGACCTTCCCATCTCCTCAGCAACCACAGACTCCGCATCCTCAGCCTTTGATTTTTGAGCCTGGGCCAAAGTTGTAAGCGTGACCAGTGGATAAGTCACCACTATCGATAGGATGCCGCCTCCAGCGCCGGCTAATGCATGGGCCAATTGATCGACGTCCGAGTCTGACATTTTTAGTATGAAAACAATATTAGCAAGCCTTAATTCCTAGGAATGACAACTGACGAGGGGTGGGTTATTCCAATATGGTTTTATATGGTTTACCCCGACTGGTAGCCATGCAAATAGCCTACACCGCGTACGCAAGAGGGTGATAAGATGCTCCAGCCACGAGTAGTGCGCAGCCAAATAGCAACATCCACCAGCCACATCACCAGCCACGGTCTTGAGAAGGTGAAGATGGGGATCAAAGAGGAGAGAAGAAGGTAAGGATCTGTGCCTGCTTCAACGTTCTCCTTTCTTTTGTTAATTCTTCCAATGAGTCACGGTTACGGAAATCTGCCTTCTCTGAAGGCGTTCTGGTAGGTATTTCCTCGGGCGTTTAGTTCTCAAAATCTGTTTTCACCTCTACTAACACTTCCCAGGAAACAGACACTGTTTCTCTCGTGTCTTGCTATAGGAACGGCTTATTTCGTCAAGTCCAAAGTTCATCTCAGAAGAAGACAGCAATACGTTGAAGAAAGCAAAGAAGAACTGCCAGTCGAGACGAGGCCCGGTTTCCCCACCACGCAGGGTGCTGCCAGTTCACGCAAGAGTGAGTACGAGGGCAGTGGTAGTTCGTATATGTCAAGGAAGTCAGGTGACAAGTTTAGTTGGGGCATATTCAAATAAAGAAGAACAAGAAGGCTACGTTTCGACGAATTTACAATCTAGGTCTTTGACCAGTTACCTGTATATATAATACATTTTGAATTACATTTTGGGATCAAACCATAGTTAAACACTCGAAAATAGAAACTTGCCATTTGCAATTATTTTTCACCACCAGCAAAGTAGTCGGCCATTTCCTGGTCCAACTCTTCGATGGTCTTCTTAGCCTTCTTCTTTGGAGCTGGCTTGGTCTTCTTAGCAGGCGTCTTCTTGACCGTAGCCTTTGCGGATGCAACAGCAACTGGTTTACCCTTTGTCTTTGGCTTTACCTTGGCCTTTCCTTTGGCAACCACAGGGGCAATCGAGTTTACAGTGATTCTTGACGACAATGGCTTCTTGGTTGGGTCAACGACCAGTTCCAATCTCAACTTGGACTTACCGCCATCAATTGGAGCTCCGTTAAACTTCTCCATGGCCTTGGATGCACTGGCAGGCTTGTGGAAGCTCACCGTGGCAATACCCTTGGAGATACCCTTCTCATTATAGGAAAGGTTGACGGACTTGACACCACCTACCTGGGATTGCAAAAATTCCTGCAATAGTTAGTATAACGTTTCTTCAAAACAGTCCAAACAAATGATCCCAAAATGAAGAAAAAAGATGTCTCTTGCGCCTTATCATACCCCTTCCAAATAACCCATGATTTTCCCTTAGCGCTCGAAACCATCCTGTTGTTCACCTCTCTCCTCTAAACTGCCATAATTCCTTAAATCTTTACGGATATCAGCCAACTTGCATATAACAGGGACCTTATCACAATTAAGAGACCACGAATTTCACGAATTTCAATTGTGCTTCCAGAGCTACGACCATTCCCCCATAAGTGAGTCGTTGAATTCGGAGCTGTCACTGGCATTTGACAGTGGTCTATGGTTCTGGTCCCCGGTCACTGGCTCTGGTAACCAGAAGCCGAGCTCGAATCTCGTTTGCAGGTATTATACGTAACATCTTAGTGATGTAATGACTCTGCCTGTGACCTCTATGCTGATTAATTCTGATATCCGTCTATGACTTCGGGTAGACAGTTTCTCTGTAAATGAAGTTCAGTTACTGTGAGTCTATGAGATCATATCTGATCAACTTCACTTGTTATCTGAAGCTCAAAAAACAGGCAGATTATTACGCTAGAAAGACCCTTAACGAATCAGTAACTCTAGATTTGAGGTAATTGTTATAGCCTAATTCCGCCGTTTCCTCAAATCTCGTTACCATTCATTGGATCAACCACACGTTGTCGTCTGTTTCAATTAGACCACAGCTCTGCATTGCTGTGCAATACCAGAGAAGGCTCTGATTGAGTCAGCGTGATAGTAACATCATCTTCAGATACATCTTCAGATGGAGTCAGACACACTGAAAGTTTGCATTCACTCAGAAACCTCAATAAAGAGTTCCTCGAGAAATCTCAACTAAGAGTTCCCCGGATCGAGTTTCAGACAAACATAGGGGGGATGGGATTGTATGAGGCACACGAGCAACCCAGGCACTGTTCTCCAGCTCAGAACTTTGACCATATAGCTCAAAATCTGTCTTGGAACTCGATGCCATCTCATTGGAAGCGTTTAAGAGTCCAGTGAGAATTCACCATGGGCATTGCGAGAAACACTGTTCTTCTTCACTCTGCTTCATCCACTTCATTCAACCTAAATAACACATACTCTCAAAGCATCCTGCTTGATGTCCTTTGGTAATCCGTAAACGATGACCTTCTCAGCAGCAGCAACATCCAGGACAGGGGCACGAGCCTTGGCTGGAGCAGCCTTAGCAGCCTTAGTAGGCTGTTTCTTGACAGGGGCCTTGGCCACTTTGCTGCCGACTGCCTTCTTCTTGTTGTCACGACGTGGCGCGGCCTTCTTAGAGGCTGAGATGATGTCGTCCAACGATTTCTCCAGAGCAGCAGACATGATTATTATGGTTTTGATTCGAAAGATTCGATGGAAAGATTCGATTGTTCAAAGGAGTAGAAAGAATGCAGGCATTCTCAGGAGCTCCTTGAACTCGTCGAGAAATCAAGGCCGGGTAACACTTTCCTAATGAGGTTAAATTGATAATGCCGCCTCATTTGGTGTGTTTTCAAGGTACACGCGTTGATAGTGAAATATAGCACATCCACATAAGGTTTTCAAGGGACGATTTCGAGAATTAGAAACTGACTTCACGCTAAAATAAACAAAGAGTTCCGTTTCATTTGGCATGACGGAGGAACGACCCGAGAGGCCTAGAGATGAGAAGAGCAGTGACCATATACACAGAAACATAGAACTGATTCTCACTCTGGAATTTGACAAGCACCATGGTGAGGTCATACGAAATCAACATCCTCTCGGCAAATTTGGCTTGTTGTCCGAGCAGATCCCCGGTCTGAATCTGATTCCTTCCCAATTGCACAAATCGTTGAACAGAGAGAACTGGACGATAAGTCCTATGTTCATCCAGAAAGATGGAAAACTGAGCTACAAGAAAGCTGACAAAAATTCGACTCTGTGCTATGCTTTGACACTTTCGGTTTTCCAGGAAGATGATTCCTACAGAAACGGTACTGCCAAAGGCATATGCTTGATCACCACGTTGCCATATTACAATGCCTTTAAGCCATTACTGACCATGCTTTCCCATAATGCACTTTTCGACGAGAAGTTCGAGGAATTCATTGCAGTCTACAAAAGCTTGAATGATGAGCCTTTTGACCGTCTCAATGACTATTTTAGAACGTTATCCAAAGGTAAGAGATTGCCGTTGCTGAAGATGATTGAATATGAAGAGGAAGAAATAGCCAACGGAAAAGAATCACAGAAAACGCTCAAGTCCCACCTGTTTTCCCAGAATAAAGCCTTGTTTGAAAAACTCAGCTATAATAGCTCTAGCAAAACTTTCAAGTTCACAGTGTCGCTATCGGGAATGCCCTTTCCAATAATGATTCCACTAACCTCATTGATAGCGTCCCCATTTGCACAATTTGGTTATGATCTCGAACAAGACCAAATATTGAGATCCTTCATGATACACACTCAGCATATTAAAGTTGTGAAGTCAACAGACGAAGTTACGAGTAGTTCTGTGGTCGCTCCTAATGGTCTACAGCAAACTCCTGTCATTCTAATGCTCATATATGCCGTCCTTTTGAAACAGAGAGTCATGATTTTTGCATATGATACACCCATAAACGACCTCGTGGAGTTTGTTTTATCTCTGGTTATTTTAACTGCCACTGACGAATCTACTGGCTTGGACCATTGCTATCCATACATGGATCTCTCGCAAGCAGAGTTGCTAGAGGGGCTAAAAAAATATATAGTGGGAACGTCTAATCCAATGGTGACGTCGAAGAAAGATGGAAAATATCCTTGGGACTTGCTTTATGACATGGACAAAATGGAAATTACTTTAAATTCCGAAACGAGCCGTCCTTCTCACAGACCCACCAAGAAAAAGCCACACAGATCTGACCCCCCTAAGTTCTTCAGAAAAACTTCTAACTTCTTCCGAAAAGTTAAAAATGGCAACACAGAACTGAACAAGCCATCTGTATCGGATTTGAATGACGATATAAGAAGCATTTCCACGATGACAATCTCCACGGAGAGTTCCCACCTCACAGAATCAACGGCTGACCCTCCATCTTGCAAGCACGAGGTAATTAGCGAATATTGCAAATCACAGCATCAGAAAAGGGAGAGCAGCAAGTTAGCAACGACCTCCAAACTGTCGTCGTTCTTTTCTTTCGGGTTCCAGAACGATTTGTCAATGGACTCGCTTGATCTGGCCGGTGATGAAGATGAAAAATTCAGTCCAAGGGACTCGAACTTCTTGAAAACTCTTGAAACTCTGGTTATTGAGAAGCATGACGATATTTCTATATACATGGCAGTCCAGAATCATCTTTTTCAACTCAACAGGGCCGTGTTGCCTGCTTTGGAGATCTCTAAAAGCAATTCCATATTGGAGCTTTTCAGGAAGTTTGCAAACTCGAAGATAGCCAGTTCACCTGAGGCCTGGAAATCCACAGACGTTAAGGAAGAACTCGCAAGGTATATTCAGAAACAAAAAATTGTGCAAATGCTGCCTTTGGGACTCGAAACTAGATACGAAATCACTAATGGTCCACTTGCAATCGAAGACTTCTCGATCATGAGTTTGAACCACATGCTGGATTATTACATGAATTTGAGCAAAGGCGAGCTGGTAGGAAAATATAGAATTCTGGAAGCATTTCCAAAGCAAAGCATTCTAAAGACGGAGAGAATTGATTGTCTCCTTGGGTTCAAGAGTTTCGTCTATTTCATCGACATCACTTACCTCCTCAGCTGTTTTTCCAAGTTGACTGTGGAGGGTTATTCAGACGCATTCTTGTCAAGACAAGTTACATGTCTCTTTAAGTATCTTAACGAGTTTTTGAGTGGGGATTCAATAAACGATGAATCCAGGTTAGATGAGTTCATGAGTTGCATTGTCCAATTTGAAACCACCCAGAGCATGTTCACCACGTTGGAGAACATCGTTTGGGTTGGAATGTACTTCAGAGAGAAAAACAGCAGCGTGGATGTGGAGTTTTCTCGATTCTTAAAGAGATTTCACAAGAACAATCTGGTGAGTTCTTGGTTCTGGGAGAACCTCAGCGTTTATCTGAAGGAATCATTGCAGTGATGATTACGGCCTCATAATGAAGGTCTGGAAATCCCAGTTGAAATTTTTTCGATCCTGATATTTTAAAAGAAAATTGCGCGAAGCGATGAATGACTGGTTATATGATTGTTGAATAATTTATTAAACTTTAGATTTACTGTTAGCAGTCATCTTGATAAATCTCCAAGGGCAATCCATCTTATCCATGATTACCTCCACCATATTGATCTTGCCAGACTGGATACTGTTCAGAGCTAAGCTTAGGTCCTTCTGGCTTTTAACCTTTACACTGGAACTTTTGGTCTCGGTATAGTCACCAAAAACTCTGAATAGATCACACCATTGCCAATGGGGAACGATATCGTTATAGGTCCTCTCTGGACCCTTGATGATCCTCTCCACCGTGTAACCTGAGTTATTGAGCAGGAGAACTGTAGGAGAGATACCTTCTTGAATATAGTTTCCAAATTCCTGGATGGTCATCTGGGCTGCCCCGTCACCTTCTACTAGAATGAGCCTGGACTCAAAACCCATGTCCTGAAGCGCTTTCCCCACGCCGAGCGTGGCAGGAAGGGCATAACCAATAGACAGATAGAACTGTTGGCCAATGTACTTCACTCCCTGCGGAAATACCAGATCTGGAATAGCAAACATGAACGAACCTGTGTCACAAACCAGAACATCATTTGGTCTCAAAAATTCTTGGAGAGAGTAGAACAAATCTGTCTGGGAAACGTGAGGTGTCGGAACAGGCGTTGGATGATTCATAAGGATTTTGTCAATTGGCCAGTTATCCGTAATGGTTTCTGGAATTTTAGCCTTTTCCAGTAGCGCTAGCATTGCGGGCAATACATAAACAAAGTTCACATCAGTGAAAATTTCTGAACAGACTCTGATCCGTTCATGGTTGAGTGTGATGATCTCGTTGAGGCCACTGTGGATGCTATCATGACCAGAATTGATCTCGTTGTCGTAATCGCCTATATGAATAAGTAAATCAGACGAATCGATCCAGTCAATAATAGCTTGATTAGACTCATTACCGTTGTAACTTCCGACGTAAGAATTCTCGGTTTCGTCAAGAATACCTTTGCCCATCATAGAAGCGAAGTTGGGGATCTGTGTGGATTTGACGAACTCTCTCACCGTCTCAGTCATATCGAAGCGGTCGGTGAAAACGTCTGCTAGAATACACGGATTTGATGAATGATAAATCTTATCCAGAATAAGAGTAGCAATTTTGAGAGTTTGACTGGGATTTGGATCAATGGGTCTTTCATAGAACATTTCACCAGGTGTGGTCAGTAATGAGGTGGAATCAACCAGACTGTCCGCAAGATCAATTGGCACAAAGAGGTACCCCGGTCTCTTGTGGTATAAGATCTCGGAAAGCACATGATCAATTTTCTGGTATGCCTCGTCTGCGTGTGTTATAGTCTCAGCGCAACATGAGACAGCCCCAACCATATTCTCGTAGGAGTAATGATCAGCTGCATGCAAAACACTCTTATCGGTAACCAGATGATGGGTGAATCTTCCGTCAGCTTTGAATATGGTAGGCGTGGTCCCCACAATATGAAGCACTGGAACGTACTCTGCAAATGCACCCGAAATTCCATTGATAGCAGACAGTTCACCTACACCAAAGGTGGTGACAACCACACCCAACTTCCCAGACATACGGGCGTACCCGTCAGCCGAGTAAGCAGAGTTCAGCTCATTACAGCACCCAACCCATTTCAAGCCCTGAACGGAGTACAAATGTTCCAGTAGACCAAGATTGAAGTCTCCTGGTACTCCGAATATAGAGCCGATTCCAAGACTACGGATTCTGCGAAAGAGGTACTCCCCCAGAGGGAGCTGGTCGTCTGAGGATGAGAAGGCAACAGGAGACATGATAAGGCCAAAAACAAAGCCAAAAACAAAATGGACTACGACCAAAAAATAATATAAACTTAAATAAGCCAGGAAGCATACTGCTCTTTATAGTTGCTTCCAATAACCAGATCACACTATCTGGGCCTAGCTGAGATGCCTTCGATAACCGAACACTCGCATGACGCGATGCGCAAGTGTGCGTCGGCGATGAAGCTCGGTTGGAAACGGGAGAGGACCGAGACTCCAATCGGGCCGTGCGGATACAATTTCGGTATAAGGGAAAGAATCGTGCAACAATAATAATCTTGCAACCAATTTGGAATATCTATAGGGTCCAGACTTTAACTAGTGGCATAGTTTGTGGTGCAGATGGTGGTGACTAGACGGTGGCTCCAACGGTCGGAGACCGTAACAAAGTGATTGGCTAACAGGTTTGCCAAAAACTAGCGTATTTTATGTGAAAGTCAAAAATAGAAACCAAGTTTCGTTGGGCAAGGAATTTTTCATGGATCAAATGTTCACGTCTTAGCGAGGAGGAGAAGGAAGCTGGGTCTATCCCAATCTTTGCTCTTCCCTGCGTATCAACCCCACAGTGCCTGTCAATGGACCCACTCTCACACTCCCGCATCTTTCTCAACCCGACGATAATTGCAGCGAGAAAGTCTCAGAGAATCATGCATATGCCCCAATTCCCTACTCAAAAACTCAATCACAGCTTGGTTGTCTTCCCCAGATCTCAGAGTCAAAAAGATAGTCAGAAGAGTGCCCCAACCAAAACTGCAATCCAGGATTGACTGAAACACGCAGAAACTTTTTCTTTTGTGCAAGTCTCTATATTGGAGTATCTCTCTTTAAAAAAATTCCTTTACCACGCAACACGCCTGAAGAAACTTGATCGCCTTTCCAAAATACCATATTATCTGTTTTGAGTCAGATGTCACGCGTAAAGATCAATTCAAAGAGCCATTCGCCTTCAGGGAGCCAACCTCCCTCGCCTATACAGAGGAGCTCCTCTTCAACATGGAACAACTTCACCCAATGGCAGCACAACCTAAAGCACACCATCAAGATCATACTGTCGACGATATATCTGTTTCTTATAATACTGACGATACCGTTATCGTTTGAGATTGGTGGAGTCAATTGCGGATTGAGTTTCTCGATAACCATCCTGCTACTATACTTTGTGCTGACGACGCTTAGAGTGCTGAAATACCACAGGATTATTTCCACCTTCTTATACTATTCACAACATGTACTGTTGCCCTCAATACTATTCTTGTTCCTGACGGTGTTTCAGAGCAGTGACAAGACTAGAGAAGAGATTGAGACGGATACTATCTACAAGCAGATATGGTGGAACGTGATAATCAAGATATGGAGGATTTTCCTGATCAATTCCACTCCGTTATTCACGATTCTGGAAGGATTTTGCTCGCTATTATCAATCCAGATTGTTGGACAAATATCTACGTGGCTGATCAAGAAAAGGTCCGATTCGTGGAGTATCGTCAGTTTGATCACCTCCTCGTGCATCATCACCACGGCTCTGTACTTTCTGGCCAGAATCTACTTCACACCTATAGACTTGACTAACGTGGGCTTCATTTCCGCCTCGCTACTGGGATCTGTGTTTACGTGTACCGCTTTTATTGGAGTTTATGCCATATATACTGGCAAAGCATCCACGTTGGAATGTTCATTGATGATGGCCTACATCGTGAAATGCTCTTACGAGCTATTCCCAGAATTGTCCGAGAGAAACCTGGATGGACTTATGAAATTCGTGATGGATGAGTTCAAGAAGATAAATGACCAGGCAAATGACTTGAACCAGGAGTTCCTCAAGAGCGTTGGACAAACTTTTGAGAACCTTGGTGACCAGAGAAGACAGAACTATCTTATCGCTAAAATCACCAGGTCGGAGAGTTTTCAAGAATTAGCAAACAAGATTTGGGAGTTGTTCTTTCAGCTGAAAGAGATTGCCATCAACGTTGTTTTCAAGTTCGTCACGGAAAATTTCCCAAGGTCTTTCGAAAGCCTGTGGGACTTCTTGAAGCTGGCCACTGCCAATATCACCCTCCCAATCATCCTTACGCTGGCATATAGAATCGCTGTCTTTTTTGCAGCAACCAAGATCATACCCATTCTCTCGTCGACGCCGGCCTCGCAACAGCAACAGCAACAGCAACAGCAACAATCCACCACGCTGAGGTTGATCTACCTCTACTCCCCATGTATTATTATCGCCGTCTACACGAACCTGATGTTTCAATACCAGGCAGAGACCAACACTCAGATTGGCCAGGACGATCATTTCTACAACTGGCTTAACCTGAAGGTTCATTCTGTCTTGAATATCCAGCCATGGCAGTTCTGGAACTGGATCAATATGTTCGTCACCTTGGCTCTGTACTCGCTCGAGCTGGTGAACCACAATTACGACGAAAGTTCCCTGGTCAATCACTGGAACTAGGAGCTGACTTATTTATTCGTATTTGCTTGTATCAATATGTTTTTTTGGAGTTTTTGAATTTTAATATTTTGACTTTTACGGTCTGTAATTCTAGTAGAACACAGGGCTTTGGTCTTTCTCTTCTGCTTCCGGGGTTTCCATTTCCAAAAGTCAGAACATTTTTAAAACAAGTTATCTTCGTAGTTTCTTTGAAACTCAGAGCTTGACTCTATTTTGTTTGAATCTCATCATAAAATTGGAAATGGGAACACCACAAGTTAAGAGAAGACGTTCAAATGACGCTCAAGAGACATTCTTGGCCCACCATTTGAACGAATACACTACGCTCCTTTTAAGATTTGGCACCTTCGACAGTGCAAGTTTCGCCTAATAGACAAACAACAAACCTGGTGAAAAAAGAGTTGGACAACACCATGAGTTGAGAGTGAGCCTCATCGAGTTAATCGAGGTTCCCTTTATAGACCGAGAGATCCAAAAGGCAACCAACCGATCAGATTGCATGACTATATTGCTATGGCCCCAAGGAACCATAAACTGCTGAAAAATTCCCAGGGAATGAACCCGGAGAACTTCACCGAGCCTAGAAGACTCGGGAAAACAAAGCCACTGGTAAGAAGACACCATACTGCAAAATCAAATCTTCAACTTCTTCCACCGAGCAGTCCAGACCACACCCATACAAGTCTCAATAGGAGAAGAGGCGGTTTGTAAACCCGATTAAATTGAAGAAGTTGTTTGGCAAGAAGCGACGATTACAGATGGTTGGTCTCTCTCGCCAATAGTAAGCACCGTGTATTCGGCACTGGACGTTTCCGCCTCTTGTATTAGCCGAGGACTTTCCCCAAGACAAGTTACGAATGAGATACAGGAACTCATTCCTTTTGTTTGTCTCGATTCACAATTCTTCAGTCATGGTGCGCGAAGAAGAAAGAAAACAAGACGAGTGCAAAAAACATCCAGACGTTGGAAAAATTCAAATTTCTCTATATTGATGAGTACACGAACCAGGCTAATGTAGACAGGGTAACGCTTGATAACCCACAAGGATTCCTATCTGTGGACCAGAACCTGCTTCTGTCAGCATCTTCATACCTAGCGTTATTGCATCTGGTTAATTTCTTTGAAGGATTTTTTTGGTTGGGCTTTGAAGATTTTGATGCAGTTGATAACCGAGGAATAATAAAGCCAGAATGAGTGCCAGCTATTGGTGTTCGTCGCAGAGACAGAAATGGCAGTACACGAGAGACCAATTGACCAGAATAAGGGCCGATTTGGGTGACAATTGCAATGTGCACAATAGGATCTTCTTGCATTCTTGTGAGTCTTTGTCTTTTTTGACGAGAGGAGAGTTCTACTTACTAACTTTATCAGTAATCGTGAAACTAGGAGGAAAACTTAACCTGCGTCAAGTAATACTGTCTACGGCAGAAGTGTTCCTGAACAGGTTTTTAACGCGCGCAACTCTAAAAGAGGTCAACGCTTATCTTCTGGTGACCACATGCATATATCTGGGTTGTAAGATCGAGGAGAGTCCTGTCCACATAAGGAACATCGTGAACGAGTCAAGAAATGCATGGCCAGAGTTCATACCGTCTGACCCCACCAAGCTCGCCGAGTTCGAGTTCTACTTGATAGAGGAGATGGACTGCTATATGGTGATACACCATCCTTACAACTCGCTAGTACAAATAGTCCAAGTTTTGAAGACTGGAGACTTCAAAGTGGGCATCACCAGTGATGAACAAAAGATAGCCTGGTCCATAGTCAATGACTCCTACATAACTGACCTGCCTTTGCTTTTTCCTCCGCATATCACCGCCATTGCCGCGGTATACATGGCCTGCATTCTCATGGATGATAATATCTACAAGAACCAACGCGTTAACAGTTTCATCAAGTTTCTGGCTGTTTCAAATGTGGATTTGGACGAGGTTATTGAGGCCGTCCAGGAAATGCTCACATTGTATGAGAACTGGAACGGTTATGATGAGATCAGCATACGAAACTCGCTGAACTTCCGAATTCTGTCGCTGAATAATGCATAAATGGAACAAGTGTCCCTATCATTATATGAAATATAAAACAATGGTATCATAAAATACAGGTTTATTGTTTTACCCTCAATACTATTACTAACAATAAACCAGATCTGTACAAAGATCCAGGGTTTCGAGGCTGTGCTTGGCCTAATGTTAGTCGTGCGTCAAAAGATTGTCTGAACGGCCAAAAAATTTCGATTACGTGTTTCGGTAATCAATGCACTCTCGAGGAGTGGAAAATCGCACTGCTACAGGCAAACGCAGTCTAAACTTCATTGAGGGTAAAGGCTGGTTTACAAATGAGTCAAGACGAAAAAATGGGCCTGAGACATCGCAGCAAAGAGTCGTCGCCGTTGGCGAAAAAGGTGGTGCCATCTGGCAAGGGCCTCGAGGACAAGACATCGAAAATCAAGCACAAATATTCCCTGGAGCAAACCCAAATTGCAATTTGCCTGCCTATTATGATTGGGCTATGGATTTTGGGCCAAAAATTCACGTGGATCAGCAAATCTTTCCACTTACAGTATCAAATCGGCGAAGGCGTGTATGAGGTTGGCTCAGAGGACCTGTATTTCGTGTTGCTATGGGTGGTGATCCACACTTTTATCAGAGCAGCCGTCATGGACCTAATCCTCGGAAATCTGGCTTCCTGGGCTAACATTCACAACGCAAAGGGCGTCCAAAGGTTTAAAGAGCAAGGCTGGTCTTTGATATATGGCTTGGTGTCGTTTGCATCGGGACTATACCTATACGCGAACTCAGACTACTTCCTTAATTGCGACGCACTCTACTTGGGATGGCCACAGGATCACCTTCCATTTCTGTTTAAGAACTACTACCTGATCCAGATGGGTTTCTGGATCCATCAGATTGTGGTGTTGCACATCGAGGAGAGGAGGAAAGACTACTACCAGATGTACTCGCATCACATCATCACGTGTGCTTTGATGTTTGCGTCATACTATCTCTACTTCCAAAGAGTGGGCAATGTAATCCTGGTGATCATGGACGTTGTGGATATTTTCCTGTCGCTTGCGAAGATGCTCAAGTATTGCGGGTTCACCAACGTGTGCGATTATGTTTTTGGCCTCTTCATGACGGCATGGATCATACTCAGACACATCGTTTACAACTACATCGTCTGGCATGCCTGGGCTAAGGCCAAGATACTTCTTGGTGACACATGCGAGGATCTCGCAAGACAAAACATAAAAAAGAGGATGTGTTACCACGGCTGGGAAATTGACTGCTTCGTGGGACTGTTGGCCGGACTGCAGGTGCTGTTTATCATTTGGATGTATCTCATTGCAAGGGTTGCCTATAAGGTGATGTCAGGCAAGGGTGCAGACGATGTTAGAAGCGATGACGAAGAATAGGGTGAATTTGATAGAAGGGTGACTAATTATCATCAGAAGATTTCAGTCAGGTGTCCATGATAATTCTATTGCGTTGGGCATATTTTATGTAGATACTCAGATGAACAGACTGGCATAAAGGCATATAAACATCGAAATAATTCCCCATACAGTCAACACTAGACTGAGGGTTCTAAGCTTAGAGCTCTTGAATATGCGTGCGTCATACTCTGGGTAATTGTCCTCGAGGGCCTTCACCAGAACAGGATCTGTGGAGTTGATAAGCTTGTAACCAAAAAGACCCGGTAAAATAAACGAAATGGCCGTAGAACCGGTTGCTCCCACAAGTGACAGGATCAGCTCGAAAGATTTCAAGGATATCGCAATCACGTAGGATGCAATGAGTATGGCTGTGGTCAGGATCAAGAACCTTTTTTCTCCAAGTGGGTTAGTTGCAGTCCCGGGCAACAGGGGAACCGCTTCGTCCGAGGCAGTTTTCCATTTTGTCTCAACCCAATAAGCAATGTTGTTAATGGAAATTCTGCACGGATGGAACATGAGGGGGAAGGAGATCAACACCATGAGCACCAGAAGCAGTTTGGCAAACCAGACGGCTCGGGTGTTCTCGTACATCAAAATAATGTTGCCAGTAATGGCATCTCCAAAGGGGAAATAACCCATCAGCCCCACACTCACGAACAAAGCCATGGCAACAGAAATAGAGGCGATGATGATTTTGTGGAGCCTGTATAGCGTGGGGGACTCCAACTCGTTGATGATGGAGTACATGTTTTGGTGACCAGTAAAGGCAAAAACAATGATGGAAAAGGTTGAAAAAATAGCCTTAAACCCTTCTGGACGCCATAAGCTGATATTTCCTCGGTTAGGAACATTTTGAAACCCAGACGGCAAACCAATGAAGAAGTACAGATACACGATAAACACGATGTAGCCAATCGCAACTAGAGCCACCACTGAAGCATATTTGAGAGAGTCAAGTCTTCTCAAATAACACAATGGAAGAACGATAACCAAACTTAGTAATATCCAAAATACCCGGGCCTGACCGTGTGTGAAACTATCGATCTCAACTATGGAGGGCATCAGGTCTCCTGTAAGTACTATGTATGACAACCCCACCCCAAAGCATTGAATGGCAATTGCAATGTCAAAAACCACGGAAAGTTGAGGATAAGTAATGGAGCATACTGTGAAGAAGTTCGATCCTCCTCTGGGCAAAAACTTCGAGCTAAGCACCTGAAGAACAAGACCCAGCCCGGAGGCTATTCCTGACAAGATCACTATCAGGACTCCCAACACCACTCCGTCTGTTCTGATGGCATATGGTATGGCTAATAGTCCAGCACCGATGATTGTGTTGAGGAGATTGACAACTGAAGAGTTGACAGAGGCACCAATCATTTTGCACAAAGACGTAATGAAAATTTGAATTGCCTCAAATCTTCCTGAACTCTTTGAATAGTCCACATATGCGAAATGGCTATCCATCGATTAGCAATGGGCTGGTGGTGGTCACGTGATGCAGATAACACCAGCATGAATGCATGCAAGCCATCTTATCCCGCTTGCATTGTTATTTTACCCTAGTGCAAATAACTTCACAGCCCACAAGAAAAACCATTGGAATCTAATTGCTACAGATCAACAACAACTGCACAGGATCTATTGAGCATAGTTGAACATTGCCTGGTCATTATGAGGGGAGTACTCACCAAGAAGCGTAGACGGATCGTGTCCAACGAAAACAGAAAGCGTGCGCTCTTCAGCTGCGATCGTTGTAAGAAACGCAAGACCGCCTGCAAAAGGCTTCATTCTGACAACCTTAGATATGACCATACTACTCCGTGCATTCAATGCTCTAGAAAAGGTCTGGAGTGTACAACCACGATACCCAGGAAGAAGAGGTTTGTGGGACCCGTGGAAAATGTCGGATTGCACTACAAATGTCTGACGAGTCTGCTCGCTGGATTATTTCCGGAAAGGGATATCTACAATCTTGAACATCTTGTTGAACTGGGGAAATCTTTCAAAATTGACATGCCTGATTTGGACGCTGAACAGGAGGAGGAGGAGGACGAAAACCAGAGTGACGAGGACTCCGATACTGGCGAGAATGGAAACAACCACACCGATCTGAAGCAGTCACTCTCTCACTCGATTCACAGAGATATAACTGTGGAAACGGTAAAACTGGAATCAAAGGTCGAAGAGACACCTGTTGAGCGGAGCGACAAACGGATAGATAGTGAGACATTGATCGTGGATAAAGGAGGAAATGTTCATTATATCGGTTCGACAGGTACCGTTGCTTTGTTGAAGTCGCTTTGCGATATTATCCTGCGAAAATCTTTCAACCTCAAACCGTCACAACCGTTGAGGGAGCTGAGAGACTCCAGACTGGAGACTATCACCAGCTCTCACAATGTTGGAGAGACCAATATGCCTTCATATCTCGCTGGTATGGATCTCACAGATCTTAAACGTCTTCCCATGTCGAACCTATTACCTAGGGAGCAGGCCGATGCCTTGGTTGATGTATTTTTCAAACACGTTCATCCCATGTATTTCGTGTTCATCGAAGCAAAATTCAAAGAAAAGTACGAGCTTTTCTGGTCTGAATTAGATTCTTACGATGAAACGTTCAAGAGCTCTCCAGAATCAAGATTGTCATCTGATTCTGGCGTGGTGACTACTTCGTCTCCTTCTCCCGCAAAAAAGCTGAGTCATACAGAAATTGGATGTATCTATATGGTATGGATCCTGGCGAATAGATACAACTACACGAAGCCTTATTCGAGAACAGACTCTTCTCAATTGGATGACTCTACAGTTGCAAAACTCATAGACATTATCAAGCTCACGTTGCCGGACATCGTGTTGACCCCGTCTGTCAATGGAATCAGATTGGTGTACTTGCTATCCGTTTTCCTTGCCAGCACCAAGGTGCGTGAGAGTGCCTGGATTCTGGTGGAGTTGGCGATCACTCAGGTGCGAAGTCTCGGATTGCACCGTACTAGTTTGCACGTGCAATGCAGTCCAACAATGGCAGAAGAAAGACAACGTCTTTTCTGGGCGCTGATAAAAACCAGGGTATTCTCCAGTTCCTCCTTTGGAAGAGTCCCTGGACTGAACGGCGAAGAAATGGACGTGGATATACCCACTCTGAGTGATCTAAAACCAGACGATCCGTTCAAGGTCTATTACAAACACAACCTGGAACTGTCCAAAATCATGTATGATATCATGATCACGAGAATAAGACTGAACTTGAAGTCAGATCCATTTTCTTTCTCAAACACAGAGCGTACGCTTTTGGTGAAGAAAAGACTTGATGCCTTTTGGCAGACTTTGTCACCAGACTGGCAAGACCCATACAGTCATCCGATTAGCATGTACAAGATCAAGATCAATGTATTCTACCAATACTACCATATCTGTCTGACATTGCCTTTCTATTTCCACTTCGCCAATAACAGCAGTCACCGCATTTCCAAGGGCGATCCAACCATGACTGTTCTAATCACTGGAATTGAATCAGCCTTCAAAATAGCAGAATTGACTACGCTCAATGATGAACAAGGTTTCTTCAACGGAACCCTTTCTAGTGATGTCTTCTTTGCATACAATGCAGTTCTGGTTCTTGCGCTTACCTACATTTTATTTAAAACAAACGGAAGTGCCAGCGAAAGTCTCATTGATTTCACCTATCTGGATACGGCTCATGGCATCAACCTCGCAAGTTTGCTGAATGCCCTAAATCTGGTCAGGAGAATGATTTTCAAGAATAGCTACCGCCTAAACGGTACTGCTGAGACTATCAGTGAGGTAATAGAAACAATTCTACAAGATCTGGGTATCGTTGATATTCTTATCCAGGAGTTTGGCGCCCCTGCGACAATCAATTTAGGAGACAAGTCCAGCAAGCAGCATGTTGAGTCTTTGCCAAAGCATCTTCCCTTGGACAATGACTTGAACCAGGACTATCCCGTTCCTGAGGGATTTCCGACAACGCATATTCTGTCAGAAATGCCGAACATTAATGCCCCCGCCATTGAAAATGCAATGATGAATCACAACGCCTCGTTACCCCAGGATTTTGTCGATGGCCAATTCATAGACATGTTGCTCGGCGATCTTTTCGGGAGTACAGGATCAATGGAGGCAGGAGACTTTGCATCAGATCCCTCGCTTTCATACTGGCAGCCATTATCGAGGTTGTTTTGAGCACTCTATAGGTATGGTCTTTTTGCAAGGTGCAATTGCGTCCCTCGTGCTTATCTGCAGGCCTTGAGCGTCATCGGGCCCTGATCTGCAGGGTAGCGAGCTGAACCTAATAAAACGTTACATATTGATCCAGTTGTTGGATTTTGATTTTCAAGACCAATTTCGAAATACTGTTTTCTTTGAATATATGTTTCCGCTTCCTAAATCAAAACTATCTTAGTATCCCTACAGTGAAATTTGCAAACTGAGTCGCGCGCTACTGATAATGCGGCCGGATGCATTAGATAAGGTGAAGTGATTTTTCAGGATACCAGTTCCTTTCAACTGCTTTTCTCTACACTTCTGAACTCTATCTCAAGATGAATATCCCGGAGTCAACATACCACAGCAATAGCTCCATGATACTGGACTCTCTGGATGCGGGTTTGATTGCACATATCTGTCGGTATCTTTCGGAGAGAGATATGCGAAGTTTCCTGCAGAGTCTCAGCAGTGGAGTGGAGCGACTTTTCAGCTCACCAAATTACTCAAAGTATCTCTTTTTGAGCAAATATGCACCTAAAGAGTTGATGTATGACCCAAGCGATACTACCGTGGGTAAGATGTTTGACCAGGTATGGACAAAGTCCATGAGGGATAACTGGATATTGGGCCAGACTATCACCTATGACACCCGGTCTTATTCTAATTACGTTGGAGCATGTGGGGTTCTTGAAACTGACGAGATTTCACACATGCATGACTGTTACTGGTTTCCTTCCATGCTCAAAGTGACTTTTCAGAAATATGGCGATGGACCTCTGTTTCTGAATCCCAATGGTGAACTCCTAATAGCAGTCAAAGAAGACGCTTTTTCGCTATTCCTCAAACTAGGAGTGAACGGGTGGAGGGTGCACCATGAAAATGGAGATAATAACAACGAATTTCTTATTTTTCCGACGATACCGCTCGTGCCAAGGCCGTTGGTACAGGATGTCAACTTCTTCCCGATAGAAAGCCCGAACGACTCAGCAATGATGATAATATTTCTAAAGCACTCAGTTCCAGGTGAGCGCTTTGTGGACGTATGTACAAGAAAAGGCTACTTTATTGCTTTAGATTCTAGAGGGGAGATGTGGGTAAATGCCTACGATAGCTTGCTTGCTCCATTGGTGCGGCTCAGGTATGATTTTGCTATTTCTTCCTGCATGCCTTTGAAGACGGATACACAAATTTCCAAAGTCACATCGATAGCCATGGGAAGTACATTTATATACTGCGTGGCCGTTGAGAATAAAGGATTTTTGTTCTTTCGTAATGGGCTCAAGCTGCATCACGAAACTTTCATCCCCAATCTGAGCAGTTCAGACATGAGACCTCTCTTCATCAGCTTCCAGAGCTTGGTTCTCAACTCAGAAAAAGACATTGTGGACTGGAAATTTGAAGAATCTACTTTGTTCTATATTGACCGGCAGTCATTTTTATTCATTGTGCCCATTACATTGGGAGTCACGTACTCCTCAATGGTTTACCAGAGTGAAGAACCAAACATCATCCCAATTAGAGATGTCTCGACCTTCAAGAAGCTCAGATGCCATCGGGATTTTGTTGTGATTGAGTATGATGATCGCCTATGTATAATTGACCATGATGAAGGCACATGGAGTGCTGGAATCGAAATTCCGCTAAGTTTGGGGACTCAAATCAAGGACATAACAATCGGGACATGCTCTACATGCCATAACCATTCCTTCAGCTACCTGGTCTTCTTGATTCTTGAAAATGGCCTCTTGATAAAGATACATGTCGTCAAAAGAGAGCACGTGGAATACACGATTCTGTGCCGACTCGCAGAGCGTGGAACTGAATGGAGACCTTTTCAACCTGGCAACCTTCCCTCGAACGCCAACTACCTCTCTAACATCGTGACACTAACGGAGAATGGTATTGTACAGCAAGTTAAATATTGAAAATTTCCAAAGGACGCAACCACATGTGATCAAATAGTCCTTATTGGGTTTATGTACATAGATTTGAAATCTGTTTTAAGGCTTGTCCACCACCTCGGTAATTTCTTTGAAGTTCAGCTTCACGCGGTCGACAACCTTGCCCTTAAGAACCTCCTCCGAGTCCAACTTTTCTTTTCTCATCTCCAACTCAAACTCTTTATTCCGGATCATATCCTGGTTGTTTAGAAATGTCTTTTTGAGTGCTTTGAACTGCTTTGGCTCCTGCGAAATTTGGAGACTAATCATCATCTCCCTGGAAACCGAATCTAGGCTTTTGTCAAGCGACTCCAGAACTGGTTTCCTTGCAGTATATGGGATATCCAGAAGATCCATATCGCGGAAAGACTCAATGCTTTGTCTGACCTCTTCAAGATCCAATAGCTTGGTAATTCCAAGACTTTCTCCATGTGGAATCGCATGAGGATGGGATGGTGTGATGCAATCGAGATCTACCTCCTTTCTCAAAACGTGATCTATGTCAACAGCAGAGAAAAATGCACAAGATTGCGGAACCTCGTCTATCCCCATCTGCTGGCAGAACATGGCTCTTGTCCATAGGTTGCTGATCTGCAATGCCAAAGCCGCACGATACTTATCTTCTGTCTTTACCAGATACCTGATCTCGTCATGAACCGTCAGACTCAGCCGCGCGTCTATGCCATAAACCTCGCAAAGATACTCCATGGACACCAGCAACAAATGCAAGTAGTCGACACCCGAGGATTGAATGGTCCAGTTTATCCTGGAAGGCAGAAACGTGTTCGACTTTAAGTTGTTCTTTTGTAACGCAGACGTGATACCAGCCCCAAGTACAGGAGTTCTGGGAACGTCCATTTCCGCGACCTGTTCTAATCTATTGAAGACAATGGACTCAGAGCCTCCATACCACATCTTCTTACCTTTCAAAACATCCTGGCGGCCTTTGGTGGACATATAGAGATTTTTGGCAATACCACTGGCCTGATCTTCACCAAGCGTAGGATTGAAGCTTTTAAGTAAAGATTTGGCGAATTTCACACCAGCACCATAGATTCTTCCGTAATTAAAGATCTTGGCCTCGTTTCTTGATATACCGAGAATTTTGGCTGTTTTTGAATGGAGATCGGTTCCCTCTTCTTTGGTTCCCTCAAGAGTCATCCAGCCAATGGCAGTTGCTCCGTGCATTTTGAAGACAGAATCCCCGACCAGACAGGCTATCCACAACTCTTCACTGTCAACATCAGCGCCTACAAATGAATACCCTGGAGGGGCACTGATCATTGATTTCAATTCAGAACCGAGTCTGTTCTTTTTGGCGTTCGAAGCTGTGAGCCAAGTCTTTTCAACAGCCCTTCTCGTGATCGTACCCATAGAAACGACCTGTGGAAGTATAATCCCCATTTTCGAGTCTGTGCCGAAGTTGAATGTATTGGAGCCATCGTTGTATACCACAAACTGATTCTTAATTCTCTCTCTGGAGCTTATCCAATAACTGCATGAGATGGTCATTTGCAAGAGATCCTCAGCCAGGGCATACTGAGACGAAAGCGTACCCTTCTCGTAATGTGACATGAAAGATTTGGCCATGATGTTGGTGGTTCTCATGGCTGGGCCATCGTTATGGGGCACTTTGAAAAACGACTTGGAGTTTAAGAGAGGCTCTGGTATTGAGTCTATCTCTTCCTCGTTGAGTGTAATATGTGTATAGTTTTTCTTTGCGTAATCTTGGGCTTTATCCATGTCAACCAAAAAGCACCAGCCTCTCTGGTCCAGCCAGTATATAGGCTGACCTTCCCATGATAGCTTAAGCAACAGAGGAGAAACCCTCGATTTCGGAGTGAGCTTCAGCTGGCCTTTAACGATGAGCTGTTTGTACCATTCAGGGTATCCCGGGAGTTTCTGGGATTTGTATGGCACACCTTTCTTCGTAAGCTTAGGAGGAGTAATCGTCCAATCCAGCTGAGAAAGCCATGGATCGTTCTCCCAAGGCTTCGTAGGATCTGTCCTCATTGCAACTGCTTCTTCACACAGTTTGTGCAAATTAAGCTCAATCTTCTTAACGTTCTCCTGGTACAACCGTTCAGCGGTTTCTATATAGTCATCCCACTTTCTCGTTGTTGGCAAGAAACTTTGCCCAATGTGCCTCAGAGCAGCAAAACTGACAGGATGAGGTGAAACTTTCCTGAACTGGGGATATATTTTGCACAACACCTTGAAGGTGGCATATACATCACTGGCACAGTACTTCATCGCTGCCTGAAAGTCCTGACGAATCAAATCCATGTCTTCCAAAGAGAACATATCCCTGACATCCTTGTCCAGTTCGAGCTTGCAGTAGAATGAAGCAACATGGGCCAACGAGTTCATGCTACTCGTCTGTAGCCAAGGGTCGTCTTTCACTAAAGAATCTCCAGTTTCGAACATATCCAGCGAGGGATTTTCCATGAGAGCCTGTAATTGCGAGGAGTCTGATATTTCATCTCTGATCTTGGCCAGAGACAACTCGTCTTTTTCTTCTTTCTCCTTTTTGGTTTTCTTCCTATAATTCAACCAAGTACCCCGCTGTCTAGAACACATACCAGACACAGCAACATGCAAAGCCATGGTATCCAAATAGAAGGCCTTAGAAGCTTTGATGTTGTACTCATCTTTAATCCTGGCACGGTCGTATGGTACGTTATGGCCCACTATCACCTTCTCGGTGGAATGTGTGTTCATAGGTATAAGGTGATCCATTGACTCGCTCTCTTTGGTTAGAAACGGCGACACCCAGCCATACCACGCCTTTGGAGACACGCAGGTAGCAATTATAGGGTAATCTGTCATTTTGTACATCACCTCCACGTCAAATACCAGACTATCCTCAAGAGGATAAGGCACAGATTCGGGAGGCTTCGAGTTGGTATATCGCACCCATCCGGATTTGAATTGCCAATTCGTTGGGATCTGCGGCAAAGTCTCTCCAATACTCATCAGAGTCTCGGTGAGATCCACATACTTCTGGGAACTGTGAACTCCAAGCCTGTGGAAATGCTCGTCCATAGATGACCCCTGGAGCTTCGGTAGAGGAAAGTCTATGGATGTATTGAGAGCAGCTTTCTTTCCTAAAAGACCATTGTGGTCGAGATGCAAGTGAGATAACTTTACTAGTCGCTGGTTTTTCCTGGAACCGATCTGGCTTTTTCTACCAGGAAATAACTGTTCTTGTATCCCTAAAGACAAATGTTGTATCCCCACAGGACTGATCCGTGGTTTTTCTTCGTTCGCCAGCGTTGCAAGACATCTTCGCTGGAGCTGCACAGTTAACCGACAGCGTCGGTGTATCATCAAAAGTAAAAGAACGCGTGAATATCGGGGCGTTGATATTTCTCTGACGAGTATTCAAGTATTTATACACGCTTTGCTTGTCTTATGTCTTCATTAGATATCTGCATGTGGTACTTTCGTGCACTGCACGATGGCACGGGAGACCCGGCCGTAGTGTGGCTTGTGCAGGCTGCCAGGCTGGTTGCAAACGGGGGTGGTTTTGACAGTCTCGAGGCCGCAAGAGCCTGGAACAGCAATTGGCTCAACGTTAGACGACCAATAATATTCGCATGATGGCTACCCGTTCCTTAAGTGATGACCAGGTACGTGATAATAAACAACGATTGGGTTCATAGGAGGGATGTGGGACTGGATCTGGTGAGATTGGTGATCTTGTCTTGTTTAGGTGACATAGGCATGATAAGGTCTAGGATCCAATTGAATCCTCTGTCTTCCCGATTTTTCCTCTCATTTATAGCACTTGTATGATGCTAACGATTCTATCTAGGTTGCTGGAGAACTCCGCAAGATGGAGGCATTCATTAAAAAGGAGGCAGAAGAAAAGTCCAAAGAAATCAAATTGAAGGCTGATGAGGAATACGAGATTGAAAAGGCGTCCATAGTCAGAGCAGAAATCAATTCCATCGATGTATTGTATGAATCCAAGTTCAAGAAGGCTTCGCTGGCCCAACAAATCACAAAATCTACCATAGCAAACAAGACCAGACTAAAGGTTTTGGCTACCAGAGAGCAAGTTCTCGATGATATTTTCGAGAATGCAGAGGAGGAGCTGAAAAAGATCAGCAAGAACGAGAAATCGTACAAGCCAGTTCTTGTTGGATTGATTGAAGAGGCTGTGCTGTCTCTTTTGGAGAAATCCGTCACCGTCAGGGTGAGAAAGGCCGATCTGGAGCTTGCCAAGTCTGCTGCCGAAGAGGCCTTGAAGAACTTTGAAGAGAAGGCCAAATTTTCTGCCACAATAACTTTTGACGAGACCAACTTTCTGGACCCAGAGATCGCTGGAGGAGTTGTTGTGATCAACGGCACTGGCAAGATCGAGGTGAACAACACGTTGGAGGAGAGATTGAAGCTGTTATCCGAGGGCGCTTTGCCAGCAGTTAGATTGGAGTTGTTTGGACCTTCAACCACCAGAAAGTTCTTTGATTGAATCAGGTGAAGAGTCTTGGTTTGAAGGACTGGAGAAGAATCGCGGAAGAGAAGTTCATGAAGAATCTCAAGAATCCCAAGAATCGGAAGATGGCTGCGCTAAAATCAAACAAAGGACATAAAGGTTAGCTTACCAACCATTATCTAGTTTTTCGTCAAAATTTCATCCTTGAACATCCTAAACATCTTCACTGCAACCAGTTCCGCTTGCGAGGACTGATCAAAAGGTCGTGTGATTCCGAAGACCCCAGCTAAAATTTCTGGCACTAGGTGATAAGTGTGTTGTAGACCAGGTGTTTTGTTGTATTGGTTATATATCATCCACCCGACTCCCCAGCATTACCTTGTATATAGAATTGCTGAAGGTCCTGGTTTGATTGTTCAGCTTCGAGTTTTACGTTTTGTTGGATCATGATAAGGACGTATATGGTACCATCCAGGATGCTTGCGAGGAATTTGTTTCGCTCTAGAGCAATGACCAGGTGTACGCCACAAGCCATACATAGCGTCTACTCAGCGACACAAGTTACCACATTGCCCATAAGCTTATATCGGTCTATACACAGGAGCTCGCGAAGCGGACAAGGCGCGACATCATTATACTCATCAACAGCATCAGCATCTTCACATACTCAAGCACATTCAGAACCAGATCACTTATACCAGGCAATAGCACCTAACGATTCGTTCATCAGTTGCACAATATTTGACAAAGATGGAAAAGTTGTGGCAGTGTCGAAAAAATTCCCCAAGACAAAGTTTCTTCAAGAGCACAATCTGTTCGCCAGAGACCTGCGAAAGATCGACTCTTCAGCGGTGGATGTGGTGCCGATGGTTGCGGCCAGAGAGAACTACTTTCTCGTCAATTTGCTACACATTAAAGCAATCGTGAAGAAAGACATGGTGATGGTGTTTGACACATCCAATCAAGATGCTGCGAAGAAGCTGGGGTTGTTCATGTATGACTTGGAGTCTAAACTGACCACCAAGATCATCCATGGAGCAAGTTCTGCTGGTCAACCATACGAGTTCCGCGCTTTGGAGAGTATATTGATCAACGTAATGTCATCGTTGGAGACAGATCTCCAGGTCCATCTTTCGCGTTGTGGAGCGATATTGTCTGCGCTAGAAGATCAGATTGACAGAGAAAAGCTAAGGGATTTGCTGGTATATTCCAAGAGTCTTTCCAACTTCAACCAGAGATCACAGCTGATCCGCGACGTTTTGGACGAGCTTCTGGATAACGATGATGATCTCGAAATGATGTACTTGACCTCTCAGATCAACCCCAAGGCCAAGAGCAGCGAGTCGGAGGTTACCGTCACGGGCGAAAGCAAGTCCGTAACAGAAAACCGTGAATTGGACACTGCTGACTTGGAGATGCTTCTAGAAGCTTACTACAAGCAGGGAGATGAATGCGTGCAAAAGGCAGAAACGCTGATTAACGATATTAAGTCCACGGAGGAGATCGTCAACATCATCCTGGACGCCAACAGAAACTCGCTGATGGTGTATGAGCTAAAGATAACCATATATACTCTGGGTTTCACTGTTGCAACTGCATTGCCAGCATTCTACGGAATGAATCTCAAGAATTACATAGAGGAATCAAACTATGGGTTTGGAGGGGTTGTTGCCTGCTCGATTTTGTGTGCTGCTGCCATTACAGTGTTGAACTTCAGCAGATTGAGGTCAGTACAAAAACTGACAATGATGGTTCCCGGAACACCCCACAAACAGTTCAAGGCAGAACGCGATTTGATGACTAAAAAGGCCCCGGGCCAAACCCTGCCACAACCCAGGGATCACCACCGCTGGCGGTTTAGCTTGTGGAAGAGACTCAGTAGACACAGTCTTGGATACATGAGACGGATGTGGTATATGAAAAGGCGAAATGGCTACGCCGACCCCAAACAGAGAGACATGATATGGAGGTGGCTGGTCAAGGAGCCCAATGACAAATAGAGCGATAGAAATAGGAATTGGAATTTAAAAGCAGTTGTATTGGCATTGATCTTTAAATCGATATCTTTACCCTATCAGGCTCCCATTAAAGTTTACGCGCACACGCTCAAATTTCAAACTCCCCGATCGGGTAGCCAAGAAAGTTTAAACAGACGTGCTAAGCCTAAAAATCGAACATACTCTTTAGGAGTGTTCTCTACAGCTGGAATGGGCCGTAGGTGTTCCGCGATTTCCTAATTGCAGTTCAATATTCCGATTGTGTCTCGAGCCAACTTGTTTTTTGGTTTGTGTGTTCATATCCAACGACTCCGCCTTCTGTTGTATTGCAGATCACTTGGTGATACGCGCTACTGCAAAGGAGACCACAGGGCCCAGGGAGACTTCTGGATTGGCTCATTCTCCAACAATAGTCTTTTTCGATTCCAATCGATCTGATTGTTAATAAGGCGGAGCTGAAATTGTTTGATAAGTTATAGGTGTTTTTGAAGTTATTTTGGTTATTGCGTCTAGACCAGTTCTACTGCAAGAATAGATAGACAAGACACACGTTATACAGTGGAGTCTGTTTTGTCTTTAACCTGGTTATTGCCTTCTGGTATAATTGTTGTTACGATTGCCGTTGAGATTTTTGCTTATTGATCTCTCTCCTGATACACTTTGCCGATGTCAAATTACGTCGCGGCAGCGGCAGCCGCAGCCTCCTCTCCGGGAGTGACGAACAGTGTGCATCTAGATTCGCTCGATGCCAGAATCGTACAATATCAGTATGGACTGCTGAAATTGTCCCGATATGTTGAGAAGATACGTGAATTGCGTGACATTTGTCGGGAAAAAGGCCCCGAAACCGTTTTTCCTATCCCCACATATCCCATGCTTCTGAGTGGGTCCATTTTCAACCTCAGCGATAATATCTTCAGGAGGAGCGAGATCCTGATAAATGGTGGAAAATTCAACCCGGCCCAATCAGTGGATCCTCCTACCAATACTAATTCAGTGAACTACGACATAATGGAAAACGCTACCAATTACGATACCACAAAGCTCATTATCCCAGAGTCGAAGAGATCGTTCGAGTCATTGAGATTGTTTGAGCATCTGATCATCAACGCTCACCAAATATATTCCAAAAAGCTCCAACAGGCGTTGCAGGAGAGAACTGCCTGCAGAGTCCCCGATTCAGCTGGATATCCGCAGACGTTCGACTGGGCTGAGATATCGGATTTGCTGCAGCCAGTGGAGCTTGCTGTAATTCCATCATTCATCTACGAAACGACCCCAGAAAACTCCAATGATGCGGAGGCAGTGCGGCAATCAATGAGAGACTCAGATTTGAAAGTATTGAAGGCTGTGACGGAGTCCGTTGACGTCTCGCTAGCTACACTTAGAGACTATCTTTCGATAATGTGCACTTGCAAAACCAAAGAGGTTCTTCTCAAGGCTCCACATGCCAGCTATATGATGCACCGTGGGTTTGCCATTTTGCTAAGACTGGCCGACCTCTACGCGGTTTTGAGAAGGATTGGAAAAAGGGTGTATCTGTTCAACTATCATCATTTCCAGAACTACGTTCGACTAGACGATGGGCTTCGGCACGCGTTGGCCGTAGTGACGGCTTATTTCAATCAGCCGAAGAAGAACAACGTTCTGCTGGCCAGTGTGACGAAGTTAACTAGACAGGGTGCCTACGCAATGGTAAGGTCTGATTCGACTCTGGCCATTGCCAAGCAGGGAATAGAGGCTTGCGCTTTGATCACGGCTATGAACGAATCGCTGAAGAACCTGGCTATTCGGTGGACTGATTTAAACAAAAAGAACTTCAACTTGCCCAATAAAGCCCAAATGAGGGACCGGTTGAGAGTACAGACGGCTGAACTAAAACGCCAGTCCAGCCTGATTTCTCCGGATGGAGGAACGGCTAGAAGACTAGAGGCCATGTATATCGACCCTGAGAAAAATAAACAGGAGATGGAAAGGCAGTCAAAACTGCAGAAAGAGAGAGAAGATGCTGCCAAAGAAGACAGACAGATGAAAGAGGCTGAAGAAAGAGAGAATGTGATCCAGCGCAAAGAGATGATTGCACTCAAGGCCGAGGAGAGAGAACGGTATCTTCGTGAAGAACTATCACGCACATCGTCTCCTTTGAATGGTACGCCAAGCAACAACCTCTCTAGGCGATCGTCTATTAGGTCCAGCTCGAGCGGATCATCCAGAAGCTCGTCCCTGGTGACTGCACCATCTCAACCTGAGACCATCAAGAGATCGAATGGTTCTCTCACGAGGTCAGCATCTCAAAGATTTTCCCCCACCACGAAAACTTCCGGTCTTGCCAGAAGACATTCTGTGTCTCTACATCCTGTTCCTGCTGAGCCGGAAGAATTGTCGACGTCATCTTCAGTTCGATCTTTGTCACCCTCGCATTCGAGCTCCGCATCATCTGCTAGTTCTACAGGAAATATATTCACTTCTCCCACAGCATTGCGCCGACAGAACCCTGCCAACATCAATGGTGAAGGTGCCAAATCTGCAGTGGCTGGTGCTATGACAGCGTTCCCCAAGACAAATATTATTCGCGAGACTAAACAACCATCGTTACAAGCAAGAATGGCCGCTGCGTCTGTTCCCGCTGCTCAGAAAGCAACCAATGGGAAGCCACTTTCCGCTCAGCAAAGGCTCCAGAGGCATATCATGAATTCGACTCTCAGAGGTGAGATGACGACCAAGCCTATTGTGGATGTACCAAGAGTATTGTACACGCCCTCGGCAAGAGCAGGAATTGTGAATGGTTCAAGAACAAGCTCCCTGCAGGGATCTCTCGGAAGAACAGCTGGAAGCTCTGGAAGCAGTCGAACCAGTTCTTTGGCCAGTGGCAGAGATTCAGTTAGTCCTATCAACTCGTTGAAATCGGCATCGGCAGCGGAATTGAGACATGCGCAGCCACAGCAGAACAGAAGCAGATCAGGCTCGATTCAAAGCGTGCAGAGTATTCAGGAGGAAAGCATGGTTCAGTCTGCGTTTCCATCTCCTACCAGCTCTGCTCCCGCTGTGGTTGTGTCTTCGCCATTGGTGGAAAGAACCAGGAGTAATAGTGCCTCAAAGAGACCAGCTGGAAATATCACCAAGATCGAAGAGAACACGCCGAACATATTTCTGGTCAAGAAAGAAGGCCAGCACGTACCGAATACGTCATCTCCAGGATCGTCTATTCTCATCAGATCTCGTGCTGGCTCAATTGCTAGTTCTCTTCGCACAGATACCACTGCTGAGAACGAGCATACGCTTACGGAGAGCAATCATACCACACCGGTAAAGAAGGTGAGATTCCTCGGGGTTCCTGAATATTCTGAAGCCGAAGATGCTCCTTCGCCCCAGAAAAAGAAAATGTGGGCCAAGGCACCACCAGTTTTCAGGTTCAACACCCAGAAGACAGTGGTGGACAATACGCGCAAGAAGGAGAGACTTTTCACTGCCCAGGAAGGCCTCGCTTTCAGAAAAAATACTCATACAGATGAATGGGGTGGATTCAACAGAAACAAGGCAAAACAACCGGCTGTTGAGGCTAACGGCAAGGTTTCGATGATGAGTTTGGTTACTGAAACTGCTACTCCCACTCCAACCATACCGGTTCCAAAGGGTAAATTGACACAGCTATTCAAAAGAAGGTGAAAAATTGAAAAAGGTCCAACGATAAAGCATCAAGCATCTGGAATTAATATTCTTTATAGCCAATTCACCACTCAGATTATAAGTCCATTTAAACAGACCCACACTAACAGTTGGACCTCGGTTCCTGATCGGCACGGTACCAGCCTTCCGAGGACGCGATGCCATTGCAGCCGTTTTTTTAAACATGGAGGATCCCACCATGTGCTTTCCTCAGATGTACTGGAAGGATGAAATTATTACTTAATCATGCACTCAAACTCTTGTTGGCTGAAAATTTGCCTCTTATATAAATATCACCCAAATCCCCACCATCAGCCATAATTCGCCCTCCTTCACTTTTCGACTTGTCACAAGCAAAAGGTCGTGTACTGGAGAGTAAACAAACGCGTCGCGGTCAATTTCACCGGTGCACCCTTTCTTAATCACTATCCGTGTTTATAACAAGACATTGAACTCTCTTGCTTTTCTCTTGGCCAACCCTGTTTTTGTTGTCGAGTGTTTTGAAAGACCGGTCATGTCTTACGTGTCCAACCAACTAAGGCAGCCGTCCTTCACGGCTTCGTCGCCTTCTTCGTCACGAATGCTGCTCAAGATTCTTTACACCTTCGACGATAAAACCACATTTCTTGCACGGTCCACCTCGCAAGTGCCCGTTCGCGTGATACCCATGTCGATACCCAATATGAAGGAACAGGTCATGATTGGTGCATACGATCTGAAGAAATGTGTGGAACTGATTGTGAACTCGAGTCCCGAATACTTCCAGACCAACACGGATTTTGCGCTTTACTCGCGAGATGTCTCCGAAATGGAGGAACCCCTGGTTGGTCACGGTCTGATGTCCAAGTTGTTTGCCAAGAAAAGTTATAAGCACGGAGATATCCTGGTTTCTGGAAGAGTTTGCCAGAGCTTCGCTTCCATCTTCAACAACAGCAGTGCTTCATCCACCCTGGAGGTGAGACTGAGAATAACACCAGTGAGGTCAGCTGCTCCAGTGGGACAATCGCCTGTTGACGGTTCAAGTGTGGACTCACCAGAAAGTTTCCAAAACCAGCGGCATCAGATATACGAGAACAGTCCGGAAATAGAAGACCCCTCTGATAAGCAGAAGAAGAAGCTTTTGGCCAGAGTGGGCCCAGTCAAAGCTGCAAGAACCCAGTCGCTGCCGTATTTTGGAGACAATATTGCTGTTCGGATAATGCAGGCAGATCAGAACAATGCGTCTTCTTCAACTGCCAACAACGTTGCAGACAGATTTTCAGGGTTTGAGAAGCTCTTGAGCATCAAACCTAAACCAGACGCTCAAAAGAAGGGCTCAAGTTCGAGGACGAAATCGACCTCACCACCAAAGTGTGTGAATTGCACGTGCACTGAATCCAGATCATGGAAGTATTACAAGGAAGGCATATTTGAGTTTGGAAACTCTGGTCTGCTGTGCCATGATTGCAATGTGTTGCATTTGAAGAATGATCTTGCTGGTTTGAGAAAGAAGGGTAAGATGGCTTCAGCTGGACTTCTAGATGATGCCTATAGGAAACATGCTCCGAAGAAAAGGCAGAACGACGACCTGCCAACTCCCCCAATCGCCAAGTTTAGAGGTGCTGGAAAGAGAGCGAAATCCATATACGACCCTCTGAGCAGTTCTTCGATGATGAACTCATCTTCACCTATGTTACAAAACCAAAGTTCCGAGGATGACATGCTGAAGTTCCAGCAAAATCCGTTGACTGACATAGATCCATTGCCTAGTAACAGAAGATCATCCGTTAGATGTGACTCAATTCAGGACGACAATGCCAGCGATCGTACCATGGATCATGATGATGAAAACAGACCGCTGGATGCTATGAAACTCAACACCACACTAATCAACTTCGATGTCGACGATGTCAGCAATAAAGAAAACCAGCAGCCTGACCAGCCATTCATGATACACGGACACGAGATTACGCCAACGTTGAACAGGATATTGCAGTCCATAGGTGAGGTATCTCCCGGATCACCAAGCAGACGGGGAAATCAGGAAAATTCTCCAAACAGCTGGCTGAACCTCTTTACCCATCGTGAGGAGGACGAAGAAGATGACGATAACTTCGCAAGGCCCTCCGCTCCTCCAAAACTAGACCTGAGAGCGGAGATGGTTTCCAACTCGAATGCAGTCAACACCGAAAAAACCCCTCTGGACAGATTTGACATAACGCCAAAAGACATAGAAACCGGTCAGACAATGCCTTGCAGTACCACTCCCTCAGCCAGCACAAACACAGACATCAAGAGGATCAACATGGCCAGCATGCCATCTTCACCGTTTTTTACGGTGCAGAGCGATGATGATCCTCGCCATCAAGAAGGTGGCCAGTCCCACATGGGATTGTTAAGCAGTAATGGAAAGCTCGACCCGATCGAGAACTGGAGCCAGTTCTCTTCCCCAGCAACGGAGCAAAGCCATCATCCTCAGAAATAACTGAGACATTTAATGAAAGTCACTCGCTACAATGGATTAAATTATCATGCTTGAGCGCTTTGTAGATTAAGGTCGTTATGTTGCAATATTGGATAACTGGAAATCTGCCGTGGTGATCTTGGAGCGATCACACATCGACCGGAAAATTCCGCCCTTCATCCTGAACAGGTTGATCGGCTTATCAAACTCTATTATCTCGCCCTTGTCCAGAACAAGGATCTTGTCATAGTTCAGAATGGTCTTGAGACGGTGGGCAATGCAAAGAATGGTGCACTTTCCAAACTCATTAACGATGGTCTTCTGGATCAGCGAGTCGGTTTCGTAGTCAACCGAACTGGTGGCCTCGTCCAATATGAGAAAGCGAGTTCTGCGGACCAGAGCTCTTGCCAGGGCAATAAGTTGCCTCTCTCCGAGGGAAAAGTTTGAACCATCGTTTTCGACAATTTGGTCGAGAGCAAACTTGTGGTCGTGCTTCTTGGCCTTCACGAAATCAATCTCATCTTCTGGGATCAATCCCGAGCGTCTGAGTGAGTCGTAAAGCTGATCGTCCGAGAGCTGCGAAAAGGGGTCCAGATTTATTCTCACAGTGCCCTTGAAGAGAACTGGATCCTGTGGAATGATTGAAAGGGCAGATCTCAAGTCGTGCAGTCCAATCTTGGACACATCGACTCCGTCAATGGAGATGCTACCACCATCCAGCTCAGACAAACGGTATAAGGCAGTCATTATGGAAGATTTCCCAGCGCCTGTTCTTCCACAGATCCCGATTTTTTCTCCGTCCTTGACGGAGAATGATAGGTTTCTCAACACCAGTGGGAGACCAGGCCTATAAGCTAGCGATACCTGATTAAAGTCAATGCGGCCAGTGGTGGGCCAGTCCTGCGGAGGGACGTGCGGCGGCTGAGAATTATATGCAGCTTCCTGCGGGAGGTCAAGTGCATATTCGCACATTCTCTCCACCGAGTCCAAATGGTTTTCTAATTGTGTGAGAGATTTAATACTCACAATCATCTGGTTGGAGATTTGCATGACATATGACACCAGTAGACCAGATGCAGAGGCACTGATTTTGAACACATGGAACACACACAGAAGTGTGATTATGATGTTGAGGATTGCGGAGACTCCATGCAATGACATTCCCAACCACCGCTGGTTGGAGTTGGATAGGAAGTACGCTTCGTTCATCTTATTGATAAGCATGGTCCCCTTATTCACGAACTTTTCCTCCATATTGTATGCTTTAATGGTCTCGTTGCCGTTCAAAACCTCGTCAAAGTTGGAGTAGACAAGGGATCTCTGGACACTCTCGATTCTTTTGATGTCTCTTGCGGAGGCTTGGTAAAAGTTGATCATACATACGAATATGGCAGCGATGAAGGGGAGACTGATGGCAAACCAGGGCAGATAGATCATACACATGATGAATATCCCCGATATCAGGGCGCCCGAATAGACTAAAAGTCGTGCCTGTTCTGCAATTTCGTTATCCAAAACGTCTGTATCTCTGGTGAACCGGTTCAAGATTCTACCCATGGGAGTGGTGTCCATATAGGCCATTGGTGTGTGCACCATCTTCTGCAACGCCTTGATATTAAGCCATCTGGAAGCCTCATTAGCCACATACACAATAAGACAGAACTCAAAAACAGTGAAGAGAACAAAAAGCAGCGTGAACATCACATACAGCCCATAGTAGAACGACTGGGATCTCTTTGGGAACTCGTTTTCAGTCCAATAGGCCAGCCATACATTCGAAAACAGTTGGCAAAATGTCGTGCAAATCATCACCACAAAAAGAAGAGGGACATAGAAAAACAGACCCTTTTTGCCTGTTCCGAGCTCTATGTATTTCTTGATCAATAAGATGGGGATTGCACCTTCTGAGCGGTTCTCTTTCTGGATCAGTACACCATCTCCCGTAGCAAATTCGTACTGATGAGCTTCCGACTTTTTGCTTTTGGTTGATTTGATAGTTGCAGTCGTACGCACTTTCATTAACTCTGAAGGGACTTCCGGTAAAATCTCCTCTTCCTCGAGGTCCTCTTCATCGTCCGACTTGCTATCCAGTCCAAATCCCATCAGATGCACAAACCTAGGATTGCGTCTATTGAGCTCCTCAACAGTACCAACATCGATGGAACCGTCTCCATTCAAAAAAACAATTCTATCAGCGGTTCCAATTAACGAGAGCTGGTGAGTAGCCAACACCCTGGTTTTCTGGGCCAATATTCCGTTGAAGCACTCTTCCATGATGTGCCTGCCTACACGAGCATCCACAGCACTCAGAACATCATCCAGCAAAATTATATCTGTATCAGCATATACAGCACGCGCAAGGCAGATTCTGGCCTTCTGTCCACCGGAAAGAGTGACTCCTCTTTCGCCAATCTCTGTGTGATCACCCGCTTCAAGCAGGTCTAGGTCGCTAGTCAGAGCACACGCTGCTATCACACGTCTGTACTTCTCAAGTACGAAAGGCTGGCCAAACAGAATATTCTCTCTTACAGTGGTATTTTGGATCCATGGTGCTCCACACAAAAGCTGTGATCCGCGTATAGTCACCTCGCCCTGTGTTCTGGGCATTACTCCAAAAATCGCAGACAGAAGCGACGATTTTCCGCTTCCTATCAGTCCTGTGATCACCACGAACTCGCCCGATTTGATGTCGAGATTGATATTCTGCAGGCCACTAAACTTGCTATCAGAGGTAGGAACAGCTGTGTCTGTGATCTTCTCTTCTGGCTTTTCCGCGTACGAGGTCCACTCAAAAACGGCATCTTTTATCTGCACAGAGTGCTCCTCATTGGGATCAAAGGCCAGTTCGTGAAATCCCGGATCTTCGTCCTCCACCTCGCTAGCCTGCAAATAATCTCTGACTCGTTCGAGAGCAATCAGGGCATCAGACGCAGAGCTCATGGCAACGGGAAAGAGGGAAATTTGACCAGAAAGCAGGTTGAACAGAGTCAGCGAGGCAAAGACGTTGGCGGAGCCTTTGAGACCATAAGCACCAAAAACGGCCACAAATCCTACCATTGAACTGAGAGTGGGTGAGCAAATCGCAATGGCAGTGATAAAGTTCCTCATGACCTGCATTTTTAGCAAAATGTTCATCTCCGAAGACCTCAATCCAGAGATGAGTTTTTCATAAGGAGACTCCCACGAGTAGTATTTGATGATTCTCATGTTGATCAGCAGCTCCTTTATGTAATTAACACGAGCATCTGTGTATTTGTTGGCAGCCTTTCTAAACTTAATGAGAGGTCTGTTTCCGTAGGCTATAGAACCTGTGGTGAGAAAAAAAAGTCCAATTCCGGCCAAAGAAGGTGCTCCCAAATACACTATGAGCAGCACCAATGTGATCACCAGTCCAACTGGCAGTAGGAGTATGAAGGGGAAGAAATTGGCTGCAAGATCTATTCTTGACAAATCTGCCCCTAAAAGTGCAGTGATTTTTCCGGGAGGAAACTGGTGCTTGGACCTGGAGTTTAGTCTAAGAGACTTATCCAAAAGAGCCTTGGTCAGCACAGCCTTGACCTCAGCACCTACCAGGCACGCAGAATGGAAGAAATGGGCAATATTAATGCCTGCGAAGAAAACCAAGAAGGAGGAGCAAATAGCATAAGCAACACCTTTGCCCAGGTGATACGGCATTCCAGAGGAGCGTTTATGGACAAACGCAATCAGTGCTCTAGCAAGCAATGGATTCAGTCCATTCGCTATATCAGCAAGAAACTTGTGCAGAATGGGAATGGAGTAGTCCCAGCCAAAAGTATCCACCAGTGCCCAGAACACAATCATTTTTGGATACCTAAAGTCTGAATATTCCAGAACATCGTCACGGTCCAAACGTGCCAATTCGACAGGCGTGGGCTCGGTCTGCTTTTTCTTGAGATACTGCACCTTGGCCTTCTCAACTCGCACACGGAAATTGCGGTCAAATGTCCTGTATCTATTTTCCACGTCGTATTTTCCATCAACAACAAACAGATCGTCCGGTTCCAGAGTCCGCATGTAGCCCACCTTCATTAAAGGTAGTAACCACAGGAAAAACATGTCGGATAGGATGCTGCCTCGACGAAACGGAAATGGTTTCCTTTCTTCTGGAGTCGGTATGGGAGGCAGTTTCCGCGGAAACAGTCTGGTCAACAGTCTTTTCTGGGGCCTCAGCACAACGCTGCTTGCGGCCTCGCTATCAGCAACGCTCCAGGAGTCTGGGGCATCGTGGTCGTCGCTAGAGGAGGACCCATTAAGCTTCTTCTCCGTAGCACCCATCAATGTTTTGAAAACGTTGGTCTATATTTTAAAGTATTATCTTGAGACCTTATTCAAATGTCAAAGGACATGCTAGTGATATTTCTCAAAAGATGACCAAGTCAACAAGGTAGTTTTGGACGGAGTATATTATTTGAGCCCACCAAGGGGCATTGGGCATTGGGCATTGCGGTATGCACCGTCTGCACGGTCGGCACGATACGGGCACTGGTTATGCACGTCGGACGTCGGTGAATTACCTTAAAAGAGGAAGAAAGTTGGGAGGCAGCCATGAATGGGTAAAATTAGAGATAGATGCAGATAAGAGGCGGGGGAATGATAGATATTGCTATGTGAGTACCTGAGGGTAATATATTTTGTGGAAATTGTTGTGTTTTTGGTGATTTTTACGGTGGAGTTTAGAAGGGGATTGAACGCGGCCTTTGCTTGGCTAGCAGATATCAGGTATGTGATACCTGATATTTTATATCTGATGACCTCATTATGCTATCTCTGACTTTTATTTGTAAGAATTGCCATTGAAGCAAGTATCCACCCGAGAAACTGAATCGCACAGTGTCAAGAACATCAATTGTTATTCATTTCTCTCTATTCCTTGCACAATGGCCATTATCCCTTACAGGTTCTCTTTCTCATTCTTCATACTTTATAGTCTATTATACATCTACATTCCCCTAAAAGCATTGTTGCTTGCCCTTCTACGACCCTCATATATCTGCTTGGACTTTCCACGTCTCTGTGAAGCCTCTTCGTTATCAGAGCCGTCTTCAAACTGAACCTTCTTAGCACGCTTCTCCTTTTGCTTGGGCATGAATGTGAGTTCAGCCTCTCCACGTGCAGTTTTGCGAAGCCTCTGATCCTTCTTGCGATCGTGCTCTGCAGCATCTCTGTTGCTCATACGAGAGACCTGTGCACCGAAACTTCTGTCCTTTGGCTGGTGGTTCTTGGAAACTGTGTTCTCTGCTGCAGCATCAAGAGGAGTCATGGAGGCCATTAGTTTGTCCGCTTCTTCTTCCAGCTGTCTCTCACGCGACTTGAGCTTTCTCTGCTTCATGGCATCCTTAACCCGCGCCTTCTGCTCCTCTCTCTCTCTTTCTTCCTCGGAGTCTTCTCCCTCACTTTCGCTTTCCTCCTCGCTCTCGCTGTTGTCACCGTTTTTGGGCTTGAATTTTTCCTCGTCAGACTCCTCGGCTGCAGTCAGATTTCTCACAGATCCAGGTGTCTTGACAGGATTCAATTGCTTATAATCATGAGACTCCTCGTCAATCTGGAACATTGGATCCTCAAACATTTCCTTGAAACGGTCATCGTTAACAGCACTCTCAGCAGCCTCGTCACCAAGCTTCCGTTGCAATTGTCCAACAACTTCCTTGTTGACCTTGACTTTTGTCCTGCTGCTGGCACCAGTGGTCCTGATTCTGGATTCTCTCTCCTTCTCGATCCTCTTCTTGATCTCTCTGTCTCTCTGGTCTTGGTACGAGTTGGGGTTGGCAATGAGATTGACCTTGTCGTAGAGCTCGCTATCAATGAAATAACCGTGCATGTATGATCTGAGCACTTTGGTTCCAACCAAATGGGAGATGTTGAGCTTGACAACGTCCTGTTTCGTGACGAAACGATAGTTCGAGTAAACCGTCTCGCTTGGCTTCTCCTCCAGTTCTTCGGTAACGTTGTCAAGGAACGAACACCAACGTGGAGATGGTCCCAGCGCTGGAATATAGTATGTGTGCATCGCAATTCCCTCGTTGGCCATGAAGAACATTCCAGAATCGGGGATGTACTCAACATCGTTGATATCCACACTGGGCTCCATTGCCGCGAACGGCTTTCCGTCAAACCTATCCCATACTTTGGCTATCCTCTTGTCACTGGTCATGATCTTGTCGGAATTACCTGAAGAATTTTGGTCCAACCAGACTATTTTCTTCACCTCGTAGCCGTAACCCTGGTCTTTGATCACAGAAGGCTGCGAGTTACGCAGATCGTAGATGATGGCTTTACCGTTAGACGTTCCACAAGCAAAATTCAATCCGTCTCTTCTGAAGGCAACACTCGTTACTTGGTCACCAGCATTCACGTTGTACCCATCCACAAGGTTCAGCTTGGCTACTCTCTGCCTGGCCCTTGGGTCCCAAAACTCAACGGTACCATCTTCAAGACCAGCAGTGAAAAGCCCATGCACTTTGTTGATATCTGTTGCATTTACACCTTTTTCTGTTTCGAGCTCAAAGGGTTTCATGAACCTTCCGTACTCCAAATTCAAACGATACACCTCATCACCAGAAGCACCCACATACAGATCACAGTTCTGTTCATTGTAGGTGAGACACCTTCCGAATTTCGGGATTCTCGTTCTATAGTGCATTCCACCCTTGACCTGAAATTCAATGGACCTATCGTTCTGAAGATGCACGGATTTTGTCCAATCTTCGGACAGTATTTGGAAGTCAACGTTCTCACAATCGGTGTGTCTCTCGAACTTCAGCGAAAGATTCGAAAAGTCGTAAACATGGATCTGCGGCTTGTAGGTACCCGTGGCCATAGCAAAATTTCCATCTGGAGAAACTTTGATCTTGTTTGAGGCTTCGCTGAACTCAAAGTCCTGGATCAACTCGATTCTATTCTGATAATCCGCATCGTTCTTGAGAGCTCTCTTCCTCTTCCTGGCGATCCAGTCCGGTAGGGATCTCGAGATATTGGAACCAGACACCTGATACACCGATGTATTTCCGGAGCTTGTCGATTTCAAAACCATGTCAATTCAGTGATTCTGGGTTTGTCGAATGTAGGAGAACAAGCCTGTTCTTTCTGCGTGAAACTTTTGGAAATTAATTTTTTTTGGTTCTGTGCAATGCACTACTCTTTGACGTGGATGCGGTCATGTGATCTCTCGAGGATATATTAGTACGTACGAAATATCGGTGGATGTTTTTATATGTTTCAGTAAAATTGTTGTTTCAAAAAGGTCTATTCTCTAGATTAGTGGAAAGAGGATTTTGATTCAAAATTTCGATTATTTGACGGAGATGACTGAGCTAATCGGAGCATTTGAGCCTGAGTCACCATCTCTAATTGCAGATAATGCAGGATCAATCTTGCATTATTCAATATTTCCACATAATCGGTAAAATTGTGAAAAATCGTAGCAAAACTATGCCAATCTCTCAGAATTCACAAGAAGGCATATTACGAGATATAATCGTATCTTTAAAAACATAACATGAAGTGATCAAACTCGTACTAATACTTATGGATAAAACTTTAAAAGAACGCTAATAGAAACAGGGGGGGGGTCATATAATATATAGAAAAAACCACAAAATCACACATGAGGTTTCATTAACACTGAAGAACGTATTTGGAGGCATATTGACGCAGCAAGATGGAAAAAACTTGAAAACATCGGAATGCCCCTCAAATACCTGATCAGCGTGGAGACGATAACCAAAAAAGGCTAAGACTGAACATATTCCTTTTGGTTAGATTGGCAACAATTGCAGACATCAGTTGCCATTGTCCAACTTCATTCTCTTGAGATCCCTTCCATTGGCAGGTGATCCCTGGTCCGAGTGGACCATCATGCCCATAGGCAGACCCCTCAATTCATCAAGTCTCTTCTTTAGCAGAGCCTCACGCTGCTTGGCAGCATTTTCCAGGGCTTCAAGCTCAACTATTCTAGTCCGGTAAAGATCATTTACCAGTTCCAATTCAGAGATTCTGGTACGTAAAAAGACAGGGTCGTCGTCGTGGTTCCCATCCTCTCTCTTCTGGGAAGAAGAAGATTGGGCCATGATCATCGGTGAAATTGAGTGGGTTGGCTGCTGCAACTGGTGGATGTGTTGCTGGACAGATGGAGGCTGATTGTAAGGTCTAGCAAGCGGAGAGGAGATTGAGTGCTGCTGCTGTTGCTGAACGTCACTGAGCAAAGGCTTTAGAGATGGTAAAGGAGATGGAGAAGCATAATGGCCATTGTCGTGTTGCTGCTGCATTCCTGGGGATCCTCGAGGATTCTGTTGATGAGAAAGTGAAAATTGAGGTCCGAAGCTAGGAGAAGTCACTGTGGCATTCGAAGGAGTCATATGGTGAAGCTGTTGCTGAGGTGGTGAAGAATTTGTAGCAGCAGCCACCAAGGCAGGCAGCTTGGTGGAGTTATCGTGATTGCCATTGGTACCTGGCGAGTTGCCATTGAGTTCAGTCGATGGCGACGAGTAGTTTTTCACATCTTCGTGGTTGCCATTCATCAGGTTGTTGAAGTGGGGCACAGAAGGCTTGTCATTGTCCAACTTGATGTTAGGGATCTTCCTATCATGGTCCAAGGACTCCTGGGACATTGTCTCAAGAGCACCAGCAGCATTCACCAAAGCCATAGGCCCATTGTTCATGTCCTTCTGCTTATTACCGTTCAAACTGGCACGTTCACTTGATTGAGAAGGGTGGAACTTTGGTGCCGTGGTGGAAAGCAGCAAAGGAGAGGTCACGTTCTGCAGATTGGGTGCAAATTGCGCGGGTGTAGACGAAGGATAGTGCAACGGCTGCACCAGGTGTTGATGCTGGAACTTGGACGGGTATAGATGAAGCTGTCCGTGTTGGTAGCCCTGATGGTAACCGAAAGGGCTGTTGGGAGTGTTCGCCTGCGATTGAGATGTTTGTGGCTGTGAATGCTGTTGTTGGGGCTGCTGCTGACCTCTGGGGAGTAGGGGCAGCAAGCCTGGCGAAGAAACAGTGCCCTTGTTGGAACCATCATGAGATGTCAGATTTGGCGAGTTCTTGCCCTTGGCCGAGTTCGGCTTATACTGCTTTGGAGAAAACTTGGCTCCCTTCATGTTATAACTGACCAATGGGTTTTGACGATCTAGCTGGTTCTGCTGGCCCAATTGGTTTCCAGCGATAGAAATGTTACCAGCACCGTTCGCACTGACATTGCCCACACTCAAGTTACCGTTGATGTTCATTCCAGCCCCACTGGGCTCCTTAGCCTTCAACTCGGGGGTATTAGGATTGGACTTTCCACCTTGGGCATTTCCAGAATTGTGCTTGACTCTGTTTCTTGATTTGATCACATCAGTCTTCAGCGAAATGGGTCTTGGTCTTCCGTGAAGTTTCAGAAAGAGGCCACAAGCATTGCAGAGCACCTGACCGGTCTCGTCACGTCTCCAAAGAGGAGTAGTTTGAGTCTTACAATTTCTGCAAACCGGTGACGATATATTCGTCTTGGTGGTAGTGGAGCCATTTGCCGAATTGGTGGTGGAGATAGTCTTTGCATTCGGATGCACGGGATCGCTGGACAGTTGTTGTTGTTGTTGTTGAAACTGGGGCTGCACTTGAGAGACCTGCTGCTGGGGAGATTGTATTTGTTCAGGTTGTGGTTGATGGGATTGTTGCTGTTGTTGTTGCCCCTGCGATTGCTGCTGTTGTGGATATGATGGATGCTCCGGTTGGCCGATTCTTTGTAACTGGTCTTCGACCTTCACCGAGCCCAGATTGTTTTCCAACATATTTGTCATTCGTAATGGAGCAGCAATATTTGTAGACTGCAAATAATAATATATTTGGGTTCAAGCAGATGTATTCCACAGAATAAAGATAAAAAGCAGAGTGGTGCTTTGCAAGAGAAAGAAGCAACCGGGTGAAATTTTGTATGGAGCCTCCGTAGTGTGCGATAGATAAGATAAAGGATTGGCAGACAACAAGCTCAAAGCCAGAATTGTGCCACCAAACTTTGAGATATCTTTAGAACAAGTGGAAAAATCCAAGTATCTTTACCAATGTCGATATATAGACCAGATTAATCTCAATGGAGATACTGGAGAATACCAAATGGTTTGGTGTATTGATGCCGTGTATTGCCTTGGTGGTGTTGTCCCAGTGTTGGCAGCAGAAAATTTTTTTCGCTGACTTTTTCCCGAGATCGGATAAGAAGGCAGATTTGGACCTAGTATAAACGGACTCGAAACAAAATATTTGGAAATAACACTAGTATCAGACAGGAGCTGGCAACTTGTAGAATGTGTCTATAATGATCGCGTGGCGAGTTGATGTGGTGTGGACCGAATGGCGTATGGATACAAACAGAAGAGAGTGAGTGGAAGGGTGTTGTTTTTGTCCATCTGGGCGATTAAGGGATACCAGATAAGATTAGCCCAAAAACTGCTGGAGAGAGGTCTCTGCTATAATTACACGACCTTTCATGCTGGTGATTACGCACATGATGGTATGAAGATTACTCAGGAGCAGGAGAGAATCAATGATTAGAATATTATTGAATGGGAGATTTTAAAATTATTTAAGTATATGTGTTATTAACCGTTGTTTGTGGCCCAGCCAAAGGGCATGGTCGGTGTGATCCTTGAGATCTCCAAGGTCGCTTCTTGGGTGTATCAGCACAGATAGCTTTCCATGGTTAAGCTGGAACCAGGGAACAATCTTGTTGAATACTGTGATATCATTGAAGTCACACTCCCACATTGCCGTGGGATGAGGGCCAATTGGCTGAGTCCAAAATTTGTGCACTCTGACCTTTCCATCTTCGATCTCTTGCGAAAACTCCTCGAGAACTCTATCGCGCAGACTGGAAGCGAATTCGCGCTCAGCCTCGTCGCCGTAATTGTAATACGTATGGATATCGTATGACTTTATTCCACCGTAAAAAGACATGATGAAACAACGGAATTAGGGAAAAATGGAAGCAGTCTTCAAAGAATGGATTAGTGGGGAACTTATATAATGATCCCACATCGATGATATAGCTTACGCAATCACAGGCTGCCTTACCTAATATTAATAATATGAAGGCAAGAACTACGCGGTAAACGATATTACGGCGGAAAAATCATATTTCCAGCAAAAACTTTCAAATAACACGTCAAACAGCCTTCTGGAAACATTCCTGATACAAGATGAAGCTCTCAAACTTCAATTCTTAGTTGTGGTCCCATTCACAGACACTGAGAGCCGCATGTCTGTTCTCGAAACCTCGGAGCGAGCAATTGAAACAGTAGTGGCATAACCATTATCATCGCCACACGTTCAACGTGCCGGACGTACAACACGGAAATGCTGTTGTGGGTGTGTGGATACCATCAGAACATTAAACGAGCACATCTATAACGCAAGCAAGATTCAGATCTTCTTTACGTCAAATTCTCGGGGTTATTTCTCTGAATTGTTTCCTCGGTACGAATCTCATTCCTAATGGATGTCATACGATCGGTGCTGTCTTCGCGACAAGACAACGTGGAACCTTCTCAGTTGAAACAGGATGATGAGGCCGATAACGGACCACTGAAGGAAAACACCCAGAACAGGCCTGATGAAGCTCCAAGAAACGATCAAGGAGAGGAGGGACCAACATACGAGGAACCAGGGTATTTTCCGAATAAATTCAGTTTTCATTTCGGCGAGGCCGAAGATAATGGCTTGCGAGAAAGCAGGAGGTCTTCTCAATCACTGCCAAGCTCACCAGACCAGCAACACAATGGTCACGAGCTTGCCAACGGCGACGACTCAAATTCAACACCACATCCGCGGCCACTTTCTTCGCATTTTGACCCGAAAAACCCAGAAACCAATGACGATTCATTCTCACAAAGTCGCCCGCGCCCTTCTATCCACAGTGTCCATTCCAAAAAGTATGTGAAAACCACACAGTCACATCCCGGAAACGACCCAGAGAGAAATTTCAAGAGGTTGAGTTTGAATCCTGATTTCAACTTTAGGAAGTTGATGAGGCGAAAGCCCAAGACTGTGGTACATTCAGCATTGGAAATGGGTCCGGATGAAGATGGAGTGACAGATATAGCAGCCATGCACAGAGCTCAGGAATTGATATCAGCACTGATTTCTGGATCCACAACTGCACTATTTACAGCTACAATGTTCTTGAAGGATGACAGAGCAGTGAGAAGAGCTCCTCTTCTCTTACAAATGTTGGGATTCAGATTGACAGATGTCACAAAAGACGACTGGACCAAAAACAGGATCTACAGAATAGACCTGGAGTACGGAGTCGGCCCAAGAAGACTAAAATGGACTATCCACAAGACCTCCAAGAACATCTTCAAGCTCAACCAAAACATAAAGTACAACATTGGTATCTACAGAGCAGGTAATCTGAGGGCGGTGAGAGACAACGACTTGCCGAGGTTCCCCAGGTTCCCCGTTGATCTCAGGCTGTACAACCGTGATCACAGACACAGCATGGCACCAAATCAATCGAGTGCTGATGCCATTCGTAGATCCACAACTGAAAACTTTGACGATGCTGGAAGTGTCTATTCAGACCTATCTTCTCAGTTTAGTCACCTTGTGCACAGAGTGAGACATCATCACAGCGGGGCAAACAATTCTGTGCTCCCGACCGTTCAAGAAGTTCATGAGCAGTACCGAATTTTGATTGAAAGATACCTGAGGGATCTCTTTCAGGCAATGACTTTGAAGCCGTATTGCAATAAGGTGTTCCGTTTTTTGCAACTTTCTCCCATTGGTGTCTTGCTTTCCACGGAAAACGATTTCAACGGAAAGCAAGGATATCTTACGATTTTGACAAAATCTAAAGCACAAGGCTGGAACGTTGGCCACTGGAAGCCAATGGAGCTGAAGGCCATGGTGGTGAGACATACACCGAAGTGGGTGGTGGTTCGACTTGGGTATATTATCTATGTTTCCGAAATCCACTCTACAACGCCTCTCGAGGTATTTTTGGTCGATTCCTCTTTCAAAATTCATTCTCATTCGGATTTTGATAAACCGCTCGAGGAAATGGAGAGCGATGATGATGAAGACTACGACACCAAAGATACAAAGAGGCCATGGGTGACTATGACTCTCTCGAATGGAGAACGTTCTCTGCAAGTGGGAACTCGTAATGAGACTCAGTTGAGACAGTGGTACCGTTCTATTGAGACGATGCGTGAGAAATGCATCTGGTCTCAGCCTCATCGTTTTAGCAGTTTTGCCCCAGTGAGGGACAAATGCTTTGCACAATGGTTTGTTGATGCTCGTGACTATTTCTGGGCCGCAAGCAGTGCCATGGAGATGGCCAAAGATGTCATATACATACATGATTGGTGGTTATCTCCCGAGTTATACCTCAGACGGCCACCCAATGGGAACCAACAATGGAGAATCGATCGGATATTGAAGCGGAAGGCAGAAGAGGGTGTGAAGATCTTTGTCATTGTTTACCGGAATGTTGGAAACACTGTTGTCACAGACTCCATGTGGACTAAGCACTCATTGTTGAACCTTCACCCAAACATCCATGTCTTGCGTTCTCCTAATCAGTTCATTCAAAACATTTACTTCTGGGCTCATCACGAGAAGCTCTTGGTTATCGACCACAACATTTGCTTCATGGGTGGCATTGATCTCTGCTATGGTAGATACGATACCCCAGATCATGTACTTACAGACGACCGCGAGGGAGCTTTCGAGAATGGCCAAAATTCTGATCAGGAGGAGGGCGTGAAGACTCAGATATTCCCCGGAAAAGATTATTCTAATCCAAGAGTAAAGGACTTTTGGGAGCTAGACAAACCATTTGAAGATATGTACGACAGAAACACAGTTCCGCGGATGCCATGGCACGACGTTCATATGATGTCTTGCGGTCAGGTCGCAAGAGACTTATCAAGACATTTTGTACAGCGTTGGAATTATCTTCTGAGGACAAAGAGACCGTCTAGACCAACCCCTCTTCTGTTACCCCCTCCTGAGATTACTGAGGAAGAAATCAAAAATCTGGGGTTTGAAGGAACCTGTGAGATTCAACTGTTGAGATCGTCTTGTAATTGGTCGCTTGGATTGAAGGACCATGAGCAGAGTATACAAAATGCATATTTAAAGCTGATTGAGACCAGTGAGCATTTCGTTTACATCGAAAATCAGTTTTTCATCACTTCTGCGGCCTGGGACAATATTGTCATAAAGAACAGAATAGGTGATGCGTTGGTAGACAGAATCCACAGGGCTTATCTTGAAGGCAAGCCATGGAAGGCGGTCATTGTTATTCCTCTGATGCCTGGATTTGAAGCAGAAGTTGATACCAGAGAAGGTTCTTCCGTTCGTGTGATCATGCACTGTCAATACATGTCTATTTCGCAGGGCCAGACTTCTATTTTTGCAAAGCTGGAGAAATTGGGGATTAGGCCACTGGAGTATATTCAATTCTACTCACTGCGGAAATGGGGTCGTATTGGAAAAGATCGCAACTTAGTAACTGAACAGTTGTATGTCCATGCAAAAACCATGATTGTGGATGATCGTGTGGCCATAATTGGATCTGCCAACATTAATGAAAGATCGATGCGTGGAAGCAGAGACTCCGAAGTTGCGGCGGTAGTGAGAGACAAGGCCATGGTGGAAACCACAATGAATGGTGAGCCATATCTTGCGGCAAAGTTCGCACACTCCTTGAGGATGAGGCTTATGCGCGAGCATTTGGGAATAGACGTGGATATGCTTGATCTAGTCGAGAGGAAGTTTTCCAAGATGGAGGAGTTTGCAAAGACTGAGAGCGGTTTGAAGGCGGCAACGGGAGACTTCGATTCCACCTTCAGCTCTGAATTATCTGCAATGGTTGAGCTTGCTGCCAGACACGTGCTTGGTTTCACGAACGGGACTGAGCGCTGGACCAAGTTCATTTCATCCAAAAACCTTAAAGTCAGCGGCAAGCAAATGGAAGATGATTTCAAGAGGTTCTGTGATCAAGAATTCGAGGATGTGGAGGCTGAAGAAGACGACCTTCCTGCATTTCCTCTATATACATCCTTCAACAACCGAGCTGGCTTTGAAAATGTTGGCATAAGAGAAAAGAAACCATTCTCCACCGACAGCCGTATCGCCGACCATCAAGATGAGCATAATCAGAAGGTGGATGGCGATGGTGATGATAATTTCAAGGGCAAATCGTACGAGGCTTCTAAAAAGAACATTTCGAGGCTTTTGCTGAAATGGGCAAGCGAAGCGGAGCTGGATGAAAACAGAATTCCATACATTCCTTGCACTCAGCAGCTTTTAGAGGTTTTGGAAACAGATGAACCTGGTCGCAGCATAGACTCTCAAAACAAAGAGAGATGGGATATGTTGAGAAGAATTTCATACCTTCAGGCAACAGCTGCTAGGGAGAAACGAGATGCGGAAATTGAGTGCAACCTGGCTCGGTCTCACAAGAACAGATCCAGTGATGGGACTACTTCAGATCATGTTAGGGTAACCCACTCTCCGGACATGATAGGGACTCCACCACCTGAAAATAATAGCTCTACTCCAGCAGCCGAATCGAACCCGTCTGCGTCGTTCTATTCTGTTGTCTCGCTGAGTGACTCTATGATCAAGGACTTGATGACGAACGCATTGCCAAGAGCTCAGCCTGTAATTGATCCGTATGCATTTGAAGATCCCCTGGATGTTGACTTTTACGAAGGGACATGGTTGCCTCAAGCCATGAGAAACACGATGATTTATCGTATGGTTTTCCACTCCCAACCCGACGACAATGTTGTCACCTGGAATCAATACAAAGAGTTTGGACGATTACAGATGGCTTTTTGCGAAGCTCAAGTGGCTAAGAATTTGCACACTTCTGAAGAAGCTGCAGATGGATCAGCAGCTACCAATAGGAAGCAGGAGGCATATTCGAACCCGGCCTCAAGTGATACCGTGAAATCTGACGGCCACTCAGAGGTTGACCCAAGGGCAAGGCTGAGACGTGAAAAGGTGGCAGCTCTCGAAATGTTCAACAAATCACCGCACGAGACTTCAGGTACAATTTACGATAAGGAGACTGCAGAGAAGCTACTGGGTAATATCAGAGGGCATCTGGTGCAATTCCCCCTAAATTGGTTATCGAGGGAGATGGACTCTCAGAATTGGTTCTACAAGACCGACACGCTTCCACCTATTGAGATCTACAATTAAAAACATAGAAGATTCATGAATATCTTTCCATAGATATTTGGTGCATTACGAGCTATATAAGCCATCCAATTGAATAAATCAATGATTAACGAATGTCTCACTAATAAGGTTATCAGTAGTTTCACCAAATTAAATAATGTTACCCTTTTGGGTCATCTCAACCAGAAGACCTGGAGAAGATGCATCTTGCTGAAAAATCAAGCTTTATACAGTTCCATGATAGTTACCGTTCCCAACAGGATGGGCTCTGAAATCATATAAAGATATTCAATGGAACTGAGAGTCGCAATTATTTATGCGGTATTCGTGTCTGCATCATATCCGTTATCCATATATGTTGGTCAGTCAAACCGCGCTGTAACATCGAGGAACGACCATGATGTGATGAAAAGAAGGATGAAGGCTGTTTCTGCGGTGAGTCTGTTCCATTTGGTATTCTCTCCGTTATTTTTGGCAAGACTGGAAGCCACTAGCTGGCTTGAAGGACTATCCAAGTTGGGCGTCATACCAGGTCTCGTGGTTGGTACATCTGTTCAGTTTGATGTTCGCAATCTGATTGCAACAGCATTCGATACATTCAAAGTACTAGCACTTGTTTCAGTGCTTTTTATTGGCCCTACTTGGCACTATCTATATGATTGCTTTCTTACAGGCTCAGTCTTTGGAGCGGTTAGGGAAGATCTTATCACAACCTTTACAGATTTTCAGTCTCTGAGAGACTACATAGTTTCACCGGCCACAGAGGAGTTCATATACTCTTCGGTGATCATGTCGATTTTTCTACCATTTGTCAGGTCAAATGAAATATCATTCACGAAAGCCTTGTCTGTGACTCCCTTGCTATTTGGGTTCGCCCATGTCCATCATGCCATTGAACTCCACAGATCAGGCAGACACTCTGCTGTGGCCATAGCAGCTACCACAGTTTTCCAACTGGCATTCACCTCTATATTTGGATTATTCACAAATTTTGTGTTTGTAAGAACTGCATCTGTTTGGCCATGCATTTTTGCCCATATTTATTGCAATTTTCAGGGTTTTCCTGATCTTCGGATCGAGGCCAGCAGAGATCTCCAGCTAGCGTACTACTTGATGTTAGCACTGGGTATCGTGGGATTCAAAGATCTACTATATCCACTCACTCAGCATTCTTCTTAGGAACAGAAAATAAGAATAAAACCGGGAATAAATAGTGTACTTGACAGAGATTTGACACATAATCAATTTGCTTCAAAGTATATCTCTTCGTCGTCGTAGATCTGAGCATCAGGTATGGAGTCATAATTCTGTGAAACACCTAGTTCAGCCTGTCCCATCATCATTTTGTCCTCTATAGACAATTCAGGGCCATTTGCCTGATCGGGAACCTGCTGAAGATACAGAGTGTGGTTCACCAGATTGAGGTAGGCATACATGAAGTTCGATAGAAGCACCTGTTGCCTCAATGGTCTGCGGGCATCTGCAAGCTTCACATGAGATAGACGATATATTGCTCTTTCCACATGAATAGGAAACCTGTAATCTAACATCACCAGAGTCGATTGAGATGCAGGTGGTAATGGGAATCCGAAGGCAGAGTCTGTATATTCCAATGGGGCATTTGGCTTCCTATTGGATCGGTCTTCTATCTTCAGCGTTGATTTCAGAAGCTCTCTCTCTCCCACTGAGGGCGTTTGAGGTTCCTCTGGCTTCCCTATTTGCTCGGATGGGTTGGAAGTACCCCTAGGATCAAGCGTGAAGCGTTGGTGTTCTGCAGGAGAATTGGAGTCAACGGGCCTTTCGGTAAATGATTTTGCCTGTTTTGTGGGCTTAGAAATTCTTGATATCACTTCAGGTTCCACGGGTTCCAAGGACGGCGAGACACGCTCATAATCACTAGGAATATCTTCTGCTGGTGAAATTTCAGGGCTGGAAACGGAACCACTTGCCTTTCTTCTGAACAACTTGGAAATACTCTTCTTGGTTGCTTCTCTCATGGTTTCCTTATCAGGCTCCTTTTCCTTCTCTTTGAGCTCAGGTTCCAATTTCTTCTGTGATGTCAATAAAGGTCTTTGCTGTGTTATGCTCACGCCCTTATGGCGGTTTCTGGAGTGCCCTGTTGAGGAATAAGACTCTTTCTGGTCCACCAGATTCTGCTCGCGGGCTGAATCGAGAGATAGTCGTTCTGCTTCAATTGGTATCTGCGGAAGCTCAGCATCGGTTTTATCCGAGGCTATGCTTTCAGAAGAGCTCTGAGAACTGTGCCTGTCCTTGAGCCAGCCCCAACTGCTCTTCTTTTTCTGCCCTCCAGGAGAAGAAGGTGCGGACGATGACGATCCAGACAAGATTCCGTATGACTTTTTCTTCTTCAACTTTTGTTTCTCTACCGGAGGTGGTGGTAACGGTTTATCCTGTATGATTTCCGATGGTGTTGCTCTTCGCAAGACTGGCTTGGGAGGTGGATTCTGCGAAGGAGGAGCTGTGCGAGGACCTAGACTCAAATCGGGTTTGACGATATCTGCATCAACGGGCAAGGTATGATCCAAATAAGCATTTTCAGAAATTTCCTTGTGGTCATTCAACATGTCAAGAGGTTCTCTTCCACGCAATGGAGTACGCGGACGGTGCTGCAATGGCTCTGCAGATTGTGTATCCGCTTCCGGGCCCAAAGTTGGAGATACAGGAGATCTACCACTGAACCTGCCAGAACCACCTCTTCTATAAGTTGTCCACCTGCTCCTTCGCAGCTGGCTGTGCTCCTCGCTTGGGAGGAAAATCTCGTCCATTTCATCAGTCTTAGGTTCGTTAGGAACTGAAGATGACTGCGATTCGCCTTGTGTCGTAGAATATGCATTCTTCTCAGCAGAAGTGAACCCCAGTGTCGACGAGGAGAGAGTTCTGGCCAGCGTGATAGCATCAGTTGAATCCAATCCTGCCATTTTCGATAAGCTTTCCAACTCCTCAGTCAGTTGCTTGATGGAAGGCCTCCTTCCGTGCTGCGTGAGTGAATTACCTCTGCTTCCACTTCGCCTCAATGATCCTCTTCTGGATAACTCTCCAGACCGGTTGTTGTTCAACTGCTCAGTGATCTCGTTCACGGTGCTTTGCACATGTTTTCTGAAATTTTCAGGTGCCAAATTTGGATGCGCGTTTGCAGGAACCCACATCAGCTTATTGGAGGCTGATAACACGCTATCGGAGTCATATTCGTAAGGATCATTGTTGAGATCATTGAGAATTTCATCAGACTGCTGCTGCTGCAAGTTTAGGTAATTGACTTCGCCATACTCCGTCTCATTGAAAGGTAGATCAGGATCAAAATCCAGCGAATTGCCTATCGAAAGTCTCTTCAAAGCACGCACAACATTTATCTCCTGTTCCACTGCTTGGGAAGCGGCTTTCAGCTCTTCAGTCGAAGAGGAACTGGAAGGTCGCTGTGATCTGTCGCCGGACTTGGAATGTGGTGATGGTGGCAGATGGCCACCTGAACCCGTCAGATGACCACTGTTTTGGGATGAGTCAAGCACCATTTATGAATGCCTCATAAACAAGATGCGAATGTGGGCGCGAAGAAGACACGGAAGACAAACGTGACAATGCAAAAGTGAACGGACGAGTGATGATGCAGGAGCTGGAAATGAGTGATTAGCAACGGCGATCCGGTGTTGAAAAAAAACAATTGAGAGCCTATAGTAATGCTATTCTGAAAAAAAGATTGATCTTTGAGTTTTCTGATCCAGGTTTCACGCCGAATTGGCTTGGTTCAAATCGCCATCCATTAGGCAAATTCATCTTTGGAAAGCGCTTTGAGGGTCCTCCAACGCGTTCTGGATCTTGATTGGCACACGCCCCACCCATTCACGGTTCTCCGCAATTGCAGATCTGAATTCTGTTCTGTGGAATGCAGAGCTGCTGCAGGATGGCTGATTGTATCAGACTTGAGGTTGGAAAAATAATTTTTAAAATGACTCTGTTATAAAGAAATGGACAAATGAGAAAGGAATCTAGAGACTGGCGACTTCAGTCTTTACCTCAGGGCCCTTGGGTGCTTCGATGTCTATGCTTGATTGACTCTCTGCTGGCTCAGTGACGAGAACGGAACCACCTTTCTTCAGTCTCAGAAGTCTAGGGAAGACGAACATAAGCGACTTGCGGCCCTGCCACAATGGGAAAAGGATAATATAGAGGGCAGCCAATAACAACCAAATGAGCATGACCACAATAAAGCCGGTGAATGACTTCTTGCTGAGCTCATCCTCAACACCATACATAGCCACAACCTGCAAAATATAGATACCTAACACTATAACGACGTTGATAATAAGCGAGGCATAAGATTGAGTTGTCAGCGTTTTCTTTTGTTTATCGCTGATATCCATGTGCTCCATCTCTTCCTTATCAACATCATCACCAGCCTGGACTCCACGTCCGAGGGCACTCAAGTCGAAGGGTTCTGGGTCTGGTTTTAAATAGGAGATCACCACCATGTAGATTGTGCCGGCTCCAAAAGCTACCAAGTTTCCAATCAAAGTTGCGGCGGTGGTCATCACAGTGTCTTTGTTGATGACGTGGTCCGCATAGACATAGGTAGCACCTATCCAACAAGCTATTCCTGTGAGAGTACCAAGGGGAGCGCCGATGATTAAACCCAGCTTTGTCATCTTTGGCCAGAATAGCATTAAAGAAACTGCTGAGACCTCTGGAGTTAAAATAATGCCAATAAAACTTAGCATCCAACCAGTGGTTACACCAATGTAGTTGAAGACCACAGATAGCACACCCATACCCAGGCCAAAAGAGACCACTGCAATGTGGGAAGCCCTCACAAGTTGTTTGCCGGTTGCTTGAGGGTTAATGTATGTTCTGTAAATGTCGTAAGTTGAAACTGATGAAAATGCAATCAATTCAGCTGAAGTGGCCGAAGTGACAGACATAAAAAGCATTACCAGGGCCATGGCTGCACCAGGTGATCCAAAAATTGCATACAGACCATACACCACAGGCATTCCAGCATCAACTTCGGCATCGCTAAGAGCGTTTGGATAAGTCACAGAAGCAGGGTTTGTGAGCAGAGCTCTGCAGGCTAAACCACCGGAAGATCCAAGTGCAAATGGAATGATCCACCAGCAGATACCTCCCATCAAGTAACCCCAAAAAACAGACGATGAGTCGGAAGCAATGGCCCTCTGAGAGTATCCTGGGTCACCAAATACAGAAGAAAGACCACCAATACAAACACTCCACGTGAGCATGATCATAGACTTATCGTGGAAGTTGACGTAGCTCTTTCCACTTGCAGATGGAAAAACATCTTGAGCTTCGATCAGCAGATCGTACATTTTTCCTGGAGATCCGATTAGACTTGACGAGCAATAGATGGTGTAACAGGATACCAATAGGATGATGTAAATAATTACCGTGTGGATCCAGTCGGAAATAAAAGTTGCTTTCAAACCACCCAAAGCAGTGTATATCACCACATTAAGAGGCAGCAAGAAAGAGGCCGCAACAACATGCATACCAGTAGCAGCTGCGAATCCTTGAGAACCACCTAACAACAGCAGCGACGAGATTAACACATTGGTTGCAACACAATAAAATAAGAAGCACCAATGACCAACTTTTCCGAACCTGATATAGAAGCATTCGGAAACGGTGTGGATGCTTGGAGCGTATCTTTTGATCTGAATAGCCAGAAACAGAAACAGAGTAATTTGTATGGCACCACTAACACCATAAACCCATCCTCCCATAATTCCATGTGAGTAGGACCAGCTTCCTGATGAGAGAAGGGTTGCAGGCCAAGTCCATGCTGATACAGTGGAAGAGGCTATAAGACCAGACTTGACACTACGGGAAGCTGTAGAAAATCTCTCAGAATTTTGCACCTGACCCATGTAGACAGAAAGGGACTTAGAGATGGAGACCATCAGTATTGCGAAGGCTGCGCCAAGCCCAAGGGCAAAGCCGTAGCCGTAGCCTTGAGAAAGAATAGGTTCAACCATGTTTTCGATGGAGTCTTTGCTATAGATGATCAGGAAGACCGGCCATAGATGTCTTTGAGAGGACAGCGCTTTGCAGGCTATAAATGGAGTTCGAATCCTTATCTTTTTAACCAGAATTATATCAGTTGGCTAACCCCTTTGTATGTACCATGATCGGGAACATTGCTCAAAAACTGCAGAGAAGCCCCCCACCGAGAAGGTATCCGATAAATGCATGCGATAAGGAAAGATAAGAGGCTTGCATGAAGGAAAATTTACCACTTTGGGACATGTTGATCCGACATCCGACATCCGAAAGTTTGCCGGTTTTAGTGTATGAGATAGTGTCATGCAATTTGAAACCCACTGATTTCGTTCGATTGGGGAATTTCGGGCGCAAAGTTTATAGAGTAACACACCCCTAACTATCGTTAGTCACTCCAAGCGAAGGGACAGAGTTCATGGGTGAGAGTACATCCTGGATTGCCTGGAGCGCCGTATGTTTCAAACGATTTCCTCTTGGCGCTATGAGCTTCTCATTCAAGATCTGCAAGAAAATGCGCGTCAAAATCACCCCTTCAGCATTTCAAAAAGCGAGATTGAACCACTTAGAGTGTGATTTGCATATGCTTCTCGTTGTGGCCGGTAGGTTGCTGATCTGTCTCTATTTCGCATTCGATCAGATCATGGTTGCATTGCATAACCCCTGATGACGTTTAAAGCGTATCCGCTCAATTAAGGTCTAAATGAATTGTAAGCCAAAATTAACCTGACAAAATCTTGTGATCTTATCTGATCCATTCGAGCCGCTATACCCCAAAGGAGCTCGACTTCCGTCGCCAGATCCGAGATCCGAGATCCGCAAGATGGGGGTGGCCCCGCAGTGATAACCAACTCCTACACATTAATGTGCAGGAGGGTGTCTTTAAGGTCTGAAAAATTCTGATCCTCCATGGTATTTATTGTTTTCTTGTAGGTAGTCAACATACTTAAGACTGAGATAACATTTTACCAATCTTTTGAAACTATTCCCTTCGTTTAGTAAGTCAACAAATAGCATTTAAAGGACCCTTTGATCAGAACTTTGATCAGAATACGCTCCATTTCCTCGAATCCTTATTAATCTCGTATTAGATCACCAAATGACTGCTCCTGACTGGAAAACCTTCCCTGCTGAAATTCAGGAAAAGCTGTATCAGAATATTCCGGAAGAATGGAGAGACAAGACTCTGAAGGACAAGATGCTAGCTGAAGGCTTCATCAATGCCAAAGAGTTTATAGACACCCTCGTTCCTGACTCTGAGAAAAAAATTACTTCATTGGATGCCCCTACTCTTGCCAAGGTGATTGCTTCTCGCGAATTGACCTCATATGAAGTTGCCAAGGCCTTTTTCCATAGAGCTGCTCTTGCGCAGCAACTGACCAACTGTGTTATTGAAAGTTGGTATCCTGCAGCGCTCGCCAAAGCCAAAGAATTGGACAAAATTTTGGAGGAAACCGGAAAAGTGGTTGGTCCTTTACATGGTGTTCCTATCTCATTAAAGGATCAAGTCGATATTGCGGGTTTTGACTCCTCAATTGGTTACATCGGAACCTATAACCACCCAAAATCTGAGAATGCTCTGTTAGCTACCATTCTGGAGAATGCAGGTGCAGTCACTTATGTTAAGACTACGGTACCAATGGCAATGATGGCACCTGAGACTGTGTCTAATATTCATGGGTACACCTCTAATTCACTCAATATCAACCTGACATCCGGAGGTTCGTCTGGTGGTGAGGGTTCCTTGATTGGAGCTCAAGGCTCTCCATTAGGGGTTGGTACAGATATTGGAGGGTCTATCCGTATTCCCTCTGCCTTTCAAGGCTTGTATGGTCTGAGACCTTCGCATGGCCGTGTTCCATACTTGAGAGTCACAAATTCGTACTCCGGTCAAGACACCATGCCATCTGTGATTGGTCCGCTGTCGCCTTCTTTAGAGGGTATTGAGCTATTTATGCAAACAGTTGTTGGTGCAGAGCCTTGGAGACAAGACCACAAGGTTGTGCCAATTCCATGGAGAGATGCTTCTGAGTTCAAAACCAGAAAGTTGACCATTGGTGTCATGGCTTACGATGGATGCATTATGCCCAATCCGCCTGTGCTGAGAGCTGTTGACGAATGCGTTGCTGCTCTGAAGCGTGCCGGTCACGAGGTAATTGAGTGGAAATTTGAGGAACAAGCAGAATTCTCAGATGTTGGTGGGAAGATTTTTGCTGCAGATCTAGGTCAGGAGATCAGAGATACATGTGCTATTTCTGGTGAGCCTGTGGTCCCTGTCGTTGAGTACTTGGTTGACGAAAGTACTTTCCCCGAAATCCTCAACGTAAATCAATGGTGGGATCTATGCAACAAGAAATACGAATTGCAAACCAAGTTCTTAGCTGCTTGGGCAGAATCTGCTTCTAAGACTGCGAGTGGTCGGGAAATTGATGCAATTATCTGTCCAGTCTGGGCCACTCCTCCCTTTGAGAAGAACAAATTTGAATCGGCCGTTTTGGGTTACAGTGTCCCATTCAATGTTGTGGACTCCTCTGTGGTAATTGTACCTGTTACCAAGGTTGACAAGCTAATTGATCTAAAGGACGAAACCTACACGCCAAAAAACGCGAAAGACCAACAGGTGTACGACTCCTATAACCCCGAAGTGTACCACGGCATTCCCATCTGTGTTCAGGTAGCCTGCAAGAGATTGGAAGAGGAAAAAGCCATTGCTATTGCCTCTGTCTTGGCCGATTCCCTGAAATAGATATTGATTATCTCTGGGCTTTTCGTATCTTTATATATGTTTATAATAAGTTGATCTGACAGTCTCCTGCAAGGTACTGCGTGCATATATGCGGCGTCTGATTTGGTTTAGCACGCTAATATTCTAGAAATATCTAGATAGACGTATTCTGTCTGAATCGAGAAACTATCTCTTTACCTGACGATCTGGCTGTGCATCGAGGTGATGAATTCTTCCCACAGAAATAACCAAAGCTGACAAATCTATTCAAGCCATAATTGCACAGAATGGACGACAGGGTTTTTGGCAAAAGGCGGCACCCTCCGGAAGCATCTTCTCATCCCTTCAAGAAGCGGCTGGTAGATAGCCTGTCCAGTCTGAGCATTGGCTCTGATCCTGGCAGAAGGCAATCCATATCGCGCCCGACATCGCCTTTTTCATCATCTGAGGATAATTTGTTGCCGGCATACGAACCGCATGCTTACGCAAACTCACAAACAAGTGATAGAATCGTCATACCGTCTATAGAGAAGTTCCTGCGAGAGAATCCAGACTATGACGATTCCGCCACAAGGCCAATTAATGTATTTGAAGAAATCGACCCCATGAAACTTGTTATACCGAATTTAAGGGCGGTTAATGAATTATTCAACAGCGAATCCAGTTTCAACAACGAGGCCTACCTAGCTGAAAGGAAGAGATTCTCCTACGAAAGGGTTGCGGCCCAGAAGAAAAGGGAATTAGAAAAGAAGATGCGCAGTCAACCGGCCCAATTCTTGGGCATTAACAATGATATGAATGATGAAGGGGCTCCATCCGGGTTTGAGGTGGAGGTCACAGACAACGAGATATATAGAGACGCATATGCCTTGCGATACTGGTCTCTCGTGAAATGGTACGATCCGACGGCGGTGGTTTTGGAAAATCTACGCGAATGGCGCAATAGTGAGAGTTCAGTGTATGTGCCAGATGATGGTGATACCAGCTTCTACATGGACGAGTCAATGGATGTAGCTGAGTGCTCAACTCCATCAAGACCCAACCCTAACTGGGAATCTGAATATGGCTCGTACTACGCCTCCACTCCAGTGGGACGACAACAGATAGAGATTGATGACATGGACATGGATATTGATTAGTAAATTATAGTTAGCATGCAAAATTAAGCTCAAACATTGGAAACATCTGCCAACTTGGCCAGAACCTTTCTCAAGCCTGTAGTGTACACTTTGGGATCTTCTTGGAATTCGTACATTTGCTCCACTTTATCCACCAATTCGTTCCCTTTGGCGTGCAAATTCCTTAACGTATCCTTGGTATAATCGAAACTGTTTGTGCTATCCATATAGCTCAACGCCTGTTTCTTCAGCTCGATATCATTCGTGTGCAATTTGAGGATCTCCAGTAACTTGTCTCCATCCTTTCCTGTGGCCAAAGAGTGTATTACTGGAAACGAAAACTTTCCTTCAGTGAGATCCTCACAAAATCCCTTGCTGGATACGTATTTGGTAGACTTCAGGTTCAAATAGTCATCTCTGATCTGGTAGATGGCACCCATCACGTTGGCCACTGCAACTAATGGGGAAAGGGTTTGAGGACTCGAATTTTCAAAGGATTTCAATCCAGAAGTACTGAGTTCCAACAATCGCACAGCCATTCTGAACAAGCCACCAGTCTTGTCCATAACCATATTCAGATACTCCAGCTCGGTCGGACACTTGTGCTCGTCTCTCCAATATATGTCTAGACCCTGCCCTCTATGCAGATACAACAGTTCCTCGGTGAATATCTCCTGAACATGCTTGCTTGCCTCTGTAGTCTCCTCCAAACTCATTAAATTCTGTGCAACCACAAAGATCATATAGCTGGAACTGTTTATCGTCGAGGGAACACCGAACTTGATGTGTGCCGTGGGTTGGCCTCTTCTCAGCATGGCGTAATCTTCAACATCGTCAATGAGCAAAGAAACCTGGTGAAGTATCTCAGCAGACTCACAAATAAGATCTAGCTTTTCATGCGGCGCCTGAAGAATTCTGTTGAAAGATTCGATCACAAGGCTGATACTCTGCTTGCCAGGATTGTTAGCCAGGTAGTCGTATGGACGTCTCAGTATGGTTTCACTTTGCACGTCCCAACATGCGTGTCCTTCAAACGAAACACGTTTCCCAATATCCATTGATGCAAACTCGATACCTCTGGCAAAATTCCAGCAATATTGCTCGGAACAAGCGGCGAGTGTTATCTATGTGGTGGCCAATTTCGTTCTATCAATAATCAAATGATGTCGTGCGCAACTCATCTCATCGCCTACTGAAACTTTAAGTACACGTTATCAGGTCCTGTTAGACAGGTATCCATTCTTTTGAGCTGAAAGCCTGATAAGCTAACCGTTTGTGAAGCCGAAAATTGTTCAATTCAATGGAAAGGCATTTATGGGATGTTATACAGGGGATTCCTCCGGTGACAAGGACTTATCTGGGTGTGTCTTTTGCCTTCTGCTCACTGGTGGGCTGTGGCCAATTCTCCAATAACCCTTCGGACTGGGGATTGTCATTTGCAAAGATATTCAAATATGGACAAGTATATCGATTATTTACCAGCATCATGTACGATGGTGCACTGCGATGGGAACTGCCCTTTACGTGGCTGAGGGTAGGGAGTGTGATGACTTTTCTTGAAAGGAAATACGAAAACGCCTGGAGTTTCGTTTGGTTGATTGTGTTGATGGCGCTGTCGAATTACGTTGCTGCTTATTTCTTGTTGAATTGTACTGATAACACGCTGCTGAACGCACATTTCATGTTCGCGGTCTACTATTTGTCAGTGAGAAGATTTCCCAATGGGGACCATGTGATGATGGGGTTGGTAACGATAAAGGCCAAGTACATTCTGATCATGCTCTACTTGTTTTCCTTCTACAGTGTGTGGTACTTCATCGCCGGTTACCAGGGTAGTCTGGATGGCTGTGTAGGAATTTTGGCTGGACATCTGGTATTTCTGGGATACGATCTGGTGCCTCCGTTGTTCAATGGAATCAATGTGCTTCAGCCAATTTGGGAATGGACATTCGTGAAACGTGTTTTTATGCCAATGAAAACCCTGTTGTTATCAACCGGTTTGTTTGCGCATGCTGATCAGGTGGTGCTTGTGCAACTTGACGATGATGGGGTGGAAGGGCCAGTGGAAGTACCAGTAGCAGTGGCTACAGGATTTGAATTGGGCAATGACGATGGACTTGCTCTTAGAGACCTAGGCGGTGAAGAAGCTGTGGAGGAATGAATTTACGAATTATATCGAACATGATGACTCAAAAGAAAGGAAAGTTTGTAGTGAAGATGGTCGGTCAGTTGTGATGCAAGGTCGTGATGTTTTGGTCATTGACAAAATTCAACAGTATTTTTGCAGCTCTTCGCCATTCTCCCCAATGATCTTCTTGATGGTCTTTATTATATCCGCATGGAGAGTCTTGGAAGAAGCAACTATACCCTGCGATTGGAGCGTTCTTCCCTTACCAAAGTCCAGAGAGTTTCCATATATATCGGATACGACTCCCTCGGCCTCGGTGATAAGGACATTACCCGCAGCATGGTCCCAGATTTTTTCCTGGTAGTTCACGTCTTTGGGCAATCTCAGGTAGATCTCAGCGTCGCCTCTTGCCAATGCGCAATATTTCACCTGCGAATCCAGGTTCAAGGACTTGGAAACAATGTTCAAGTCTTCCTTGATGAGAGCCTGAAGTTCATGGGACGAATGGCCCTTCTCAACGCCTTCGCACACCTTGGCCTCGGCAAAAGAGACCTTGTTATTCAAGAATATACGTCTTTGATCATCCAATGGTTTCACCTCCTCGAACAGGTTTTGGTAGTATGAACCTCTTCCTCTAATAGCACTGAAAAGCCCTCCTCTTTTCCCAGAGGGGTTAGATAAATCAACTAGCAAATTAGGACATCCTATCACACCCAGCTGAACCTCTCCATCGACAATCAAAGCAAGACAAACGGCGAATTGGTCGCCTCTAAGAAAACCCTTGGTTCCATCAATAGGGTCCAAGGCCCAGATACGTCCCGAGCTTCCTCCCTTGGAGTCGCCCTTGTCTATAGTCGAGCAAACAGAGTCGATGGATGACAGCTCTCCCAGCACGTCACTGGAGAATTTATCCTCATTTTGGACGTTTTGGATGTGCTCGAGAATGTTCTGGCCCAACCCCGGGGTTTGCCTGATGAGGTCCGAATCCTCTTCACCAACCACCTCGTCCGAGGGGAAATTCTTCAAAATAGAGTTGATCACAATTGCCTGGGCGGCAAAATCGCCAATGGTGACTGGTGATTTGTCAGTTTTGGAGATTCCACCCGTGGTCTTTGCAGCAATCTCGTCACTGATCTTCTTGGTCAATATGGAGGCTCTTTTGACAGCCAATTGCGCAACCAATAATTCCTTGTGAAAACTAGCCATCGTTCGATAGAATCTTTTCATAAACTTGATCAAGAAGTAATAAGCACAAAATATATACCAAAATTAGCTGCAGTCCAAATCAATTCCCGATACCAACTCAACCAAACTAACAAGGGTTCCATCTCTTTGGCCATTCTTTTGCCATTTTTTGGCATTTTTTGGCATTGTCCACGCTCCCAAGCGTAATGCCCAATTGTCCGAAAAGGGCAAAAGAATTTGAACTTGAAACACAACTGACGCCAACCTCTTTTATTTTTTTTAAACTGATTTTACCATTGTTCCATCACCACATTTTTCACTTTGCTATAGTTTCAAGTTAACGACTCATTGGCTCGATGCTTGGATTCAGGCGTTCCTCAAAGGATAAAAAGTCTCCCAAGACGCCTAAACAACGTTCGATTTCGTCAGCCTCGTCAATCTCGTACGCTTCGAGTCCGTTGATTAACAGCTCATCCAATGATTTTGCCAATCACACCAAGGTGATCCAGGCCAAGTTTTCGTATACTCCTCAGCGATCTGGTGAGATTGGGTTTGACGAGGGCGATTTCTTTTTTGTTGCTGAGAACGCGAGTTCCTCGCAAGAATGGATCGAGGCCCAGGATCCAAACAAGAACCTTAAGGGTCTTGTTCCAACTTCGCATTTCAAATTTTTGGAGAAGTCAAACAGACTCGAGGAGATCAACGAATCTCTAAGTCCGGGCCCCGGATTGGCCGTTCCTCCCAAGAGAAAGTCCTTGACGATCCTCTATGCGAGGGTCCTGTATGACTTTAAGGGCGAGAGATCCGACGAATTGAGTGTTACGGCGGGCGAAAATATCATTATATGTGCACATCACTCGTTTGAATGGTTTATAGCCAAACCTATCACCAGGTTGGGTGGGCCTGGCCTGGTGCCTGTGAGTTACGTCCAGCTTTTGGACATGACTACGCGGATGCCTTCCAAGTTGAACGTTAGACAGGTGATTGAGACTGAAGAATTGCCTACTGTGGAGCAGTGGAAGGTTCTCAATGCTAAATATAAGGCAGGATCAATTGTTGTTGGAGGAAAGACAAATGACTATCCTAACTCCCATCAGAGCGTCTCAAGAAACGGTTCCATAGGGGACACCAACAGGACCTCGATGATGAAGAAACAGAGGTTCCAGAGCCAGCTCGACTTGGTCTCGTTGTATGTGACTGAAGTGGACACTGAGTCGTTTGCCAATACGAGTGGAAAGTACTGGTACCTAGTGAGAGTTGCTCTTTCCAATGGGTCCACCAGATCTCTCTGCAGATTCTACGAGGACTTTTTCAACTTCCACCAGACGGTGCTGAACGCTTTCCCACGTGAAGCAGGCAAAGTCGATGGAGTTCCAAGGGTTTTGCCGTATATACCAGGTCCTCTTGCCGATATAAACGAGTCGCTGTGTCATAAGAGACTGCCTGATCTGGACAGGTACTTGAAGGAATTGGTAGGATTCCCAGAGTACATCTCTCGTACTCAACTGATCCAATCGTTTTTCAACTTGAAAGATGGAGACAAACAATTTGCGCCTACAGACGATATACTTCCCGTGCATCCTCTGAGACCTCCGCCAGACTTAATAGTGCTACCCAACACAGGAAGCGGCAACTCTCCAGACGAGAACTACTACCCTCAACAGCAGCAGCAACAGCAGCAGCAGCAGCTGTACACATCTATAGCCATGCGGAACTCGCAATACCAACAGGACAGGATGTCGCAGTACGAAAACGTCAAACGAAACTCCATACCATTATCGCAGCTTACCAACAGGATGAGTGGACTAAACATAGCGGGAGCTACTCAGCGGCAAACGTCGTCTTCTTCTTCATCCTCTGTGGTTTTTAACCAACAAGCCAAGGACCCAATGCCTTCCTCGGACGTGAAGCTTAAGCTGAAATTCTACTACAAGTACGACATTTTTGCAATAGTCGTTGCTGATAACTCGAGTCTAGCCGATATCAAGACCCAAGTTCTCAAACGAGTTGACGAGTCAGATCTGGACGGATCCTCTATATTATCCGTCCATCTTTATCCCAAGGATTCTACGAATGCTAGCGATGCTAGCCATGATGCCGCCACGGAAATTGTGTCTGACGAACAGCTCTGGAGCAGTCCAGCCTTTGTGGATAAAGGTAGGATTTTGGTGGTTGTAGATGAAGCCTGAAGTGTCTGTTATATAGTGAAAAGATGGCCGTGAAACATGAATGAAAGATTGAGGGACTAATTTACAAGTCTTAATACTAATGATGATCGTAGTTACTGACACTGGCAGCCTACATCGAGAATATATCTTAAACAAGAATTTAACAATTCAGACTATATATGTCATTCGTTCGAAGCCTTCATGCTTTTTATTTCCTTTTGATCGTTACCTCATCTTCAATGATTTATACATGCTTAAAGCAACATCTCCAATGGGTTCTCAACAACCTTCTTCAGGGCCTTGATGAACTCACCTCCCAAGGCTCCGTCCACAGTTCTATGATCAAAGGTACCGGTGAAGGTGATGACATCGTCAAAGACAAAGCCGAACTCGGAGGCCTTGTCTGGAACGGCCTTCTTCTCGGTGGTTCCAATGGCGATGATAGCACTCTGAGGAGGGTTCAGGATCGAGGTGAACATGGAAACAGCTGGGTTCATTCCCAAGTTCGAGATTGTGATGGTACCACCCTGGAACTCGGCTGGAGCCAACTTACCAGCCTTTGCGCGCTTTCCAAGGTCTTTGATCTCGTTGGAGATGGTCTCAAGACCCTTGGAGTCTGCGTTCTTCACAATTGGAGTGATCAGACCAGTTGGAGTGGCAACAGCGACGGAAACATCAACGTTCTTGAACTGTCTGATGACACCCTCGTTCTCCAGGTAGTAGGAGTTTACTTGTGGCACACGCTTGGAAGCAACGGCGATGGCCTTGATCAACAAGTCGTTCACAGAGAGCTTGTAGCGGTCCTCAGCAGAAGCGTTGAGAGATGCTCTCAACTTGAGCAACTTGGAGACGGAGATCGCAGACGAAACGATGTATGCTGGGGCTTCCTGGGAAGATTGGGTCAGTCTCTTGGAGATGACCTTTCTCATGTTAGTCAAAGGAATGTCCTCGTAAGTGGCCGAGGCAGCAGCTGGCGCTGGGGCAGAAGCGGCTGGAGCAGCAGCTGGAGCTGGAGCTGGAGCTGGCTCCTTGTAGCTCTCGACATCCTTCTTGGTGATTCTACCATGTGGACCGGTTCCAGTCACGTTCTTCAAAGAGATACCTCTCTCCAAAGCAATTGTCTTGGCGATTGGAGAGGCGAGAATACGGTCAACAGAGCCAGACGACGACTTGGGAGTTGCAGCTGGTGCAGCTGGTGCAGCAGAAGCAGTCTCCTTCTTCTCCTCCTTTGGAGCCTCTGGAGCGGCTGCTGGAGCGGCACCAGTCTCGCCAGCATCCTCGACAGTGAAGTCTGCAAAAGCAGCAACGTCGTCCTTGTTCTCAACGTAAACGGCAATTGGCTTGTTCACCAAAATATCCTCGGTACCCTCGTCAACCAAGATCTTGGCCAGGAAACCATCCTCCTGGAACTCGAAGTCCATGGATGCCTTGTCGGTCTCGACCTCGGCGATGGATTCACCTGGGGCCAATTGGTCCCCAACAGCCTTGTGCCACTTCAACAGGTTACCCTGAGTCATTGTTGGCGACAAAGCGGGCATGTTGATGACGGTGTGTTCCGGCCATGCTAAAGCAGTTAGTATCATCCATTGAAAAACAGGGCTAATTGGTTGGATTTTCACATACACTTTCCGGCATAAGTACGGACAAAGTTCACGGCAGTGAGCCTCAAAGTTCTAAAATGACGATTTGTTAGTTAACCTCTTTAGCACATGCTAACAACATCACCACAAAGCTGAGCAGTAAGGGGTCTGTTGTAGGCTAGCCAACAAACAGGTACATACGGTTGCAAGGCAATGGCCGAGCGCATCACCGGGCGAATTGATCTCAAAGCGGCAATGGTAGACATCTTCAATTATTCAAGTTGTTCTAGAAGAATATTCTTGTTGTGAAAAGGTCAAGTCTCAAGGTGCAAGAAAAATGTCCCACCAGCCAGCTCGTCGAGGAGGGCCTGGAGAACAACCGTCCGGGTTTGGAACGGGCGCACGACCTATGGGACATCTTTAAAAGTTTCCACTTTAATTACGATACCACCAATATATGTTTCTTCATGATTGCTTTATTTGCTTTGACCCTCTAATCTACCAAGTACCATTGTGTCGTTATCTCGTCTGCTCGCTTTGTGAACAAATCGTTGAACTGCTCGGGCTTCTGGACATCGTCTGGCCATACAAACTCTACTCCTCCATTTTTCAACAGACAGTCTCTGGTAGTCTGCCAGGAATGTCTAACCATGGACCCCCATCCGAAAACCGGATCGATATTATTCTTCAACCATGCCACTGTCTTAGGATCACCCGGATATCCCGAGCCCCAAGGGTCTTCTGTGGTTCTGCTCACTGCTAGCGATATGTCCCTGGTCACCTTGGCACATACCGAGGCTGTAGACACACAGGGATAGATGGCATCTGCCTTCTTTGCGACTGTCACCTTTAAGTGCGGGAAAATATCCTGCAGCTTTCGCTGGTATGTGGCGGGAGGACCAACGGTGTCGATGTAAATCTCTGTCAAGTTTACCTTCATTGCCAACACTCTCTTGATCAGATCAATGGTTGTGTCGTGAGCCTGTTCATTCAAGTTGTAGTTTCCCTGCGATGAGGACTTAAGCATTCCCGCGGAAATGTCTCGTGCTGTCAGAGATGTAGTACACCAGCCAATATTCTTGTAGAGATCGTGATCCTTGTCGCAGATTGCCTTCAAAAGGTTGGTTCGCTTGTCCTCAGAGAGCGTCTTTGAGTCCGCAAACCCATACTTCTTCTGTAAAGTTTTCTCGAAACTTTTCAAGCTGTAACTGACACCATACACCATTGGGCCCAAGACAGGGCCCCTGCCAGCCTCGTCTACTCCTAATAGACACTCCTCCTCTGGATTGTCCAGTATCTGCTGTGGTACTGGGGAACAGTACGTGTGAGTAGCATCTGATACGGGGATTGTTACACTAGGTGGTATGAACTCAGCAGAGGGGTTCTGGACTGTCTGTTCCTCAAATCCGATGCCCTCATCACTTTCCAAAGACATTTCTGTGGCGTTGAATTATATTACCTCCAAGCAAGCGTTGCTCAAACTTGATTAGATCTATCTACTTTGTAACTAACGCGTCGTCGGACGCGGGTTGGGTACACGACCTTTGGTTGATTTAGGAAAGAAACGGGTACATTCAAAAATCCTTGAGTATCATGGGATGGAGTACATTAACAACTTAATTGGGCATTATTTGTCCTTCACAATACCGCTGAGATTCTAACATCAGGAATATTATTGGTTTTGAGACAAAAATTGACCTAGCCTTCGCCTGGATGATAGTCGGGTGATCATTGAGCCATGAGCAAGGACAATCCCGGGATGAGAAGGGTGTCACCGAAACTGAGCCGCTTCCAAGGTTTGGGTGGAAAGATACTCCGAGATCTTGGACCCAAAGCTATATTGACGTGGGATGCACTCTAGAGAACTTTCGTCTTTGATTTAAAAGGACGCATATTTTTTCAAGCTGTGTGCGGCTCGGCTATCTTCATCGAGGCTGTGTCCCAAATGTCAAGGCGGTGCTGCTGCAATAATCAGCAATGAGGCGATGTTGAAATCTTCACAGAGCCAAAAAAAATATGAGGAGATCCCATTATATTATTTGTCATGGGAAGAGAGATTAGTATGGGCTGTCACTTCAAGTCACTAGATTACTGATCAAGGAGTAAGGAGTCTAGTCAGTGTTAGGTCTTGTCTTAAGGTTAGTACGTTCACTACGTTACCACCATGTGCAGTAGATTATTTAATATCACTTCTCCGAAGACATATTATTGTGGCATCCGGCAAAAAATCACCTCCACATGTCACTTGAAGCACGATAGGCTCCTGCCCACCTCAAATGCATCAAAAGAAAGCTGAATAACCATATGCCATGCGAGCCGAGACAGTACTTGCATGTCATCGCATCGCTTGCTGTGGCTGAGCAGATTCTGTGTTACGCCCCGTTTATGACTGATATAAAACTCTATATTCGAATGTATATTAAAGGCTTGCGAAACTGCTGTTGAAACAATATACAATCCTGACCATTCAGCTACAGCAATTGAAACTAATTGATCCAACTTGCACAATGACCGACAATAAATCTACACACATTGACCAGTCACCCGTATTGCCGAGAGGGTGGGTTTCGAAGGTAGACGAGCAGACAAAACGGCTATACTATCTGAATACAATCACTGGACAAGCACAATTGGAGTTCCCCACTACAGAATCCAGTGACTATGATGTTGATGATCTCCCACCACAATACGAAGATGCCGTGGCAGGGTCTGCTCCACAAGAAGGGAGGTCATCTGAGCCAAAAGGAAGAGTGCATAGAGCCGCAATTATTGCAGATCAGTTCCAGAAAAGGGCTTTTGATTATGAGACGAGACACAGTGGTACGCATGTGCTTTCCCAGCATTTCCAGAAACATAAGCAGAAGAGAGAGTCAGAAGGCGTGGATCCCAATTCCACCTCCTCCAAGCTGATATCCACTGGTGCTGCAGTGACTTCATTCATTCTTGATCAAAGACGTGCCAGGTTCGAGCGGAGACGTCGTTTTGGAATAACCGGTCTTATAACCCGAGCCTTTGATCCCAATGACACCGAAAACGACGAGAGATATGATAGCATCAGATACGGAAGGAGGGGTAAGCATTAAGTCGACGCAAAATGGAGCTTTGTTGAATGGAAATTTTTATTTGAGAGATTGTTTTCGATGATTGAGCTTTGTTTAACTTATATGTAGGAAGTTGGATTCTTGAATAATTTTTGGTAATAGAGAATTATTTCGAAAAATTGAGAAAAGACTCTCCAATAATTCCCAAAATAGTAATACTACAACTGACCCACAGAGAGCTATACCCACCAGTATCAGAAAAACAGTCAAACAAAGACTATTATTACTACAAAAAAATCCTGCATTATAGTTTCAGCTATTTATTATGCACATATATCACCAATGACGCTATCAGAAGCGAATCTGATTTCCTGTTCGACCTGCCAAAATCTGACGTCGTGCGACAACGGATGAGATAAAGAATCTCGTTATTCCCATTGCTTATCTCTCAACCAGCTTTCTCCATAACCATGTCGACACCAATGCCGAATCACTCCCGATCGACGTCAATCGATGCCGCCAGCTTTATAGTACAGCCAGAGGAAGGACAAGAAGATGACTCGTTTACATCCACAGCCTCGGATACAGAGTCTTACGCAGGGAGCATAAACCACAACGAACAGAACACTCAGAATACGTCTTTCCATCCAGTGGAGTACCTGTTGGGATCCTTGGAGTCTGCATTGAGTTCAATAGATCTGGATAGATCCATAGTTCTACAATCGCAGATATCAGGTGAATTGAATAACACTTCAAAGGAATTGCTGAAAATGATGGAGGTACTGGAACAACGGATACGATCCCATATGGCCAACTTCGACAGACTGAAGAACAACACAATCCCCGAGCTTGCTGCCAACATATCCAAAGCAGAAAAGAAAGCTACCAAATTGACGAAAGTCTTGAAAGATCAATATCCTATCGAATACTCAAAGAGCCTGGATAAAGTGTTGAACAGAATAACCAAAGATGATGAGAATCTGTATGTTTGAAGTTTACGGCCTTTTTATACGATCTAACTTTTCTGCTTCTATGAGATTATGAACTAGAGTCCGTATCGTCGTCGTAGTCCTCGATGGAATCCGCGATAAATTCCGTGGCTTCTTCGAACCGCTCTTCCACGATGTTGTCCATTCCATCTGAGTCAGCCCTCAGCACTCTACCGTACTTCTTTCTGGGCCTTTTGGCTGTAGCAGATGCTTCTCCCTCACCCCAACAGGAGTGCTTGGATGCTGTGAACACCAGTGAGTTCTTGTAGAACCAGTCGGTTATAGACTCGTCTATGGTGGAGACTATGGCCCTCAATTGCGATTTGTCCAGGAAGTTTATCGAAGCCTTTACCAGATTGCGGACATCACGATGGCCACACAGGTGTACCACTCCATTGTAGGCATCTCCGTACCCTACAAAAACAACCTTGGTTGCTTGGAAATAGCTCACGTAGTTGTCCCAGATGTACAGCAAGATATCTTGCGAGGCATTGATGTTGTTATAGGAGTCGTCGCTGGGACCGCTAATCGAAAGTGGAATGCTCACGTCAATCACTGCGTACTTTTCTTTGATTGCCCACTCGATCATCTTCAAAGAGGAGTCCACAACCACAGACGAAGAGGCGTCCAGGATACCGGTGAATGGGTCTCTTCTGGCCCAAACCTGAGCTGGATCATGGACCGATATCACCAAGGTCTGGTTTGTGTATACATCGCTCGAGCATATGACTTGATCTTCCAGCGAAGCACTGGAAGGCCTTTTCTCATTCAAAATCGGCAGTGTGATGAAGCCATGCTTCACCATCAGCTTTCTGGCCTGGTTCGCCCTCACGGAATCGTACAGTTTTGCATTTTTGTATGTGATGTCCTCAATCGCAGCAAGTTTACCGTTTGTCACGAATTTCTCGTAATTGCCAAATATGGCAGGTACAGAGAAATCAACGCCAGCATACGAGGGTTTCAGAGACTTCCAGTAACGAGACTGGATCTTGACGACATCGTCGATGACTTCGACTGCGGATTTTGTGGGCAAAGAGCTTCTGAGCTCTTCGGGTGTGTCTCCAAGTAACACCTTTGCAACACTTAGTGCAGAGTTAGCGATACTATCTAGATTGTACCCACCTTCCAAGACGACACAGAGGTTACCTTTGGCCAAACTCTTCAGCATGTGCGTCATATGGCCGTAACCAGCTGGAGAAACATGACATCCACCAATCACATCTCCATCTGCAGCATCGAAACCTGCACTGATGATCACCAAATCCGGGTTGAACTCGTAGCATACAGGCAAGACCACCTTGCGGAAAGCATAAATGTAATCGCCGTCTCCCATACCACCAACATGCCATGGAATGTTCAGATTAAAGCCTTCTCCTTTACCTTCACCACATTGATCAGCCCCACCAGCTTTGGTACCAGGATAGTATCTGCCCTGCTCGTATCTGTGCAGCGAGATGTAGAGCACTCTCGGGTCATCGATGAAAGATTTCTGTGTCCCATTTCCATGGTGAACATCCCAATCAATGATGACAACTCTTCGTACTGATTCTGGGTAATTTTTCAAGATATTCTTAGCAGCGACGGCCACATTCGAGAACAGACAGAACCCACCAGGGGTGTCTGGTTCAGCGTGGTGACCTGGTGGTCTTACAACAGCCAAGGCATTCTTGACCTTTCCCTCGACCACGGCTTTGCAAGCCTCAATAGCACCACCACAGGAAAGTTTAGCACTGAGCAGAGAGTCGTGGTTAAAGTAAACCGAATCGCCCTTCTCTGTCTCTTCCAGAAGTTTCGCCTTGGTCATGGTGCTGGTGCTTTCGATGAAATTCAGATGTTCCTCCGTGTGAACTTGCAAAATCTCCTCCTTGGTGGCCTCCCGCACTGGTAGCTTCAACATGAGATCACCAATGTCGTCAATCCCTGAAAGAGTTGGATCTGTGATCAGGCCGTTTTCGGCTAGAATCTTGTAAATACGGTAGATTCTCCGAGGATCTTCTGGATGTGGATCAATATACTCGAAGTATGAGGTAAAAATCTTGGCATGGTACCGCATGCGCACATCATAGCATAATCCAGTTTTCAAAGGAGTATATACCAGTTTGGGAGCCGTTACTGGAACGATGGTATCGCCCTTGGTGAGGTTTCCTTCTGACCCTGTCTCCGCCAACAGGTTTTGCGACTCCATTTCCTCCGCAGACCGTTTATTGGTCCCGCCATCAACGTCCATCTCAAAATGATTGGCCTGTTCAGGCTCTCGTTTCACGAAGTCAACCATTGAATGAAAGCGCTGGAAAGACTCGCAAGCTATTGAAAGTGACCTGCATGTGTTTAATGTGTTTAAACTTCGGTGGAGTTGTGGGTAAAATTGAGTGCCCGTGTGATATTTGGCAGACGAAATCTATTTTTTTTTGGATTGAAATTTGAGCCTCAGTTTAAGAAACCTCTAATACTGTGTGAATTCAGTTTTTTTTTACCAAAAATGAAACTGTATTGGGAGGCAGAGAAGTTTATAGTGAACAATCCTCGGCAGGGGTCGCTTAATACGCGAATATTTGAGGCCGCCAGGGCAAAGAAGGTGACATCTGATCCAAGGCATCTGTATGCCCTTGTGATATCCACACTGCAGTACAAGCCTTTCATAATGGAGATTTTGAAGAAGTCAAAAATGTTAAAAGTGGAAACAAAAGTTAAAATCAGCGAAACAATGGGCATGTTACTTGTGCATGATCTTCTGTTTTCAAAATCAGGGAGAATTCAGTCTGGAAAACATCCTATCAAAGATGCAGTGTTAAGGCATAAGACCAGACTTCAAGCTGAACTCACGAAACTGAAGCTGAAACACAAGGTACGGGACCTTTCCGAGTTGATAGAGGAGGATGATACACCTGTGAGGTGGTTTAGAGCGAATTTATGCAAGACCACTAGGGAGAAAATTCTCAAGGAATTTGGTCATTTGGACCAGGTATCTTCGTTTGAGGAACTCGAGGTGGGCAAAATCTACCACGACGAGTACATTCCCAACCTGTTTGGAGTCCACCCGAAAGAAAAGATTGTTTCTTCAGATGCTTACTTAAACGGAAGAATCATCATCCAGGATCGCGCATCGTGTTTTCCAGCGCACATTTTGCATCCTTCCCCCGGTGATAAGGTGATCGATGCCTGTGCTGCTCCAGGCAATAAGACCACTCACCTGGCTTCATACTTGAACAACATTCAGGGCTCTATAACAGCTTTTGAAAAAAACGAAAGCAGGTCCAAAACATTGAAGATGATGTCTGAAAAGGCCGGGGCCTTGGGATGTATCACTGTCAATGTAGGTGATTTCACAGCATCCAATCCAGAAGACTTTCCAGACGTGACCGGATTCGTAGTTGATCCTTCGTGTTCTGGAAGTGGCATTTTTGGAAGAGCTTTTGACGAGGACTCTAAGACTGATGACGCTGTTGACGAAGAAAGATTGGCGAAACTTTCTGGGTTCCAATTTACTATTGTGAGACATGCAATGAGTTTCCCCAGTGCGAAGAGGCTAGTATATTCTACCTGCTCTATCCACGCTCAAGAGAATGAAAGAGTTGTTGTGGATCTTTTGAATGACCCACAAGTAAAGAGCAGAGGCTGGAGACTTTGTTCTAGACAGAAGATAATTCCTGACTGGAAACGCCGTGGGTTTGTAGAGGAGTTCAGCTCGTTCGAAGATCCAGAGGCCATGGCCGGAGGGTGTGTCAGGAGTCTTCCTAAGGTAGATGGTGGAATTGGATTTTTTGCTGCAGCCTTTGAGAGAACTGATGAAAGCATTTCCCAGGTGTCGGTGCCTTTAGAAGGCTCGGAAGTATCCAAAGAAGATGAAGTATCTGAAGAGTGGACCGGCTTTTCAGATTAAATGCATTCATGCATGTGTAATAAGGCGTGCAGCAGCAGAGTTGTCGCCGCACCCCACATTTACTACAACATAGACACACTTTTAGCGCTCGAAATAATTGATGAATAAACGGTATTTCCAGCAAATGGAATGACTAGGCCAGAATGGGAAAATCCACAGATAATGCCATGTCTCGCCAGGAATGGCAATTTGGTCAAACTACTGCCGCTGACTAGTAGCGTCTTCTATTACAGACATGTCTGGACTAGCTCTGTGCTGAGCGGTATATTTGAAACGTTTGGCGAGGAGCTACTGATAGGCGTATTCTTTGATTATTGCTGTGCTGGCTTGATTTGCATTGACGCTATAGAGTCTTTCGTTTATATTATGAACCAGCATCTGTTTAGTCCTTGGGCTGTCTTTGGCGAACACTACAGACTAGACCAAATGGCATTCGATCTCTCACAGCCGAGAGGCCCGGCCTCACAAAAGGAGCTAGGTCAGCTCTTCAAAATTTACGTTGGGATTCTATATTTTGAATCGTCTTTTGCGGAACAGGAACTTATTCGCTGGTTGGAAAGAGTGTATACGACAGTCAGGGGCCAGCAATGAGAACTAACGAAAAGTGTCTATACACCTTTTTTACTTAGAAACGCTTGAGAATGTCATCAACAACCTCCTGGGTAGTGGACTTTCCGCCCAAGTCTGGGGTCTTGATGGTGTCCTCGCCCAGGTTGGCATCGACAGCAGCGTAAATCTTGGCAGCAGGCTCAGCATAGCCCATGAACTCAAGCATCAACGCAGTGGAACGAATCGTGGCAATTGGGTTGGAGATACCTCTGCCCTCGATGTCTGGAGCAGAACCGTGACATGGCTCACCAATGGCAAAGTTGTCACCAACATTGGCAGATGGAACAACACCTAAAGAACCAACAAGAGCAGCAGCACCATCAGAGAGGATATCACCGTACAGGTTGGGAGCAACGACAACGTCAAAGATCTCAGGCTCACGGAACATTCTGTACACCATAGAGTCGACAATCTGCTCCTTGTACTCAACAGAGCCGTATTTCTCGAGGTTGGCGTCGTACAGGTTTCTAATGGTTTCTCTGAACAAACCGTCAGAAACAGACAACACGTTGGACTTGTGGGTGACGGTCAGAGAAGGAACAGAGTGCAGGGAAGCACCTCCCAACTCACGCACCTTCTGTCTCTGCAAAGCAATGTCCAGAGCCATCTTACCAATGTTGGTGGTGGCTCTCTCGGTGATTCTCTTGATGGCCTCAGCCACCTTTTGACCATCCTTTTCGAAGATTCTCTCCTCCTTGATGTACAAATCTTCGGTGTTCTCACGAACAATCACCATGTCGACGGGTCTACCGATACCGTCAACCGACTTGACGGGACGAACGTTGGCATAAAGACCCATCTTCTTTCTCAGAGCCACAATTGGCGAAGAGTAGCCGGCCACCTTGGTGGTTGGCGAGGAAACAGCTCCAAACAAAGCACCATCACAGGAACCTTGCAGGGCCTGGACGGTCTCCTCTGGCAAGGCGGTTCCGGTCTTCTTGAAAAGCTCAAAACCAGCGAGCAGATCCACAAACTCAAACTTGAGATTATACTCGGATGGCAAGGCCTCGAGGACCTGGCGACCGGCTGGGATGACCTCTCTTCCGATACCGTCACCTGGGATCAGACCTGATGGAGGTTAGTCAAGACGTTTTGGAGACGTTTGATATTTCGAAACACTTACCGATTTTCAGCGTCTTGGCGGTTCCGGTGGCATAGCCACGCTTGATACATGATCTGGAAGCAGAAAGCATTTTCAAATATTATTTGTAGAAACAGTTAAGCAGAAGGCCTTGAATAGAAACACCAAACTTTTCACCGGTGTCGGGGGTTCAACGAGTCATCTCATCGCCAAATTTTTGGGTCTGGGGTCACGACCGGGCCGGAGTAAAACATTGTGAGGTGCGTTTGATCTGATTAGTGTCTAATTGACCTTTATATACGATCCTAATTTATGTGATGCTATATAGATACAAGAATTAAATGTCCTTCAGTACCAGTTAAAATCGTCTGCTGGTATGGGAGGCACAACGACGGGCGGACCACCGATTTTAGTATCGTCGTTGGAGGCCTCGGTCTTTTCGCTTGGCTTCTTCAGGTCAAATAAAGTAGTCCCTGTCCTGTCTATTTTACAAAGGGCACAGGAAAATGCAATTGAAGCCTTTTGAAGAATTGGAGCCATTTCAGCACAAAGTTTGGAGAGGCCTTCTTCAAGCTCGGCTGTGGGCTCCTGGTGCTGGCCGTCTGGGTACAGCACAAATGTCGAGTCGTTGATCCATTTTACAGATGGATTTTTGATACTGTTGTACTTGGCCAGGGTGGGACCTATGGCATCTTCGATGGCTATTCTAGTCATTCCGAAGAACACATATTGGATGGCAATGGCGTTGTAGAAGGATGATGATTCTGCCGTAGTAGGCTGGACCCGTAGTTTGTCTCTGGCCCTCTCTTTGAGCTTCTCAGTTATGACTAAAGCTTCCTCCAGACTCATAGAGGGGACGTGGGAATCTGACTTGATCCTGACAAAAACGTTTCTCTTGGGTTCTGGGTCCTGGGACTCAGAGTCGAGTTTATATGCCTCTGCCATCTCGTGGACAAACTGTCTCTGAATCCTCTGCATTGGTTTGAAACTGTATGTTTCTCTCATGAGATTACCGCTGACCAGATCCCGAAGAACCTGTTCAATTCCCTGGGCCCACTTTTTCTGGTCCCTGAAAATGTCCAGAACAAACTCAGAGTATGGAACCTTCTCCATAGTTAGTCTGTCAAGAGAGTCTGGCGAGATCACAGTGGACGATTTCAGATTAAGAGCCTGTAATAAGTTCCTATTTCTTTCCAACTTGGCACACTCTGAATCACATTCCAAAACAGTGTTCTTTGAGGGAGAGCTGCAGAGAACTTGCTTCGAGATTCTCTTGCACTTGCAGAAGATAGTGACCTTTTCATTGCACAGAATAGGTGCTTTGCAAGTGTATGGAGCATGACAGGTATCCGTACATATATGTCCACAATCTTTGGGTTTCCCACATGGAGATGGACATTTCTTCAGGCATTGGCCTTCGGCATGGCACAGCTTGGTGCACTTATGCGCACCGCATGGCAGTGTCTTTCCACACATCCTACCACAAGAAATATTTTCTTGGTAACACATAATATTCTGCAGTTCAACCTTCTTATCACATCCACACTTTTTCACCATCAAAAAAGTACATTTTGGGCAACTTTGGTCGTCTGGATGGCAGTTGTGATACTCAGGTCTATGTCCGCAGGCTGTAGGACGAGTACACTGATGAGGACAAACTGGTAGCTTGGTTCCACATCTGACAGGTGCAGGAACAACCGTCTGACCACAATGGCAAACCAGATCATCAGAGCTTGACTCCAGACATGGTTTACAAGGGCCCATATGGCATGTCATTTGACATCTGTGCAATCCACAAGATAGTAGCTTACCACACTCTTTGGTACAGATATGTTTCGCTTCGATATTATTGATGATCTCTTCCAGGGCAGCAGCAGAATGTCCTCCAACTCTGCGACGGCCCTTTTGCAACTCCCTGTCTCTCCTGAGAGCAACTTGTTCAAAGTCACAGCAGACATCACCACATCTGTGTCTGCGGCAGCTCAACAGGGCTTGACATTTATGGGTACACTTGGGAGTGGAACCAGACACCTTGAACGCACACGGAACCGTGAAAGAGGAATATTCACATGAACATTTCATGTCGACAGTTTTCATACACGAACGACAATCGCCCTCGTGACAAAAGTCAATACAGGCATGGCCACAAGGCAGTTTCTTACCACAGACTTCACCGCACGTTGGGATGGGATCAAGACATGAAGTTCTAGGATGCTCTAGAAGATCAGAAAGCTTTTTCTTACCACAAGCACAATACGTGACAGCGTCTGGTCCAAGAGGACACATGTGAGACTTGGCTGTGTAAGGATGACAGTTCTGGACACAAACGTGGTTCCCACAGTCAAACGTCTGTTTGCAGATATCCTCGCAAGGAAATGTGCCAATCCACAACTCTCCGTCAATATCCGATTTCTTATAAGATCTCTCCGAGCACGTAACCTCTCTGGTGTGTTTTCCACAATAACATTTGGTTATCACCGTTTCAGGACAACTTCCGCAAGCACCAGAATGACACACCTTCTTACACCTATGGATTCCACATGGCAACAGATCGCCACAAACTTTTCCGCATTGCCATCCCTTATCATAGGAGGTTACTATACAAGGCACCTGTCTCGATTTTTCACCACAATTACAATGGAGGGAAGGTCCCAGCGCCGTACACCTTTTCATGTGGGGACCCGGATGGCATTCGAATGAGCACTCGTGAACACAGCTTTCCAGGCTCTTATTGCAGGTTTGGCCACAACTGTGTGGATGAAAGACATTTGATTGCGGGTTGGATATCTTTCCACACCAACATCTATACTCCTTGGGAAGAGTGTAGTGCTTCCCGTTGCAAGAGGGGCAACGCCATGATTTATCGGCACCAGTAGAGGAGCCTCTCTTTGCCCAATCACGGATACACGCGAGGTCGTAAACCCTGTAACAAGCATCACATGACCAAATCTGACTCTCACCATCAATTTCCCCGGTGCATACCAAACAGGTGTAGGTGCCCTCTCGTATCTCACTCAGAAGCCTCTCTGCAAAGGCTAGTTCGGGTGAGTCGTCCTCCAAGTCTGAGTCACTCGTAGCCGTGGCGTAGTCAGATTCAGAGTCATTATCCGGACCGATCAGATCAGGCCGAATTTCCACGTCGTCTGACATAATTGAGCTGAGTACTAAAGAAGTGGCGAATGCGTTGGGGGAGTGGTATTGGAATTGGTATAGCTGTACTGATATATCCGGAAAAAAAAGGCTGACAGAGCCACGCGATGGAGTGTGCTTCCTAAATCGGACATTTGTGTAGTACACACATAAATGGGTCCTCCCATTACCCGGCCCACGAAGAGTTCGCTTCAGCCAATGGATTACTAGAGGTTGGTAAACAGGTCTGGGTTCTAGTTGAGAGCAAGTAATCCTACCAGCAACTGATATAACGCTTACGGAACAAAATGCCAATCGTGAGTGATCCATGGAAAAAGAGGTATGTTAATTATATCGGCGTTTTGCTCTTACGATGTCGGTGCTAACTCGAAAATCAGAGATGCCTGGAGGTATCAAGGCCACTTCACCAGAGCTAAAAGATTGAGAGGAATGTTCCCCGGTTTCTTCATTGGTTTAGGTGCTTTTGCTTTGATCTCAGTGACTGAGGATTATATACTGAAGAAGGAGCCAGCCCATGGTGAGCATCACTAGGGAGGGTGAGATGGAGAATGGCAGGAGAGCCTGGCTGGAGAGTGAGCACCACTAAGCAGGGATGTACCTTAACCCTACACAAACATTCAGACAAACAACGGACTTGCATGGACGCTAGAGCACAAAAATTGGGACGAGACCGGCCAATAGCGATCGAGAACGATGGTGTTGGAAAGAGGTCCCATGCAAAGTCAAAGTGATGAGAGATATAGAAGAATGCATTATTTATTGCACGAGTCAACAAATCATGATTGGAAAATCATTTAACGAATCACCCGGCTGCGTAGAAATTTCAGACCTTGCAAAATCGAACTTGTTGGGCCATTTTGCGAAAAAGGCCTGCATTGATCAATTTGATTTTAGGCCTATAGTTAAGCTTCTCTGATTGAGCGAATTCAACTAAGAAGTTATTCCTTCCTTCTATCACCGTTCAAAAGTGTATACTGAAAAATATAGCGAATATTACGTTGAAACCGCAATGACAGCTACCGTTGCACCAGAACCCGTAGACAATGTTATAATACGATCTATAGAGCCAGTCGTTGATTATGGATTTTTCCAGATGGACGAGGATCTTTTTCCGATTAGAGCACCACACAAGTCGTTATCCGGCGAAATTTCACTAGATATGAGCAATTTGGAGCAGTATCTCGGAGGGAAGAAGCTAGAGATTTACGAGGATGGAGGCCGTGTTGGATGTGGAGGAGTTCTGTGGATATCAGGCCATCTTCTGGCTCTTTATTTGCTCCAAAAATGGAACTTCATACTCGAGGATCTCAGGAAAAATCATGGGGTTGCTCAAGTCCATAAGGTTGTTGAAATTGGAAGTGGAACCGGGGTAGTTGGAATCGCTCTTGGAGCTGCAACTGTGGACCACAAAGATCAGTACCCCGAGGATTTCAAGGTATATATCTCCGACATTGACGAACTGGTTCCGATAATGCAAAAAAGTATTTCCCTCAACAAATTAGACGAAGTTGTTGAAGCGATATCGCTCCCGTGGGGAGAACCACTTCCCCAATCCTGTTCCTCTAAAGTTGATCTCATCCTAGCTGCGGACTGTGTCTATAACGAAAAGGCCTTTGATATCCTAGAACAGACATTGGTGGATCTGTCAAACGGAACAAAAATCAATGAGGACGGATCTAAGAGAGACACGGTCATATATATGGCTAGTCGGAAGAGAAGAAAGGCTGATTTAAAGTTCTTTCGCAAGTGCAAGAAAAGCTTCCATATGCAAGAGATTGTGCACTATGAGGGATACGAGTTTTTTAGACTACAGAATGTTCATCTTTGGAAAATGGTGCTTAAAAGGTGAGAAAATGGTTCAGAAACAGTATTGATGATTTATACCGCTATTGGAAGTATTTTGATGTCATTGAGAGGATATCCGCACTGGTACCTCCAAAGGCATATGCAGTGGAATTTGCAAAGCCATAAACAACAAACCCGCAATACAGTCAGCAACTTTCAGTGAAAACTCACAATTTCCGTAACAGATTCAACCATCATTTGCCTCATATACCCAGCACAATATATACACGAAACTGTCAGTTATACTCTTCTAGTTTTGCTGAGAGGCTTGATCCAACAACCCCTCAAAGTTCTTCGAAAGCTCTTCGGAGTCTTCCTTGTCTTCTTCAACACCGATTAAGCTGCCTGAAGAAGTGGCCGACTCCCTGGAAGAGGTCAGAATCTCGGTCTGCTGAATGGCATCCACTCTCCATTTCTCAAGCACCTTCTGTTCTTCCTCGTAGCCATACTCCAATGGCGTCTTCTGGAACACAGCTCCAAACATGGTACTTTCTTCTAACGTAACAGAGTTCTCAATGTCCTCGTTCATCTTCAAACGGTAGTACTCGTGTCTTGCCTGGTCGTATGCCTCGATTATGGTCGTTTCTGGTTGGTTAGCCTTGATGTACAATGTCCTCTGCACCACGCTTTCACCGTCCAGCTTCTTGTAGAGTTGGACCATCTTGCTCCAGTCGTATTTGGCATTCAGAGTTGCCTCGTTTTCGATCAGCGATTTTGGATCGGCCAGTTCCCACGGATGCTGGTCGTAAAACAGACTTCTGAGCTCATCCTCAATATACGTCAGTTTTCTTGTCTTCAACAAATGGTTCTTCACCTGGCTGGGTTTAAGTTTTGTTTTCAACAGCGCGGTCGAGCTCTTTTTTGTCAAGTCAGCTTCCTGGGCTTGTTGTAAGTTTTCCAATCTGACCTTCCTGGTCAAGTCCCATTGAGGTGGGTTGTTGGCCACAACCTTGTACCAGAGAGGTTGTTCAGTCAACATCCTGCTCCTTAGCAAGTCACTAGTCCTCTCCAGGACAGTGAAGGCATTCTGCTGAATCTTCATTGAGTGAGTGTGTATATAAGTGGACTTGATCAGATACTTGATGATATTGAACACTCGACGAAACTTTCCGCTTTTCACCCAGGCTGATGGTGGTGAGTGCACGCCCCAAAATATTTAGGTTCCATAACATGAACCTGAATCATTTGGGCATTAGATATCTGTCGTTTTCGAATTAACAAGAGGTATTTCATGCCACCACTATTTTCCAGAAGGCTCTGGACTCACAGATTATGTGCAAGGGGAAGGATACGAAGTGTTCACACAGAGAACTGGGTACAGCGATGTATGACCAGACTGCCAGAGAGTGAAGTAAAACCAAAGTTAGAAGAGTTGGTGCAGAAGCTTGAGATAAAAGTTGGCGAAGTGGCAACAAATGGATACTTGTATCCGGGAATAGTAGAAGCCGTCAACGATTTGAACTCGCAGTACGGCGATCGTTTGGTAGAAAGAGGAGTGATTGGTGCTGCGAACAAGGCTAAGGACGCCCAGAAGAAGCTATGGGATGAGTTGTTTCCGGGGAGATATGAGACAATACAGGAACGAAAAAGCATTAAGAGAGACTCATCTGGATTTCCGCTTGAACTTCAATTACGTTTTTACAGAGAATTGGGACGTCGAGAAGCCATTCCTCAACACCTCGTCAAAACGTTCCTCCAGCTGGATCCACCGAGATCATTGAAGATTGACCCCCACAGCTTTGAAAAGTTCATGAAGATTGTATTCAGTGCTAAGAGGTATAACTTGAAGGCATTAGCATTTCCGCTGCAGGAGATAGCCAGAGATCTGGAAGGCTGTGGGATGAGACTGACCGATAAAGAGAAAATGGTACTGGTTAGAGCCAGATACGCATTTGCCAAATTTGGCAGGAAGTCTGTAAGCAAGGTGCTGAAAGAATTACCGCTAAGGCCTGGCGTGCTTGTACTTTTGAATCATTTGGCATTGAGAACTAGGAGAAACCTATTACTTGCCTCCACGGATCAGATCTGTCAAAAGGCGATCGAACAGAATCTAACACCCAATAGCGCTCTGATTGGGATGCTCCTCAAAAGCTCTGTTTTGAGTAAGAACAGGAGCACAATGGTGAATGTCATGGATCTGTTGGTTTGTCAGAGGATCCTGCCATTGAACGGAAAGTTGCTTGGGAATCTGATCGAAACCTTATCTTCATTTGGCGAGGTGGATCTTGCTCTGAGATTAGCAAAGCTGATGAAGCCCGCACAGTTTTTTCCCTTAGCAGAGTCAAAAAGATACGCTTTACAAGAGCAGTTTGATCTGCTCTACACGAAGCTGGAATTGGAAAATAACGTGTTAGTTCCATTAGAAGCAACAGAAACAACCTTTGACAATTTTTTTCCTTTGCAAAAAGGCAGCACCATGGATGAATCAAGATCATATATCCAAGCCTCGGGAATCATTGAATTTATGAAATACAACGAATTCGTGCCTTCCTCCAAGACGTTTGAGAGGATCTTTAGATCCTTTAGCAGAGTTCAACACCACAAAGAGTCATGGAACTACACGCAACTACGCGAGGTTGTGGCTATGCTTATCGAGCAAAAACAGAAGGTGAGAACGGTGTTTCGGGAGCTAAAACCCCAGAATGAAACTCTGAATTTGCACCTGACTGAGATGCTGGTCTCGAGTCTTGTTGATGCTTATATGAAGACGACTGGGTCACACAATTCAGAAAAATGCACTGAAATACTTAGGGCCTTCCGGGATGTAAATAAAGGGGCACCACAGTATACTCGAGCACGAGACGAGTTTTTATTACAGGAGATTTCGAAGCTATTCCAGCTGAGTTATCTGTCTGTTTGAGATGTACATATGTGAATGGAGAGTAACGATCAAACGAACAGGACTAGAAGGGCACATTTTTTTACTTCAAACCTATCCATTATCAAACTATCTATTCTGGTTATCAATATTAAACCCCAATATAACGGAAAATATCATTGCTATCCACTATTAGCAGCTATATAAACTTCATGCTAAGGAGCCCTATTTTTCAGTAAAAGAAACGTGCTGAGTCTTTTTCTTTTTGAGTATCACACGAAACCGCGCTTTAACGATTTTTTCTCCCTGACCCGTGGCACGTAATCTATTCGCCTTCCAACAATTTTAGGATACACCTTGTGAACAATACAGCTCCATCGGCCTATTGAATCACAATATCGATGACTGAACCAATCAAGACTAGACTCGGGGAGATGTCCCAGGCCCCCACCCCCCAAAACACGCCTGCCTCCGTTACCGGGTCTTATCTCAAGAACAACCCACCACCAACCATCCCAAGCACCATCAACGAGGAGAATAACGAGGACTTGCACAAGCAGTTGATGTCAAATCCGCTACTGCTTTCCATGATCCAGAACAAGTTGGGATCGCTTGTTGGTAAGGACTCTGGCTATGTCGAGAACCTGCCCAAATCAATCAAGCAGCGTATACACGGCTTGAAGTCTGTTCAGCAAAAGCAGTTTAAGATTGAAGCAGAATTTCAGTCAGAGCTCTTGGAGCTGGAGAAAAAGTTCCACAAGAAATATGAGCCACTGTTCAAGAGGAGGCAGGATATCATCATCGGTATTGCCGAGCCATCCGCAGAGGAGATAGAGGAAGGTGAGGCTTTGTTAAAGGACGACGAAGACAAGGAAGAGGCCGAGGAGAAGATCGAAGAGGTCAAGGAGGAAGATGAAGAGTCCAAGGAGGAAGATGAGGAAGACATTGGTGATGACGTTAAGGGAATACCCAACTTCTGGCTGACTGCTCTTGGAAATATGACTCCTGTTTCCGAAATAATCTCGGACAGAGATGCTGAGGTGTTGTACAATTTGATCAATGTTAGAATGGAGTACTTGGACACTCCTGGCTTCAAATTGATTTTCGAGTTCTCGGAAAATGAGTTCTTTGCGAATAAGTACCTCACAAAGTCCTATTACTACCAGTCCGAACTGGGCTACTCTGGAGATTTCATCTACGACCACGCAGAGGGCTGCGCCATTAAGTGGAAGGATAACGACCACAACGTTACTGTTCACATCGAAAGGAGAAAGCAGAGGAACAAGCATACCAAGCAGGTGAGAACGATAGAGAAGGTGGTCCCAACTGATTCTTTCTTCAACTTCTTCGATCCACCAAAGGCCCCTAAATCTAAGGCTGAAGATGAGGATTCTCCAGACGTTGAAGGCGCCGAAGCCGAAGATTCGGATGCCGAAGAGGAAGATGACGACCTTGAGGAGAGACTGGAGATGGACTACCAACTCGGAGAGCTCATGAAGGATAAGTTGATTCCCAGAGCCGTTGATTGGTTCACTGGCGAGGCTTTGCAATACGAAATCGGCGATGCAGATGAGTTTGAGGAGGAGGATTACGACTCCTTTGACTCTGAAGAGGATGACGACGAGGACTCCGACGACGACGATGATGACGAGGACGAGAATGCAAAGCCCAAGTCCCAGCCTGCTGAGTGCAAGCAAACTTGAGCGATCAAAGCAGAGATCATTGGGACGGTGTGAAGAATCGTGTGTGATTAATGGTGGATCTATAACGGCTGATGCTATCACTAGCTCAGGTCGATCTCTTCCCGCAGTTTCCGTCCTCTCAGTTTTTCAATGTCCCATCATGGGCCTTATCATAATTTCCATCTCTATTTAGTATTTTAGCTTGTTTTATGCCCTATAGTTCGTACCTTCTATAATAATGCGGGGCCTTGAATCGTGTGACACAGTAATCGTATGTTTGTGGTATACACGACTTCTTGAATTTCACACGAACAGGCAACCCAAGGTAGCATTTGCTCCTTTAATACGCGATTACGTAGAAGGTCGATCTTCTCTATACTCGTGACCAAACTTTCCTCAGTGTCAGTTCTATTTCATATTATCATCAGATTCAATTGCTCTTTGTGTCCAATTGCTGATATTTTCAGTCGACTTCATTTATCTCAAGCGTTCACTCCCTAATCCAGTCAACCAAAGCAACTGTATATGTCGCATTCTCGATTACGAAAGTCCCGAATACCGAAATCCTATTCAAGAACTAGCACAAATGACCGTGTTGGGCTAAAATTTAACACTTTTGCCTCGTTGGTACTTATGGGATTACCAAAGGTTGTGAAAGCCTTGCCAATTCCAGCTGTTGAGCTCATATCCAGACATGTTTCCTTCAATGCGCAGAAACACGAGCCTCTCACGCAGTCCGAGTTTTACGTATATATGCTTTCTGCCGTATTTCTTGTCCTGCTTGGAGGTGTCTTTGCTGGTTTGACATTGGCGTTAATGGGCCAAGACGAGGTTTATCTGAAGGTAATTTCAACCTCAGGTACACCTCGAGAGAGGTACTATGCACAGGAAGTTTTGAAATTAGTCGGCAAAGGAAAGCACTGGCTGTTGGTAACTTTACTTCTTGGAAACGTGATTACCAACGAGACATTGCCAGTCATATTGGATAGATTTCTTGGGGGAGGATTCCTTGCGGTGTTCTCCTCCACCATTGCCATTGTTATCTTTGGAGAAATCATCCCCCAGTCGGTTTCTGTCAGGTACGGATTGCAACTCGGGGCATATTTTGCTCCATTTGTGGTTCTTCTGATGTACATCATGTATCCTGTGGCTTATCCTATTGCTAAACTACTGGATTTCATTCTTGGGCAGGACCACGGAACTCTATACAAGAAGAGTGGTTTGAAGACTCTCGTAACTCTGCATAAAACTATGGGTGTCGAGCGTCTCAACCAGGATGAGGTCACCATTATCAGTGCTGTTTTGGATCTAAAGGAGAAGTCTGTTGGAGCGATTATGACTCCCATCGATAAAGTGTACACCATGAGCTCAGACACGATTTTGAACGAGGATACCGTTGAAGAGATTTTCAATGCGGGATTTTCAAGAATTCCTATCCATTTACCTGGAGAGCCAACCAACTTTGTTGGAATGTTGCTGGTGAGAGTTCTTATCAGCTACGACCCCGAGGACTCGTTGCCAGTTTCTTCGTTTCCACTGGCCACGCTTCCAGAAACAGCCAGAGACACTTCATGCTTGAACATTCTAAACTATTTCCAGGAAGGTAAGTCCCATATGGTGGTTGTTAGTGATACCCCAGGCCACGATACTGGCGCTCTCGGTGTATTGACATTGGAAGACGTTATCGAAGAGCTCATTGGCGAGGAAATTGTTGATGAGAGTGACGTTTATGTGGATCTCAACAAAAACATCAAGAGAGAGAATCCTGGTCCTCTTTCCAAGAGAACCCTTACAACCTATCTTCACACGTTGTATAACAGTGGAAGAAACCTGTCCACGCGGAATTCGCTTGATTCCTCTAAGGGTGTTCTTGCTGCTCATCAGCCAATGTACTATCCAAAGAGGCAGTCCTCGGACACAATTCCTTCCAACCATACGATGACTTCTCCCAGTCTGCTGCCGGTTGCTGGTTCGTCTTCTGCAGCTATTGGTCACAACATCACGTCTACAACTGCCAATGGAATCAAACCTTCGAATTTGGCTGTGAATCCAAATCAAACAACTGTTCCAAACATCGTGGTCAAGAAGCAGCCAGCTCTCGGAACTAACGTTTTGGTGATTCCAGAGCCTGCAGTTAGTTTATTGAACAACGAAGACTACGGGTCTGTTCATAATAACGAGGCTGCCGCTTTCGAAGATGACGTTCATGACAATCTCGTGAGAAAGAAGAATGCCGAGTTTAAGAAGTTTGTTCTTCCAGAAGTTAACAGAAATTCTGTGGATCTCTCGGACCCTCGGTCAATTAGCAAAGGCAAAGGTGTTATAGTCCCCAAGAACGGGAACTTGACGGCCTCTTCTAGATCCTCTTCAAAGGGCGATCTGCTCCATCTCTCAGACTCTGATTCGTTCTCACACAGAGGAAGCGGTATTATTGAAAGTGTGGTGAATGTTAAAGGTGTGAGCAAGACCATAATTGAAAGTGCATTGACTGATAATGAAGAAGAAAGAAGTGACGAGGAGGACAGCTCCAATACCGATGGAGACGAAGCCCACAACCTGATGGGTGGTGTCAACAAGTCGATTTCAATGCCGAAATCGAGAAAGAAGTGGAGATGGTGAGTTTTTAATATGTGAAGAAGACGAAAATAAACTACGGTGATTATCAAGTGGTTCCGTTTGTAGAGATTTCAACTCTGGTGCGTCAGATAAAGTGCTGGGCCTGCAGGTAGATTTTTGGCGGGGCACATTACCCGGACGCCACGCAAGATCGGTACGATAATGTTCTACAAGCTTAAAACATCCCCAGTTCTCCTTTCTCTCCCGTGTGACTGTTCCAGGTCAATTTAACCTAATATCAGTGTTTCCATGTCGTCCAACTCGTTGGGACAGAATAATACCCCATCAGGTCAGAACAGCACGTTCAAGAAACCTGCGGGTTCAGCAGGAGCAACCCCAGTTCCTACCACTGTGGCATCTGGAGTTACCATAGTTGAAAATGACGATACAAGGGCTAGTTTTACTGGAAGAACAAACATCGATAATGGCGCAAAGATTGGATCCGAGAAGCAACCGGATTCATCACCTCTGCTGCTTTCTACGCCGCCCACTGTTAGCAAGGCCCTAATCCGTGCCTACCCTTACCTACTGATAGCCAACAAGGTACTTGGAGTGTTCACCTGGACTGGTGATGACTACTGGTTGAGCGTACTAACGACATGCATTTTTGCAATTATTGTTCTTTATTTTGAGACCGTGATTATATATTTCGGCCATATAGTTGCTGTGGCATTGATATCACTCTATGCCGTTCTGGGTATGACCATAGAGAAGGAGCAGGAACTAAAGCCTACTCTTGATGATGTGGTTCAATGTCTGACGAGTGTGACTGTGAGATCTGATATGCTGCTTTCACCAATTTCTTCTCTTAGTCTTTCAGCGTATGACTTGAAAAGATTGTTCTTCACAGCCATCTTCCTGTCTCCACTTTACATCATCATCAGCTACTTCCTTCTTCCTCCAAGGACGATGATTATTGCCCTGGGTCTCTTTGTTCTTACCTATCACTCTGCCTCCTCAAGGGTCACAAGAAAGATTTTGTGGAAATCCAAATTCGTGAGATCGCTATGTTTCTACGCAACCGGATTAGATCTCGATTTCCAGCACCAAAACAAGCACTCGCTGTTCCAATTAGCTACCAATAAGGCCAACAAACTCACAAAACTTACAGGGAACTCCAGTGATGGTCCTGTGCGGTTCACTTTTGTTTTGTACGAGAACCAAAGGCGATGGCTAGGAATTGGCTGGACGGCCAACTTGTTGAGTTACGAGAGGACTCCCTGGACCGATGAGTTCCTCAACGAAGCACAATCTACCGAAGACTTCGAACTGCCCAAGGTAAATGACGAGACGGGAATGTACTGGAGATGGATAGACAAGACATGGAGACTTGACCTCACCAATGACGGTGCACTTACGCTTTCTTCGTCGAAACCAAAGTCTACTCCAGATCCAAAGACTGATGATGGATTCGTATACTTCGACAACACCTGGAAGAGTCCTTCAACGGAAGACACCTTCAGCAAATACACCAGGAGAAGGAGATGGATCCGCACCGCCGAACTTGTGTCGCCCAATCATCCTGCAGCATCTCCACAATCTTCAGCTACACCCTCGGTACTTCCCTCCACTTTCAAAATTGCATCTGCCGCATCGGCCACCGTAAAAGAGCAAATTCAAATGGCTTCAGGTACAACAGTTTCCGAGACTGGTGATGATGTGAAATCCAGATCAAAGCGGAAGAGCCTTAGATTTGACTCTGCTCCTCCGCAAATCCTGGAGCATGTCCTGCAGAAGGATGACCAAACCAAACTTGCGATGAATGAGAGTGAGATTGACGCCTCAAAGAAGGATATATAGCAATAATGGTGATATCCTTATGATTACAGTGTGTACACTACCAAGAAATGATGAAAAAAAGGTTTTAAATCGTGTATGACGTAAGTGAAATTTTTTAGATGCTCTATCTGATACGAGGAAATGAAAACTTGATGTTCACCAGGTTGGTTGAACCGTCTGTGGACGAAAGAACAGATCAAGTTCATCAACCAATCCTCTTTAATCTTTGAACATCATAACTCAAATTGGTGTCGATTCTATCGGCTCTGTCACCAATGTTCGCGATGATCTTGTTCTGGCGATCGATCTCCTGGCCCATGGTCAAACTCATGTTTTTCAAATCACTTGCAATCTTTAGGGCCTCGTCCGTATTCTTTGCAATTCCAACTTCCAACTCATCGTCTTCTTCGTCCGCCTCAAATTGGTACTTCTTTGCCTCGTTGAGAACCCTCTCCCGTTCGTACTTTTGGTAGATCGGGGAATTTACACCATGCTTGGTGCGACTAACACCATTCTCCATGGAATCCACAAGGTTCTGTTGCGCTCTGTACCATTCCTTGGTCCTTTCCTGAGCTTCCTGTTTGTGCAATATCCTCTCATTCTTGAACCTTGCCTCCTCGGCACGTAGCTTAGTCTTCCTATTGAACGGATTTCCAACCCTAACAGAGAACAGACCACGGTTATAGTGTGCCAGGTCTTTTACACCTTGCTCTGCTACCTTCTGTTGTTTCTCAGCCAGATGTAAGTCCTGCTCGATCTCATTCAGCTTGTAACCTTGGTTACCAGTCTCTCCCAGAGTATTGCGTGCATCTTCTCTAGCTTTGTTCAGGTGAGCCAGCATGTTGTTTGACGAATAAAGAGTATCTTGCTTTATCGTACGTATCTGCCCCTTGATACCTTCTACAGCCTCATCCTCCTCTTCCTGCTGTCTCTGCCTTTCGAGTTCTTCAGGACTGAGATAGTCCTGGTTGATGGCATAATCAGTTTGCGAGTGGTAGTTCTGTTGCTGTTGTGTATGGAACCCAGGGTAGTCATTGAGATCTTCTTCCTCCAAAGCGACCTCATTTTGGTCCAGATCTTGAGGAGCGGTCTGTATGCGTGTGGATGGGGCATACAGACTTTGGGCCTGGCCACCGTATGGGTCGTCGCGGTAAGATGGTGGCTGCGAGTAGTTATCAGAGTAAGGGTCATGGGATATATCATAACTATTCTGATTCGACGGTTTCTCGCCCTGTTTGGAGTATAGTTCTGGTTGTGATGACTGCGCTTGAGGGGCAGTTGTGGCCGGAGCGTGATCATCGTATTCGTCCCCGTAACCATACTGGTTACCGTAAGGATTTCTTGGCTGGCTTTCCTGGTGTTTTCCTTGAGTGCTGGTGTACAAATTCCCTACCGGCTGACCTGAAAGGCTGCTTTTCTGGTCCAATCTGGTATCAGATTTTTGCCTCTGGTCCAGTCTCGGATCAGACCTTTGTCTTTGGTCTATTTGGGGATCAGATCTCTGTTTTTGAGCCTTTGGCCTATAAACATCCGCTGAAGTATTATACGCTGCATATGGATCATTTGCGATTGGTTGAGAATAGGGATCGTTCGATACCTGAGCATAAGGATCCCTTATCGACGACTCGTTCACCTCACTTTCGGCTGTAGCTGCATTTCCAGGATAGTTATTGAGATCATTCTCTGGGTCATACACTCGTGGCGCAAGTTCACCTGCCTCTAAATGTTTGTCTTTGGCATACTGGTCGAATGCAGCAAACTTATTCTTCTTCTTCCTGTCAAAGGCGAGATCGACGAAACCCCTGTTTTGAAGGTATTCTTTGGTCTCCTCCTCTGTAGATTCAGCGGGTGGTTTGAATAAACGTTTGAACTTCATCTAGTATGCTGGTTATTTCCAAGCTGAAACACGCTTTCAAGCCAAAAAATACCTGACTTTGTCTAAGTGCGAGGGTGTTTCAAGAACAGAACGTCACGTTTATCTCCAGCTCAGTTTGGGGCGATGAAGGTCGTGCGCAGAAACCAATATGACTGAAATGACGGGTGGCTGAGGCTTTGGCCACTTTACCTAATCGGGATGAGCAGGGGCTGTGCAAAAGAAAAGCGATTTGACATAATTTGAGGTAATAGAAATGAAGTTGCTTTACATGATAGTGTATCTATATCTATATATATTATTACAGATCCAGCAGTTCATCCAGTGATAACTCTTGGTGTATGCATAATCCAAGGATACAGAAGGCAGTTGCGATTTACGACTACAAGACTAGTCGCAAGTCAGAACTAGCTCTTATCAAAGGAGAGGAATTAGAAATCCTGGAGAAGCCTACCAAGAACTGGTGGATAGGCCGATGTCACGACAAGAAAGGCAAGTTTCCTTCTAATTATGTGATCATCAAACAACCCGGTATGCAAATTCAGCTTCGCAACGAACTGGATTTGGATGATGAGGAAACGAAGGCGGCACGAAGGAGAAGGAATGGTTTTAGAGATTGGTACGGAGGCTCAGCTGCCTTTGGACTATCAGCACCCGAATTGCGCAAGTATTACTCTGGAAAGAGGTAGTTGGTTCTAAGGGCACATTTCTAAGCATAGCTTCAATATTTAAATAACTTTTAATTTAATTTCAGGCTGGTCCCAATAATCGTAGATTCTCCCTTAAACTTCACATTCTAAGAGTGTGGGGAAAGGCGTGCACATCTGAATCAGAGCAATCCAACGCAAGAGCAATCAACCTTCACTATTACGTACCCATGCAAGGTGGGATATTTAAGAGTTGGTATAAAAAGGCATGACTAGCCATGCTGAAATAGACCTTCGATTCTATCTCCAATTATTGAGATTTGATCAATCACCAAGATGGGAAACGATTTGATGAACAGAGCCGCAGTTGAGGTTGGAGAGGCCATCTACGATTACTCGCCTCAGAACGACGGAGATATTGAGCTTCACAAGGGAGACACTGTCGAGATTTTAGAGAAGCCATCTAAGGACTGGTGGATGGGCTCCGTAAATGGAAAGACGGGTGCCTTCCCATCCAACTACGTTCAGCTTAAGAACTCCGACATCCAACAAAATGCAGGGGATCAGAACGACGGCGAAGGCGGCAAACACCATCACCATGCCCGCGATTTCGGTAAGCGCATCGGAAATGCTACGATTTTCGGTGCTGGTGCCACCATTGGTAATGATATAGTCAACTCAATTCTCTGAAGGATCACTTTTCTAAGTGCGATACCCAATTTTGATGTCCAATTAGGAAGTACACGAAAGTGGCTGTGGCTGAGTTTGCTCTGCCTCTGAGCTGGATTTGTACGGGGTGTTGCCATTTTGTATTTCTCTTATATTAGTTCTTTCTCGAAATAACCATATATTTTATTTGATCCAAGCCGTGATATGTCGTCAGCTGCTATTAACCGCTCGTTGGCCTCTTTGAGGACAGTATGTGTAATATCTTTGTTTACTTGACTAGGAATGGGAAGCGCCCCCTATGTCATGGAACAAGGCATCAATCATGGGAATCTACTAACATTTGACCAGGAACTCGAATTTCTCAGAGACTCAAACGTCATCACAGACGGATTGTTTTCTCAAATTGCTGAATCTATTCCGAACCGTTACAGCGACGGAATGGCGCCTGCAGATGTAAGATCGCAAGCTGGAGGAGCACAATCTGCCGCGCCACAACCTCAAAGCCAAAACCACGAGGAACTTGCCGAAGCGCTCTACGACTACAGACCTTCGCAGCCAGAAGACTTGGAGTTGCACGTTGGTGAGAAGGTGAAGGTTTTGGAGAAGGTGTCCGCAAACTGGTGGAAGGGTTCTGTTGGTTCAAGAACTGGAATGTTCCCAGCGAACTACGTGAGACTGTTGGGTGGTAACCCATATTCCCAAGGACCTGTTCAAACTGCGCCCCAGGGCCAAATGTATGTTCCTCCCCTGTACCCTCAACAACAACAGCAACAGCAACAGGCTCCTTTTCCACCAACGTCTACCAACTACTATCAACAACAACCTGTTCAACAACAAGCTCCTCAGCATCAAGAGCAAGAACAGCATCAGCAACAAGGTAACCCAAATTTCAAGCAGCAGCACCCACATATCTCCAAGTTTAGTTCAAAACTTGGAAATGCGGCCATCTTCGGAGCAGGTGCTACGATAGGCTCTGACATCATCAACTCTATCTTTTAAATGAACTCTTTGGGCTGTTCAGCTTGCTTGCCATACATTACATATCTTTTTCGCGTTTCGTGTTCAATGGTCTTATTCATGGGTTCTTACACATTCGGTCAGTGTAAGTTGCTCCCAATACTCTTTGAGTATTTTTCTATATATTTTTCAATCTCTAAAATAAGAGCCATAGTTATTCCACATTCTTGTAATCGTCACCAGCTTTACATTGGTGGTAAAATCTTTGCTGGTCAGGTCATTCACATCACGAACAAACTCCCATCTTCTGTCCTTGGGCACCAAGACTTGTCCGTTCTCTCTCAGTGTGATTAGTTCCAACAGCAGCATTCCTGAATTCTCGAAGTTAATCGCATCATCATGGAGGGCCAAGTTAAGTAGTCTTTCAATGTTATTCAAAGACTGCAGGACCAAAAGCTTTCTGTCTCTGGAGAATCTGTACACGTAACCTGTGCGAATGTATGACTCCACCGATCTCAAAACCCAGTATACAACTAGCAAACTAGGAGATGCCGCCACCACTCCAAATACCAACTCTTGTGACTTCAAAATCTTGTCAATACCACTTATAGCTACTGTTCCGTCCACTTTAGCCTTTTGTATCTGAATCAGCAAATTGGTCAGCATGTCTCCCATTATGATACTCTTGACTGGGCTTTTCAGATCCTGTTCATATTTCCTCATCACTATGGTTATATCTCCGTTTTTCACATTTTCTTGGACTGTGGCCAAGGCGAGTCTGGGGTCAAGTTCTTGACCCGCCAGCGAGATGTTGGCTAGAGAGTAGTCTGTGACCATTCTTTCCAAAGAGCTCAGGTCTGACTCAAGAGATTGCTTAGACATGATTGCAATTCTGGAGTTATCATCATGTCTCACAGTAGCAAAGATATTGTTCAAAGGTGAGATGATCCAGTTGTTCCAAAACCCAACCAGCGTTCCGACAACGTTGTGCTTGAAGAACAAAACAAGCTCATCCCATTCAGATACGACATTTTTGATTAGTGCCGGGGCATATAGAACAATAAGTGCCGTTGATACCCAATATCTGATGATAGCTCTGGGTCGACTATTTTTGGACCTAGTAGCCCTTATTTGCTTTTGCTGTGAGGGCAAAAGTTTGCTGAACAGATTTTGAAGCTTCACCAGCGAACTCTGGATTGAATCAGAGCCGGTCCCTGAATACATGCCAACTGCAGACGTTTCTCCTTGAAATAACAGCTCAAACTTTGAGATGGCCTCGAACGCTTTTGTTAATACCCCTGTTTTCTCTAAGAACTCATACGGGTCAGAATCATCATCCTCATCAGCTGGCCTTATGGTAAGCAGCTCGCTCAACAAGACACCTAGCTTCTCAGCGTTTGCGGATTTCAAATTCAATATGTTTTCTCTTCTGTGAATGGCTTCACGTTTAGCAGCAATGACTGGGGCTCCCAGTATCGTGACAAAAACATTGTTGGTGAAAATGCTAGCTTTTCTCGGCGAGATCCCTATCGTTGAGACAATGGGCCGGGATTTCAGGTTATTGAAGAACACACGGGTCGACATTATCGATCTCGAGCTCGAATATATGGACTGAAGTGTAAATCTGAGCCATTTATAGGCATGTGAGTAAAATGGTCTGAGTTTTTCGGGCACCCATTCAGGAGGAGTAGGCAATGTGGCCCTGGTTCCAGTTTCGATGTTCTTAACCACCACATCATTGTACAATGCTTTGCTGAACTCATATCCTCTCACCGGTAATGTTTGAACAACGTATAACAACATGTATAATCTGGAATTAAGCACGCTTTCCCAATATGCTAGCTCGTCAGATAGTGGGATGGTGTTTTTCAGTAGCAATTGACCAGTGTAAAGATACAGCGACAAGAGCGAATACAAGAGGGATAATCCCTCCAGTTTTGACATTGTTCTGAGTTCTTTCTTGATTTCCTCAGAGTAATTCTGAGAGCTTATTGCGCTCGATGCCAAGATGGGCCCTTGAGCAAAGGGCGCCAAGAGCTGTCCCAGCTTTTTCCCTGTCACAGACTTTATCACATCCTCAACATCTTCAACCCCAGAGGCATATGATGCTCTTTTTTCTTTTTGGCCATAATGCCCATTTGAGGTCTTTCTCAAAGGTTCAAGTATCATGTAGCATTCTGCAAAAACAGCTTGGATCTGGTCAATTGACCCCAGGACATCAGACCCCACGCTACCGCGTATTTCGGTATCATTCACCAGTTTCAATTCGTTTATTTCACGCAATGCAGAGCTTGAGTACACATCTAGCGCCTCCAGATTCGCTCTAACAGCATCCGTGATCACACTCATTTTTGTGTGTATTACGGGGTAAATGAGTGAGGAGAAGAAATACCACAAGATCTAAGTGGCAATCAGCTAATATGGTCGTCCCCCACCAATTTGGGTGGATTCTCCACGACTTCCAGAGGGATAAGGATGGTTTGATTCCGGTAAAACGGTTATGAAATTGGCTAGTGAAATTTTCCAGGACTTTTCACACATCTAATTTAAGCGAAATTCTCGAATAAACATATAATTTATGCCAGAAACAGACGGAATCGTGGGGCTCATTGGCTCTCTGAAAAGGCTTCATAGTTTTGAGCCGCACATAAAAGACACTGCGGATAATGGCAGTGCTTTATTCTCTCGAAGAGACACTCGTAGGGAACCTGATAGTAGTCTTACATACAACTTTTCCCAACAATATCCAATCATGATTGTATTTGGACTTGGTTTGTCCGCACGACTTGTGAGCCGCAGAATCGTGGCTCCTCTTAGAAATCCTCTCAGGGTTGGTTTCTCAAGAGATTTCATCACCACAACTCCGTCATCCTTCAAGCATACTTTGGCCGCCCAACTGCTTTTCAAGTCCAAGGCAGAAGTCAAGAAGCCCAAAGCTGTTCAGGTCAACTCAGAACAATCTATTCCACTGAAAGATGACATCATCGATCTCTCCGAAGACAAAGAAGCGAAACTGCTGAAAAACAAGTACTACCGTCGCATGCCGCGCATATTGAAGCCATACATGAGAAGTTTCATGCTTCGGCCTATTGGATTCGGTGTATCGTTTGCTGTGCTCCATGAGATAACTGCTATTATCCCATTTTTAGGATTCTGGTGGTTTTTCATGTACATCAACTGGATGCCTTTCCATCTACCGGCAGAGGTTGTTCATAAGGGCATAGACATGATCAACTCAGCCCTGGCCAATAAGGATATTGGAGGATTGGTTGATAAGGCACAGCTGGTGATGGCAGGTGCAAACGCCTATGCTCTGACGAAGGTGTTTTTGCCCATAAGGATACCTATCTGTTTTGTCTTGGCTCCATGGTTCGACAGATGGGTCATTCAGCCCATCACCAACCTTTTCTCTTCCAAGAAAAAGTCAAAGACATCTTCCAAGGAGATCTGGGATACTCCTTTGGAGGAAGCAAAAACGAAGAGTGTTGATCAGAAACGCATATAATGACTGTAAATAGAAAATTCTATTTCGAATAGGGTACACATACAATTGAAAACTCCAAACCAGTATCTTTGTACCTACAAATAACATAAAACGACATACAGACAAAAACTATCACATCGCCGAGTTCAGAACAAAAACTTTCTAAACGAATCAGCATCCATACCGGGTTTCACCTTATCAATGAGGTCCCTTCTGTCCATTGCTAGGAGAGCTCTCTTCAAGGTCTCCAGCAAGCTGGTACTCTGGTTGCTGACCATACCGTCGGGGATTTCTTCCAGACCATCCACTTTGTGCATGCTCAAACCTGTCAATAGATGCTCGATGGCATCGTCATACATGCCCATGTTGATGTAAGATACGCCCAGATTGTACCTGGCCCTCACGAAGTTAGGGTTCAATTGTAAAGCCCTCGAGTACGCTTCTATGGCCTCCTCAGGCCTATTTGAGTTGGCCAACGAAGCACCCAGCCTGTTCCACGATAATGCGTCATCGGGCCTCACTCCAATAGCAGCACGGAAGCAGTCCATCGTCTTATCAAACTCCTCGATGGAGTAAAACAACACACCCAAGCCGGTCTGGACATCTGGGTCCATGTTCGCAACATCAGGCGAAAGTTGGGCTGCCTTTATGAACAGCTGCGTGATACGCTTGTTCAGCGCAACCCTGTCATCGGCTTCGATATCAGGGTTCTCCACTCTCGCCTGTTGAGCAATCTGTGGATATTTGGTCTGAATCCACCTCTCCAGTGTGGCATAGGCAGCGTTGTCGTAACCGTCATTAACATATGAAATTGCCAAAGTCATGAGAGCAGGAAGGTTTTCTGGTGATAGTTGGAGACACTTCTCCAAGGCAGAGATTCCAGCACTTTCCTTTTCGTTTTGAGTTTGAACTTCACCCAATTTCAACCATGCATTCACATGATCTGGGTTCTGCTGAACAGCAGCTTCGAACGCAAGTGCGGCTTCACTCAACTTTGCTCCGCTTTCCATTAACTTCAATCCGATCTCGTAGGCATCAGGGTCGTTAGCAAACTGGTTCTGCTCCTCGAAAGCGTATTTCCCGTAATTCATTCTGCTTATTGCGTATTGCTCGAAATCCTTCTCCCAGGCAGCTTGGTACTCATCGTTGGTTAGTTCGGTGTCAGCATAAGTTTCCTGAATGTTGTCCCAAACTTGTTCAAAGGCACCGTCCATAATGTTTGCATTCACCTCTATTGGTTCGTCTTCTCTGCCCTGCAACCCAGCCTCATATTCCTTGAATGTGTCTTCCCATTGCTGCATAGACTCGACCTCCACCACGCGGCCAGCGTCGGCCTGGTTGGCGTGCACCCCAGGAGCATGTGACATCGCTGAACGGCCCATCATGAAACCGCTACTCATCCCGCCCATAAGGGGACGATTTAAAGATGATCTCATCATCGAGGGCTGCTGTTGTTGAGATGGAAGTTGAGCTGGTGAGTGGGAGACACTCTGAGAGAACTCAGACGTCCATCCGGGACCAGCTGATTCAGCTCTCATGTTCAACTGCTGAAACTCCTGAGGGTTGAACTGGTTGCCTCTTTGGATGTTCTGGTTAGCCAGTGGAGTATGTCTGTGGATATTTGAAAGCTCATTTGCCATCGGCTGAAAACTGAAAGCGCCAGTCTGATCATTACGCATGAAGCTTTCCATGTGCTGATGATAAGGGTTAGTTAGTTAGTAGGGGGATTCAGCAAAAAGAGCAGACTCAAAACAATCTACCAAAATTTCATTGCTTACCTGTTTTTCTGACATGCTCATTTGATTTTCCTCCCTCAACATCATCCTTCTTTGTTGTCCAGGCTGGTTTCTCAGCGACTGTTGTAGGGAAGTGTCCTCTTGGGCATGCTTATTGAAATGGGCCAGAGGATTCGCTCCAGTTGAGCACTCCGAGCCGCCACCTAGTAACGACATGATTCTCACGTTTTCTGGTTGTAAATATGTAGAGAACAGGAATATTAAATGGGTTGTGTCATATATTTGAGGTGGCCCGTAGACGATCGCATGCGACAAATAGCCTCCAACATTCGCGGGGGTAGTCCGAGGAACCGAGCTGTTGCGCGCACGACGTTCTGATTACAAGATTATTTTGAAGAGTAATCTAGAGCTTCTCTGTTAGGATTTATACAAGACGCTCAAAGTATGTCCGTACGGAAACCTCCAATATCAATAGAGGAGCTTCTTGAGAAAAAACGGGAAGCTCAAGAGGTAATCTCCAAGCCACAGTTTCTGACTAAGGCTGAGCGCCAGCGGCTTGCATTGGAGAGAAGGTCTAATCAGGTGAAGCAGATACAGAAACCAAAGGCATTAAACTTAGCTGGAGGAAAAAACGAGCATGTGATCCCACCGCAGACTTCTAAGAGTAAGGTGGTGAAGCCAAGCGTGAGAGGGAGCAGAAATTTCAAGTTCGAATGGAGTGATGATGAGGATACTTCTAATGGCTATCGTCCCCTGATACTGTCTACTACCACTGAGAAACTGGACCCTATATCGCGCTTGAAAGTGGAGAATAGCTCACATTGGTCGAAGAAACGGCTTGAGGATATGACGAAACGGGATTGGAGGATTTTGAAGGAAGATTTTAGTATTTCTTCGAAGGGCGGAAATATCCCCAATCCGTTCAGATCGTGGGATGAAACAGGTGTGAATCCTCTGATATTGAAGGCTATCAAGAGACTTGCTTATGACCAACCAACCCCCATCCAAAGAGCTTCTATACCGATTGGACTGACTGGACGTGATGTTATTGGAATTGCTGAAACGGGTTCTGGTAAGACTCTCTCTTTTCTGATACCCATTCTGAACTACATTATGAATGTTCCGCAATTGAATGAATCTAACAGAACGGATGGCCCTTACTGCCTGGTCCTGGTGCCTACCAGAGAACTCGCGCTGCAAATAGAAAAGGAGTTCTTGAAGTTTGTGTCCTTGGATTTACCCCTAAGGGTGGCCAGTCTGATTGGTGGGCATACTCTCGGGGAAAACATCAATAAGATAGCGCAGGGTGTAGAAGTGATAGTGGCTACCCCAGGAAGATTGGTGGATTGCTTGGAGAGAAGCGTACTGGTTTTGAACCAATGCTTCTTCCTTGTTATGGATGAAGCTGATAAAATGATAAACCTTGGGTTTGAACAGCAGGTACAGCAGATTCTGAAAAGCCTGCCTCCTGGCCATAGCAACCCATTTGGCAAGCAGGATCAAAGAAAACGCACAACCATGATGTTCACAGCAACGATGCCTCCTGCTATCGAGTCCTTGACAAAAGAATTTTTAGACCAGCCCGCTACAGTGATGGTTGGTGATGTTGGTGATGCTGTTGACACTGTCGTGCAGGAGGTAGAGTTCATCAAAACCGAAGAAAAACGACTTGATAGACTGATTTCTGTCCTAAATACAGGCTCATTTGGTCCTCCAATAATTGTTTTTACGAATTACAAGAAGACCTGCGAGCTAATTGCTGAGAGACTGCAGGCAGAGAACTGGAGGCCAGCCGTCATGCATGGCTCAAAATCCCAAGAACAAAGAGAAACGGCCATCCAGCAGATACGAGACAGCAAATGCGATATTTTGGTAGCTACAGATGTTGCTGGGCGTGGTATTGATATTCAGGATGTTTCGCTGGTTGTCAATTTCCAGATGGCGAGGTCGATAGAGGACTATACCCACAGGATAGGTAGAACGGGTAGAGCAGGAAAAACTGGTACTGCATTGACATTTCTCGGTGATGAGGACAATGATGTTCTTTATGACTTGAAGACGATGATTATCAAGAGTCCTGTGAGCAAATGTCCCGAGGAGTTGAGAAGAAGCGAAGGCGCTCAGCGGAAACAGTCTAATATTGTTTCCTAAGAGGGTGCTTTAATGATTTGTACATAATTCTGTTACGACCTGATGTTCCTGTAGCCTGAAGTTATAAACTGTATATACACACAAATCGCATTAAATTCCACCAAATAAAATTATTCTTCGTCACTGCTACCATATCCCAACATCGACGGCTGCAAGCCCTTTGGCTCTTCCTTTGGCTCAGACTGAAGCTTCTTCAATTTCAGCTGGTTCAAGATTCCCAAGCCGCCATTGAAAAAAGTTGAATTTTGAGCAGCTGGTAAAGCCTTTTGATTATCTCCATTATCAGCGTCGTTCCCTTCGTCTTCTCCTTCTTCTTCTACCTCTTTTAAGGCAACATTCTGTCTTTTTGCAGCTGCCTCTTCGTCATCGCCTATACTGTTCAACAGCTTCTCAACAGTTTCCAGAGCCACGTCTTCTCTCCTTCTTTTTTCTCTGGCTTTGGCCTTTGGATCTGGATCTTCGCTGGCCCATCTCAAGTTCAAGATTTCTTTTTCATTATTAGGGATAAGACTTTGGTGGGCCATGGCTTCCCTAGCAAATTGCGCACACGCTTCGATTCTGTATGTGACGAAAGCGATGCCCTTATCATGAATAACTCTAATTCTTTCCACTTCGCCCCATTCAGCAAAAGTTTTTGCGATCAGAGCATCTATTCCACTTCCACTGGCATCCGATTGGTCCATCGAGTTAATTCGACCAACGTACAGGGTTCTGTTCACGCGGTTGAAGTTTCCAACTCCGCCCATATCGTCTCTGTAGTCTGAAAACTTCTCCCTTCCGAAACAATCCAGGGTGGGAGGAAAAATGTCGCGTTCCCCAGGTAGTCTGTGCAGATATTCGCAGTTTTTGCCCATGCAACATGATCCGCGCGCGAAATATAGACATATGAATTTTTGAGTATTGATAGCGTTAGGGTCTGTTATATGCTTATCTGCCCTCGTATATCCCGAATCCGATTTCACATGACATCTTGTCTTGGAGTGCGTTTGGATATGGCTTGAGCTGTCTCCTCCATTAGACCATTTCATATACCATAAGTTGAAAATCGTACCGGTCTGTGGGGGTTTATCGTCCGCGTTGATTGTCTCCGGGTCCACCTGCAATCTTGCTGGTTTCCTCTTTGTTTTCCTCGGTTGATCAGTCGGCACAAGCTGAGAGACCTCCTGGTCTTTATCTTCTTCATCTGGCATGATGTGTAATAATTATTTCAGATACCCTGTTCCTATTTTATCTGTGTTTTGCTGGGTTAATGTATTCGATAAGGCTGGTCAATAGTAGATAACAAGGCCTGAAATATTCATGTGCGATGCAATAAATTTCACCGGGGCCACTAAACCGATGAGGCCTATGAAAATGCGAAAGACTCAATTCTCAATTTAACATCGTCAAACAGATTGCTTCTGTACACAGAAACCAAATATTAGCTCAATGACATCACGTGGTTTTTTATCGGGTATCAAGTCTCGTAGGTAGTTTTTTGAATTGGTCCTTTTGGTTCTATTGGATCTCACTAACTTAACGCAGTCTTCACCGTCCCTGAGTTCAAGGAGTCCCTCACCCTGCTGGATTTCGCGAACGCGTACGACATTCAAAAGGTCATCACAAGATGCGACCAAGAATTGGGTGGATACTCTACTGTGAACATGGATGTTGCTAGGGACACAAAACCAAACGGGGAAAGGACGGCATGTGCTCATTTCCACGGAAACCTCAGTCTGAACCTGCCCAAGACGAGACCAGACGTCTCGCAGAGTGGATGGGCTATGTGGAGGACAAAAAACAAGAATAATTACCAGCACAAAATTGCATACATTTCTGATCGATTCGCAAATTTTTGGTGGGATTTCGGGCCGTACCAGGCAATGGTGCTCAGGTTAAAGACTGATACGCCTCACCGTAAGTTCTTGCTGAATGTGCAAACGGATACTATGTCTAGAACGGACCTGTTCCAGCACAGACTATTTCTGAATACGCCTGGAAAATGGGAAACGGTGATTCTACCGATTGACGACTTTGTGCTTACAAACAGAGGTTTTATTCAGAAGCAATATCAGGGCGAAATGGAGAAGGATCGGATCAAGTCTGTTGGGATGGGTATCCTGGATAAGCAGTATGGGTATTACTCGTTGTACATTGAGAGTATAAAAGTGATGACTGGAAATGCTTTGGCTGAGGCTATACAGTTGGCAAGAGAAGAAAATATCGGCGTCGAGCGTTATAAGCCTGAGATTGCTGAAAAGGAGTCAAAGAATGAGACTTCACCTCTACCTTCGACATGATGTTAAGAACGCGCAAACACATTCTATTACCGCTTCTTAAGGACACGAGCTACAAATCACATAAGTTTCTGTTCGAACGTGGTTGATACATAAATGATATAAAAATCAGACATTCGTACAGTATAAAAATAAGCCGTAGGAGTTTTGTTGCGATATTTCGTCAACCAGCTTTTTTTGGCAATACCCCACAAAGCCGCATCTTTTTGATTTTTCATCTCCCTCAATTCAATCTGCTTTTCTTGAAAGGGGCACCCTCAACAGTCTCCCTCTGCTGGGCGGTGAATTGCTGAGGCTGGCCTGCCGCAGCATCATGAACAGACTCTCTTCTGTTCAACAGCGAGTAAACAGATGCAGAACTTGAACTCGTGTGCAGTGGTTTAGCAGCTGGGGAATTCGAAGATTGCCGTTGACTTTGCTGCAAAGCTGCAGTGGTAGAAGCCACTCCTGTGTGCTGGGTGGTAGAAAAGTACTGCGAGGGCTGCTGTTGAAGAGAAGGTGGTTGCTGCTGAGGATGCCATGTCTCGACTGGTGATGGGATATTCACAACACTTTGAATCGACTGAACAGAAGGCAAACCACGTTGGAGAGGCTGAGAAGGGGTCCCTAGTGGAGTTGCATTTGGATCAGGCACGGATCTGGGAGGATTGTTGAAGCTGTAGGAATTCATCTTGGATCCGGTATCATAGTGTCTCTTGCGATCTTCAGAGGGAGTAGTCGCCCTTGGGACTCCGGCAGTTGGTGAAAGAACGTCTGGCTGCTGGTTAGATGGTACAGTTGGAGGTGGTGGCTGCGAGGCAAAGGAAGGTGGTTGCTGCTGTTGTTGCGGGGGCTGTTGAGGTTTGGCGGAGCCATTCACTGGGCGAGCATATGGATTGCTTTGGGTGCTCGAAGCCCTAGATCTGTACGAGTCCACAGTCAAAACAGAGTTGTTTGAAAGACTCTGCTGATGATAACCCATAACGCCAGGATGCTGAGGAGGCTGCTGGGAATTTTGCGGCAACAGCTGCTGAGCCTGTTGAGGAGACATCACTCTCTGTGGCAGTATCGTTCTGTGCGGATATGGAGGCACCTGCTGTGCGAAATGCGGTACCGGACCAGATGGAGGCTCCAATTGACCCTGCTCCATTGGATGATGGGGAACTGGAGAAAGCACATACTGTCTTTGAGACATGAAGTTCTGCGATATTGGAGGCTGAATCTGGCTCAATGAAGGTCTATGCTGGGCTTGTTGCGATGGGTCCAGTACCTGTTGCGGGTGGTTCACAGCAACGGTTCCCATAATGGGCTGTGGAGAACGCGGAGGAGCTCCATGGCCCATTGGTCCAGGCGAAGAAGGATACTGCTTTGGCGGAGCAGGCTGCAAAGGGTCGAAGACAGATGGGTTCCTTGAACGAGCACCTGAAGACTGGGCATCAAACTGGAGCGTAGAATATGGATCCAAGTCGGGGTTGCTGGTCATGCTTCTTCTATTATTGAACAGATTGGACGTTGAGAAGAATGGAGCCTCGTGGCCGTGTGGATAGGCCGCAACCTGGCGCAGTTCCATATCTCTTGAAGCAGTCCTCTGTAAAATGGTTGACTTGAATCTATCCAGCTCCTCTTCCAGATTGCGTGGAAAATTGGTGTTTGGCTGGGACTTATAGGGCCTGTTTGGTGAATCATATCCAGCATAGTTTGACACATGAGCATTCACAGGAGTCCTGGACCTTTCCTCGGGCTGCTGGGCCTGGGGTTGTTGAGCAGGCTGAGCAAGCTGTTCGCTTTTTTGCACTATCACATCTTTGAACAGATCCAACAGAGTGACCAGATCGTAATTGGTCCTCTTGAGCTCCTCGTGGGCCAAGTCGTACTTGTACTGCAACAGATCATGATCTTTTTTCAGTCCTTTCAATCTGGTGTTCAGCTCGACGTATTTATGTGTGAGATTCTCCCGAGAATGTTGATCCTGTTGCGCCAAAGGAAACGGTGTAGCAGACGTCGCAGTGTTAGCAGCGGCAAGATTTGTGACAGAGGTGTTCGATGCAGAATTGGCAACTGTGACCGTGGCCATGTGGTGCGGTAATGAGCCATGTCTCGAGCGTATGTATGAATCGTCAGAGGGATCACCCTCATAGTCTGAAAGACTCACAGGGATGAACCTCTGAGGAGTATAACTCTGAATCTCGTACTCTTGTGGATGTGGGGTCTTCAGATTGTGGACCTCTTTCTGCGTAGGTGCATTCTTGAATGACCGACGCTTGATCAGCTTCAATCCTTCCAGATTCCCATGTCTGAACAGGCCGGAACTATGTCTGAATTCCCAACATGTGGGTCCACTGACAGACGAATTGGACCCCTTCCTGGACCTCTGGCCTCCACTGGATTGTTGCGATTGGAACTGAGTCTGTGGTGGTATTGGGGAATGCTGTTGTTGAGATGACAATGGCTCTGAGCTCTCCTGATTCGACGACGAGTCGTTCACTTTGTGGAAACCGTACATGTTCAACTGTCTGATAAACGAGGCCGTATTCGTATGCTTGAAGTAGTTGCTCAGTACTCTGGAGAACTCCTCAGTGGGAGAAACCACAAACGTGGTTCCGTGGTTGGGATGCCACCATATGAGGTGTTTTAGGCTGGGATCCTCGAGCATGGAATACAGCTTGTGTATGAATGAAGATGATGTGCTTTGGGCAACTGAGGTATTCGGCAAGGTGGAAACGGCATTTTTCGTTGTTCCAGCAACGGTTGCTGCAGGTGCCGGGTCTGCTGTACTGGTAGCAGTGGAATCCAACTTTGGGGCTGCAACTTCTGGTATCGTATTATTGACGGCCTCCACGGGAGCAGCACTCTCATCGTCTCGCGGCTGCTCCTGCTTGACCTCGTCTGCTTCTATAGCCATCGGTGTGGTCTCGGTCTCTGCAGTCTCAGGCTGGAAGCCGTTTTGGTATTTGCTCTCATCAATCTCCTCTATCATAGTTGGAGTTGACATTTGGGCAAGTATAAGTTCTTTAAAGGTTGAGCCGAAGCACAAAAACTCGACAAGTGACTAGAAGCCCCCCGTCGAATTAAATGGACTGGACTAGTTCAGACCCCCCGGATGGACCAGAAAGCTTAACTAGACGGCGATCAAAACGGCACCTTTTCGAGTCGGAAAACGCTCAATTTCTGAATCAAAGACCCCCCAAGACAAGGACTCTAGAACGAATCCTCAATTTTGATTGCCTCTGAGGCGGTTGCAATGACACTAGACCAACCCCCCAGGAAAAACAGGACGGTGACAACTTGCCGAAAAACGGCAATCAAACGGCTAAAAAACAAAAAATCGGAACCGAACTCCAAACACACACGAACAAAACCAAAATTCTGACAATCCAAGACGAAGCGGCAATCTGCTGTGGTGTAAGAGGAACAGTGGTAAAGAGAGCAACGGGGAAGGTGGTGGTGAACAAGGCAATGGGCAAACTAGGCCAAAGGACTGTACACGATTTTTTGGTGTTATCCCTTGGAATGCGTAGCAAAGTGAAAAATCCTTTCTGAAAAATTGAAACAACAAGCAAAAATACTTAGTCACAGAATGTGTTGAGACTAAGTATTTAAGAATGCTCTTTTTTTTTCTAATGGCTTCTGCTTGAAAAACTCGTAGTATAAGGTTTCAAGCAAGACGGACTAAAGCCTTGAAATTATGCTGGCTGGGGGTTTACCACACGAGACGGAGGAAGATAATGAAAGAAAAAAGGAAGGAAGGCAGGAGGGAAAGAAGGAAGGAATGAGCAAGTATCTGTTGTTGAATATTGAACGTTGAAGTTTAAACGGTGCAGAAAGTGTATCAGAAGAAGATCTTCCTGAAAACTGAATTTCATCTATTTGCAGAGATGAGATTACGCTCGGGTGTTTGGGAAAATAGGCAAGAGAGACACGGGAGAAGAGAAATTTGGGGATTCCAAGGGCTTTGGACGAAGTCTATTGTGTAAATATATTTTAATTCAATCTGCCTTGTGCAATATCGAACTAACCTTAAGTCTACCATTCTAAAGCCCCCATCATCAACGAACAATGGGAGGGGCTGGCCATCACATTTCGAACCAGTCCTCGGAATGCCCACGACTACGACAAATCTAGTTTCCCTGGCATATTCTGGGCCACCCCGCATGAGCGCTTCTCTAAAAGGCAACGGGGTACTGAAATTGTTATTGACCTGCCGCTTGGATCTTGCTTGAGCTGAGGCCGTTTTGTCCCCACGTATCGGGAGACCAATTTCAAGTATGTGAAATCATCTCGAAAGCCTTAGGTTTTGCAACAAATCTCTTTGAGTCTCGCTTGCATCCCCTGCATAATGTTGGCTAATGCAACTCAAAAGGCCATTTGCGCTTCTCGTTTAGCCCCAGCCACTGAGGCCCAAGATCTGCGATCACGCATAGTATTATGGTCCTATGACGCACCCATACAGAAGATTCCGAGATGCAAACTTTGTTGGTGGGTACACTTCCGCAGGCATTGATTGCAAGTCGTGAAAATGGCAACCGCGTTAATCTGGTCATCGCCACGCTCATGCCCGGTGCTGTATTCAATTGCATGCAAAACTGGTAATATGTTGGTTTGAGCAGTTGTCTAGACCTGAGATACACAGGGATTTACGTGGGAAGCCCGTTTGGGGAGGTGTGCTTCAAGTTATTGCAGTAGGTGTCTAACGGCATAGTATGCTAAACGGCACGCCAAAGTGCGTCTCTCAGATATTGTTATTGTTAGCTTGAAATTTGTTCTATCAACTGGAATGGTCCCCTGCGGTCAGCCTTTGAGATGAGCTTGGAAGCCTTTAGGGCTGCATGAAGTTCAGGCCATATCACCTGACTTTCCAACCCTTGCATATGCTCGACTGAAGCCCTGTATTTCTGATCTAAGACGCGGTGCATTGAAATTTTGTTTCCTCGGAATTCTTCACGCACTTGATTTCCAGGGTAGTGTGAAACGCAGTTGGGATATTGTAAAAAAGGTCGTGTACTTTTCAGAATATGTATGTTTATGATCGCGTTCAAGACCTGTGTTATCTTTATGCTTATCTTTCTCTTCTCCTGATTGCACCTTGCTTTGCCTCACAATGTCGCTTAAGAGATCAAAGGTCAAGAAGATTCTGAGGAAGAAGACTTCAATGAAACTCAGAAACGACTCGACCGATCTCATCATTTACTTGAACTACATGAGGTTCATGTCTGCAGTGCTAGCCGAGTCCGAGAGGCTGGCTGTTGAAAACTCGAGTTCTGAGATTTTGCCTAGTCACCTCGACAGAGCCAAGATTGACTTAATGAAGGTGTTCAGGGGTTAGTTGAGCTGGTGGTTTTGGCATCGCTAATTTTGGTCGCCCCCGTTTGATTCATGATTTGCTGTTCCTTTTCGGCACCAAAGAGGATCTTGGAGGGAATTTCCGTGGTTGGAGCGGCTAATTGGGTGTTTCCTATTGTTTTCATTCTTGGAATATATTCAATAGAAATTAAGTGTCAACTGGGGTTGACCTCTGCTCGGGTGACGGGGCTCGGAAGGGGTCACCGGAGTGGATCACTTCTAGCCGCAAGATTGTGAGGGGCAATCTTCCAAAGCCGTTCCGCGAGCGCGAATCATGTGTTTATAACTTCTGGACTCCACGTCGAAGGCCGGCAAAACGGGGTCCCGTACGCCATTCCAGCGCTAAAGAAGGGTAATCTGATGGTGATGTTCAAACTTAAATACTGCAAAAACCATTTTTGCGCCGCAGAGCTGCTTTCTGCATATTGATTGCGGTTAAAGATAACTTTGATAAGCTACATAGATCGGAGAAATGGGGCACAATAAAATTCGTTGGTCGTCAGCAACATAAAATCTAAATCAAATATAAATTGAACATAAAAAAGAGTCGGCTTATTAACAAATCATTTGTGAGCTGACTCATAGTCCACAATCTGTTTGGCAGTAGCATAGATTGAGTCCTCAATGGAAATGTATTTCACTCCAAGCAGTTGCTCTGTTTTTGAGAACTTGTACGTTAACACGTTTTCGGCAATGTATTGTTTCCCAGCTGCCGAGTCTCCCACGGGAATCTTCCCCTTAAGTTCTGGAATACGTGAGTTGAGAACGTCCAAAAACAATTGTTGGGAGAAATAACCACACGCCAGTGCAAGTCTTGCATCTGCAAACTTTTCTGGGTTTTGAAGAGTAATTAGATGCGCAATTGCAACATCACGAACATCGATTCCCATGTTTGCAGGTTCAGTAAAAGGGCCTGGGGCATCATGGGGCAATTTCATGGCCTGGTTAATCAGATCCGAAGAGGTGTTCAAGTCACCAGTGGTCTCGTCAAAAAGCTGAGGTCCATAAACGTAACTGGGGTTTACGGTTGAGATAGTGAAACCGGGTTTCTCCTTGGCAACAAAGTCACGCGCAGAGCGCTCTGCGACTGTTTTAGAGTAGCAATATGCCAATTCTGGGTTAGTTTTCGCGATATCCCAAGGCATAGGGTTCCAGGTGGCTTCTGTATGGACGAACGAATGGTCCGTGAATTTGTCAAAGTTCAAGATAGCCGCACATGAAGAGGTCACAACAACATGCTTAACATTGTGGCCATAATTCTTGACTGAGTTGAGAATTCCAAGAGTGCCGTTAACTGCTGGCTTGACAAACACATCCTCATTGTCATCACCTACACCAAATGAAAATGGAGAGGCGGTATGCAGTACATAATCGACTTCTGGATGGTTTTTGACGACTTCGTCGAAAGCGTCGGGTTTGCTAATATCGGGGACGTACTCTAGAACGAGTTGAGGGTTTTTGTAAAGAGACTTGAAGTTATCGAGGATTTTGCCCTTGGCTGGAGACCTAACAGTTCCAACAACAGAAAATCCTGCCTTCAAAAGCTCGTTAATGATGTGGAGAGCAATGAAACCGTTGGCTCCTGTGACGAGTACGACTGACATTTTGATTGGTAGAAATTGGAGGAAATTGGTGGCTTGGTTGTTTCGTTGCAATTGCAGTGAAGTGATGCTCACAAAATTAATTCTTGCAAACAAGGAGCTCAATCGGTCTTTATATAGTATCGACCTGCAAAAAAGCAATTGGAAATGGTACGCTGTTGGGTTTTCTAATAACTACCTTTTGAGGTTAAACACTGCGGCCGTGCGGATTTTGAGAGTTAACTCCACATCACGGGCCAGAACAATAGGCCGTTAAATCCTGAAAGTTTGAAGTGGGCACGACTAGGGTCCGCTTAAGTCCCGCCGAGATGCAAGAGGAGAAGTGGGAAATAAGAGTTGCTTCGAGGGACATATTTTTCCGGACATCACGTCACGGGGGGATAACGCATATTCTGTATTAACACCGGAGCGTATGCGTATGCGTAACAGAGGGGACAGCAATGCGCTTGTATCTAGTACTCACCACACACTTATCTCCGTCATATCCAGATGGTATGCTCGTCTTCTGATCTTTATCGAGATTTCCTCATCATTCCTAGAAAGTTCTTTTGGGCCGTTCTTCTGCGCAGGCTTTGTAGGGTCTCCCAAGAAAACAAATGTTTTCTTTTAATAAAAAACTTTAGTTAAACCATGTTTCTCTTATTGATATCAGTTCATCTGCTGCCTAGTCATGATAATTGAGCCTGTCACGACGTCTACGACTTTATTTACGTTGAAATTTGGTTATTGATTATTTTCCATTTGCATCATGTCATTAAGGTATCTATGTACATTTTTTTGTTCGAGCTTTTTCACACTCTATTTGCCCATGGACTTCACCATCGCAATTGCACCTTCGGGGTCATTCTTGTTATACACGAACAACCCTTGCAATTGAGCTGTGCTCACTGACCCAACGTTGGCCTCGTGATATGCCTGAAGAAACTTCTCGCGACTCTGCTCGTCTTCAGAGCCATAAAATTTGGTGAACATCTTCGACACCTGGTACTCAGAAGCGTTGTCTATCAAGGCCTTATAATCAACTCTGCCTGGTCTCATGATAGCAGGATCTAGCTTCTCGGGGTGATTAGTCGTCATAAATGTGATCATCTCCTCGGCAGAAGCCACTCCATCTAGCGCGTTCAGCAATCCGCTGAAAGTAACACCTGAACTGTAGCCCTTCTCCTTGGTCTGTTCTCTTTTATTAAAGGCAGCATCTATGTCTTCTAAAAGAAGAATGCTCCTTTGTGGAATATGGTTCATCAAGTATGTCAGTCTATCATCCGTCAAGTTCGCTTCAGAAAGGTTCAAGATACAGATGTTGTAGTCCAATTCTCCAGCCAAGGCCTGGATGAAACTGGTCTTACCACTTCCTGGAGGACCGTATAACAAATAACCACGCCTATATGGAATACCTCTTTCGTGGTACCAGTTTCCTGAGCCCAAGAAGTCTCTCACGTCCTTCAAAATTCCCTCGGAAATTCCTTCGTCTAATATCACACTCTGTACCAATCTCTTGCGTCTAGGCTGGCCAAACGGTCTCCAGTCCTGGCCCCAGGAAGTGTATATCACGGTTTTTCCCTGTTGCGATTCCAGGGCCAATTCCTTTGCCTCTTCCAACAATTTCGCAAACATGTATCTGTCCCTGTAAAGGGTGGTGATGGTGACCGTTTCAAATGGTGTTCCACTGGTCATATCCAACAGCTTGCCAGACCTCTCACGATTCACCATCATGTATGCTCCCTGGTACTTTATCAAATGGCGACCAGGTCCAGGCACAAGTGAGAACTTTGTGCTGACAGTACCGTTGTCGCGCTGTGTGTAGTTTGTTTCAACACTCAAATGTCTCGAGCTTCTCTGCTTATGCTGAGACATCCATTCCAGGAACCAATAGTACGACTTATCCTTACTCGGGATCTCCAGGTCCACCAGCATCTGGCGATATGCAAATTGCGACAATCTAATCACTGAAGACCTTGTCAGTGCTAAAGCAGACCCTAATACCATCAAACCACCACCAGCTGCAAAGTATGGATTGGAAGTCATAACATCCTTGAATAACCCCGAAGCCATTCCAGTCACCGTGCCATCGCTTTGCTTGAAATTCTCAAAACCAGCTTTCTCGGCCGGTTTTACCACCTCGATTTGTTCGTCCATGGTTTTAAATCGACAAGACACAGATAAACATCGAGTGCGATAAGACCTAACAAGTCTTGAAAAGTTCCCCGGGACCTGCCATTTCTTCCCGGTCTCGATTTATTTGGCACACGCACGTTCTTTGGGCCCCATTCTTGCCTCAATGAGCCCCTAAATATGGCTGTGGTTTGCAGTCTGCAAATTGCGGTTTGATTAAGTGTTTCCTCGGAATTGTTATTATCATTGAGATTCTCTCTTCCTCCATTGTGTTTGCCGTATCAGGTTCAGCTATCGAGAATGGAAGTTCCAGGGGAAGAATTACCGCCCCCGCCATCCTACAACCAAATGTTCCCGATCAAGGTTGCCTCGGTTGATTCCAACAAGGATAGTCAAGGCAAAGATTTAATAGACATGATCGATGACGAAGATTTACTGGAGGCTCCCATCGAGAAAGACATAGATACTGATTCCAAATCGGAAACATCCAAGTATGCTCAGGACGTGCCTGCATTACCGAGCCGTCAAAGCCTACCGTACAATTTGGGGTCCGTTTTCAAGACCTCGAATAGAATCATTGACGATATCAAAAACGACATGTTCATGATACTGGGCGACGACCAACAGGGGATATTGGGTGTTAATTCTGTTGACTACGCTGAAAGACTATCTCATTTGAAGCACATTCATGGGGAGAAGTATAAGCTGTTGATGCTAAATGATTTCGACAAATCACTCTATAGACAAATATCTTCGGATGCTCTTGGAGTTATCACTTCTGTGATGGCTATAGTCATGGAGAAAGAAACACCGGCGTCCGTTTCTAAGATTTCCACATACCATGTCAACTTCATGGTGAAATCAAAGAGGACCCATAGGCCATGTCGCAAACACAGATTTTACAAACTGGAGGATTGGGAATTGAATCCTGAGGATAAAAGGGATCTATTGCTGGACTTCACCGAGCAACTGGCTGAAGGCGATGACTCTTCTCTCCCCACACTTATCGATTCGGCCACCTATTTCTGTCCTACGTGCGATAGGATGCTGCGAGTTGAGATCTTTCCCCCAGAATTCGATGCAGCAGACCTTGTAGCTTTTGAGAAGGAGTCAGTTCAGGAGAGATATGAAGAGTACAAGGCCAAGAACCCGGAAAGTGCACTCGTGGTACCTAATCAAGTGGATTGTCTTCACCAGCTTTACGAGCTGTTACTTCAACTTTTTGCATTCAAAACGCCCCAAGAGAACGTCTTGCTTCTTGAGCTATGTCTTGGTAGAAATATTCTGAAAAAGCTAAATTTCAGAGAGAGTTCAAATGGAACTCTGGATCATCCTTTGATCCCAGAGACTGAAACCCAAAAGGAGTTTGTTCTTGACGCATACCTCCGTAAGACTGTGGAGGTTCTCAATATTGGAAGGTTTTTTTCCAATTCAAAACCAGAATTTCAAGTAAAGTCAGGATTGGTGCCCACAGCCTTACTAGAATCTTTGGATGAGTTCGATACCTATCTCATGTCTAGCATTGTTGCAGACGTGGAGGACAAGTCTCTCATGTCTCAAGACTACATCACTCTTTGCTCTCAGAGTTATTTTAAAGATCAGTTTATCATTGACACATTCAAGGAGTTATGTTTTGCCAATCCAAGCTCAAAGGCAAAATATTTTGATGCGTTCACCAACATCGCCCATGACAGATCCTCTCCCACGCTATGGACCGAACTTGCTACTCAGAAGTCTCTTGGTGTGGTGGGATTTGCAGAACTCAGAAGCTGCTACGACCTCTTCAATATTGATGTTGACAACTCGAAAGTCTTCAGCACTGTGGATGATAACTATTTGATCAAGGCTTATCGCTACGCTCTTGCGTATAGCGATGGTACTAATCCTTCAATGTATTGGGATGCCATGCTGAAAATAGCGCTCGACAGAGGCAGCCGCTATCTTGAAATATTCTTGAAAACAGAGCCTGTTGCAGATGTTGAACGTGCATATTCAACATTGGAGATCACAGATTCGGTTGAAGATGACATTGTAGTCACTGCCTACGAGATAAAGAAAGATGATTTCCCAGCAAACGTTGAGCTTTTTGACCGTTGCTTCCTGGCAATTGCTATGAAAAGGAGAAGCATGCGGTTGTTTGACTATGTCGACTCTTACATGGGCCACTTGAACCGTTTGTTGCCTGACCCATCTCAGAACTTGGACGCTGCTTACCGTTTCATTGGATGCCCACCAAATGTGGATGACTTCACATTCCTCTCCTGTTTCCAGGAGAAGTGGGGCTCTGATCTGGATTCTAGGATGTTGTACAGATGTTTGAAAGCAATTGCCGGAGTGAGGAAAAGTAAACTGGTGGAGAGCTTCTCGAGTTCTGGAATCATCGATGCCAGATATCTACCACTTGCAAATACTCCCTGTGGTCTCAACAATATCGGTAACACATGTTACCTTAACTCTTTGCTGCAGTACTATTTCTCTGTTGAGCCTCTGCGCACAGCCATTTTGAAGTTCGATTTCTCCCTGACCCAAGAGGAGTTTTCAGCCGATGAGGCATTGTCTCAAAGGAGAATCGGTGGTAGAAATGTCAGCTTCAAGGAGACTGAGAGATCAATTCAATTTGTGTATCAGCTTCAAGATCTCTTTTCAAACTTGATAACTTCTCGAAAGAGGTGCGTCACTCCCACAAGAGAACTTGCATATCTGGCGTTCTCACCAAGTACTGAGGAGGTTGAGTTCGAGGAAGAAGTCCCTGAGCAGGAAGAAATCGTTCAGCCATATGAGGCAGTTGTTGCGACCGCTGACGCTGATGCTCCGTTGATTGACATAAATGACTCGGACGATGATCAGGAACCAGAATTTCAGCATAATTCGCCAGTTCCAGGGGAGTTATCGAGCCCCATGGATACTGATGATGAGACCAAAACCACACCCAATGCACCTACGCAACAAGTTGTACGTCGCGAAACGAAAAGAAGCGCTGCGAAAATTGATCCCGAGCAATTGGAAAACGCTTTGGAAATGGGTAGACAGCAAGATGTTACTGAGTGCATTGAAAATGTCCTGTTCCAAGTTGAAAGTGCACTCAAACCATTATCTTTGGACGAAGATGATGAGCAGGTTGACCTTATAAAACAACTGTTTTACGGGAAAACGAAGCAGTCGTTACAACCAGTGGATAAAGACACCAAAGAACATTTGCCAGATGGCCAAGTGAGATCCAAGATCGAAAGGTTTTTGAGCTTGCTTGTGAACATCGGAGACCATCCGAAGGACATATATGATGCTCTTGACACATATTTTACGGAGGACCTGATGAACTTGGATGATGGAGAAGTGAAACGTTCTCTGACCATCACAGAGCTTCCCAAGATTCTTCAAATCCAGATACAGCGTGTTCAGTTCGACAGAGAGCGTGGAATGCCCTTCAAGTCTATTGAACCACTTCCGTTTGATGAGAAACTTTATATGGATCGTTACCTGGAGACCGAAGATGCGGAAATCATCCAAAAGAGAAAACAGGTATTTGACTGGAAGAGAGAGATACAGAGTCTCTCGCAGAAAAAGAATTCTTTGAATTCAAGAAATGCGTCTGGTTTGACTGCATTGGAAGCTCTCGAAGTCTCTAAGGCCTACCTGGATTCGGATGTCTTCCAGAAACACGGTATTCTCGTGGACGAGAACACAATTAGTGTCCTGGATAGCCAGATCAAGCTGCTGACTGAGGAGTTGTCCACCATAGATCAGACCTTGACTTCGTTGAGAGAAAAATGCATGACGCAATTCAAGGATCTGAAGAATGTCGGGTACTCCATCTTTGCCATCTTCATTCACAGAGGAGAGGCCAGTTATGGCCACTATTGGATCTACATCCGTGACCCTGTTCGAGACGTTTACAGAAAGTACAACGATGAAATCGTCAGTGAGGTCAGCTTTAACGAAGTGATGAATTTTGCAGAGGGCAACACAGCCACACCTTATTTCCTCGTTTTTGTGAGGGATAACCTGGAAAACTACGTTGATCCTCTAAAGAGAGATCTCGAGGAAGAAGAAGCCGGAAGCGTATAGTACATGTTACTGTGATAATGGAATGTGTTCAGTGGCTCAAGCTCACGGCCCGCAATGCTTGGTTCAAGTCACGCAAAAGATCTTCGTAGTCCTCGCATCCAACTGAAAATCGTAGCAGGTTGCCAACCTGAACTTCAACTCCTTCAGAGGTATCAACGGCAGACATGAAATCTGGATTCTTATTGGTCATCTCCACAATGGTCTCACCACCTTCCGAGTTACTATTATTGCTCAGAAACTTGAATTTGGTCAGAAGCTCTTCAGCAACGCTCTGTGACTTGAATTCAACCGCAAATACCGGATTGTAAAACCCGTTCAGTTGTTCAGAGACGAAGTCGTTCAGCTGCAGCGAAGAGTGGTGCAGTTTCAATATGACTGGATATCTGTGGGAATTCTCAGTCAAAAACTTTATCACCTTCTCGGTATTCAGACACTGTTGTTGGATTCTCATTTTGAAAGTTCGCAGACTTCTGAGCAAGAGAAAAGCGTCAAAGTTGGCGATGTTCGTTCCTAGCGATAACCTCTCTGAAATCAGATCCTTCTTGATCTTCTGCGATTTCGACACAATGAAGCCTGCAAGCAAGTCCGAATGTCCAGAGAAGTATTTCGTTGCACTGTGCAAAATAAAATCTGCATTGTGCTTAAAAGGATCCTGCAATGGTGGAGGAGCCAATGTTGAATCGACTATCAGCAATGCTCCCTTTGCGTGAACAACAGCAGTATATCTCGAGATATCTATGCAATAACCTTCCGGGTTCATGGGCGTTTCTATAAGCATGACATCACCTTTTTCAAGTTGGTCGTGGTCATCAAGACCTATCTTTTGGAGACCGGTCAATTTGGATAATAACGCAATCACCTGGTGGGTTCCCTGGTAGCCCGAGTTATTGATGGCGATCTTTTTCGGATTCAAATACGTCAAAACACCCATTATTGCAGACGTCCCCGAGTTATATATTGTGACATGGCCATTGGTAATATTTTCTAAAATTTTCTCGGCCTTTTCAGCGTTGGGGTGGGTGGAACGTGTGTATGTGAAATTTTCCAGTTTGTACAGTCTGGGAATCTCAGCCGCACCAGTGACCTGTGGACTGGCATCCGTGGTAACCAAGACATTGGAAGGTGTACTCGCACTGCTTGATGGTCTCTGTGCTCTCTGAAGAGCGGAATCCTCGTAAGGCAATTGCTGAGAGCTCAGGTTGGTGGTGCTGAGAACGGAGGAACGCGGGTTCTCAAGAGAACCTATCTGGTCAAAAGGAGGAAACCCGTCCAGCGACCTCTTGAAAAACGATGAAAAGTTGTCGTCAGAATGAATCAGTCTCGTGTTGAATCCTATAGAATTGGTAAACATGTCTTCGATGCTCCTACCAAAGTCCATGCCGTTGGTCTCTACCACGGCTGATGCTTCTGTCTCTTGCAAAACTGCTTCATCCGGTGACGTGATCATTAATGGAGCTGGCGTATCCATACTCAAGTCTTCAGCAGCATTTCCTTCTGTCGGATCAATACGGAGCATTTTCTTGCCGTTCTTGATGGCATTCCTCTTCTTGAAAGCCTGAAGCATACCACCAGAGAGTCTTCCAGAAGGATGGCCATGAACTCCCATAAAGTAAGAATAAGCATGTTGTATCAATTGGTCCGTAAGATCAACGCCCTGGGAAGCCTTTTCGTCCACGAATTTCTCAACATCTTGCATCACATTTGGATATTTCAGCACTGGCATCCGACGGTAGCCCTCCAGATTTGGTGACTCTCTGTGGGCCTTGCGAAGCTCGTCCTCCATCTGCCTCCATCCTGATAACGTGGTCTGCGAAATTGCGAATCTCTTCAAACTTCTGAAATGATTCACAACGGCCGCATTTGAAGTGGTTTGTGTGTGCCTTATGTAGTCCAAAACCTCGATCTTCTCTTTAAGCTGTGCACGAGGAAGTCTATCATGCACAGGCATGTTCTGTGCAATTGGTCAAAAATTGCACAAGTAACAGGGTGACACTGTCTATAACAATCAGTGGTGAAGGCTAGGAATAAAAGGAGATGCTCTGCCAAAAGGCTAATATGTCAAAACCTCAAGGGGTATGATTGTTCTTTATCGAACGGCTATGCATATACATCCCATCAAATCCGAAGATCACTCATCAAATCCGGAGAGAATCCCTGGTAGTGCTCACACTAAATCAAAGCACAATTTTGGGCTTATATAAGCACCTAATTTGGTGTGCATTCGCTAAAGATCAACCTCACTCCAAAAAGGGATATTTCACTGTGCACACGTTGTACAACAAACATTCCCGATCTCCAGTTTTATCCTTCCTTATTCCGCTTTCAAAAGTCGATATTGCTCTAAAAAATCTGAGTTCTACCTTTCAAAGTGAACGACTCTGTGATACTCTAAAATTTTCATCATGTCGTCCGGTTTGCAAAGACGTCGCGGTGGTAAGTCGTTCACCCCTACGACCAACGGAGACTCCTCCAACGACTACGATACCGAGGAAAATGTCGGATCCCACAAAATTGCATACGATCCCGAAGACATGGCCACTGCCAACAAGGAAAAGGAAGTGCCTCTGTTGACTCTCATGGAAGAGGTGTTGCTTGTTGGACTGAAAGATAAGGAAGGCTATCTGTCCTTCTGGAACGACAACATCTCATATGCATTGAGAGGTCTTATCATCATGGAATTGGCCCTGAGAGGCAAAATCAGAATGGTCAATGATCCAGTTAGAAGACGGTTCGAGCTTGCGGACAGATTGATCGAGGTTGTTGACGGTAGCATAACTGGTGAGACGTTGTTGGACGAGGCTTTAAAGTTGATCAAGTCGGATACGTCGAACTTGAGTGTGTCCAATTGGATCGACTTGTTGAGTGGTGAGACCTGGAATCTGATGAAGATTAACTACCAGTTGAAGCAGGTGAGAGAAAGATTGGCCAAAGGCTTGGTTGACAAGGGTGTGCTGAAGACCGAACGTAAGAACTTCTTCTTGTTTGACATGGCCACGCACCCAATCAGCGATCCTTCTGCTAAGAAGGGTGTTGTCTCACGTATTCGCAACTTGCTTGTGAACAGAAATTATATTATAGAGTACGATGACAAGTTCTTCCCACCACAGATATCCTCCAAGTATCTGAGAGCGATTGCCCTGGTGTGTGGTTGTTACGCTGCTAACGTTCTGGAGAACGTGTTGACCGAGCTCAGCTATGAGAACCGCGACAAGGCATTTGCTCGGGCGGACGAGCTCTTGAATGATTACAGCGAGTATCCGTTCGAAACCAAAACCAGTTCTCTGGGTGTTGGTCTTAACCTGCAAAGCGAGGTGGCGAAGGAGATTGAGACTGAGGGAACAAGTGAGCTTGTGCTCGAGGTGTTTGCTGCTGTCATAAGTGTCTTCAGCAAAATGGATTCGATCATATGAGTGATTTTTATGGAAGGTGAGGATGCTGTATCTCCTGGGTGGAATGCGAAATAATCACATCGCATTCTGTCTCGTGGTATAGTTTTGTGAAATGATATAGATGGCCGAACAACATAGGAAACCCTTTTAAGGCCGCAATCCAAAAAAGATTAGTTTTCATGGACTCGTCGAATGGTATTGATGAAACTTGCTCCCCATGCTGGCTGACCCATTAGTGTGTACTAGCTGTTGTTTTCATGGAACTAGTTCCATATCTTCGTAAAAACCTTTTGTTTTGAATCACTTGTTTAATCACTCAAAACTAAAATACATCAGAGCCACCAAATCGTAATTTAAGCCTCAATCAATATGCCGATCTGATGAAAGGGCGGGGCTGCGTAACCTTGATTCTACCAACCCATCCCATGTTGGCAGATGGTTGAACGGTGTCGAGAAGTACACCATTGGTTGACAGCTCAATATCCACAAAACAACTAATATATTGACCGTTTAGTCGCTAGAGCTCTGAAAATGGCACCCAGAGTATCTGACGATGAATCAGGGTCCGAACAGGGTCCAATAGATACACCTGTTGCCGAGGCAGTGGACAACGTCGACGAAGCTGCTGATAACAATGAGTTGATTGATGACGATGAAGATGAGGGACTTTTTGGGTCTGATGACGATGAAGAAGATGGAGTCACTGCTGCTGTGGGTTCTGATGCTATGGATGTTGATGCTGAAGAGTTACCACAGAAAATACTCGAAGCTAGTCTACCTAAACATGAAAAATCGCATGCTCCCGCGAAGGATACACTGTTATTCCGTCTTCCTGCATTCTTGTCCATTGATGCCAAGCCTTTTGATCCTAAGGTCTTTTTGGAAAAGACCACGGAAGTCCATGATGACCAGGACGAGCAAGGAGATGCTTTGAAGGAGAGAAGAAAGCACGAGAAGTTGATTGCTGAAAACACTATCAGATGGAGATACGCTAAGAACGACAACGATGTCCTATACAAACAAAGTAATTCCCAAGTGATTGAGTGGGAAGATGGGTCTTTGTCGTTAAAGCTTGGTAACGAGATCTTCGACATAAAGGATCGTGCTGTCGACGATAGTGTTTTGACGGTTGCCGACTTTGATCAGACTGTTTTGAGAACAGATGCCATTTTGAACAAACAGGTGAAGGTTGTGCCAGTTTCCACTCTTTCACAGACGCATAGAAAGCTAACAAAGGCCATCACGGCGATGCAAAAGATACAGAGGTCAAACAAAATGAACGCGATTGTGACTGAAGACGATCCTCTAAAACTCCAGAGAGAAGAGGAGAAGAGAGAACAGCAGAAGATGAAGGAAATCCGCAGAAAACAGAGACAAGAGCTTGAAGCCAACGAGGCTGTCTCATCTTCGAGTGCGTCCAAAAGTTCCTACTACTCGAGATATGCTGGAATCGACGTTGCAGATGATGAGGAAGATGGCAATGATGATGAGCCAACTGTACGTCGTTCTCGTCTTGGGGACGGTTACGATGACGATGATGGGTTTATCATCCAGGACGATGAGGAAGAAGAGTCCGGAGAGGGTGAAGAAGAAGATGAGGATGAGTTAGACAGGGCTGCTGAAAGATTGAGAAAGGTAAAAGAGGCTGGATCCAAGAAATATGAGGATAATGACGAGGAAGACGAGGAGGACGAGGATGTTTCCAGTACTAAAGAGGAGGACGAAGTAGAGGGCGAGGACGAAGAGAAGACCGCGAAAAGAAAGAAGAGGAGGGTTATCGTTGACGATGACGATGATGACGAATGATTGTACCAATAAAAAAAGAATACAAGTTTACTTTAAAACACTAAGCTATTCAATTAGATGTGTGGCACTGAAACTTTTCATTAGCTAGTGTAAGCCCTTTTTTTATGCAGAAACGTAAACAGATCACTGCAGGGGTCACCCGGCCTGCCTTCAATTCAGCCTAGTCTATCCTAGAACGCATTCGCATGATGTGGTTCAGGTTCAACTTCCCATTCTTCCATCTCAGATTTCTGCAGTTCTGATCAATTTCACAGAATAATCACACTGTTGTAGAAAATGTCCTGGCAAGGTAAGTTAAGACGTCTGACACGTGTTGGTGGTGTTGTTCAGTTTCCGTGGCAATGTTTACGTCAAACAGCCGAATAAAGCGATAGTCCACGATTGAGTCGAGATTGCGAATCCTGAAACTACGAACATCGTCGTTGCTCTGTTTTTCTGATTTGATCACTAACATTTTCAGCATACACCGACAACCTTGTCGGCACTGGTAAGATCGATAGAGCCGCTATTTACGGCGCAGCTGGAGATTCGCAATGGGCTACCACCAACGCCCTTACCCTTGGCGGCAACGAGATAGCTGAGCTGGTCAAAGGATTTGCAGATGCTTCCCAACTGCAGACATCTGGTCTTCACATTCAGGGTCAGAAGTATTTCTTGATCAGAGCCGATCCAAGATCGATCTATGGTAAACACGTGAGTTGAAACTTGGTTTTTCTGTCGAAGATGGCACTACTAACGCGAATCCCAGGATGCTGAAGGAATTATTTGTGTTAAGACCAAACAGGCCATATTGATTGGTCATTACCCAACAGGTGTGCAAGCAGGTGAAGCTACCAAGATCGTGGAGCAACTCGCTGATTACTTGATTGGCGTGGGATACTAATGTGGAGTATGTGTCATGGATCTGATACGGTGCCTTTAAATATTGATTTCTAAAGATAATCTTATATTTGAGCTGATAGGATTCAGGAGACAGTAGTTGGCCATGAATGCATGGGCTAATTCAGTAGGCTTAAAAAATATCACAAAATGTGCATGAAGTTATGATTTTTCTCGCATATCTGGATATGACAGTCTAACTCAGCAAAAAGAGTATGGTTAGAGTTTTTTAATGGAGGACGGAGTTCATTTATTGATTTGAGGAGATTTCTGAGATTATCCTCAAAGCTAAGAATTGCATAGTGATCTGTCAAGTTGAAGAATCTATAGCAAAGACTTGGACTACCTTTTCATATCCCACATTGTTCAATGACTATGAAACCACGACAAAGTAGAAGAATATGCCGTATTTTTTTTGAATAATCTGGAAATTATCAAGAGTTTTGATTCACCTTCAAAAACTAGTGGTGATTGCTACTTAGCGAGAGTTATCCCCAAAGGTCGTGCATTACCACCTGCCATTACATAACGTGCCATAAATGCTCTCATTTTCGGTGAAGTTTATTGGCCATTGAGATGTATAGGTCTCGAGAAACAGGTTTCTACTAACGACAGCGAACATCAGCATATTAGAAAATGTCGTTGAGAAGCGTGAGTTCAAAGCAGATACGTGTGTTATCTCAGGGGAGATTTATTTCTCAGCAAAGGTTTTACTCGGCAGGCCATGGTCATGAAGAGCACCATGACGAACACCACGATGAACACCACGACGACCACCACGCGCCCCTGGCTCCTGAAGAAAATCTATTCAACAAGCCAGTGCTCTACACAATAGGCTCCGTTCTCGCCTTCTACGGAGTGTACCGTTACAACGAATACTACCAGGCCAAGCACGGCAAGCCCTTTGGAAGCATGTTCTTCTCCACCGAAGCACCAAAGGAATTGCAGGCCAAGTTCGTGGCATACCAGGACGATGTCAAGCTGCAGAGTGAGATACTAAGATTGCTGAATATCCGTCCGAGAAGAGACGAAAACAACTACACACACCACGTCGATGGAGTTCCAGGCAAGTATTTCCCATCGAATGGGTTCAACACGTTCCAGGCCGTCAACTTCGACACTCTAGAGCCAAGAAGGAAGATTGCGAACCCATACGAATAGATTTGTTGATTCACAATTCAAGGTCGGTCGTTTTCTGATATTCTCAAAGTCGAGATCGAGACAAAAACTACTGAGTCCTACCCGTCCACACAGAATTTCTCATGCCAGCAAAAGAACGAACACGACCGGTATTTCAAAGCTCGGCAGATTTCATATTTATAAGAAAGCAATTATTCATACTTTTTGGAAGTAGCAAAGTGGTGTTGTATATCGCAGTGTGCCGGAACTCAATTTCCGATAAGCTAAGCTAAGCTAGCACGGCATGGACTTTCAGAGTAGATCGTTGAGGCAATAAGCTGACTAATTCTGCGACGAACACCACATTTCTTCACCAAAAAAGGCCTTGCTTGTGGCTTTGATAATTGGGAACGTAATTGTTTGCATAAATAAGTAATCTCCGCCTGTTTTATGCCCTATCTGCGTACCTATCCCCGTCGAATTAGAAGTATTTGGCAGGGCGCCTCCTCTCATACATGCACTGAGTGCATGTATGCATATATGACTCCCTCCAGTTCCTTTGCATTCTTTACTAAGTTTTTGGTCGATCTGGTCCATTCGGTTATTTATATATTATATCAAGTGCCAGATTCTCAACATCTGAAATTGGAGAGGAGGTGTGTGCCAGTGTTTGTTTAGACCCAAATACACAAAGATGCAGGACCATGCATCTGACGCTGAAAGCTCAGTGTTGTCAGCCTTTGAACCTGAGGTTCTGGTTCAGCAGGAGGAGGGATCGCAAGAAGACTTGACCTCTGTTAATTCTCGAAGAAGCAGGAGATACTCCATCAAAAGCAACCAGTCAAGAAACCTACTCAACAAGACACAATCTTTGTTAGAAGCCGTCAGAGACGACAACTTGATCACCGCACTCGAACCCCAAGTGCCCACCAATCAGGAGTCTTTCATAGACTTTGAAGCGAACCCATGTCAGTCACCTTCAAAGACAGAGGAAGCCGATGGGGGTGCGTGTGACGATAACGATGACGATGACAACGGAGAGTTCCACAAAGACGATCAGCTAGATCCACCTCCCGATGGAGGATACGGGTGGGTATGCGCGTTTTGCGTTTGTTTTGGAAATGCGTGCTCATGGGGCTCCAACGGGTCCTTTGCAGTGTTTTTGGCGTATTATCTGAGCCATGATTACTATGCTGGTGGTTCAGACTCTCTCTATGCTCTCATGGGTGGCCTGGTGTTATTTTTCACACTGTCCCTATCTCCCTTTGCGCTCATCATTACCAAAAGAGTAGGAATCAAGCCTGCGGCATTCTTTGGGGTTTTAGTTATGGTTTCAAGCTCCGTTTTTGGGTCCTTCTCTACGACTTTTGCTCAGTACTTCATCACTCAGTCGTTCCTACTAGGTGTTGGATATTGCTTCTTTGTGGCTCCACTGTCCATAGTTATACCAACATGGTTCCTGCACAAGAGAAGTCTTGCTCAGGGAATTGCTACATCTGGTGCTGGTGTAGGTGGAATAATGTTTTCCAATTCTTCGAATGCCCTGATTGCTCAAACAGGCGACCCCAAATGGGCGCTCAGAATGATAGGGTTAGTCTCGTTGGTGACTTGTACAATTGTGATCATTCTCATCAAACCAAGGAGGCCGATTAAGATATCTGGATCTTGGAAAGACGATTTTGCAGCCATTTTCAAGTGGAAGGTTTGGTTCAGCCCGTCTGTCATATTCATCAGCATGTGGTTCTTTTTCTACATGTTCACATACGTGATTTACCTGTATTCGCTATCTGCATATGGAACTTCTATAGGCCTCACAGCACATCAAGGCTCTGTTGTGAACACGGTGCTGAGTGTGGCCCAATTGGCTGGTCGCCCTTTGATGGGTGTAGTAATGGACCGATTTGGCAGAATCAACCTAACCATTATACTGACTATGCTGATTGTGCTTTTCAGTTTGACTTTCTGGGTTTTTGTGACTACCTATGCTCAGTTGATTGCCCTTGCTTTTTGTAGTGGTCTGGTTCTGGGGTTCAACTGGATCAGCTATGCAACGTTTTGTGCCGATGTCGCTGGCCAGGTCGACTTTGCAGCAGCTCTTACGGTTGTCAGCATCTTGGGTGGGTCTTCCGCTTCAGTTTCCGAGTTGATTGGGCTCAAGCTGCGTGACTATACCAAGGAAAAACCTTTCTTGTACTGCCAGGTGTTTGCCGCATTATGTGCTTTCGTGTCAGCACTGTTCCTACTTCCATTGAGAGAGGAGAAGATCCGCAAAATGATGATCTCGAGAAGACATAGGACTCTCACAAATGATCCAAACAACGAAAGCAGGTTGAGGAGATTCGATTTGCTGTTGAAGCCGGGAATAGGCAGCTACTTCTTGAGGATGCTCTATCCTATCAAGGCATAAAAACTCAGAGTTTTATGCTCTGGAATGTATTATAAAAATACTACTTATTATTCACATGACTAATGATTGTTCAGAAATATTTATTTACAAATACTGATCGTAAAGGAGCGAGTGTACAGGTGTAGGGTATAACCATGATGCAGAACAGACTGTGGGGGATAAACCCTGCGCAAAACCACAGTGACAAAAAAAAACACTGAGACATAGAAAAGACATTCACGGCAAAGAAGATGTCTCTTCTATGAGCAATTAAAATTCAAACCAGTTGAAAGCGACCAACGGGCAGTTGTGAATATGTGGATCATCTGGGGCTGGAGGTCCGGGATCTACCTGCAAGCAACGACTTATGAGTTGATTTCACGGCAGACTTCTTTGTCGTGGTAAATAGGAGATCAGAGGCTATTAGAAATGCCGGACAAAGCCATAGAAAACTGTTTGTGAATGGTCTCATGGTAAAATGTGTGGTGGTGTATGAGTTGTTGTGGACAAGGATATTATTCTTTGATGTGACCCTTCCCCCTGCGGGCTTTTTGAATCCTAACCTAACTATGAATAGATGCTGATGATGCCGAATAGGCTAACTTTGCAACAAATGAGATATATGGCACTTATTAGGAACTGTTATCAAAAGAGTCTTGCTTCAAGCCTGAATAACCAGGTTATGCTAACAGCAACAACCGTAGCTAATTAAATGCCGAAAGCAACAAATCTTTTTCCCTCATGCAGGAGTGGGGGCGGTTAATTTCAAGATAGCGGGTTCGTAACCAGTGCATTAAAAACTTGGCTCTTGGTAACCAAGCAAGGCACTTTCGTGGATATCCAGGTTTCCATATTTGTTCAAACCACTATTGAATAGCTTCAAGATATGATTCGTATTTTTTTACCATAATTTGAAAATAAAACTGCTCGAATCATGCTGGATCACGGAACTGTTCAAAGCCGCTTGAGGCGGTTTGTTGCCAGCATCTATGCGGCTCAATTGTGGGATATCGCACGACCATACGCGTTCCTTATCACTCACTCAATACATTTTGATTAGGTGTATTCGTTAACTTCATAATTTGACTAGTCAACGCAGGTACAAAAACATGAGCGATGAAACGTATAAAAGTTTCAAAAGCTTTATAGAGCTCAAAGCAAAACATATACGGGCGCCCTTGGTGGCGGACGAACGACTGATCAAGGTACTTCAGAATCAGGAACGGTATACAGATGAATCTGCTAGTGATCTGGATAATTCCATCAGGCAAGGTAAAGGTCTCACCCAGGCTCAGCTAAAAAAGATTTTGGCAAAAGTCAACCTAGAAACTCGCAGTCATTTGGGTAGGATATTCACGCGTCAGGCAATTCATGAGATTGCGTTACAGGCAGTGAATACGGCGAAGCAGGCCAAAATGGAGAGATTGGACAAATTCCTGGAGTTAAACCGGATATTGCTCCCGTTTGATATACCCGATTTGAATAGTAATTCTGGCTCTGGCTCCAACATTCATGGACTGTTGATAACGCAAAAAGAGCAGTTACTAGAACTAGTCAACGAGTTGCCCAGTTCAGCAGACTTTCAGCTTGAATCAGTGGAAGAAGAAGATGATGACGAGAATCAGACCTCAAGAAGACAGAGTCAGCTTCTAGAAGAGTATGACGATATGCTGAAAAAACTACGCAACAAGACGAGTTATCTGGCTATGTTGGAGCAGAAACTGAAGTACTACGATGGCTGGCACCGTTCTCTAGAGCGCACGTTGACAACCGATCCTGCGGCAAGTTTGCAGAAGAATCTTGTGAAATCGTCCAACAATGTTCTAGTTTCAGAACTGACGCGAGCTAAGGAGCGTCTGGCCACTATAAAGTTGAAACTTCACGATGGTGAACCAAAGAAACTTCAGATCTCCAACCTGGAAAGCATTCAAGGAACGGGCTCATGAATCTGTGGACAACATGAATACGAAAACTGTCCACGACGAGTAAGAATAGGTTTACATTTTATATTCCAATCTGACGATATTTACGACTTTTGTTACAAGCTCCTACTAGGGTGAGTATTCAGCTCCTACAGACTTTTGTTGGTTGTTTCAGTCCCTGAGAACTTCATGCCTTTTTGGTTTTGAGTATTAAATTTAACTGTACATCTTTCAACAGAACGCTTAGTCAAACAAACCGAAACCCATGTCGTCGTCGGACTCCTCCTTCTCCTCAACAACCTCCTCAGCAGCTTCCTCAGCAGCAGCACCGGAAGAGGCAGCAGCACCAGAAGAAGCAACACCGGCACCACCAGATGGGACGGAGGCCAACTTAAGGGAACCCTCAGCAATCAACTCCTCGACGGACTTTCCCTCCAAAGAAGTCAACAACAAGCTGAGCTTGTCTTGTTCGACCTCAGCACCAACGGATTCCAAGACAGCGGAAATGTCAGCGGCAGATGGGGATGCGTTACCACCCTGTTGCAACAATAAGTAGGCAGCCAAGTACTTCATTTTCGATTAGATCTATTTGTATCGGAGAATAATCACGTTTAAGCCAAATTAGCAGACTATTCTTTGATATGGGAAGAAGATTCTAGGATACCCGTGCACACTGTGTGGGTTGGTCCAGCATGAAAAATTGGCACTAGGTGGTGAAGAGTAGTGTTCCAATCAAAAGAAAATTCCTCGAATTCGGCGTGACTGTGTTCCCAGATTTACACGATAGCGGGTCAATCTCGGCATGGAGCACGATTGTGCCCCAGCCGGTATTGTTTCCAGGAAATTTTGACTTGAGTGAGTTGATTGTTACAGTCGAAGGTGATCCCAAATTATCCTATATACTATTCGCCAAAATTTCTCCTTTTCCAGTGGGTGAAAACACGAATTAAAGGCCATTACCCTTTTGGGACAGTTTTGCCGGTGCACTAACCAACCGAGTGCGGCTCCTCTACCGTTTGCATGAGAACTAAGTATCTGTAGCACTCTTGTACTTTTCAGCCAGATTTAAAGCTTCTTTCAGTTCCGCAATCACTGTATCAACATCTCCATACGTTATCGCCGATATCGCGAATTTACATGCTTTGGAAGCAGCGCTCAGCAGTTCTTCGTTTGATAGTTCCTTCTCCAGAGATTCCAAGGTTACAGGAACTTTTGGTGCTGGAGAAGCCTTGGGCGAAGCAAGTCGGGCTTTTGACACATTTTTTGCAACTGCATCGGCTACGGAGTAGTCACGTTTGGGAAGCTCGGGTATGCTTCTCGGATCGGTGTTCGAAATCTCACCCTCCTCATTCGCTTCACGGTTGGTAGGAGCCTTTGGAAACAGAACCGCTCCACCTTCACCTTCCTCATCAGACGACAGATAAACCTCGTCATAATCATACGCATCATCGGGCGTTTGTAGAACACTCTTTATCGTCTTGTCTATATCTTCCTGTTTGATTTCTTCCTCCTCGTCTGAATCAACAGGTATGTTTGGATTGAGCAACCCCATCAAATCTTCATTCGGGTCCTTTCCCGTCTTGAAACACACCATTATTCTCCTACTGTGATATTTGCAGTACGAGATCCTTTGCTTGATGATGCTGTTTGTCAATAGTTGTTCCACTTTTAGAGGCTCTTCAGCTGCGATCAATGAGGCAACAGGTCCTTCTAGTTCATGGGCCTGGAGTTCTGCTTCGTCTTGCAGACTCTGTATTTGTTTCTCGAAATCATTTTTATTCGTATCATTAGTCTCAGAAGTGTTTTGTTCTTCAGTTTTCGCGTCATCGTCCATTGAATCTTCCTCTCCGTTAAAGACTGTTGAATTCCCCTGTAGGTCTTCTTTCCTCTCCTCTTTTCCATCTGCTAAATCCTCCTCTTTGCCAACCAACGTTTTCTCTTCAAGTCCATCACTTGGACTCATTTCATCGTCATTATTCTCTTCGGTTGTGGGAAACATGACCAAACTGATCTGATACAAGATGCACGCCTCATTTAGCATATTCACTGTGTCTCCCGTGGCGTTTCCCTTCTCCATCTGCATGCGTGATTTTGAGTACTTCTCTGTGGCAACTGTATTGATCAACTTCCGACTTTCAGAAACGTCTTCTAGTGTCTTCGAAAAGTTGGTTTTCTTGTTACTAGACTTCCCAAAAAACGTCTTGTTAACAGAGTTCTTGGACTTGATAGACTCGAGATGCTCCAACAAAGACGCTATGATCTGATCCGCTTCATGACAATCGTCCGGAGTCAATGTCCCAGATGAACATATGTCAAAGAGAATTTGCAATGTATACATTCCACCTTCAAAAGTTAGCTTTCTGTCACGGTCAATTGAGAACTTGAATTGAGAGACATACATAAGTACCCCAGTATCAATGCCTTCTCGCCTTTGTGGCTCAGGAATGATTTCATCATCTTAAAGCTCGGTCTTGCTGGTCTGAGGGAGTCTGATAGCTCCCATTCATTAAATGACATTATGGGCTAATATTTAGGAATGAATGGAAACGGTGGAAGATAAGATAAGCTGGATAGATAAGCTGATGAGTATCCCTGAGAGGGACTATTTGTCGATGCACTCCAGGTCTTGTAGATAAATCAAAGTTATGGTACACCAACAGATTGAAAATCGCCCTACGGAAATATAAATTTACTTTGACTTCAAAATGATGGACTTCTATGGGGCATAAGACTATGTAGCTGGTGATACCAATACGTTATAACTTGTGTGATTATAAAAATGACGAAAGGTAATAGAAGCAGGAGACTCCCGGCTCTACGATTTGACCCCCTCGACTTGATAAATGTTTTGTTCGCTGTCTTCATCACGGGCTGCCTGTACCACTAACGATATCTGCTTCTTTCTCAAGCTTTCGTTTGAGATCGGCCTCGTGATTGCTGGCTCTCGGAAAGGTTGAAGAAGCGATTTGTAAGTTTGGCGGGCAGAAACAGGTGCTTCTTTCGAACCTACATCACGTGCAGACGAATAACTGCTCTCTGAATCATCAGAGTTGATTGTAGGAGAAGACTCTGCTGTGGCTGTGGCAGCTTTAGGACTAGGCCATGAGCCACTGTCATCTAAGTTGTACAAACCAGAATGGTCGCCATGGAAGGCGGGTGAGAGCGAGTTGTATTCATCAGTCGAAGGTTGCAGCACTCTCGCAGTGGCCAAATTGGAAGGAATTGTGGGTGAGTTTGGAAGCCCAAATGGAGAATTGGGGCGAGACAACGATGTTCGTAAGGGAGAGGTTGGACTTGAAGGACCAGCGTCACTCTCAGTATCCTTGAAACTAACAAACTCGAGCTTCACATCTTCAGCATTGTAGTAGTCTTCCTCCTCTTGTCTTTCCTTGGAATATAATAATCCATCTCTGAAGGTGTCGAACACGGATCCGGTACCAGACCAGCCTTTGCTAAGCTTGAAAACAACCATTTCTTTGAAGACCTGCATCCAGTCAAAATTGTTCCAGTCTTCGGCCACAGAATTGCCGATGTTCAGATCCAAAAGCTTGTAAGCATTTTCGGCATCCAAATATTGAGTGTGTGGAAGCTGTGGCAAACCAAAGAGCATGGAGGTCCTCTCCGATTTGTCGGAGATGAACTTCAAAGGACGCCCATACAATCTGAAAACGTTCATCATTGGAATCAGGTTTCTGATCATAGTTTCCACAGGTGGAACACCTGAGTGTGACTCGGGTATGATATAGCAAAGGTGGGTGTTCAAGACGTTCAGATTCTTATGCTTTGACTTCTTGGTCAAACTGAAGGATGAGTTTGAAGAATCCAGCGATGCCATCGACGGAGACCGCATTCTGTTGGTTAATCTTGACTTATTCAGAGAAGAGGAACGTGAATGAGCGTTTGCAGTTGCGTTTACATTCGAGTTTGCATTTGGACTGGTAACACCGGAAGCATTGAACATTCTCAAGGAGGACGAAGAGCCCTTGCTGGTGAGTCTTTGACCCATAGAGGAAGACCTGCTTCTCTCACCTCCAAGGTTTTCTGGATTTTTGGCACTAATCAATTCACTCAATAAGGTCTCGTTGACAAAGCAATCGCCGCTCAACCTTATCAGAGAATTGTTATTGATGAAAGATGGGTTTTCCGGATACACCGAGAAACATGACTTGGCGTTCACAACTGAGGCCAGCAGGAACTTCTTGTTGTTGGTTTTCTGTGTGTATATTTCAACCTTTCCTGGCTTGGATTTTGACTCTTTGCCGATCTTGGACTTCTTGGTGGATACTTTGTCTCCGGGAATGATGCTCACGTAGCACCGGATCCACTTGTTGTTGAGAAATGGAAATCTGATGATACACCAGTCACTCTTCACGAATCTGTTAGAAGGATCCAGCAGGGTTCTCACGTCGGAGAAGTGGACGGCTTTCACAGAGAACAGAGCCCCTGTGAAACTTTCCTGTAGTTGTCTGTACTCAAACTGCGACAACAACAGAGCAGAGTAGAAGTAATGCAAATCGTCGGCGCTTCCGAACCTAAACAGATAGCTCTTTGTGGTTGTCAGATGAATTGCAAGATCAAAGAAACTCTCGCCAGATGGGTCCTGCGGAGTGGGCATGTACGAGAAGTTGGCATCCACAATGTTAATGTAGATAGGTTTGAAGGAGCCATCCACATCCGACACCACCTCGTTTGGTCTCTCTTCATCAACTTCCCAGATGGTTAGCTCGGTTCCACTGAGTTTGGCCGTAACAACCATCCAACTCTTGGATCCGTCCACCTCGTCCTCACATGGAATTTGTAGATACGTCTCTGCATATATCCTAGCCTGCTGTGCGTGTATAAGAGTGATTATGGGCACCAATTCGGCAGGAACATCAGGGTTCGAGACCAAAGCGGCATTGACTCCTTTTGTCAGAGCCAATCCGCCCCTCCCGCTAGAAGACTGCGACGGACTGCTGGAGTGGTAATAGTTCCCACCTTGGCCTCTAGCAGGCAACACAGTCGACTGACGAAGAAAAGACGTGGGGACCGACGAAATTCTCTTGGAGTCAATCGTGGATCCGGGCCGTGATTTCCTCGAGGGCGAAGCCGAATTCTCTCTGCTGAACTGAGCAGGGGGGGGAGTCAATCCCTGTGGCCCTTGGGGCTCTTGTGACCGTTGTGGTGGAAGCGAGTCGGCCTTGTGGTGAGTTTGCAGGTTTTGTTGATCCCGCACATATTGGAGGTTCTGCTGTTGCTGCTGAACTGGAGTGGTTCTCTCAAAGCTGTTGACCGTGAAAGTTCCCTTGTTCTTGTCGCCGGGAGTCGTCTGCTTGGACTTCTTGGACTTGCCAAACGACCACAGTTTACTCAATCCCATATTCGAGTATTAATTGTCGAAGATCAGGTCAGAAAGAGAAAGAAAGAGACACCTTGGATATAACCGGAATTTCCAGTCGAAAAAACGAGTGGCAGACAAAGGGGTAGTAGAAGGCTTGGTGCGCTTGAAGTGTGTATGCTTAGCACCTCAGGAACGAATCGGAGTGTGGCCGAAATAAAAGGGGCAAAGGGCTCAAGAAATGACGAAACCAAAAAGCAAAAAATAAAAGCCAACAAAACAGAGCAAGCGGTCGAAAAAACCTAGTAAATACCCTTTTATATTCGGTTCGAATATTTTGCACTGAAACGGGAAATAAGAGGGGTGATGAGAACCAAGCAAAGTGTGTGAAATTAGTCGGATCCAGCGGAGCAGTGCGAAGATGCCAGGAACGAAAGGTTGGACAGAATCTTGGCAGAGGATATTGGAGCAGTTGAGGGGAGCCAAGGACTAGTTGGTGGAGGAGGCCAAAAATATAATACAAATATTATACAAGTCCTGGGATCATCGGGAAATATAAACTTTTTGGTTTAGGTCTACAATAGAGAACAAACGTTTAATAATAGTATGGCCTTCCTGCAATGGAGTAGGCAAGAGTATTTATAGCTGTGTAGAGGTGCATTGATCCGGGAGGTTAAATCATGGGGAACTTGAGTAGAGAGAGATGGCACGCGCGGCATTACGGCATTGGGTATATTATATTACATTATATTCCAAAGCAAGGGGAAATTAATGTTTATTTCTGTTTATTTCGTTGCCAATTTCAGTCTGCTTATTTTCACTTGATCTGTCAATCTCTAAGTTTGATCTCTGACGTCATTTGCGTTTCGACAGACAAGAGACGCAGGGTTGGTGTTGGGCTATTAAGCCGTCTGAAAAATTTATATGATACTCAATTCAGGAATGCAATTTAGGAATTTTTCCAAAATCTACCCCAAAACCATCTCCAACTGCTCAATGGTGGCCCTGTCGATCCTGCTGGTCAACGCAGCAAATCCAGAGTCTCCAAACCTCTGCTTCAGACCCTGAATGAAAGACGACGTTTTCGCCTTCAAAGGCACCAAATAAACTGGATCTCCTCTAGGTCCCTTGCAAAGATTCGTATACCGCATTCTTTCGCCAGAGGGCTTTATCCCTGTCTCTGCAAATTCGTCTGTGGCATCTCCTATCATCACCAACTCGTCGTTATCGTATTCCCCTTCACGGCTGTAGATCTCACAGTTGCCGTTTTCGTCCTCGTTTATTTCCTCTAGTGCCTGGGTCACGGTGAACAGCATCGACGCTAGATGCTCTGTAAGAACGTAGCTCACACCGTCTTTGATGTCCAGTTGGGCTATGTTATACTCAATGTCATTGCTGGGACCGTCTCCGGGGATACTTGTGAGCAGTGCAGGATCAGAGTAAACTGCAAGAAGCCCAAGGATTGCAAGTTTGCGGATTTTGGGCTCGCCCACATTTTTCAGTCTCTTAACTATCAGCTCCATAGTGGAGTGGAGTACTTGCACCGGCGATACGTTCTGGTTACTTGCAAATCTTGTCAAAACCTCAAACCACCCTTGTGGGTGGATGTACATGAACCTCGTAAGCGGGACCAGAATCCTGACCACGCATGGTGGTGACTGAGTCTCGTCAAGTACGTATGTCAACATGGCTGCAAACAGCCCGCTCTGGATCATGTTGGAGACTACCGGAGCGGCCTCGGCTAGTGTATCCAGACGTCCCAGCTGCAACATGATTATTTCCAGCATTGACGAAAGAACCACTAGTGAATCATCACGCAAGCTGGGCAAGTAATCTCCGAGTATCTTGAACGTCTCCAGTCCCACTTCGGTGCTGAAGGCTTGGACTCCAAACAGGGCATAGCTCCTGATAATAGATAGTACCAGAGGTAAGATTTCCGTGGAATCGCGTAGTCCTATCAGCACCAGAGAAAAGTCTGTCGCTAGTTGTTCAGGTAGACTCTCCAAGGGACAGTATTGCAGCACTGATTGCAGAAGCTCATATCCGTCCTCTGACAATAGTGAGTGCAGCTCGGATCTCTCGTCGCAGCATATGGGGATCAAAGGCATGGCGACTTCATAACTCTTGGGACTCTCTGAATTTAGCGATGTCACAACTGCCTTCAGCACACGAATGATTGAGGTCTTGATGATCTGGTCGTTCTGAGAACTAGAATTCTCCCACAAAGCAGGAATCACACTCATTACTCGTATCAAAACTTCATCTGGAAGCAACGGGTTGGTGATTTCTATGACAATCGAAATGACTTTGAGAACAAACAGCTTTGACTCCGTCAGTTCCATGTTGGATAGCTCACCAATCAACAATGTCATGAACTCTTCCAGGTATGGCTTAAATGCAGTTTTTTCAAAATCCCAACCGTCAACCGCATGCATTAAGGTTGATATGGCCGTCAATCTGACGACTTTATCGTTCATAGGATTGGATAACTGTAGAAAATTCAAAAGGAGTTTGTATACCTCAATTCTGCTCTCCTTTGAGCAGCGTATTTGTAGCCATTCAGATATAATCAGACAAATTCTCCTCTTCAAAATCTTGCTTTCAAGCATGTCATTCTTCAGTCCTTCTGGAATGAACAAGTCATTCAGTAAATTATCAAAATCAACCCTTTCGGAAACCACCTGTGATGAGAGCTGGAAAATGGAAAATACGGCATCCTTCTGTAAAATGTCTGTCAAGGACTGATTGTTTGACAGTCCTCCGCTGATCTCGCTCAACACATACTCAGCCAGATACTCTTTAAAATACAGCACCAAGTCTTGGAAGATATTCTCAGCACATGGTCTTATCTGGAACTCCCAGTTCATCTGCATTTCTTCGATAACCCATTCTTCAGGCTGTGTAGACCAGCTCTCCAGGTCTTTTGGACGCAGCTTCAGGTACCATGTCATTATCAGATGTGCCAAATTTTGCACCAAACCAGGTGTAAAAAAGTCCGTTGATAGTTTTGCTACAGCACCCTGAACCTCCTCTTTATCGGATCTTTGTTTCAGAGTTACAGCCCCCTTCTTGTGAACGAAATGAACCAGACGTTTGATCATTGTGAACGAGCGCACTGCTATTTGCTCCCAGAAATCGTCATCCTCGACGCAATTGTAGATAACAGATGCCTTGGATTCTAGAAGGGATAAATACGTCATCAATGTGTCCATTGCACTGGGTAGGCATACAAATGCAGTGGGATTATCGGAGATGAGTCCCAAGTACATCTTGGTATAGCACTTGATATATCTCTCCAGCAGCTCCAATTCTTGTTTTTCGTACTCTATAATGAGAGTTTGGAGATTATTGAGTGACAACCCAAAGAATTCAGACAACGCTGGGTCCCTATGTGGGTAATCGTATCCATCTGTGACGATTCTCCGTGTGACCTTGAGACACACGTACCCGACTTCCATGGCATCCAGGTCAAAGTTCTTTGTCCACGACTCAAAAAATGATACGTAGAGCTTTATGAGTATTGGGGTAATCGAAGGTACCTTTTGCAGCATGGCAGCCCGTGTTCTACCGATTCTCACGGCAGCAAGGGCCTTGATGATTTGGTTGAAAATGATCAACACATTGTGCACCTTTACGACATTACTTTCTGACGCACACTGCTGAAGCAATTCAGACACGTTTTCAAACAAGTCTGGCCACTCATTTGGAAAGTCAAACCTCGCTATTCTGGCGGCCGCGTGAGCATTCTGAATGGTGAACTGCTTGTTGGACTCATCAATGATGTTAAACAATCGTTTCCGAATCTCGTGTTTTTCTTCCTTCGAAACAGCATGAATTCTCGTAGACCTCCAGTATTTGTCGATTCCGTTCTTGAAACATATAATAGCAAGCCATCTTACCTGCAATGGTAGGGCCTGATCCAAGTATACCGATTGTAGCAAATAGTGGTAACCAGGAACACTTTCCCAGGCCTTCAATTGGTCCTCCGCACGTTGTTGCGTTTCACCTCTGGAGTTTGTATCCAGAGTCTTGAACGTCTTGACCAGTCCCTCTAAATCGAGCTCCATGGGTGAGGGTGCTGAGGAAAATGGAGTGTTTGGTGTTTCTGAGAAAAGTCCATGCAGAAAGTACGTTATTGGTAGTGTACTCGCTAATTAATAGGACAAATTCTATGGCAATATGCATGCTGATATGCATTTTAATATGGTATTGTTCGTTAGAGAATGTATTCATATAAATTAGTAGTTCTATTCTCACCATCTGTGAGCCTCATTACCCCCAGCCCAATCACGTTCTGTGTAGCCAAGCTCCTGCTTCACCCTCTTAACAGTATCGACATCGCCCATGTTCTTGCCAGTGTTATCCGAGATCTTCACGGCAGGGTATCCATTGGCTTCCTTCAGTTTTATCACAATGTTCAAGGGTTCAGATTTCAAACCGGAGGACGACAAATAGTCGTTGGTGAAGTTTGTACCAACACCAAATGTGGCCTTGAGTCCTGACTCTGTAGCCTTCTTATGGTATTCGATACACCTGTCCACGTTGAGAGAGTCACTGTAACATATGACCTTGGAGAACTTTGGCAACTTCAGCACATTCAGGTAGTGATTGGCAATCTTGTCTGTATACAAAAGGGGATCTCCCGAGTCCTGTCTGACGCCAGCATAGTAGTCCGAGTATGGCGGATAGAATGCCTTTAAAAACGCATCCGTGCCAAAGGTGTCTGTCAAGGCCAACCCAGTATTTTCAGGACCCACAGTAGCAATCCAGCGATCCATCGCAATCTTATTCGAGTTTGTATAATCCTGCGTAATGGACGCAACGCCCATCATCCATTCGTGAGCAACGGTACCACTGGGCTTGACTCCATACTTCTTTGCAAAATAGACGTTGGAGGTTCCTACAAAAATCCCTGTAGTTTCTCCTGAAACCTCTGCCACTCCCTCCATTATTCCTTTCATGATCAGGTCCTGTGTCTTGAAGGAGCGTCTGCGTCTAGTTCCAAACTCACTGAAGGAGCATCCGTTTGAAAGTAGCTTGGTGCACTTTTCTCTAGCATTTTCAGCTTGGCCATCATAATTCCAATCTGTGTCCACGAACTTAAAGAAGGCTTCTGAAACTATCGCAAGAATTGGTATCTCGTAGATGATCGTCGTTAACCACTTGCCTTGGATCTCCAGACCGAAAGTCTCTGGAGTGCCTGAGTACAATATTTCCTTCTCCGGATCAAGTCTAAATTCTTTGAGGAACTCAAAATATTTTGCTGGCAAGAATGGCACCTCTTTCTTCAAGTAATTTATTTCATCCTCTGAGAATCTCAAGGACTCCAAATCTGGTCAACGTTTCCATGTTAGTAACACGCCATGGACATCATGCAGTTCGAATACTCACAGCTAATCTGGGTCTTTATCCAATCAACAGCAGCTTCATTCAAGCCAAACGCAGCAGTTCGGTTTGTGTACTTGTAAACAACATCTGACTATGTTAGTAAGGAGTCACGGTCTGTTGTTGTGTTCTACTCACCGATATCGGGGAAGTTCACCAGCACAGCTGCCTGCATAGTGATCTTGTATAGATCGGTATCGAGGAACGATGTGATTATTGGGTCGATTGTCATTTGTAAGTGAGTATAGTTTGCACTAAAAAAACACTGAAACTTCAAGTGCGAAACTAAGCTTGTCCAAGTTTGTTTATCTGGCTTAGCTCTGACTCCTGCATGGCCCGGATGCAGCCTGCAGCTGGAGATGCCTTATATAATGCTGGCTGCCAGCGGGATTGTACCTTGATGGAATTAGTCAGTGAGATAGAAATGACTATAATGGGTCAGCGAATTCTTTGTACTGTCAAATTCGGCCAGCGAATATTCCATATTCGGGAATCCATCCAGAAATATGACTTTTGTAGCCATTTTTGTCCACTTTAGTTATACTTCCGTATTCAGTATGCAGGGCATGAGTCACTTACAGTCATGGCAGACCAACTTGCGTGACCAAGTTTCTTCTGTATTTCCTAGAAATGTCTCTATTACCTATTTAGAAGGGGTTTAACGCTTTTTAGATCACCCTCATCACACTCTCAAACAAGGCCTCAAGCTTTAGCCCCTCAGTATTCTGCAGAACGGCATCGAAGCTCTGAGGATTGAGTACCTTTGGGGTGAGTCCAGACAAGTCTCCAAAGTCACGGCCATTATAAGTAGTTGACGAAACTGCACGAGCATTTTGCAATAGCACATTCATCTCGTAGGCATGGTCGATCTCCGAGGTGACACTATCCAGCTCTTCAAGCAGAGTGGTGGTGGTTGAGATCGTGCCTACTCTGGCATCGGTATCCAAGAATACGAAGCATTCGTGCGCAGTGGAGTATCTCAGAGACGCAATTGCAACATTGTGAGAACCTGTGAAGACGGGATTTAGAGAGCCCGGACTGAAGAACAAAATGCTAGATTGTATATCGTAGTTTTCAGTGTAATGGTTGATGGCAACGGCAATCAAATCCTTGTCCTCGCTCAAGGCTATGAGATTACTTCCGCCCGCACACGACGAGAAAGCCAGTGCCAGTTTATTGTTCTCAAATGTTGACAGGTCAAAGGTGATGAGCCTGTCTTTTGAAAGAACAACGAGATTATCTTGGAGAAACCCGATCCAACGAACTCTCGAACCAGCCAGAGATGGCATTCTTGGTGAATCAAGTTCTTGCATCGTGTTCATGTCAATTAAAACCACCGAGGTCTCATGTCCCAAGGCAATCAAAGATCCGTCCTGAGACCAAGACACACTGACAGAGTTGGATTGGTGTTTTCCATTTCCGTGTTTCACTTTTCGCAGACTCCAGGTTGTCTGCTGTAACTTCTCGTTCTTGGTCACTACTCCAGCCTTCACATAGACATCTTTGGGCACTCTAGGTCTCCAGATCCTCACACCGCCTCTGTTGTCGACAGTCAGGAATCCCTGGCCATCGGAGTATGCAATCGGAGCAGGAATCACTCCCACGACCGCAGTCTGTGGACCATGGGGATCAACAACCTTGGTGGACAGTTCCCATTGGCCCTGGGTGTTATCTTTGCCTTGGGGATTGTCAACGTATTTCCAGAATTTCAAAGCATACTTGACTTCCTTGGATGATAGCAGATTGTCAAGTTCTGGAGTAGGCAAGGAATCGAATGTGCACATCCACTTGCCGTCCTTGGTGAATGACAACAGATCCACCGAGGGGTCAGCAATCAGGTTTTCGGTCCTCACCTTACCAGCTTGGATCGCAAATGCAACGTCTTGCACGAACGCTTGTTCGTTTTTGGCTATGTCAAAAGCCTGTATCTGTGACCCGTATGGAGTATACACCAGTTTAGAGATGGGGTGAACTTCAAACGGGGCAGTAAAATCGTTTTTTATCATGGTGGCATCCTCAAGAGGTGCTTTCAACTTCAAAAGCCTCTTTCTGGACTTTTCCAGGTTTGCCAGCGGCGTGGCGAACCTGGGTCTAAGTCCAGTGACATTTAATCTCGAGGTCAGGTCAACAGCACTCAAAATCAAAAGTTCCAAGTCTTGGGAGTCGTTGAGAGAAACCTTGACAGAGTATAGTTCTCCCTCAGTTTGCTCAATACTCACCTCCTCAATAGCACCGTTCAAACGAGGCAGAAACTGTTGTCTATCTGTGTCCAGTTGCCAAAACACCAGCACCTTTTCAAGTCCACCAGAGAGCAGATATGAATCGTCCTTCGAGAATCTGAGAGACTTAACCTGGTCAATGTGCCATTTAAGCAATCTTTGGGGGGTTTCAGGATCCTCAGCATAAACTATTTGTATAATACCGCTCGATGTACCTAGAGCAACTATTCCATCTTCATTAGAGACGGCCATCGCGGTGATGGGGGTCTTGTAGGCAAAAGTGACCTTTTCGTTCTTGGCTATGTTTTGGTCTTGCTCAAGTCTCACGTATATGAGTTCATTTTTACTACTCAAAAACACAAACCTCTTGCAGTTGTTGGAGCTGGCAAAAATGGTGATGTTCTTAGCAGTGAACAGCTCTGTTGAATCGCTTCTTCCTGCTCTGAGAATAGTGCGGGTATGTGGCGATCTGTTGTTGGATATTTTGCCAACGACCATCAAGAATTCTTCGTGCTCATAGTCGGAGTTCAAGATATCACACACCGAAACTATGGAGGTTCCATCTGGTATATTCAGGTTGAAAGTTCCTAGGATTGGAGACTTGCCTTTGTCTTTCCAGTTTGTCACCAACACCTCTCCTGTCGTCAATATAACGTACAGTATGCTACCATTGGATTTTGACAAAACACTTCCCGCAACAGATGACAAATCGGGTGTTTTTATGGTTCTGATGCACTGTCTTGTAGACAGGAAATAGACTCGTATCTGAGACTTGAAGAGGGCTATGTAATGGCGACCATTAGAGGCAAAGACGTGACCCTTTTCGAGCGGTCTTCCACTTCCTTGAACAGTGACATTCCAATGAGAAGACTGAACAACCATGGCTATCAGTTGAGGTTCAGGTAGAATGGAAATCCGTAATGTTGAGCTCAATAATGATGTATGTCTTAGCGTCTGAAAAGTTTGGAATTTTTTTTAGTGATTCTGGATGGGTACACGACCTTCACCAATCTCCTTGAAATTTTTCCAAGTTTACTAATGAGAGTAACCTGGATGGTTCATTAACTAACACAGAAGTCATTTTCTTCGCGATGATTATCCCTGTCCGTTGTTTCTCCTGCGGTAAAGTATGTGGCATTCCATGTTTTTGTTTGGCATTCCGTGTTTGGTGTGTGCTTTTAAGAGCTAGGTGCTAACGTTCGATCAAGGTGGTTGGTGACAAATGGGAAACCTACCTCAAATATTTACAAGATGATGAGATGACTGAAGGGTAAGTCACATCTCGTAAACATGATACAATTGGATTTGATGTACTAACTAGCTGAAGTGATGCTCTGGATAAGTTGAAGCTCAAGAGATACTGTTGCAGAAGGATGGTGCTGACGCATGTGGATTTGATTGAGAAGTTTCTGCGTTACAACCCATTGGAGAAGAAAGAGAGTATCTAGACCTCCAGATGTCTCAAAAAAAGGTTCCGGGATTCTTATTGATACGTCGACCAAAGTGGCGTGAAGTCGGATCTTGAAACCAGTGTCTCGCTTCAAAGGATAGAAAACATTGAGATGATCTCATATAAGGATTACGGTTTAATTTGTACATTTAAGTTGATTGTTTATCACCGAGGAGCAAGAATGTAGTGTTGATTAAGGTGGTGAGTGGTGAAGGTAGTCGATACCGATTAGAGAAACTGGCTGACTGTGCTCATCAATGAGTAGACTTGAGACGTTATGAATCAGAGTGTGGAAGAGCCATGATATGTAAAAAAATAAAAACTTATCACATTACAACAAGAAGCCACTGGTCAAAACCAAAAATTCTATTTTATTTTTCATGTTAATATGAAGGATTAGGGAAGCAATGTTTAACGCATTGAGTGCGGTGAGTGCTTCTCCGCATAGGCAGCGATGCTATCTATCTCTGCCAGTCCATGCTATTTGTACTCCATCATTAGATGACATATATCCGCTCAATAGCCAAAGATGATTGGACGACTCATTCATAAAAGATTGAAATCTTCACTTTCTCGACCAACAACCGTACTAGTGTTCCCGGGCCAGGGCGTCTTCAGCGTTGAACATCTGGACTTTCTCAGCAAACGGGTACACGTTGAAGGTGTTGAAGAATTGTTGGAAGAAGCAGATGACGCGCTGGGATTCACCATCTCGAGATTTGTGAGAGATCCGAAGGCGAATTTGGGTGGTTACATTGAATCTCCTATACAAAAGACCAGCATCCAACAACCATTGTTGCTGCTCACCACGAAGCTGCTTGCCAAAGTGATCCGGGAAGAGCATGGTGTTGATATGTTCAATGATCCTGTTGTCAAGCCTCATTATCTTCTGGGACATTCCCTCGGGGAAATTATTGCTCTGGTCATGCAAGACGTAATTGATTTCAGAGATGGCATCAAGTTTTGTTCGCAGAGAGGCATGTTGATGGAGAAATGTGTCGCTTCTTACTACCAGGTTGGTGATCCGCAGAGGGTATCTGAAGATCAATTCAAAATGTTTGCGCTCGTCTTCCCGTCACAAATATTTGACCACGTTTTGAAATTTCTGCGGAACCAAGATCAAATAAGCCTGTCGAATATAAACAACTTTCAGCAGATAGTTATATCCGGACTGGAATCGAGCTGTTTAGTGGTGGTTAGCAGACTCAAGGAGCATCTGGCTGAGCTGAAGCTCAAAGCCAGAATTAGGGCCATTGATTTGGATGTGAAAGTTCCCTTCCACAATGATATTTTGAGCCCTGTTAAGGGAGGATTGGATCAAATGTTACAGGCATATATAGGTGCTCCAATACTGGGAAATAAAATTGGTTATAAGCCGGGAGAGATGAAATTTCCGGTGGTGTCAAATCTGGATGGATGCATCCAGACTTATGCTGAAGACCAGATAAGGAACATCATCGATGTGACATCTCGTCCCGTGAACTTTCTGAAATGTTTGCAGACAATACAGGAGCTTTCTGAGGAGGTTAAATATATCAATTTCGGGAGTGTGACCTCGGGAATTATCTCAAAGTTCGTGAGCGATAAGAGGTCAGGCGTGCATGCAGGAAGCTGCACGAACATAGCGCTGGATACTGAAGAGGGTCTAAAAACGATCCGTAAAACGATTCAGAACGCTTCTCAATCTACATAGCAAAATCTCCGATGCCCGTTGAGCAAAATAAAAAATATTAGACATACTTTTACTGTGACACCGGAATGAAATTTCCCACAATGCAGCTTGGAATATTGTAGCGATCCCTCCTAATGGTGAAACTGAAGCAACAACTTTTCCTTTTTCTTCCATCTCTCGTTCGCAAATTGCAACTCGTCAGCACAGCCTTCTGTGTTTTGTCGAACGCAATTGACCCGTACTTCTCCCAGAAGTTGACACTACTTTCTTCGGTCATCACCTCGTAGATAGTTAATTTGCCATTTTTGAGATCATCGATGGACACTTCCACCAGGGAAGCAAACTCTTTGTTCCCTCGGTAAATCTCGCCAGTTCTACGCCAAAGACATGCTGGAATTGCCATGGAGGTGAACACTCTGTCATAGTCAAGTAACATTCTCTCAAAGTTCTCCTCCACCAGAATCAGGTCTATATCCTTCAATGTCTTTGCAACGGCTCGAAAGCCTGGTCTGAACGTAGAGAGAGGTTTTAGGATTCGCTGCCTGGACGAAGCATTCATATACGTGTCCATGTATGTTTGTAATCTCGCATATCCCTTTGCGTAGTTGTAAGGCTTCAAAAGGCCGGCATCCAATTTGGCCTTGATCACCTGTTTCAGTCGTTCTTCGGGTGAAATCTCCGTCGTAGGATCAGCAGCAGTCAGGAAGAACTTATCACGCGCGCTGTCTGAGATGACTGGTTGCTGTTGCTGTGAAGTAGATTTGGCCCGTTCGGTCTTGGGGGCTGGTCTTTCTGGCGTCGCGCTGATCTGTGGAACCGCATCCGTAGATGGGAAAGAAGATATCTGCGCAGAAAGGGAGGGCATATTGATGCCACTGAACATCGATGGAGTTGACTGTTGTGACTGGCCATTGGAAAATCCATTTTTGGGGGCTTGAGCTTGAAGATTGGTGACAGAGTTCAAGGCACTGATTTGAGAAACACCGTCCAAGTTTTGCAAAGCCGGATCGTCGTTATAATTCAAGGTATTGATCATATCAGAATCATCAATCATGGAAAGGAACTCGTTCAAAGAACTGAACTCGCTACCTGCGTGCTCGGAGAAGAAGAAAGGCTGTTGGTTGAGAGATCCAACACTGTTGGTCTTATTGGTAAATGGTTCCTGAAACTCACCATAACCCAGCTGGGCCTGTTGGCCTCCATCTTGACGATAGCCCGTACCCAGGCCATTATTCGTACCATTTCCAAAACTGTACTCCAACTCCGCAAAGCCTCTATCCAGCGGAGTGTTGGATGAGGTATTATGCGAAACCACAGTCGGCGAGCCTGCGTTGCTAGCAGACGTCACTGCAGGGTACGGGCTTCTATTATCGCTGAAAAGTGAATCTTCTGGTTTCAGCTTCGAAAGCTGTTTCTCCTGCTTGAAGCTGGCAGGCTCGTAATGACACAGGTGTCCGATCTTTCTCTTAACACATCTAGAACAAGGACGAGCACTATCGCATATCATATGCGACCTCCTGCAGAAGACACAGGCAATGGCCACTTTGCGTCTTTTCTTTCTTCCGTCCTTGCCAGAGTCCGATCCGGGCGATACCGAGGTTGGTGTTGGCGAACTAACGTTGGAAGCTGGAGGAACACGGTTATCCTGTAAATCTGGGGTACCGAGACCCGATTGCCCACTTTGCCCCGATTGGTCGGTCTTCATCAAATATTCACCCGACATGTGACAAGTTGTCAAAACAAATATACACACAAACTTCTGGCGGCTGATATACTCAGAGTCGTTGGAAATAGACTAATTTACATTGGCTTGTGGGAACCTTAGTAAGGCTTGTTTCCAACTTTTGGCCATAATTTTGGACTCGGGGCTTTGTTGACCCGAGGAGAATGGCAGTGGGCTCGGATGAGTATCTAAGTCGATGGAAACTGAAATATTGGGGAGCCTTATAGGCAGGGTTATTAAAGCGAGGAATATATTTGAGCGGAATTTTCGACTAAAATTGACGGAGACTTTAAGCTTGAAACGTATTTGAACTTATATCCCGAAGACAGGGCTGAATTTGAGCATTTGACACAAATCACACAGTTGTCTACTTTCCACATGAGCGCGATACTTCGCGTTATCGGTCCTCTGGGGCCTTCTAGACACATGTCCAGATTCACGTTGAATCGCTGTATGTGTTTGCCTTTGTTTGTACCAGCCAGACTAATTTCCTCCACCAGCACCAGATTTCAAGATGCTCGGCCCCAAGAGCCTCAGTCTCAGTCTCAGATGCCTAGAATGTCGTCCGAGGAATTCCAAAAACTATATCAGCAACACAAGCTAAAAAAGCAGAAAGAAAGGACCAGAACGGCTGCAAATTACTCGATGTCTCTGGGCTTAATTTTTCTGGCTCTAGCGTTTGGTTCTGTGCCTCTATATAGGGCCATTTGTCAGAGGACCGGGTGGGGAGGTACTCCGATGACGGATGCCTCAAAGATCACGCCAGATAAGTTGATTCCTGTCAACACTAATAAAAAGATTCGGGTTTCTTTCACTGCGGAAACATCTTCAATGTTGCCTTGGAAATTCGTTCCTCAACAGCGGGAGGTGTACTTAGTACCAGGCGAGACTGCTCTTGCCTTCTACAAAGCTAAAAATACCAGTGACAAGGATATTATTGGAATGGCAACTTACTCGGTGACGCCAGATCATGTTGCGCCTTATTTCAACAAGATCCAATGTTTCTGCTTCGAGGAACAGAAGCTGAATGCTGGAGAGGAGGTGGACATGCCATTGTTCTTTTTCATCGACCCAGACTTTGCAAGTGACCCTGCGATGAAGAACATTGACGATATCGTACTGCACTATACGTTTTTCAAGGCGAACTATGGTGCTGATGGTGATACTTTGGTTCCGGTTGTGGCCAAAACGAGTGAGTGAAGCCATTGAAGCGAGTGAGACTGCCTTGGTCTGTACATAAAAAAACTTGAACGAACTGTCTATATTGAGGGAATAAAATGAATGTATTGGAGCTGTCGAACTGTCCACGTTGGATAACAATTGAGAAACCTGTAAAACTGTCTACTCAAACCTATCTATGGTGATCGAGGGACTAACTGGACGATTCGAAAAAGATGGCTCCGTGGGAGTGAACAGAAATGTTGGAGTGCCATTATCCTCTTCCTTTTCTATCTTCTTGTCTTCCTCATTCGTCTCGGGTGTTGGTTCCCTATACTGCTCCATAGGAGAATATTCTGAATTCTTGAGCGAGCCTTCCTCCAAACTAGCACTTCTAAGTCTGGTGATGATGTTTCTCTTCTCATCCTCGGCTTCAAAATATGTCTCCACCCGAAGCGAAGTTTCAGGTTTGGACGTATCAAACCTGGGTTTCATTGCCTCAACGTTGACCCCCTCGGGGTTTGTTGGGTGGTATGATTTGTAATGCGATTTGATAAATAAGAAAACATCTTCACAAGTTTCTGGACTTTCAAAGCTGACTATTATTCTTTGCAAAGAAGGCAACACCGTCCAGGTGGGAGTCTCAGCAAAGTGTTGATTTTGTACATAGGTGAACACGGCAGCTTTCAGCAGCTTGGAGAAAGATTGATCCTGATTCTCTGTGAGATCGGAGTCCGATAGGTTGTAGATAATGATTTGTGTCTTTGGCATTGATGATTGTTACCAAAAGCAAAAAAGGAATCCAGCAATGTGTGATCAGTTAAAGGGGTTGGTTATCAGTTCCAAGAGTCTGACCCCAGAAGGCTGTGTAGCTGATTATCTCATCGATAGGCGATGCAATGCGGCGCAGCACTGTGGGGGCAATCTTTGAAGGTCTTTGCACGTAACTAAATTCTGATTCAAAGCGGAGCCGTTAGTTGTGAATAATATAAACTTCGCAAAATTATTGTTAAAACATCATAAACCATTTTATTTGCCAGCTGTAGCCGAAACCTCGATATAAAGCTTCAGACTTCAAGAAGCCCGTTATCTCGATTGGGGTAAATTGTAGTGTTCCAACTAAATGTTAGTCTTTACTTAGTGACTCCATATACGCCGGCAGTCCACACATTACAGCAGTAATACCCATACCGCGATGCCCAGGAATTTTTCACACACACCTCTCGAGCTATTCAGACTCAAACTTTTCGCACCTACACCTACATCAATCATATACCACCAAGTACATATTTAATTGCAAAATGGTTTTCCAAAAGACTACTAAAACCTCTGCTTACTCCTCCCGTTACCAGACTCCTTTCAGAAGAAGAGCTGAGGGTAAGACCGACTACTACCAGAGAAAGAGACTCGTCGCTCAACACAAGGCCAAGTACAACTCTCCAAAGTACAGATTGGTTGTCAGATTCACCAACAAGGACATCATCTGCCAGATCATCTCCGCTACCATCACCGGAGACTTCGTTTTCGCTGCCGCTTACTCCCATGAGTTGCCACAATACGGAATCGAGCACGGTTTGACCAACTGGGCTGCTGCCTACGCTACCGGTTTGCTCGTTGCCAGAAGAGCTTTGCAGAAGCTCGGCCTCGACGAGACCTACAAGGGTGTTGAGGAGGTTGAGGGTGAGTTCGAGCTCACCGAGGCCGTTGAGGATGCTCCTCGTCCATTCAAGGTCTACTTGGATGTTGGTTTGCAAAGAACCACCACCGGTGCTAGAGTCTTTGGTGCTTTGAAGGGTGCTTCTGACGGTGGATTGTACATTCCTCACTCTGCCTCGAGATTCCCAGGTTGGGATATCGAAGGTGAGGAGTTGGACGCCGAGTTGTTGAGAAAGTACATCTTTGCCGGCCACGTTTCCGAATACATGGAGGAGTTGGCCGATGATGATGAAGAGAAGTTCAGAACTTTGTTCAAGGGCTACTTGGCTGACGACATCGAGGCTGATGCCGTTGAGGACATCTACATTGAGGCTCACGAGAAGATCAGAGCTGACCCAACCTTCAAGCCAACCGAGAAGAAGTACACCAAGGAGCAATACGCTGCTAACTCCAAGAAGTACAGACAAGTTAAGCTTACCAAGGCTGAGCGTGATGCCAGAGTTGCTGAGAAGATTGCTGCTTTCAAGGCTGCCAACTAAGTTCGATTCAGAGATATCATCATTTAGTGTAATATTTGGATCATTCTAAAGGTACGAAAATGTAGAGCGTAGAATGCACTCGTTGCAGTCCTGGGTCCATACTATCATGGAATTTTTGAAGTGTTTGCGTAGGCATAACTGGTCTATTGTTGGTTCTGGTTACAGAATGCACTAACCATATGTGCACTTCATCTGTCAAAAGCTCCATGCCAGGCTTAAGTTTAAATGGCCCCACCAATTTTGCATGTACCCCGTCCAAAATTCAAAAATTGAGAAACCCTGTCAAATATCATAACAATAAATTATTCAAAAACGCCAAAAAAATTCCCCATTATATTGTGTCTTTCCGGGATTTCTAGTCCTTTAGTGTAATGCCTCGAGCCTTAGTAAGGTCCGATGTGGAGGGCCCAAAAGGGCCGGAGATAGCTGCTAGCTGCCACAAGCATCTGACCCACCGGAGTATTACGGAAGTGTTGTCCTCTTGTCACTGGATCATACAACAATAGCACTACTTTTGGAGCATTGTTTGGACCAGAGGCTCTAAAATATTGTTGTGGGCTTATTGCTGATTTACGAAATTGCCACAGAGTCTATATTTACGTCCAAAGTTGCCGTTGTTTGTGCTGCTAGCGAGAGGCAATCGCTGTAGGTGGGATCTTCTGTGTTGCACTGTGCTTATTTGAAATCCCTCGGGGTTTGTCATTTGAATTCTAGCTTTATTGTGTTGAAGCCCAAGCCCCACCAAAAAACCCTATTTGGCGACCAATTCCTCGAACAATCGTATCTCTCCAATGGAAGACTCGAATGGGTCTCCGACAGCCTGCGATGCCAAAGCTCCGAACTCAAAACCAGTGATAACCGAGCAATCGGAATCTTCCGGAGTCTCAAATGGTGATGTTGACTGGCTATTTCGTGGAAAGGAGAGTAAAAAACGTGAGTTCCTACTGATTTTAGAAGCTTTCAAGCATAGTAAACTAACTCCGAATTGACAGTGGCGAGGAAAACTGATAGGGTATTGACGGCAAGGGTACCCTCGCTCTCCAAAGATGTCATCAATGAACAGACTACTAGACGGCGTTCGTCTGAGGAACCTGAAAGGGCCAAACTATCGATAACTACCTCAATTGACGATCTACAGGACGGCTTGCCTCAGAGGCGGCGCTCCACAGGAAATGCTCTAGTGGGTGATAAAACTGTCCCGGATGACCCAAGGAAGGCTTCTGTTGTACAAGCAAAGGCTCCTGTCTCGGTCTTAAAGAATAGTGGCCGAAGTCGGTCGGTTTCCGACCCAGCTGTCCCTGTGGAGAGTTTTAGAAAAATGGCTTTCAAAGAGATGAACTCGCCTTCTACATCCGCGCCTGTGGAGGGTCTGGGGACTTCGCCTGGCTCTGCATCGAAGAAATCGTTTCTTTCATCAATCTCCTCAAAATTCTCGTCGAAAAATGTGCCTGCTGTGCCACAAGTCGGTCTTTCGCCGACACAGTCTTCGCTTGGCGCTAGTCCTGTTGAGAAAAAAGGTTTGTTCGGTATGAGGAATAAAGCACCGAGCGATATCAAGAGGGAAGGTTCTGTGAAAAGGACTTCGTCAGAAGTGAGGCGTGTTTCTGTGGCTGCACCTACGGTTGCACCTGTGAAGGAAGATCCCTTGAAGAAAACGGTGTTGAAACGAGTAACTTTTTCTCTTGACAAGCTTCAAGATGACCCCCAGCAGCAAATCCCATCTAGAAGACCTCGCAAGGGAAATGTGCTGATACCAGAAGATTTGACTGCTGAACCTGCTCGGTTGACCATAGGAATCACAGACTCAAACAACAACGACGCTGCAGCAAAGAAGCCAATGATCGACGAGAAAGAGCTTGCACTTGCCTTGGATACACAGAGACAGGCCTTAATTGAGGCACAGCACCATGCTCAGGAAGCGCATCTGGCTGCTCAGAGAGTTGCCAAGGAAGTGGCTGCTTTCAAGAAAAAATCATATGGCGCCCAGTCCGTTGCTGATGAAGCTGAAGACGAAAGTCTGTACTCGCATTCTCAGAATGTGGAGATTGACAAGCCTTTGCATGAGCATATCGATTACTTTGAAGTTGACGGCGAAGAGCCCGTTCGTCATGGCAGAGAATCTGGGTATGAGGACGGCGAAGATGAAGACGAAAGAGAGATTCCGTTGGATGTTGTATATACCCGTTGTTGCCATCTTCGTGAGATCCTGCCTATTCCTGCTACGTTAAAGCAGCTAAAGGGTAAATCAAGACCGCTGCAAATTTTGAAGCTGCTAAACCCAAAACCCACTCTGATTGATGTATTGTCTTTTGCGGACTTTTTGGCAATTACCCCAATTGCTATAGTCATCTTTGACAATGTCACGATGAACAATGAGATGCTAAAGGTGTTCTTGACTAGTCTAGTGAACTCAAAAGGTCTGGAGAAACTTTCGCTGCGGAACGTTGCCATGGATTCGGAAGGCTGGCTCTACCTGTGCAAGTTTCTCACTCTCAACAAGTCACTGAGTAAGCTGGATATATCGCAACAAAAAGTCAAATCAGACACACCCAGAAGCCATATTAGATCCCAGATGAACTGGGATTTGTTCACAGAATGTGTTGCAAAAAGAGGTGGTTTGGTTGAGCTGGTGATCAATGGTTGCAAGTTGACTGACGAACAGTTCTCCAAACTGATCAGAAGAGGTGTTATGATCAACACGTTGAGACTTGGAGTTGCAGCAACCAACCTTAGCGTTGGAAAGTCTGCTACTTTGGCTTCGTGGGTTACGGATCCCAAATCAAGCTGTGTTGGGTTGGACATCGCTTTCAACGATCTTAGTGAAGGTCAATTGAGACCATGTATTACGCAGTTTGCCACGAATTATCCACCCAAGCTCATGTTCTTTTCGATCAATTCTACAAATGTCAAATTGGATGATTGTGTTGATCTAATCAAGACTTTGTCGAAACTACCAAACATCCGGTTCTTAGATTTGAGCAACAACCCTCATCTTTTTCCAAAGATCATTCCTGTTCTGACCGAGTATCTCCCCAAGTTTGCGGACTTGAGAAGAATTCATCTTGAGTTCAGCAACCTCACGAGTCCTCAGATTGTCGCCATTGCCAGTATTCTGTCGAAATGCAAGCAACTTATTCATGTTTCGCTATTGGGCAATCAGAACATTGGTGTTTCTGCTGCGCTATCATTATACTCGATGGTCAAAGCTTCAAACGTCTATGTTCTGGATGTTGATTTCGACTTGATATCCGACGTGGTCAGTTCTAAGATTGCCTTCTATCTCATGAGAAACATGGAACGCAATTTGAACAACGATCTAACTCATGACAACGACGATGAGGATCTTATATTTGACGGTTCTATTCTGACTCAGACTGCTGAGAAGATACTTGAGGCCAAGTACAATTCGGCTGACAGTAATTCGGACGACGACGTATCGAAGCAGATAATCTCGAAGGCTCTGATCGAAAGAACGACGAGACTGCGTAAGGAGATACACAAAACCATGGACAAGTTTTTCGAACAAAGAAGGCAGGGAACGCTTTCTCTACAAGGCAAAGAGACACTTTTACGTTTCTGTCTCCTTGACAGTTCCCTAGAGAAGGTTGTACAGATTTTTGAAGAGGCTGATGATCATGAAACTGCCAGCCCTGCGCCGGCAACACAACTCAAGCTGCCAATGCTGCCTCTCGATCTTCATATGCATAGAGGCTCCAGTGATATGATGATGACTGGACCTATAGTTTCTCCAAACTTGAAGATTATCGATGAATCCACATATTTTGCACCACAAGCTCACGGTGCAACTGCTGTCAATTCTGAGCAGCCACACCAGGTTGTGGTAGAAAATAGCGTTGATGGTAAGACTAGAGCTGTTGATGAGTACACAGGTAAGCCTGTTCTATTCAGAAAGCTTTCGCAGACTTCAATCCATGCCAAGGCCCAAGAGGAAGAGGAAGGTGAATTTCACAGATGGGGTTTCTTTGTGCAGCAACAAGATCCATTCATGACTCCTCAAGTGTCTGATAAACCGCCTCGCTCAGCGGTACCTAAAACAACTTCTTCGGTCGTTTCTCCGGTTACTGGCTCCTCCACTCCAAAGCTGAACATTTTACCTTCCGGTCCGGAGTTGAGAGAAGCCGTTATCAAGGCGAAAGGTATAGAAAGTGTCTCGGACCTGATCGGCAAGATCGACGTTTCCAAGCTTAGAAACATCTACTCCGTTAGCCGGACCGAAGGCGAGCAAAAACGGGACCCTGTGGGGCAAGACTCTGTGCATTGGGATGCTACATCAAAAGATCAAGTTCAGTCAGAAGAACCACAATCACCTGTCTCAATTGGATCTGACGATGAAGGTGATGCAGGGGCATATAAACACGAAAGGGCTGTTGATGAGGTCTACGAGAAGCTACTTGACGATGTGGTTAGAGTCAGGTCTAATTCGATGAAAAAGTGAGAGAAAAAATTGTGTAATGTTATTGGACAGGCTTATTAAAGCTTTTTGGAAATTTTCTATTTTTCAAGAAAACCCACTTTTGGAGTTCATCCATCCCCCACATTTTTGTAGATTTTTCGATCTGAGAGTAATTTGAAAGGACGCAACTCGATATCTGGCTGAACCCACTCATCTGAACATTGAACACATAACGGACTAGGCACCTGGTGATTTCTGCTATAACAGAAGGCCAACCCAAGGCCAAAGCCTATGGCAGGTTCAAAGAGACCGGGTGGAATGGGAATGGAAACAGGCATAAATTTGACGATAGTTTGGCTGCATAACTCGAAATAGCCCATATAATCAACCGTGAAATAGTTTCTCAAAGAAAAATCAAGTTTCATCCAGGAGTCTCGAAAGTATGTTGAAACACCCTCCATTAAAGCCACAGCAAACACCTCCAGAAGAAAAACCCCAACAACCACACCCAGCAAAACCACCACAGAACTAACCTGTGTTGGCAGGGGCCAGACCTCTGGCACCATAATCTGGGAATGTTTTCTCTTATACATGTAGCAAATGGGTTGATTAGCTACTTCAATTGAATTACCGCTGGGAAGAGGATTTGACGATTTGAGCCGCACGTCGTGTACTCTTTGAAATCTGCAAGGCTGCAAGGGCGCCTGAAAAGGTGCATTTTCTTAGTAAACCATCTTTGAAAAAATATTCGGCTACGTTCACATTTTTTTCTTTGTTCTATTGTTTGTTGTTTCATAAATATGACACTTATACTCCAGCCTAGTTTCTGACATGCGCAAATGTTCTCACTGGGTAGTCCGTAGAATACATACCACTCTCGCTCTCCTCCAGGATTCTCCACTTCAGCTTGTTCAGGTTGGGGGCAACGACAGCCTCTCCATTTGGACCTAGCAATTCGCCCTTGACAACCTTTGGATCGACTTTGCTCAGCGTTGACGACAAAGTTACCAATTCACTTCCTTTGTAAACCTCCAATTCCTGCTGTCCCTTGGTTCCTATGGAGATACGTGGGCTTGCAGCCGAGCCCAGGCTAAGCAGGGCACTCACCTTGGTTTGGTCGAATGACGAGAGTTGTGGGTAATTTCTTCTGTGGTCTCTGTGGGAGTATTGGTTGCCCTTGATATCACCAGCTGGCACGGTCATTGTGTCTTTGTACACCAGTGGCTGGGAGCCCGGAGCTGGAACACGGAAATATTTCACCAACGGGTTACCTGACGAACGATTTGGCACCTGAATTCAACGTGTTAGTAAAATAGCTATGGATCATAGGCTTACCATTGCCTATCTTGTGTTGTCTCACTTACCAAAGTCAAGGTTTTTCTGATCAGCTCCCAGATTCCCTTGGAACCGGTTGTGTATTTTTTGTAGACTGGAACTGGACCTCCTGACATTTTGCAATGAACGTTAAAATATATTTGCTCTCAGCAGTTTGGTGGTTATCAGAGTAGATAGACGTAGTCTGCTTGTAAGACGAATAAAAGCATTGATGATTGGCTCTGGGTGGAAGGGTGAATTTTGAGCCGGGTAACCCCACGAAGGTAACCCCGGAATAGGATCGGGTTATCTGTTGAGGTCTGTCTTCCAATAACTCATCTGACACTCAATCATCAAGCAGAAGATACCAATAATATAAAATAAAAATGAGTACCAGAGCATTGCGAAATTGCAGACGGTTGAGAAGTGATCAGTTTCGCGAGCTTGTGGCAGACGACTGGGACGAATACAGTGGTGTGGAGACGGATTACGGGGACTCGGAAGCAGAGCAAGAGAACGACGGAGATGAAATCCCGATTTTGACGATGGAGGATATCAGAAATGAGTTAATACAGGAGGCACGCCAGAATATTGCACGCGGTGCTGATCAGAGGGCTCTATGGGTAAGAGGTGTCGATGCGTTTATCAACACCTTGTTCCACATAGTGCTGTTGAGAATCTTGAAGAACCTGTTTTCCATGACGTCGTTTTCAAAGGATATTTTGAAAGACACCGAGGAGTTTATCTCGATGATTGTAGACAAGACTCCCGGGTTCAATTTCATGAGCAATTTGAGATTCTCGAGCGGCGCTGGCGGTGCTGTTGATGCTGCCAGCTCTGTTGGCGAGAGCATAGCCACTGGAAACACCACTCTGATAATGAGGTTTGGGTACATTCTGGCTAAGGAGTTCCCCAGCTGGGAATCATATCCAAACTCCATGATAGCAATGACTCTGCTGTCGTTCTACTGCTATACGCTCGTGGCATCTCTGTTTCTGATCACCAGTTTTGTGTTTTCCATGTTGTGCATGACTTACAGTATTGGCAGGAGGTGGCATACCATTCAGACGTTTATAGTTGGTCTTTTTAAGGAGAACGCGGGGACGTTCTAGGGAAGGGTTAAGGCAATGCATAACAGACACGTTGAACTATTCAAGGAATGTTGAGATATATTTGGCAAGATTGCATAGCGTAGTTTGTATTTGTGTGGCTAAAAGTGCATCGAGGTTGAGGAGGATTTTCTGAATTTGCTGTGTATGTTTTCGATGGAACTTATCTTTGGAATGGTTTCGCTCACCGATCTCTTTGTTGGTGTTCCTGTTGGCGTGGTTGGATTCGACTGAACGGGCGACTTTTGCGGTAAAAATCCTACTATCCAGCTGGACCTCGACCTGTATATTTCCAACGAGTTTGTGGAGGCTCTGTTGAAAAGAGCCAGGAGCTTTAGTGCGTAAAACCCGGTTATTTGTTGAGTTTTTTGGGATTCCACAAGGGAGTCCAGGTTCGCGATCCAATGGTCAAGCTGGCCACTTTTCAGTGCATTTCCGATAAATTTCAGCCCAGAACTGACAAGAGTAAACACGTTTGAAGCATACGGGTCCAGCTTCCCCAGAAACGATAGAATAAGCTCATCGTGGGTTATAAGGTGCGCGACCAGCACCCGACACCCCTGGTAATAAGGCGAGAGCAACCACAAATACAATATGAGCTGAGCATAGTATGGAAGAATTGACTTGAACGGCGAGTTCAGCTCCAATGTGCAGAGTATAGAGTAAGACACCCAGTACGATAACCAGTAGGAGGTTAGCGATTGCGACGTGCCGGTTAGTGAAAGCACCGTCAACACCAGCGGAATAAAAAAAGAGACCGTTATCAAGAGCATGAAAATTGTGACAATTATATGTGGCAATCAATATCAATCTCCCAATTTCAACCAAAAATTCGTGCCCCAGGCTCTCGTACAAAGTATTGTACACAGTGTATGTCTATTGTGGCATATAAATTATATACATCTTATTGATCCACCGCACGCACTTTTGATGGCCCGGGCTCGCGCCGCATCGGGGATTTGGCGCCCGGATTCCTGTATCCCGCACGACCGTGCTCCGGGTCAAGAAAGGAGGTTTCCCGTCAACGAATGTTGAAAGCTTCCCGCCCAATACGTTTAACAATCTCGTTTGGGAAAGTGTTTTCACAGAAAAAACCCAGATTGCACATATTTCTTGACCCAATTTTCCATTATGTTTAGACGTTGCTTCTCTTCCACCTCCGCTGCCAGGAACTACGCTTCTACTATCAACAACCTCAAGGTGACCTCCGAGACCAAGGTGATCTACCAAGGTTTCACTGGTAAACAAGCCTCTTTCCACGCTGCTCAGGCAATTGAGTATGGCACCAAGGTTGTTGGTGGTACCAATCCCAGAAAGGCAGGTGAGACCCATCTTGGTCTTCCTGTGTTTGCTACTGTTGCCGAAGCCATAAAGGAGACCGGGGCCTCGGCCACTGGAATTTTCGTTCCTCCTTCCATCGCCGCTGCTGCCATCGAGGAGGCCATTGAGGCCGAAATCTCTCTTGCCGTTGCCATCACCGAGGGAATTCCCCAACACGACATGTTGAGAATTGCCCAGATCCTTAAGACCCAGAGCAAGACCAGATTGGTCGGACCAAACTGCCCCGGTATTATCGCTCCAGGCCAATGCAAAATCGGTATCATGCCTTCGAGCATCCACCAGAGAGGTAGAGTGGGTGTTGTTTCCAGATCCGGTACTTTGACATACGAGGCCGTCAACCAGACTACCCAAGTTGGCTTGGGTCAGTCTTTGGTCATTGGTATGGGTGGTGATCCATTCCCAGGCACCAACTTCATAGATGCCCTGACTCTGTTCTTGAACGATCCTGAGACCGAGGGAATCATCTTGATTGGTGAGATCGGTGGTGAGGCCGAAGACGATGCTGCTGAGTTCTTGAAACAGTATAACTTGACCAGAGAGGTTCCTAAGCCTGTTGTTTCATTCATCGCTGGTGTGACTGCTCCACCAGGAAGAAGAATGGGTCACGCCGGTGCCATTGTTTCCGGTGGTAAGGGTGATGCTGCCTCCAAGATTAAGGCATTGCAAAGTGCCGGTGTTATCGTTGAGGCATCGCCAGCTAGACTTGGAAAGGCCTTGTACAAGGAGTTTGAAACCAAAGGTCTGTTGTAAGGGAAATTTCCATGATACTAAACGACCTGGTGCTGACTCTGGCATGAATGACATAGTCCTCATTTTATTATATTACGTAGGCGTTTTTAGTAGTTGAACAAACACGTCTGGTTCAAGCACCGACTTCCCAACATGTCCCAGTCATCGAGACTGATCCACAGCTCATTAATGATTTTCAGACGCGAATAGACGCATCCACCTTTCCAAATCATCGAGGAAGGATTCACTTCCTTTGAAGAGGACAGAATCTCGATCGGCACTGCTGTGGAGTTGATCAGCATGTTCTGTACGGCTGGGGTGACTTCGTCCTCGTACTGCTTCACTATATCATCCAGCAAGTTCGAAGAAAGTAGCTTCGATCTCCATATGTGAATCCTATCTATCAGAATCAGGTCTAAGCCGTTGAACAGAGACGACCCACCAACCAGCAGTACGCTCTCATACAATCTCTTCATGCGGTTTTTGTCGTTGAACGAGGCACACGTGATGGACTCGATTATAGCCAAGTCCAACGGAGTGTAGTTCAGTTTCTCGTCCGAAGCGTCGTCTGAAACCTGGAAATTTTCATCATCGATGTTCTTGAGAGTCTTGAGAACAGCGTCGTCTTCCATCAGTGTGATGAGTTTACCAAGTTGCTCAAACTGCTGGAGCTTTGAAACGGGATTGTCGTATGTTCCGGAGACATAATCAGAGTGTTTTGGCAGCACTCTTGAAGAGTTCAAAACATCCACTTCTTTCTGCGCAGATGACTTCTTTCCCAATACCCTCCTCTGATCCGATCCGTCCTTGAAGAAGTCGGGGTAAAAAAGGCCCATAGCGGGGATCATCAGTTCCTCGAATAGCTTGTATTCGTATTTCTTGCTTGGCTGGTTCGCCTTCCTGGAAACGAAACCGTACATTTGTACAGCAATATCAGCATCTTGGAATGTTGAGTACTTCTCTTTTAACTCATTTGCAAGATTCCAGTCGCTCAGATCATTTAGGTCGATATCGCCATATGGAAACTGGTTGTTCAACAACATCTTCACCAGAGCTCTAGTGATGTCGTTTCCACCATAGCTCAGTTCCACCTGTGAGTTGGGTAGGATCATTCCTTCATCGACACAGCAGATTTTGGTTGTGGCAGCTCCAATGTCAACAATACAACCACTCGAAATACCAGATCCAAAGGTTGCAGAGATGCCTTCCTGAATGACAGAGATGTTCCCAATCTTCAAGCTGTTCAACAGCAAAAAACACATGGTCTCAACATAGGTCTTGTCAAACAAGTTTGGAATGACGAGAACGCAATTGTAATTGGAGATCTTTTTTGGATCGATCTCCAGAATGTCTGTGATAATGGAACTCAGCATGTTTTCCACATCAGCCAGGATCTCCTGGAACGAACTGTAAAAGCTGCTGAGATCGTGGAACTTTCCGGAATCAAAGGGAGATCTGATCACCCAGTTCGATTCATCCTTCAGTTTCAAGACTTCTTCCCCAACAATGAACTTGGCATCTGGGTTGGTGTAGTCGATTCTGTGGACATCGTTGTGCTCGGGGATGATTTCAGGTTGCTGCCTTTTGTTGAAGTTGTAGCAGGTATCCTGGGAATTCGGCAAGATCCTACGCTTGTAGTACTTCATCCTCTCCTTGAAGTTGCTCGTGATGATCTTGCCGGTTTTGGTGAAATCTGGGTCATCGACTGTTATGTCACCATTGACGACCTCCCTTTTTGGATCCCTCTCAAACGTTTGAGAAGTCTCCGACTTCTTCTGGTATGCTATCAAATTGGGAACTAGATGTGGATCCACATCAGACGCTAGTCCGACTCTGATGGTACTGCTTCCAGGGTGAAGTACTATGGTTTGCGACTTCTCATCATCATCGCCTTCTTGTTCGTCTTCAGCCTCTACATCTGGAGAGGTGAGCTTCTCTTTGATCGAACTCAAATTCTTGAGTTTGCGAGTCATCTTGAATTGGTCATCTTTCTTCAAGTAGTCTGTGTAGTAATTTTTCTGGTTGATCAGCGGAATCGTAGGAATGGACGAAAATACCAGATCGTTCTCCACGTCGGTGCGCTTGATTCCTAGTTCGTTCAGCTTGTTCTGAAGACTGGCCATTGCCCTCGCTCTTCCCTCTCTACGCTTCTGGAGGATATCGGAGGGGATCTTGGTAGTTTTGGCCTTGCGTTTGGCAGCTGGGAGGGTTTCAGACTCGGGATTGGCTCGCTTTTCACTGACGTTGATATCCTCGACATCTTCTTCAGGCAATGGCGTTTCTGAAGGTGGGTCATCGGTATCTTGAAGTGCTTCCACCAGAGGTGTGGACAATAGCGATGACGGACTTGACATGGTCGAGGGAACAGCTGGCAAACTTCAATTGGGGCTCTTCCAAAGCGGTTCAGCTTGTTACTTGTCTTGTCTTGTGCTACGCGAATGTGGACTGGGACTTGTCAGATGATTTTGAGTTGGCGCACGACCGAAGCACGATTATTCAGACTTACAAAACTTGATCGAGAAACTGCTCCATGGGGAACGACACATTGCTATAGTATTTAAATCACAGAGCTTTATGATTCCACAACTGATATTTCAGCTGCGACAACTCGTTGTGCATTTTGACGAAACGCTCAGCTGAGGCTGAGTCTAACTTGGGTGCCTTGGACAGCTTGGAGTAGAGTGCTTTGTAGACTCTGTACTCGGATTCAAACTTCTCTATCAGTTTATCCGGCTTTAATTTTTTCGTAGGTATCGTTTCCTCCTCGGACATCTCGTCGAACGAAGATTGGCTTGATTCAGACCGCGAAACTAGTGACATGTTGGATGAGGAGGAAGCTGAGATATCCGATATCTTCCGTTTCTTTCCTGGAATGATATCGTCATTATCAGACGAGTCCGACACAACGGGCTCGTAAGATACGGGCTTTGTGCAGAAAACGCGCAGTCTGAACGGATGGCTTTCCCCATACCCGGCCTTATCGAATAAAGATTGCAGATGTGGCGACGGAACATCCACGAACTTGGCATAGTCCAGGTTAAGTTCCAGTGTGTCTTTGGCCTTGGTATACACGTTGCTATTGACACCGACTGGTAAATCAGACTTGGCGATGTTCTCCGAGTTCAAAAGTTGGATCGTCTCGAGATCCTTCAGGTTGTCCAACTTGTGACTCAGGTTTTCACTCCGCTGATCCGCCACAGTCATATTTGGACTCGTTGGGGATCCCAACCTTCCAATCTTGGTTATTTCCTTGAGCTTTGCCAGTTTCTTGTTTTCGCTGTGCAGTTTCTGTATGCTTTTATCCAATTTGTTATCGGCATTGATGGTGAGCTTCGTGTTCAGTCTGCCCAAGGGGACAGATATCTGATCTGTCTTTAAGGATGTGGAATAAATATCGGTGCTATTTGACTCTTTCAACTGCGAGAGCCGTATGCTAGTATCTCCTATTTTAAGAGACTTTTTCATTGGTTAGTCAGGATTTCTTGTTTCAAGTGCCACTTTGAGGATTTCACTTACTATCTCTCCGTTTTTAACACAAAGCCTCGGTTTGTCTTTTGCACTTCGCAGTTTGGCCACCACATCATCGTTCAACTTGAGCGAGAAGTTGTAGTTTGTCGAATCCGGCAGAGACTGCAAAAGGCTGGATGTTGTAGGAGGCATGAGGGGTAAGGCGGTTATGGAGAGGAAAATAGGCCAGCGAATCGAAATTTTTGAGAATAAAATGTAATTTGTCCTTCTGGAAATGATGACAGTCTTAAAAACACCCCGATCCGCGAATTTTTTTCGACTTGAGGTAAGTTGATCGGGCTTCAATAACAGATTGGTTATCAGGGGGAATTGCGAGATATGATCCTGTGCGTGGGTCAGATGGTAGTGTGCACATGAAATTATCATTCCCATCCCTGGGACCCGTGGAATGCCTGAAAGGGCAGTTGGTGACAGTTGGTGGGCTCGGTGAATAATGTAAAGTTTCATGGTTATAAAACCGATATACTCGACATTTTACTTTATTTGCTCATTAATATCGATTCGTCATAAATCATTCCAGCTTAGTGTCTTGGCCTCGTGCACTTTCAAAACTGACACTCTCAATCACCTTCTTTACCTCTATCTTCTTCCTCTCCACACTCCTTGCCTCCTCTATTTTCCTCAGGTATCCTCCAAAAACAACTACCTCGGCAATCAGAACCAAGATCGAGAAGAACAAGCAAAGCAAAATTCTGTAGGCATCGTTAATATTCATGGAAGTGCCCGTCCAGTACCACACTGCGTAGCCTACCGACACCACGCTGATGAGGATATTGATAATGGTGGTCACTTGGTGTTTCAGCTCCTTCGTAACAGCTGAGGGACTTGAACCCGGGTTCAGTGAAAACGAAAGTGTTGAATTTTTCACTAGCTCTTGGTACTCCAACTCCTGTTGTCTTTGGCGTAGTCTTTCCATCTGTCGTAAAAACTCCGGCGATTTCTTGGCTTTGGGTGCAATTGGTTTCTCGCAGATCTTAGTTGTTTTCAGCAAAGCTGATAGGCTCAATTTTTCTGTGGAATCACTCTCATTGCAGATTTTGCAACTGGTATAGAGTCTGTATATCGTTATTAGATCATTGTGAGTGATCGAGCGGGCATCGTACAGGCGTTGTTTCTTTTCCACTGGCAAATCGATTTGGTCCACCAGATTCTGTATTCCTTGTGAGAATTCATAAAGCGTCATTTTTGTGGGACAAAGATAGCATCAAAACCAAAAGGCGTACAATCAATCGAACAGCCCGATTAGAACTTAGAAGTGGCTCGGTACCCTCGGAAACAATTACGAGGAACGCTACCCGAGGTATATCCTTTTGATGGTCACACTAAATGGACAGAAAAACCTCGATTCCGTAAAACGGCTGAAGGAAATTCAATTGGACCAAGGCTGAACTGCAAGTTCTGAAAAAATTATATCAGGCTTCTTGTATGCTGGACCAATACAAATTGTATTTTATGTGAATGCACGTGTATCCCACCATGGCCCAAGCTCTATTCATACGATCTTCATGGTATCTAGATATCCTGGTTACCTGGTTCAATGCATTTATCAGTCATTTTGCCGGATAAGATGCGGCTGGGACAAATCTTCTCGGTCACAGTTTCGCATTTGAGCCTGAAGGCAATTCAAAACGAAATTCCTGATTTTTTATCTATTTGCCAAGCCTTTGGATTTATATTGGAAGCCATGGCACTATGCATATGAAAGTGACAATTGCACTTTTCTTGGTTACATTACGCCAAAACCTCGATAAGCAAGGGTTCAGTGGCTTAGAACTGATAGGCCTGACACTCCGTTATCTGACTCAACCACTGCAGGTATGGGGTAGAGTTGCCGGAAGAAGCATCTTGGTACTTATCAATTCAGCGAAGTGTGTTTATTATAGTTATTCAACGGGCCGACCATAACTAAAGCAGTATTGTGATAACCCGTAAAACGCTTAGTGCCCTGCATGGCATTCAAAGGGGCTCGCTATCTTATCCGTGATCTCTGATTTCAGTGGGATTAGCCGGCTATCAGTATGATTAGCCACAGTGAACAATCTCCAGTTGTTCGATCATGCACATATAAATACGATTTTGTATCCTGTATTAACTACGATGATCGGTAACGGGTTTTTTATATCATTGTTTGCAGGTTGAAGTATTAGACTTACAAAATGATATACGACACCGAGAAAATACCGGGGTACGTTCGAAACATCCAATTTCAGCTCTCAGGATACTAACATTATTAGCACTGTTCACCTCGTTGACAACAATGGTGATATGCATGCCGAACACTCGGAAGGAGCTAAAGATGTGGTGTTAGTCCCAACTCCAACTGACGATCCAGATGATCCACTAAACTGGTCTTTCAGAAGGAAGATGCTGTGTATGTTTTGTCTGATTCTCTACAACTTGGCCATTGGTATTCCAGCTTCCGCTATCTACTCCGTTCTGACTCCAATCATCGAAAACACCAATCTGACTCTCTCCAACCTCAACAATGGTACGGGTGTCATGTTTCTGTTCTTTGGATGGGGTTGTCTTCTCTGGCAGCCCATGGCTCAGCAGTACGGAAAAAGGCCTGTCTACATATTTTCCGTGTTTGTGTATATCTTTTTGATGGTATGGGCACCTTATACCACTTCTTCAGGAGAATGGATTGCTTCCAAATTATTACAAGGATTCTTTGGTGCTCCAGCGGAATCACTGGGTGAGATCACCATTGCTGATATTTGGTTTGAACATGAACGTGGAAGATGGATGTCTGTTTATGCTCTTTCTCTCTTCGTTTCCAATTCCATTGCTCCATTAGTTGCCGGTTTCATCTCCGATGGCCAAAGCTGGAAATGGGTGTGTTTTTGGTGTTCTATTTTTGACGCTGCTGCTGTGATTTTTCTTTTCTTCTTCTTCGAAGAGACCAACTATATCCGTCAGCACATATCACCAGATGATGAGATTGAAGAGGCGCCAATGGAGAAACAAGCTGGCATTGTTACTGTGGAACAATCAGATTCAAACCCTGAGCCAGTTAAACGTTTCATTGACATGACTAAGCCAAAGAAGACCTACATGCAGAAGTTGAAGTTCTTTGACAAGCCCCGCCCGTTTGTAATTCACAAGCTTATGTGGCGTTCGCTTACTATGTTTAGATTTCCCGGTGTATGCTGGGCCGGATTCTACTACGGCTTGTCAGTGGTTTGGAACAACATCCTTAATGGTACCTCGTCTACAGTCTTATCTGCTGCACCATACAATTTCTCTGCCTCCATGGTCGGTCTGACTTACATTGCTCCTATCGTGGGCAATGTAATTTTCACTTACTGCAGTGGTAACCTTGGTGATAGACTCAGACTCTATATTGCTAGAAGGAGAAACGGAATTTCTGAGCCAGAGGATCGGTTGTGGACAGCTATCATCTATTTGATGGTGTGTCCTGGTGGATTTATTTTGTGGGGTGTTGGTGCCTGGGCAGGCATTCCATGGATTGGAATAGTGATTGGAATGGGTATTGTTAGTGGCTCTGGTATTATGGGTTGTCACTGTGGTGTCAACTATGTATTGGAGTCTTACGGTGAACTTGGTTCCTGTGCTCTGGTTCCTGTCATTATTATCAGAAACACCATGAGTTTTGGAGTTAGTTGGGGAATCACACCATGGTTTGAAAATCAAGGTTTGAAGAAGATGTATATTGCAGCTTGCTTCATTTCGCTCGCTGGAATTGCGACCTTTATTCCAATGCTTTACTATGGAAAGAAAACTAGAGTTGCTACCAAGCATGCCTACTGGAAGTATGTTCAAGAAGCTTCGGATCTTGGTTTGCCTCACTAAGCAACACTGCTTTAAATTTAAGGTGCTATTATATTTTTTTACTTTTAAAACCATGCTGCACCATAAAAATTCAAAATTACAATCTGATACTTTATGATGTGATTTGATTGATCCACTAGTGACTTTTTCTATTGGAAGTTTCATTTTGCCTACCAGATTCTAGATTTCTTTTGGTTATTCATCTAGTCATTTTTGAAGGACTATGATAGCGTACAAAAATAAAAGGTTTGCAACAATCGGCGAACTGGATTGAGTTAAAGGTGGCTTGGTAGTCTCAAGAGTCACTACGAGTTAAAAAGGCCTCGAGCAGACTAAATTAGTAGTGATATTGGGTTTGGAATCTTCGATTCCGCACCAGTGACTGGGGAAATTTTTTCTGTCGATATATTTGCCCTAATCAGTATCCGTATATGCTCGAAGGAAAACGGTTACCCGGATGACTTTTGTTATCGCTTGATGTCATTGCCGTTTATGGCAAATCATGTCGGCAATCTGCATTCCCCATGCGCCTACTGGCATTATCGCCAACTGCTGATAGCGCTTCCGGACTAACGCGTATACATGGGTAATACAAATAGCGCCATGCCGCAAGATAGCCGCCAGGGGGAATGTTATTATTATGTCGTTCACCAATAGTGTGGCTTGGATCGGATCTGCAACCTTGCTGGCACTATTTATTTGAATATGTATAGAATGAGTGGAACTTTATAAAAGATCTTCGTTCTGTGTATGCCTTCAAAATCTTTACCTAGTCTGTAGAGTCAAAATTCAATGATTATCAACCGTGAAGCCATACCAGGGTAGGTGCGAAACTTTCGATTCAAGACCTCTTGGATACTAACTTTTTTAGTACCGTTCACCTCGTTGACCAGACGGGAGACGTACATGCCCAGCACTCGGAGAAGACCAAAGATGTGGTGCTGGTTCCAACTCCAACTGATGATCCAGATGATCCACTAAACTGGTCTTTCAACAGAAAACTGGTGTGTATGTTCTGCCTGGTTTTGTATAATATGGCAGTCGGTGTTCCCTCTGCTGCGATATACTCTGTTCTGACACCGATCATCGAGCACACCAATCTTACTCTGTCAAACCTAAATGATGGTACTGGTGTCATGTTTCTGTTCTTTGGTTGGGGCTGTATGGTTTGGCAGCCTATGGCGCAGCAGTACGGCAAGAGACCTGTCTATATTTTTTCCGTATTTGTGACCATTTTCATGATGGTATGGGCACCTTATACCACTTCATCAGGGGAATGGATTGCTTCCAAATTATTACAAGGATTTTTCGGTGCTCCAATCGAATCCCTGGGCGAGATTACCATTGCTGATATTTGGTTTGAACATGAACGTGGAAGATGGATGTCTGTTTATGCAGTGTCACTTTTCGTGTCCAACTTTATTGCTCCATTAGTTGCTGGATTTATTTCAGATGGCCAAGGTTGGAAATGGGTATGTTTTTGGTGCGCAATTTTTGATGCTGTTGCCTTGATTGTGCTCTTCTTCCTATGGGAGGAAACTAACTACTCTCGTCCTCATATTGCACCAGATGATGAGATTGAAGAAGCCCCAGTGGAGAAACAAGCTGGTATTGTTACTGTGGAACAAACAGATTCAAACCCTGAACCATCAAAGTACCACGTTGACATGACCAAACCAATGAAGACGTACATGCAAAAGTTAAAGTTTTTCGACAAACCCCGTCCATTTGTGGTTCACAAGCTGATGTGGCGATCACTCACTATGTTTAGATTCCCCGTGGTGTGCTGGTCTGGATTCTACTATGGCCTAGCCGTGGTCTGGTTCAACATTCTTAATGCCACTTCGTCCTCCATCTTCTCTGCTTCGCCATACAATTTCTCACCTTCCATGGTAGGTGTGACTTACACCTCCCCCATTTTGGTCACTTTTATTCTGACCTACTTCAGTGGAAATGTAGGCGATAGACTAAGACTCTTTATTGCCAGGAAGAAAAATGGCGTTTCTGAACCAGAGGACCGACTGTGGATGGCCACTATCTACTTGATTTTATGTCCTGGTTGCTTCATTCTGTGGGGTGTTGGAGCTTGGGCTGGTATCCATTGGATGGGCCTTGTCATCGGGATGGGGGTTATTGGAGGTTCCGGTATCATGGGCTGTCACTGTGCTGTCAACTATGTGTTGGAGTCATACCGTGAGCTTGGTTCATGTGCAATGGTTTCTGTGATTTTGGTGAGAAACACTATGAGTTTCGCCGTTAATTGGGGAATCACGCCATGGGTTGAGAATACAGGTCTGAAGAATACGTTCATAGCCGCATGCTTCATTTCACTTGCTGGAATCTCGACCTTTCTTCCAATGATTTACTTTGGAAAGAGAACTAGAGTCTCCACGAAGGATGCCTACTGGAATTATGTCCAAGAGGCTACGGATCTTGGCTTGCCTCACTAAATGTTATCGCCGCGACGTACTATTTTTTATTAATCAACTATCCGGCTACACCAGCTCCGTAGAGCTTATTTCCAGCTAAGTAATATCAAAACTCTTCTTATCAATTATAGAGCTATAATCTGAGGATGGTTAACTATTCCCTTTTCCCCAAGCCTGTAAAGGTAGGTCCATCTATCGCCAGATTGGTACCAGGCGAAAGAGCCACACCATGGGAATGGTGGATTATTATCATGCACAGCCCCAAAGGTATTTTGACGATCCCCATAGACCTTGATTTGCAGTGTTTTCGCTGAGCTGAATGTTTCAGGAAGTTCAATCTCAAATGGATCGAAGGCAATATTGCCGACACGATGACCGTCCAGCAGTACTTCAACAACAGGTCCTTTGAACTCAGCCACTCTTAAGAGGTGCTTTGACCCATCAGGAATTTTCAAGTCAGATACAGAAAAGTTGTATGTCACATTTCCTCCATAAAATGGCAATCCTTGATGAACATAGTCGCCAAGGGCAATCGTCTTTGGAATTTCAATGATCTTCGCTTTTGTACCCTTCAACTCCACACCAAAATCACCCAGTATATAGAGCCATTCCAGACTGGTAACCTCTCTGAGAATAACCGAATATTCCAGGACATGGCGGCCGGAGCTGAAAGAAGGCAGTTTCACTTTTGAAATGTCCTGATCGACAAACCAACCATCTACCTCAATCGCCACATCTTTCCCGTCAAACGTCACCTGCAACTCAGGGTCAATGCTAATATTATCCAAATTGGTGTGCTCCGTTGCTAAATATGCATTTTCAACAGGTATATCCGAATCAAATTCAAATCTCAAGTGAACCCGCTCCGAGACCAATTTAGCCTTATCCTTATAGGTCCATGGCTGAGGCAGGGCCAAGCCCTGTGGTAAAAGCCCAATTTGAGCTCTAAAAATATTGTCAACCCTACGAATTTCTTCAAATTCCTCCGACCACGATTGGCTATCCCGTTTGTATTGGGCTCTATCCAAGAGTAACACATTGGGATCATCGAGAGTGAAAGAAACAGGTTCTGTTAGTACCGGCTCACTGACCTGTTTCCTCGGAGAAATTTCAGTGGCTTCAGCTAGAGACTGAGTTGTGGGTGTCAGTCTCAACAGTAATGATCCTAAAACCGGGAAAGTGTGGTAAAATTTGGTCGTCCTGGACTTTGTATCAATCGAGTATGCCAAATCAATAAGACCACCATTAAGCGTATCAAGACCAATGATATCCCATGTTCCCTTCAAAGTAATGATCGTGTTTGGCCTGGATTGTATTTTGCAAGTATTGCACAAGAACAGGAACCGGGAACCATCCTCCTCCTCCCTTAAGTTATACAGAATTGTGTCTTTGTACCTAGACGCCCCCGTCGGATCAAAAGGGTCTTTGGGGTTGACGTAATCCAGTTTAACTTCTCTGAAAGGAGTCAAAACTTCCCGCAATGCTTTTCGGGAGAATGGAATAGTGGTAGATTTGGCAACGAGTTCACTAATGAGAGAGGGCTCGGAAGTCACTTCAATCAAAGAAGGCACTTCGCCCATCATCACCACCTTGCCCCCATTCGAAGCAAATTTTAAAAGTCTGTCGTATGTGGTCCGTCTCAAGTGTTTTGCAGAAGGCACAATGATAACGTCATAGTTCATAGCACCCACGTTAAGTGATGGAGAATCAATCTTATCTATATCACAGAGTTCTGGTAAAAGAGACTCCGAGATATAGTCAAAATCGAGTAGACCATACAGCAACCAATGAATAAGGTCATCGAAGTTCTTCATTCGCTCCGTTCGTTCTTCGACTGAGGTTTGCCATGGCCCGAATGCTAGCCAGTAGTTTTCAATTGGATGAATAACTCCAATTCTTACCACTGCTTTTCCTCGGGTAAGAGCAGTGTTCAGTCTGGCATAGTGCGTTTCAACCAGAGAATACTCCTTGTACCACGGAGACTGGTAACCAATACAAGCTGGATAGTCTCTCTTTGCTTCACCTCTCATTGACACCCAAGTCAAGTGATGAGCCCTAAATGTAACTCCCAGAGCAGCGAGCCAGTCACCTTGCGATTTGTGGCCTTGGAAAGTGTAATCCCAGTCAGTGACACCATAGGCTTCACACAATACACCCTCTCTGCCATATTGATGACTGACTGATTGCGCCTGTTTTACAGTGTGATGTTCGCGCTTATCCTGCAACATATCAACACCTGGTAATGGAAACGCTCTATATGATCTCATTGCCTCACCAAGGGCTTCTGTTTGGGATATGAGGTCTGCTTCGTGCATCATGTGGCCAACCAACGATATGCCATGCTTTGTGCACCATTCTGAGATGTTATCCACAAACGAACGGTTGAACCTCTCACATACGTGATCATGGTAGTGGTACCTTGGTTTCGAAGCTTGACCTTTAAGATCCCAGAACAGCTCTGGCGTCGTTTCCAGTAAAGAGTATCCGTACTGCTTTCTGAAAGTGTCCTCAAGATCAGTGGTCCAAGGCAAAAATGCTTCCGCCTTAGAATCGGCCAATTCAAAACTCGACTTATGAGAGAACTGCGGCTCATCAGTAAAAATCGACTTGATTGCCTCTCCAAATTCTTCACCCAACTTGGCATAGTATTTTTCGTGCGTACTTTTGATAAAAGCATCTATGGCATCTTTGTTCAAAGTATCCACATAAGGAGAACTACTGAACAGTGTCGCTGGAGCATCGTATTCGAGATAGGCATACCACACCGTGAAGGAATCGTCTTTGAAGGATTCAATTTTGCTCTCATCAATCTTGGAATACTTCTCCAGAAATCCATCCTCATCGAGTCTAACCTTGTAAACACCAAGAAGCCTGCCAGTGCCCACTCGAGTAGGTCCAACCGCAACTGGAGGCACAGGTGGAGTATTCTCATCGCCATACTTATATCTTGTCATCAATAAGTGTTTTGAGCGAAACTCCGGATTTTCTTCCACCACTTGGCCACTGCAGCTTCCAGATGGCCATCTGTCCTCATCGTATAGATAAGTCAACATGTCATTCTTCTTTCCCTCTACAACGCAATCTTCAACAAGATTGAGGAACTCTTCGCCAAGATACTCAGTATCAAGACCTGACCTAGCATGAATATGATATCCACCGAATCCCATTTCTTTCATTGCACCAATCTGGTGAAAGAGCTGGTCTTTACTAAGCTTGTTATTCCATGACCATAATGGAGCACCTCGAAATTCTTTTGGGGGAGCCTTGAACAGTTCGAGATCGAACTTTGTGTTTGCAGCAGACTGAGGATAAAATTTGGGGGCTGTCATCGGGACTTTTCTGCTTTGGAGTGCTTTCGCTTAGTTTTCGGGGTATAGGATAGCTAAGGTATAAGTAAATGGAATTGCAATCCTTTGACCCAAACCACTGCTATTCCTCATCAACAGAACGGATGAAAGTTGCGCCGAAGTGAAGCCACCAGTCTTCTTATGAGATTTATTCAAAGGCGGGGCATTCTAGAAGGGCAAAGACGCTTGAACTCCCTAATGCTCCCACATTAGAACTAGAAGTAAAAAAGGCGCCGTTTTCGATGGCTCCCGGGAAGGTTCGGAGTCAAATTCTCTTCCGAATAGCCGGTTGAAATATGATCCGAAAAATAATTGCAATACAGCATACCTTCAACTGTTCCGGGAAAATGAATATTCATACCCTGCATGCCCAAATGCAGGCAAGGCGGAGATATGTTGCACCGTGTGCCCCGCATAATTTGAAGTATTTTCGGCAAATATCTGACCCGGACCCGGACACATGTCACAACTCTGTTAGTTTCATTTTCATAATTGTTTAAAAATGAATCCGTCTCTTGATTCTGTGATGTATGTAGTTCAATGTTCCCGGATTCCTCACTGAATTTCGCAGGATTCATTGGTCGTGCACTGCACATTATATGTTATTGTATTTTCAATGTATGCATTACCCCACATTCTTCGGGGTGTCAGCCGTGGATTGGAAATGAGACCCCAGTTTTGGAGGGGGCAAACTCGATTTCCGGCACAGAACCCTCTCTATGGGGTCGCTCATATGGAGGCATACCTAAGGAAGTTTTGACCTCTGGGCGTAAGCGCATATAGCGCCGAGGCCAATGCCAATAAAGAAGAGGTGGTTAAGTATCGTGCTCTGTTTGCACCTCAAGTTTCAGGTAGGTAAAATTTCAGCCCAGTATTCTAATCTGAATTAGTAGTATGATAGAACACCGTCAATTCAAGATCTCCAAAACAATTCCCAAATATCCGCGTTAACGCGACATTGGCCCCCCGTAGCCTGCAATGACCGATACCATTAAATGCCCGTTGCGATTTAATTCCACCGGACCAATAAAAACGCCCAATTGCCCAACGACAAAACAAATTTATGGGGTATTACTTGTTGGAGGGGTAAACCTAGTGAGGAGTACATAATGGTTCCCGGCGAATAAAGAAGGCCCGAATCTGAGAGGTTGAATCAAAACGAGCAGATCCGTTAATTATACCGATAGTCCTGACCTCATTTGGGCCACCTAATTGAACTTACACATATTCCCCGCAGATAGATCGATGTCGTATTACTACAATGTAAAGTTTGAGTCAATAAATAGCCGCTGGATTCTGGATATCAACTTAGATGAAGAAAATTCTTAGTATTGTTCCTTTCTCTCAGTATCAGACTAAAATGGCTGAGGATTTAGAAGGTCAAACCGATGTGGCTCCAGCTGCTTCTGCAGCAAGCGACTTCAACACGCTAGAGGCCGCTGCTCATGCTCAACAGAAGATTGAGCATGAGCTCACTAAATGGCAGGCAATGAAGACTTATCCAAAAGCTACCCTTTGGATCCTGTTCAACGTTTGGATGATGGTGCTGTTGGGTTACGAAAATCAAGCTGGTGGTATTGTCATCTCGATTCCACAGTTTAGAAAAGATTTTGGTCATTTTTATGAAGGGTCATATGTTCTTGACACAAATTGGCAATCCATCATTTATGGTGTACCAATGGCAGTCATGGGTGTTACTTCTTTTGGGGTATCTTATTTTTCAGACAGATTCGGAAGAAGAATCATCATGGTTTTGATGTTGATTCTCACCGTTCCCAGTATTGCCATGGAGTATGTCGCTACTGATATTCATGTGTTTGTGGCAGGAAAGTGTCTTAATGCGCTCTCTTTGGGATGCTTCAACACTTTGTGTCTCGGTTATGTTTCGGAGGTTGCACCCATGGCTTTGAGAGGTTGGTCTGCTTCTGCTTGTTCGTTGTCGATGTGCATTGGGCCCTTTGTGTGCTATCTTATCAACAACACAACCGCATCATACGATACAAGAATGGCATACAGAGCGGTTTTTATCCCACAATGGATCTTTTCTATCTCGTGTCTTTTTTTTGCTCCATTCCTTCCCGAATCACCATACTACTATTTTAACAAAGGCCAGGACGAGAAAGCCTTGGCTAGTTTGAAGAAACTATACAATCCAACTCAGGCGCAACAGCAATATGCCCTCATGAAAGTGACTCATGATGAGCTCAAACAGATCACTGAGGGAACTTCCTATCTCGACTGCTTCAAGAAGAAGGATATCAAGAGAACCTATTTGGTGCTTTTTGGTTTGTGGATGTCCCCAATGTGCGGTGTTTACTTTGTGGCGTCTTATGCAACTTACTACTACCAACTCGCTGGAATGTCGACCAAAGCCTCTTACCAGTTGAGTTGTGGAGGACAGGCAATGTCAGTGGTTGGCGTCATTTCATCGTGGTTTATTCTGGACAGATTCGGTCGTAGACCGTTGATGTTCTTTGGACTAGGTACGCTCACAGTCATCAATTTTGTTATTGCAGGAGCAGGATCAGATACAACAAACCCAACTGGAATGCAGGTGGCTACAGCTTTCATGTCCATGTACAACTTCTTCTACAACATGGGTATTGGTCCACTTCCATTCATTCTGGCTGCAGAGATTTCTTCTGTGAGTCTGAGAGCAAAAACAATGGCAATGGGCATGATTGTGAGTTACGCTTTCTCGTGCATGTGGTCTCTCGTTTTGCCCTACATGTTCAACCCAGATGAGGGTAACATGGGCTCCAAGATCAACTTCATCTTCGCCGGCCTGTGCTTTCTCGCGATCTTTGTGTTCTACTTCATTCAACCAGAAACTGCTGGCAGATCTTTCGAGGAAATTGACGAGATGTACGATAAGAACATCCCTCCACGTCAATGGAAGAGCTACAAGACCGAGAAGCAACTCCAGAGCGAGAAGAGTTTCTTTGACCTCAAGCCTGAAGCTTCCCATGATGAATTCGTGGAAGATGAGTAATATCAGCTGAAGTGGTCACTTTTTCTAGTCACTTTTTCAGGAATATTTTCGGAAAGTAGCCGAGAGACTTTTTTAGTATTCAGTTTTGAGATTCCTGTTAAGCGAGTTTTATTTTTTTTCAACTATCCGACACTACCATAGATTTATGAAGTTTCTGTAACTTTTCACTTAAGTGCTTTCAATTTGTCACACTGTTGTGAATAGCCCTGAAAGGCTCACAATTTATCAAAAAATTCCCCAAAAATGTTATATATATATATGTGATTAAACGTCTCCTGGTATTTTCCCAAGTCTCCTTTATTTACAAAAACAAAGAGTACTCTAGAATATATTAAAACTTTTACAAATTGTAGGTTTATACAACACTATCTTCCGGCTCCTCAGCTTTTTGACTCGCCTCGCCGTGGCCCGGGATAACGAGATTCAAAAAGCACACAATCAGTGCGCCAAAGATGAACGGTGTCTCAACAATCAACTCAATACCCTCGAGAAAACTGGCAAGGGCTTGGTTGGAGCCAGTGTAAGCGATAACGGAATCGAACCAGGAGGGAATTACCGTACCCGCAAATCCCCATCCCAGTCCAGACGAAAGAATAAATCTGTTTCTGCGCGTCCATGGAACTGCGGCTAGTACTTTTATACCTGCCACTCCTATGGTACCAAACAAAAAGACCTGCATACCACCAAACACAGGTTTGGGAAGAGCTGCGAAAGTAGCCGCTATCTTGGAGAATATTCCCATCAGCACCAAAAGAACAGCAGCTGTCCACCCGGCTCTTCTTGAGGCACAGCCCGTTAATAAGATGACACCGTTGTTGGCAGCTTGAGAAACCATAGGAAGTCCTCCCCCGACTGATGCAAGTACACTTCCAAGTGCATCACACATAATTCCACCTTGAATTCTTGATTGGAACTCTTCACCTTCAATCGGCTGGTGACTTGCCTCTGCAGTCGACACAATATCAGGAATACAACTGATTCCCTCAACGACAAACATGATTAAGAGCGACAAAATAAGGGACCCATCAACCGAGTAAGTGTAGTTTTTGGTCCATAAAAAATCACCTGCAGGAGCAGAGTTGATACCACTGCCGTCCCAGTAATTGCATGCTGCAGAGATAATACAGCCTACAAGCAGACCCAGCACCACAGACGCACTTTTCATTATCGGGGAACCGAACTGGCTGATGATAACGATAGCCACAAAAGTACTGAAACCGAGCCCAATATAAGCGCGAGCTCCCCACAGCTCAGGGTGGGATCCAACATCACAGTTGGTACCATAACTGTAGCAGCTGCTTCCACCACCCCAATTCTTCATACCGCTACCAGTGAGATATACTGCTAGCAACAGAAGCAGAGTTCCCGTGACCATGTTTGGAAACACCCTTTTAAGAATGCGAGGAGGAACGAACGCAATGAGAACTTGAATCCATACAGTACAGAGCATCGATCCCAAGAATGCACCAAGTGCTTCTGGACATGGGAGATACGTACCGTCTTCAGCAATTTTGCAAGAGCCATTAGCATACTGAGAGTCCGAGTAAGAGTAAGCAATTCCGATTATATCGAAAGTTGGCCCCACCACCGACAGCAAACCAGTCCCAACAAAGTAAGGTGTCTTGTAGATACTGAAACGCGTAATCTGCGCGAATGTGGCTATTCCAGCAGTAATCAACGTACACGAAACGAGGTGCTGAGTTTGGGCTAAGTCCAAATAAAGTGCATCACCCATGAGCAGTGGAACAGCAACCAGACTGCAGATTAGCGTTAAACAGTGCTGTACTCCCAAAAGTAGAGTCAATAAGATTGGAACGTCATCGTTAATTCCGAAATATGGTTGTTCATAGTCTCGGAATTTCTTGTTCAGGGGCCAAATATCTGGTGTAAAGAGGTATACATAATCGTAATCTCCAAACCAGCCGTGTCTGGTTGTCAACTTAGTGTAGACAGAATTGACCGTATTTTGCGCTTTCTCGCGATAAGTATACACGTTTCCTTCCACCTCCTCTTCGAATTGTTCGACAGGTGAGTGTTTCATCTCCGATGACATGGACATACTGATACCAGAGATAGCAACGCAACTTGAATCAAAATCCCATGATGTTCGTCTGAAAACCGCGAATTCCGGACCGTTTATATGCGATATGCAATCTCGAAAACAATAGATAAGAGTTTAAATTCCCCGAGTCGGGCCGCTCCAGAAAAATTTTGCTCTCGAGATAAGGAGTCGGGCCGCCAAAAATCCGAGTGATTATATAAGTATCTCCGGTTTGAACTTCGGCAATTACAAAGAAGAATTAGTCAAGTGTTAGGAACGCAATGACCTCCCCAGCCTTGAAAGAAGTTCCCTTTACGGTATATTATGGTACGCTGGTTCATACGCCTACGTTAGGAGAACTGGAGGTGATTGTAAATGCAAGAGTCGGTGTTGATGAGACCGGTACCATAGTGTACGTGCACAAGCACGCGTTGCACGGAAGTGTTGAAGAAGAGTCGCCTAAAAACGCAAAAATCGTTAGACTGAATGGATTCACCGAATTTTTTCTTCCAGGCTTTATTGACACTCATATTCATGCACCACAGTATCCAAACTGTGGAGTCTTTGGAAATTCAACACTATTTTCATGGCTTACCAAGTACACATACCCTGTGGAGATGGCTTTGGTGGATCCTATGAAAGCTCAGCAGGTATACGAAAAGGTGGTTAAGAGGACTTTGGCACATGGTACAACGTGCTGTGCATACTATGCTACGATACACGTGGAGCCTACCAACATTTTGGCAGATTCCGCATACGGTAACGGACAGAGAGCCTTTATTGGAAGAAGTTGTATGGACTGTGGAAAGCCAATTTACAACGACGAAGATGGAGAGGGATCAACTTTGGCAGTCATTAACCATATCAGAGAAAAAGATCCTGAATATGCTCTGATAAAGCCAATTTTAGCTCCTCGTAATGCAAACAAGTGCTCTGAGGGATTTATGAAGTGGTTAGCTGCTAAAAGCAAGGAGCTGGGTCTTCCTATTGAAACTCATCTCAGCGAGACTGAAGAGGAGGTGGAACAGATCATGCAAATGTTTCCACATTGCAAAACATACGCAGAGATCTATGACTATCACAATCTGTTGACAGAGAAGACAATCCTGGGCCACTGTGTGTTTTTATCTGAAGAGGAACTTGCGCTGATAAACGAGCGCAAGTGTGGTATCTCACACTGTCCCACATCGAATAGTTGTCTGACTTCAGGTGAAGCTCGTTTGCGTTGGATGTTGGACAACAACACGAAAGTTGGACTCGGCACCGATGTATCTGGAGGCTTTTCTCCATCGATGCTCACCACTGCAAGACATGCAGTGTTGGTTTCGAGGCACGTAGCTATGAAGACCAAAAAGGACCATGACAAGTTGTCCGTGAACGAGGCTCTTTATCTTGCGACCCTTGGAGGAGCAAATGTGATTGGTATGGGAGACTCTCTTGGCACTTTTGCCGTCGGCAAGAAATGGGAATGTCAGCAAATCAACATTGAGTCTTTGGATCTCTTTGACTTTTTGAATCCATCGTTGGAGGGTTTACAAGCTCAAAATTTAGATGACCTTTCGAAGTTTCAAGATCTTATCGACAAATGGGTGTTCAACGGTGACGACAGAAACGTGAGAAGGGTTTATGTAAACGGCCGTTGCGTTGTTGATAAATCATCTTTAACTTGACATAATGTTTTTTAAAAAGTTTTTTTGATACTCGCATTTTTTTGTTTGATGGACCGTTTTAAGCATAATCCAAAGCTTTTCGTTGATAAAATTTTTTAAGCATAATCCATTAATTAATACGATGATAAAGTCACTCACTATTTTGCAACTCCTGAAGACGCTCAAAATTTCTTCTCATGGCATCTTCAATGAATTGTCTCCCCGTAGTAGGTGGGTATTTCTTTTGTGGACCCTGGATCACCACATCGGTATTGGCTTGGTTAAAGAAAGCAACAGTATATCTGTCTTTCTGATTTTCGCCAACGTTTGGAAGTCTAACACGGTGAAAGTTGGACTTTAACATATCGTCAGACCAGGACATCAGCATGTCTCCAATATTGATAACAATATCGCCCGTTCTCGAAGGGACTGCCGTCCACGCGTCATTATACCCAAAATCCGTGTGAGCATCTCTTCCGGGACAAATCTCAAGCCCGTGGTCGCCGGTCCTTTGAAAAAGGAGAGTCAAGGAGTCAAAATCTGTGTGGGGACCTGCCCTCCAATAGTTTCCTTCAAACGCTTTTCCAGTACAGTCAAAGTAATGGAGCAAACGCAAAGTGGTCTGTGCAGTTGGCTGTTCAATGTCGTGGGCCTTTGAAAAAAAGTCCTCTGGGTAGCCCAATGCCTCGGCAAACAAGCCCATCACAAAGCAACTCAGTTTTTGGCACTTGAGCATGAATTCTCTGGTTTTCTCTCTCCATTCCTCACCGACATCTTCCTCTGCAGGCCAATTCTCATTGAACCGGTGGTATTGCAATTGGATAGACTCCTTCTGATCAGCAGTGCCAGTAGATGGTCTGATTTGAGTAGCAGACTCATATCCAGTGTTCAGCAGTTTTTGGTGTGGAGTCTTCATCTTCAGGTCCATAGGATAGTCAAAAAAAACTTTTGAGAGTTCAAAAATCTCTTCTATATCCTTCTTTGAAGGGAATTCCTGCTCGCAGAGAGTGAAGAACCCAGATCGAATTGCGGCAGCATATAATTGCTCTTTAATCTCTTCCCTGCGATTCTCACAATCGTTTAGACTGATACGTGGAATGACTCTCTCAACATATATACGCTCTTGCGTTTGCGGATCATCAACAGTCATCTTGATTTCAGCCTAATATCAGGTTAAACAACTGAGAGATGGCATTTCGATCGCCATGTATATATATATCCTTCAGAAATCTTGCTGCAATGCTCAATCATGCAGTACCGACTCGGCCCGATGTGCGTCGAATAATTTTTTGATTTATCTCTGCCCGAATAATTGGCTCATCGGCGGAGTTGAAGCGGTCCGACCTCTGCGCTCGTATCTTTTCCTCTTTCTAACGAGCACTTATCTAGTCAGTTATCCTGAGAAGATGGCCCCAATACGTGCTAAAACTGCTTGTCAAAAATGCCGAGCGCTCAAACACAAGTGTGATTTCAAATTTCCGAAATGCACCAGATGCGATAGGGCGGGCACGCAGTGTTTAGTTCAGGACCGATCCTCCAGAGAGTACAAGCCGCGCGAAGATTTCCCAGAGGATCTGGAGGTGGAAGCGTTGCCTTCGCTAAACAGTATTGAGCAACGTTTGTTAGTTTTAGAAGGGAAAGTTAAAACTTATGAAAGGATCTTTGAAAACTTAGGAATTGACTTACGAAGAGATGCGGCTCTGGGCATGAGTCAGATTAGTATTCTGTCGCTGATACCTTTTGGACGCTCTGGCAG